CCCAATCATCATACGAGTCGAGGGATTTATCAAAGACCTCTTCGAAGTCATCGCGAGGAGAAGGCACATAATTCCACTGATCCAATACCATATTCTTCTCTTCGCTCCACGGAGCCAACACCTTATTTGGATCGTGAGGCTGGTAGTCTGATCTCTGGGACATCGCAACGCGCTTCTCAGATTCTTCGTCGACTAGCTTTCCCCACTGATAGGCCCGCTGCCCTCAAAACCTATTCAGCAACTCAGGGAGATACTGGACGTCACCGACACAGTAAGATATGATATCCTCTGGGATCTGACGCTGGTTGAACACATCATACGAGCCGCCATGTCCAGCCTTGAACAATCGCTCGCCTTTCTCCTTCGCCCGCTTCCAGTTAGCTAGTCCGCCGCTACCGTAGGATATGGGTTGATATGTCTCAACACATTTGGCCAGGCCGCTTAAAAACTTTAGAGATACTGTGGTCTTCCACGTTGCACTCTCCATGAGCTGGACGTCCCCGACCCCCTGCAGCGCCACGTCGAAATGCGCAAACAGCGCATCTGAATCGTTTCGAACGTCGAAGAAGACCTTTGGAATCTTTTCGTCTTGAAGGATGTCTATCAGTGTCTTCTGTTTGGCACCGGCAGTGTTGAATGCTTGTGCGCCTAGGGTGTGCACATCGATCAGGTAGACGCGTCCAGGCGGCATGACAGTATCGATTAGAAGGGTGAAGATCAAAACGGAACCCTCACGGCAGAGGTTTACGCCTTCGAGGTCTATGTACATGGTTGGCGAGAACGGAATTGGTGGTGCATGGCATGCAACGAGCTCGTCGACCAAATCACCGATTTGTTCCGTCATATCTATGATTTCAGTTCTGATATGCTTCATACTGAGCACACGGGCTGTTGTTGCTACGCACTAGTATAAATACGAAGAGAGGGTAGAGACTTAGTTCATTTAAGGTTACCATACTTTTACTTTAGGGGTAGTGGGCAAGCCTGCGTCAATGACGTGAGACGTTGGTGCGGGGTAAGTCATGTATTGGTTGGCAGGGGCGGCGTATCGGCTGGTTACGGTAAGGTATCGAAGGGTAGTCTAGCGTGATACTTCCACAGACTTTAGCCTACTAAGACCGCAGCTATCGTAAGCTTGTGATTGCTCCTGATACATACCAACACTTTCCATCGTTTTCGCGCATCCTGTAAGGACCATGGACGCCAGCGAGAACAGCGATGACTCTGCGATTGCGCAAACAGACATTGCTACAGATGGCGACGTCATCTTCGTAGTCGGCCCACAGAAAAAGAAGATGCGAGTCTGTTCCGTCATTCTCAGTAACGCATCAGCATGTTTCAGGACCATGTTCGGACCGAAATTTGCTGAAGGGAAGAATCTAAAGAGCAACGACCCCAAAGAGATTCCAATGAGAGACGACGATGCAGACGCCCTAGAGATCCTCTGCAACGTTATTCATCTCCGGAACGATGCAGTGCCACAGTCCCTGAGTCCCACCGATGTTTTTGGGGTTGCTGTTGCTGCCGATAAATTCGGCTGCGCTGTTGCCCTGAAATACGCCAGCACGGTTTGGCTGAATCCTAAGGCTGTGAAGGAAATCTCAGACCTGTGTTATCTTATGATTGCTGCCTATATACTCGACAACCCACAGGCTTTTAGCGATATTACACTCGCGATGATATTCAGTCATGTCGGATCCTACCTCTCGCTCGCTGATCAGATCATCGATCAGCTTGACTATATGCCATGGAAAGTTTTCTGTAAGTACGAAACTTGTGAAAGACTAATTTCACTTGCTAATGCCCTTTCCGCAGATCTACTAGAAGAGCAACGAAACCTGATACGCATTGAGTTGCAGCAATTATTGTTCCAGGGATCGTTCTATGCTGGAACGGACGATAGGAGGTGCACTTGCGGGTGGGGAAGTTGTCATAACCTTGCATACAATGAGCTTCTTCGAGAACGCCACCTTGAGCCGTCGCAGATATCTACTGGCAAGGTATCACAAGTCCTTCAGCAATTGGAAGAGATGCCCGACCCAACCATGCCTTACGAATGGGAACCCTGTGATTACAGGTACCATAAGAAACCTAGGTATAGAGAATCGCGTGCTTTGAGGCTACGTGAAATCCAGGAAGGAAACGGCCTTTGTATCGACTGCTTCCGGTCAAGCACCACAGCTGAGGATCAAGTTCACAGAATCAAGCATTGAGGGCCTCTGTATGTATATCCGGGCGAGTATCACAGCTGAAGGGGTCTTTAATTGCGAACCTGCTGCGTCGATGTAACCATTCAAGGCCTTTTAGGCGCGGTAGGTTCGGGCGCCCCGTCGGGCCGACTATAACATGGTACCACATTCGAGCCAGTATTAGGGGAGAGCAAGACTCAATATAATTGCCAAAGGTTAGGGCAAATATGTAGGGTGCACGGCAGCCTAGCATTATTACAACATCATTAAAGGATTGTATCAATACGGTACCTTTAGGGGAAAAGGTTGGTCTGCAAGCTCATGTTGAGATTAGTTCATACTGGAAGGACCCAGTCGTAGTAGTATCCAGGTAGTGACGTGATCCGGGTCTACGCCCTAACGATCACATTCATAGCGCGGTGTATACGTTACACCCTCACACTCTCAGCAAACTATCTTATTGTCTTCACATTTACATTCCACCATGAGCGACAGCGATCGGCCCTCTCTGATCAACGATCCTGGGTATGCGGACCCTCCCAAGTGCCACCCCCACAACGGTTCGAACTTGAAGCACTCTCCCGATCTGGATGTTACTCGTTTACATTAGTACGAGCCCGTGCACAAACGGGCCCGGTTCCTAGAAGAGGAAGGATGTACTCCGCCTCGTATTCCATGGCTTCTACCACTGGTGCGGTCATGCGAAGATCTAGAAGCAGGCGTAGAAGAATGGAGGTCAAAGTCTCTACACTTTATTCAATCACGCCGTGCCCTCTACATTCATGTGTTATTCCAGCCTAGAACTCGAAATCCTGGGTCTTAATGTAACTGCGTAAGCAGTGTCGGGTCGGAGGCTGTGGATCAACGATTGTATTGCTATCTGTTGTCGTGTTGTGATGTATGTGTACAAGAGCTCTCGGCTCAGAGGTAAGTGCACTTGCCCACCGGGCAGTGCCTGCTACAATAGGATATCATGTGACTCTAGTCACGTGGTTACACTTAAGCTTCTACCTTGGCTTCTACTCCCCCGGCCCGGACACGTTTTGATGACGCAAGCCGCTCGCATCGTCTTCTGGGTATCACGGAGATAATTGAGATGATGCTTCGAAATGCCGAACCCAAGAGCCAATACGCTGCGCGGGATGTATCGAAAGATTGGAGATGTAGTCGCATACATCTTGCGCGGCCAGTACTGCGACTCAAAGCCCTGCTCACCCGTCCAGTATGGTCAGTTGGTTGAAAAGGATCTGAAGTGGCTGCAGCCTACGCAACACGAGATGGCTAAATTTGAAGACGACATCAACTGCGTCTCTAGTGCTTTACACACTCGAGTGTCCATGATGTCTGCTGGGAAGATACCGATTTCGATGCCGGAATTCTCCTTCCCAACACATCTGACACAGGCGGATGAGCTCCCGCTTGCAGTATTCGACGCCTTTACTACCGTCACCCAGAGCTACTTGCATTCGTCAGTCGAGGAGGCAAGGGCTTCTCGAAGAAATGGGCCCCGTTGGCTTGACTTTGGTCAGTTCCTATTTAACCCATACTTGCTCGAAATGTTCGGGAGCAATTTCCGGCCCGTGTCAGGCTGATGCGAGTTGACGGTGCAGCCGCAACTAGAGGAACATCTGAGATCACAACTACAGGCGCCAGGAAGGCTTTTCAAGGAAATTATTCTGGACATGCTCATAACACAACCGGCCTGCAAATACCTAGGGATCTATGTCATTGGAAGAGAAGGGGCCCGTAGAGTAAGGAGGCTTTACCGACCGGACGGCATCCGCATCCGCGATCTCCTACCTGGTATCCAGGAGAATCTTTCCCTAGCAGTGGATGAATGGAGATGGAGGCTCACGACTATGGGGCGAGACTTTGCACAACGTTCGTGGACGGCTTGGGGTGACAGTTTGAAGAAGCAGAGAACTTGGGCTGCGCCAGGATTTCCAAAACTCTTTATATGTCTAGAATTGGTGCATCTTGGTGTCTGTAGATTTCGTGGCACACACTGGTCGGAAATCGATAGTTATTCTAGGGCCTGTGTGGAGGAGTGGTGTCGGGACGTGGCGACATGATGGAGGAACGCTCGAGGTCTAAAAAGGGGATCGGTATACCGCATTTTGGGGGTATCAACCTGTTTAGTGATCTATATAGCCTTCTCTTACTCGACTTGCGCCAACTTCAAGTAGAGTAATTGAGCAACCAATTGCTTGATTTTATGAAAATTATGACCATTCACTGAGTGAATACTGCATTTTACTGAGTACAAGGTACAGGGATAGTACCTTAACTGCTTAATTACATTGTTGTTACAACAAAACTGCGTTGTTAAAATCCGTTGCAAAGCATCGCTATCACTCATATATACAATTATGAAAACTATGACTAAAGAATTACTGCTACTAATAGTTACTCGGTCTAATTCAGCCTAGACTGCTATATGTTCAAAACTACAAAACTCCTCTAGAACTCTAGACAACTTCAAGCTGCGCAGGTAGATAGATACGAGCATGAATAGAAAAAAACCGTGCGTATCACAAGAAATGACAAAACTAAAGCCTATACAATCCTCAACTAGAACGCACCACTTGCAAGGCCATCAACCTGAGGCACCTCCCCAGAAGTATAGCATCTAAAAGTCCTCAAATCAATACATCGACGCAGCAAATTTGCGATCGAAGAGAATCCCTAGCCTACAAGACCTTCATACAACCGACAAGCCCATATTTTCACCACTAAACCAAATATGCATCCTCACCAAAACTTATAGTCGATCACGCCATGTCAGCAATACCATCATGATAACCTCCATCTACCCCCAATACATACATGCAAACCCAAACCCAACCCCTCGCCCCAAGCCGAACGAACCCTCCCTACCCTGCACATCCGCTCACCAAACACGGGGTACACGACAAGCACAGCAGCGTTTAAACAACACGATATAATTCGACACGCACGCACGCACGCACGCACGAGAAATCAAGGGTAACATGAAATTAAATAAATGTTAGAATTTGAAGATTTAATCTGAACAAAAAATGCATAAGCTAACAAAAGCGCTGCAAGACAAGCAAGCTCGAATCTAGCGTAGAAAAGCTTTCCAGCGACGTTGAGACCCGCGGGGAAGTACTGGTGTGCGGAAACTTCTCTGCTTCACAGATTCCCGTTGCTGGAAAGTGGAAGAAGCAACAAGTATACGCTTTCAGTTCAGCAGGTGCGGCCACGGAGTCGCGGTGTGGGATATGACAGGCTGAGCGTCGACTATTGGTTCAGCTTGACGTAGTTTCCTTTTGGTGTTCGTTAGTATAATATATATACACAAGGGACATGTAGATACACACCTGGGAATTGTCCTTGCTTCCCCCTAACCTTGCCGATCCACCACTCGTTGTCATTTTGTGTTCTTGAGATAATCTCGATGACATCGCCGGTAAGGAAACTCAAGTCGCCTTCTGCTTGTGCTTCGTAATCGTAGAGCGCCGTGACGGTTTCGTGTGCGGGTACACCGCTTAGACGCGAGGGCTTTGGTTTTGGTGGCGGCGGCGCAGCACCCTTGGCTTTGGCGACGGAGCCCCATGAACCTCCTGACAGCGCGGGTGATTTGACATCTCCGACCGGTCCTCCAGTGGGGCCTGGACTGTATGGTGGTGGTGGAGTTTCTGTTTCTTCTGATAATGAAGTCTTGCCGCCCTTTGCTTCGAGCGCTTTTACGGCGTACTTTGACTGGCCTGGGCGTGCGCCTGCTACACGGGCCCCGCCGGTTGTCTTGAACTTGACAATGGATATCTTCTCTGCCTCCTCCTGCGTGTCTCCGCGCTTCTTCTGGTAGGCGGCCTCGATGTCGAGCGTTAGGTCAAAGTAGCCAATATCGAGCCGTTGCATACGCTCGTGTAGCGTGTAGAAGACGTTCAGCTGCATGTAGTAGAAGGATTGGAAAAGCGGCTTGATGAACTCTCTTTCCAAAGTGAACAGCTTGGGTAACTCGTCCTTCAGTAGATCGTTGAAGTAGTTGTAATCTTGAGTCGCCTGTTCTACATCGTTTTCGGCCTTGTACATTGCCTTTTCATCCTTGAGTGTCTTGTCCTTTTTCTCTTCCAACTTCTTGTATGCAGCCCGATGCCTATCGTAGTCGAGTTGCTTGTGGTCGCGCTTCGCAGCAATCTTCCGTACGGCCTTGATAATGACTAGTAGTTCGTCTGCCGGGCGAATAACCCGCGACTCTATCATCTCCAGTTCGGGCTTGAGTGTTTCCTGTAGCTCCTTGACGACCGACTCGTATTGCTCGCATGCTTCTATGCCTGCGGTATTGCCCTCGTCGTGGAAGGAATCGGGGTCCGACATTCGTCCGGAGATGGGCTTGTAGATTTCGGCGATTGCTTTGGAAAACTCCATCTGGTGGTTGAGCATGCCTGGCAGATTTGTTAGGCGGGGCTTTGAGCGAGAGCATCAGGTCTACGCACCATTTATGGCTTCAAAGTATCTGTCACATGTGAGCTGAGTGCTACCTACAGGCATGTCGGAATGGGCGCATACTTCTTGGATTCATCATGCAACTTCTTCGTCTCCTTTTCCAACTCTTGGAAGCGTCGCTCGGCGTCAATGTAGATGGGGTCCTTTGTGATTTCGCCCTGCGCATGGCCTATATTAGCAAAGGTTGCACACGGTCGGAACCAGGCGCATGGTGCGCGACAGGTCGTAGGGAGTCTGTGGCAGACGCACGAGGTTGAACTTTGCCTTGAACGTCTGCGGCGCCTGTCCATCCTGTCAGTCAAGTCTTGAGGCCCAAGGCGGCGCACAAGGATGGCTGCCATACCCGAGTGACGCTCTTTGTTAGGCCTTTCCAACTCATGGTGGGGTGATGATGTTCGCGGTTTAGAGGCTGCTGGGGAATTGATGCGCAGTTAGAATTAAGGGGGGATGAGGAGTGGAATTGTGCAGGTTCGCCAGAAGCAGGCGCCTAAAGACGTGGGTTCCAATGCGTGTGATGGTGGCTAGGGTTCGAGGATGACGTCTTTGTAGGAACTGCGCCACGGCCGGATCTCCGGCTCGCCAAGTCAGAAGTGAATGCCCGAGACGGACGACGACGATTCTGGTCACGACCCGTGAAAAAATGGCGCGGTCCGCCGTGAAGATGGAATCAGGCCGTCAATCAGAGATTTCCCGCTGCATCCGAATCGACTACGATTGCAAAAGTGCCCAAGTTGCAAACAAAGAGCGATGCTGACAACATACATGATGAGGCGCACCACACACTTCGTTAGTCAGCGACGCTGCGCGCACTAAAAGCTCTGACCTCAAGCTTTCAGACCTCGGGAGGGGGCGAAGTGATTTTCTCTCTTCTTACACTTCCTTCTCATCACAACCATGTCGAGTATTGCACCCACAGTCGTGAGGCAGGCCCTGCGCATTGCCTCTCGCCGATATCCATCGTCTGCGTTTGCTCGTCTCTCTAATGTCCGCCGCCACTATGTCTCTGAGTCGAAGCCGTCGATGGCGACGGTCGACACAGCTATGGATCAGGCCATCAGAAAAGACCAAAAATCCTTTCTCAAGCAGACTGGCGAAAAGGCAGTAGAGGATGCAACCATGCCAACAACCGGCATGGGCGCAGAGGCGATGCTGAGTCCCACTGCAGGTAAGATTTGTTTTTCGCCCCCCTCGTTCAGCTATGCTGACAGCTTCAGGCATACTCAAGCAAGCCACTGTCATGGACCAGGGCTCTCGCCCCATCTACCTAGACATGCAAGCTACGACGCCCATGGACCCGCGTGTAGTAGACAAGATGATGCCTTTCATGACCGGCATGTACGGCAACCCCCATTCGCGAACCCACGCCTATGGGTGGGAAACCGACAAGGCCGTAGAAGATGCTCGCGAACACATTGCCAACCTCATCGGTGCAGACCCAAAGGAGATCATCTTCACCAGCGGGGCCACCGAGAGCAACAACATGAGTATCAAGGGTGTAGCACGCTTCTTCGGACGTGGAGGCAAGAAGAAGCACATCATCACCGCACAGACCGAGCACAAGTGTGTACTTGACAGCTGTAGACATTTGCAAGATGAGGGCTTCTCCGTCACTTACCTGCCAGTAGGAAACAACGGCCTCATCGACATGGCACAGCTCGAGGCCGCCATGCGCCCAGACACTGCCATTGTCAGCATCCATGACCGTCAACAATGAGATTGGTGTCGTGCAGCCTGTCGAGGAGATTGGAGCTCTCTGCCGATCGAAGAAGATCTTCTTCCACACTGATGCGGCGCAGGCTGTCGGCAAGATCCCTATCGATGTCAACAAGATGAACGTCGACTTGATGTCGATATCCGGCCACAAGATCTACGGACCAAAGGGCATCGGCGCATGTTACGTACGACGTAGGCCTAGGGTCAGACTCGACCCCATCATCAGCGGTGGTGGTCAAGAGCGAGGACTTCGTAGTGGCACGCTAGCACCTCCTCTCGCCATCGGCATGGGAGAGGCTGCACGGATATGCAAAGAGGAGATGGAGGTACGTACAAGCTCATTCTTCTTCCAGCTCACGATGATTATTTGCTCTATACATGCATGGCTTTCAGAGTGTTAGGCGGCCTTTGGCTGTCGACGCGCCATGTTGACAAATGTGCAGGGGTTATGAGATTTTGTTATAGCATCTTGGTTACATGATTGTTTGGCTTGAACAGCACTGACAATACCTAGTATGACACCAAGCGCATTTCCGCGCTCTCAAACCGTCTGCTTGAAGGCCTCTTGTCGCTCGAACACACCACGTTGAACGGCGATCGAGAACGGCACTACCCTGGATGTGTGAACGTATCCTTTGCCTACGTCGAGGGTGAGTCGCTTCTCATGGCGCTCAAGGATATCGCCCTCTCCTCTGGCAGCGCTTGCACATCGGCGTCGCTCGAACCCAGCTATGTCCTCCGAGCGCTTGGCAGCAGTGACGAGAGTGCACACAGCAGTATCCGCTTCGGTATCGGTCGCTTCACCACAGACTCCGAGATCGACTACGTACTCAAGGCCGTCAAGGAGCGAGTGACGTTCCTGCGAGAGCTCAGCCCGCTCTGGGAGCTCGTGCAAGAGGGTGTTGACTTGAACACGATTGAGTGGAGTCAGCATTGAGTGCAGTTGATTTGATACCCCTGATGGAACTTGTATATTATGACGGCGTACCTTTTTGGCAAACTTTTGCCCACGTTCATTGCAGCGGCTATGAGAAACACGACTACCATTCATTGTATTATATATGACAGCTCTACGAATGAATAGTTATGAGCAAAAAATAAGATTTTGATAATGCATGCTTTAGCCAAGAGTTGGGTGTGACTGAATTGACGTGAAATGATGACACCAGGTACACGATCCGCGCATAATATGGTGACGATAATTCCTTGAGTAATAACAGTTGAACTAACATGACGGTTTGCGCCTTCTGCCAAGGTGTTGAGGGGGTGGTGGTGCTAGCTTCGAAGCGTGTCGGAGCTTCATCCCCCACCTTCACATTGCGATGTCACAGGCCGTTCCTGATAAGGTTCTCAATTGGCTATACAGCGTTCTCCTCGCCGTAATAACCTCCATCTTGGTCACCACTTTCATGCGCTAATGTCATAGCAGGAATACCTTGATGTAAATCGCACCTACCATGACGCTGCCGAAACGCTCTCCGCGCATGCTTCACTCAGCCCGAAGACGGAGCTTTACAGTACGACCACATGTTCGCATTATGAGGGCACATACTCACCATATCAGCATACGAAAACGGCGCCTCGGCTCTCCTGCTCCTCCTCACAGGCACACTACCTGTCACGTTCCGTGGCGCGACGTACGGCTTCCCGGTAGCGATATGGGTGCCTCATGACTACCCTCGAGAACCGCCAATGGTATATGTGACGCCGTCGCATGACATGGTATTGAGGCCGGGTCAGCATGTGAGCACCGATGGCCGAGTCTACCATCCATACTTGGCGCAATGGGCAAAGTACTGGGACAAGTCTACACTCTTCGACTTCCTGGCAGTATTACGGGGTGTCTTTTCAAAGGAACCGCCGGTGCGATCGAGACAACAGCAGCCGCAATATAACACGCCTGCGCAACAAGCACCCCCACCAGTACCTCCACCGCCCGAGGAATGGCGACGTTCAGTACATAGTGCCTCTGGCGCATCCCCCTCACCAGCGCATCCAGGCCAACCGCCAGCTCCCCCGCCGAAGCCGCCGAAACCCCATGAACAGAGCCAACATACACCGCAACCGCCTCATGACAGGTATTCGCAACCGCCTCCGCTACCGCCGCATATTCCACAGCCACAACCATTTCATCATCTCCAGAGAAATACATGGCAGGAGCTGCCGCTAGGTCAACAGTATGCGCCGTCTCGCCAAGGGAGCTACGACATAAGCCCAGCGACACCAGTGTCAAGGCATCAACACCCACAAGCACAAGGATACCCCCAACAGACTGTCGACCTTGGCAGCCCTGTAAGTCCTATAGTGGCCGATGGTCACCGAGCGGGATTCCAGAAGTCAGCTCCCCCACAACCACCTGGATTTCAACATGTCCAACAGCACCAAGGGCCACCAGTTCCCCAACAACAACAACAACAATACGGCGGTCCTCCACCACCACACCAGCAATACCAGCAGCCGCCTCAAGGCTACCCACCACAGCAACATCCTCAATATCAACAATATCCACAACAGCAAGCACCACCAGCCCCAAAGCCTCCAGTCGACCTTCTCGATGACTCGCTTGAAGTTACCTTGCCGTCTCAATCAGAAAACCAGATCCCATTGCCTGTGCCTCCTGTACCACCGAACCCTGAAAAGGATGCACTTCTCCAAGCCCTAAGCCAAACGCTTGTATCACAGATTCAACAAACAGTGGCATCTAACACGGCTGCAGTGGCACCACTCCGTGCGCAACAAGCAGCTCTACAGAACGCATACTCCAGATTACAGGCCGAATTGGGCGAACTGCAGCAGCTTGACGCGGCGCTTGCTTCTAATGAGCAAGTGTTGAAAGGTGCTATGATCGAGGCTGATCGAGTCATGGAGGATGCCAGGAGGAGAAAGGCACCCGATGTGGATGACGTGCTAGTAGCACCTACCGTGGTTGGAGGGCAGCTATACACGCTTGCTGCGGAGGAGAGAGGTATCTCAGATGCGCTGTTTGTCCTGGGACGAGCCTTGGATAAGGGGCGGATTAGTACAGACGTTTTTGTGAAAGTAAGTTGTCGTCCGAACATTTGAATGTTACTGTAGGTTAACACAAGCATAGCAAACCAGGAGTCTTGCCCGCGAGCAGTTTCTCAAGAAGGCGCTGATTAAGAAGATCGCAAAGGGTATGGCTTTGGATGAATACCAGATGCGATAGCTGTGCTTGATAATCCGTAACTAATGGAGAATACCATGTCACATCTCCATTTACCATGAACACCTGATTCATCGCTTTTTCGATGAACGTATACGAGACGATGAGTCATTTGATAAGCGATGCTGGGACCACTTTTGCAGGCCACCTGCTGAAGAAAGCGCTGTCGTCTGAAAGCACCACGACATGACGAAAAAGCAAGCGATGCCTGATTAAGCTCATCATAACGGCGCACTAGAGACGTTCCTGCATCGCTTCTCCCGGCTAAACAGATTTTCCGCTGCATCGTGAGGCTAAATTAAGAATTCAATGCGACTGGAAATCAGGCAACCAGCCAGCGCGGCACGGTCTGGTCTGGACGCCACGACGCGAGTTTTGTCCACTGTTGCCTGCTCTTTCCTTTCCTTTCTTCTAAATGCTTCATTTCTGTCTGTTGTGATTACGCATGCACTCGCTACAAGCCTACACTCGTTTACTTGTTACTTAATCCTTAATAATGTCTGCATCAAAGGCCCCAGCTGTGCCACAGGTAATCGACGAGACTGCAGCGTCTCCTCTTGCGCCTATGTCGGGTGCTGCACCTCGATCTTTTTCACGACCAGCAACTGCGAATAATCAGACCTATCCTACACCTCACGACGCTACCAACCCTGCGCCAGGTGCTCCCACTACAGCGACAATGCCGGCACCAAATGCGACAGCCCCACAAGCCACCACAACCGAAGAACGCCTCACCTACAACGACCACCTCAACGCCAGCGACCGAAACTGGAAGTTTAAACTCGGCCTCCAAGCCATCCTCCTCATAACCAGCATCATCGGCATCGGCTGCTTCACCTGGATAATAACGACCCGCCCGCTTGACTCCTACTACAGCAGCGAATCCTACTGGTCCATCTTCCCCAGCTTGATAACCTGGAGTGTGTCCATACTCTGGGTCTTGACGTGTATCCTCGTCTTCCTCTTGTGCAAACGCCCCGTGCATCCCGGCCTACGCGTCGCCATCGACCTCATCCTCTGGCTGTCCTTTATCATCACTGCCATGTTTGCGCTGTTGGCCCTGCGGTCGACGCTCGATTGGGGTGTTTACGGCGGGCCGGACGGGTGGATGTATGATTACAGTTCTGGATCGAACGGTGGAGGCGACTACGTCCTCGCAGCTAACAATACATGGGTCTGGCAGCAAGACACCAGTTACATCACCGCACCGCGCGACTGCACCGGTTCACAAAGCCTCTACACCGACCTGCATTTCGCCAACTGCGAACAGCAAGACGCGTATGTGAATAGGCTTTGGGCGGAGAAACCCACGCGCGCTAATGTGCTGCTTACGGGCGTCGTGTGTCAGTTTTTCGGCCTCGTGCTGCATTTTGCACTGTTTGTTTGGGCGTGTGTGGATACGCATCAGAGGAGGAGGGGGAGGGTGGGCAGGGATGCGGAGAAGCTGGCGGCCGGGATCGTGCAGAAGATGATTGAGAATGGGGCGGTTGTGCCGCCGCCGGGGGCTGGGAGGGGGCAGGCGGTATATGTGCAGCAGGGTGGGGGTATGATGCAGCAGCAGCAGCAGTTTGGGGGCCAGCAGTTTGGAGGTCAACAGCCGCAAATGGGTATGATGTCTGGGCAGTATCAGATGCCTGTGGCGATGAGGCATCCGGGGATGGAGGGGGCTGGTGTTGGTGCTGTGGGAATGGGTAATGAGAAGAGTGGTGGAATGCGGTATGCATGAAGGAGAGTAGGGTGGCTTTTGTGATGGCGAGTTCATGTTTGCTATATACCCCCTTTACACCTAATGTTTGCTTGATCAAATCGTGGGATTCAAATTAATCTCACATAAATGGAGCCTGATTTTGGCGAAGTGGTTCAAATGAGTCTACGGATAGTTTTCTTCAAGTCCAATCTACACCCTTACAACTCCACAGTCTACCTATCCCCCATGGCCAACACCTCACCCATCCACAACACCATAAACCCTCACAGAAGAATCATCACTAGCAACCGCAAACTGCCGCTTCACCCTTTCCCCCTCCCCCATTCCTCCCGGCCTCCAAACAATCTGATTCACCGTCTTCGCGGGCGCCACCTCCTGCTCGACCGTAAAAACCTCCACCTGATCCAGCGCCTCCACCTTCGCTTTCACAAGCCCAACCTCCCCGTTTTCTAGGCCGTACGCAAAAAGAATCTTCCCGTCGTCCGTGACAATATTACTACAAGCAACAGCCGTCACAGCCGCAGTGGTAGAAACACTACCCTTCATCTCCACCACCATGCCGTCGGTACCGTCACCAATCTGCCATATCTGCACCTTTTTATCGCGGCCGGATGTTAGAAACGTTGGTGTCGCCAAGGGCGTCCACGCTGCACCGAGAATCATCCTCGAATGCCCCTTTGGGTTGGAATGCTTGAGGTTGTACAACCCCGTCTGCTCAGCGGGACTCTTCTCCTTCTCCCAAACAACCCACTGTCTATCCCTTCCCACACTCAACAAAAACGCATCATCAGGTGAGAACGCCAGCGCGGTGACGGTAAGCGAATGCGCCTTTAGTGCGGGTTTCACTTCAAGCCAGTCCGTCGTGTCGTACAGCCGTATAACAGCGTGGTCGAGTGAACTAGCGCGGCAGGCCGTGGCGACGAGAGCGCCGTTGTTACTTACAGCTACGGCGGAGATTTCGTAGCCGTGGCCGTAGAGTTTTTCCGTCTCGGGCCAGAGGAGGTGGCGGGCTAGGTGGTCTTCGAAGGGGGGGTGGGCGAAGTCGAGGGTGGATTTGAGGATTGTGCTGCTGGGGTCGTGGGCGTTACCGTCGTCGTCGTCGTTGTTGTCTGGGTTATCGCCGTTTTCGAGTGCTGCAGCGGCGTCGGCGTCGGGGATGGCTTGGATGGCTTTGTTGGAGAGACCTAGGACGGGGATGTTTGCTGCGTCGGGGAGGTTGGCAGTGGTGGAAGAGTTGGTCTTGATAGCGCAGAGTTTCTGCAGCATTTCCGCCACACCTTTTGGTTCGTCGAAGACGCGGAGGAGCTTTTCGTCTGCGCCGGATATGAATTGCGTATTTGAAATTGCGTCGATGCAGTTGAGGTCGTAGCCGTGGATTTGGGGGCGGGAGAACTCATGCCAGGATGTGTTTTGGCCAGAGGAGTCGTCGTCTCGTTTCCACTGCGAGAAGAGTCGCGAGGTTTGGTCGGAGCTGGTGGTAAGGAGGTATGCGCCGTCTCTGGACCAGGATACTCCTTTGACTTCTCTTACGTGACCCGTGATGGCTACTTGTTGTGTCCACATGTCTTCGGTCGCGGAGTATGCCCATTTACGCCAGCTACCCGTGCGACCTAGTGATACTACCGTGTTGCCATTTGGTGACCATAACCCTATCCAGAATCCTCCTGCGCTACCCGTGGCACTTGTAGACCCCTTTTGCGCACTAATCTCGCCCAGTCGTGTGATACATACCCACACGCCGGAGTTGGGATCAGATTCCCATATCGCAAGGGAGTTGTCTTCGGAAGTCGTGAGGAGCTGTAGTTTCCCGTCGCGATGTCGCCATGCGGCCTGGTAGATCCAATCTTCGTGTCCCAGGAGCAGTGCTTCGAAAGTGATGGAGTACTTGGATGTAGCCGAGCTGATCCAATGTGCCTTGTTCGATAACGATTTGCCTAGGCCTCCTAGAGCTGGGTCGTTGAGGGCTCCGCTGGCAGCGGGGAGTTCATCGCCTCGATGGAGTCGCCAAAGACGAATGTACTTGTCTTGACTAGCAGATGCTAGCAGCAGGTCACTGTCGGCATCCAATGTTTCTCTGGTGAAAGCAAGAGCGCGGATCCATCCTTCGTGACCAGTGAGGGTTGCCGATAGCTGAAACTGAGAATCTTGAGACACAAAGATCTGAATTGTGCTTCGAGTACCCGCGACAGCTAGAACAGTAGATACCTCGTCTAGTTTCGCAAGTGCCAGATTCAGAGGAAAGTACTTAGGCGAAAGAACAATCGTCTGTACGAGTTCGGCATCAATCGAGGCAAAGTCAGCATCGTGGATGAGTTTCCAGATTTTTACTGTTCCATCGCTAGATCCGGTGGCGAAAATGTCTGATCCTGAAAGTACAGCCACTCGCGTCACAGGTTGTGAGTGTTCAGATATAGTCTTCACACACTCGAACCTTTCCTCCCGTCGACCTCGCCATATGCGAATGGTGTTGTCGGCTGCCCCACTGAGTAAAACGGAAACATGCGGCGACTGTGTAGGAAAAAACTTGACCGCATTAACAGCCTTTGTATGTCCGTTCAAGATGGCCTGAACCCCACGAAGTTGTGTATTCTATTCTTGGATGAGTGAAAAGATATGTCATTGGCCGACCAAAACTCACCTGGGGATCCCAGAGCGCAACGCAATTGTCTGCACCAAAAGCCAACAGTTGCAGGCCGGCCTCGTCCCAGTCAGCAGCCGCAGGGTTCCTGTTGCCACCTATGGAGATGAATTCAGAGGTTACATTCATTTTTAGTTGGAGGTGTTGTTCATGCGCGCATACTGCATCTAGTCATCCATCCCGCCTCAGGATTTCTTTGCGCTGACTTATTTGTGGTTTTCGAAATACCTTGAGCCGCCTGGATCTGGTTAGCTTGGTGCCCAAGAACATCAACTCCCATAGTAATTTGTTAGTAAATTAATGCAGCAGCCGTTTCCCACCTCCAGAAGCCCATGAAGCTAGTCCTGTACTCTAAATCGTTCGTGTATAGCGTTTTGTTTGTGTGGAGCTTGTTGCGAGCTCAATCTAGCTGCTGTTGGGATGCCGCCCAAGCGCCAGCGTAAGCCGAAGCAGCCATTCGATCAAGGCGTTAACCCGTCCTCCCAGAAGCGTAGAGCGCCAGCAACTAGACAAAATCCTACCCATTTAACGCCTAAACGTGTCCGCCGTGAGGCGCTGCCGTCGCCTCCAGCGACTGCCCCGCCGCGCCGTCAAAGCCCGTTGTCCGAGCCTGAGCTGCAAGCCACCCAAACAGCTGCCTCCGCGCAAGCTGAAGATATCGTTGGCGAGGATGAGGATACTTTCGAGGATGGAGATGGCGATCCGCTGCCTGAGGATGAGGATGAGATCGCTGCTAAGGGCGCTGCCGGTAGTGTTGAGGATGAGGGAGAGCCAGCGTACCGACGTCAAGAAGGCACTCCATGGCTGCCTCGCTCATCGCAAGCGCTAGAGGATGAGGTTAATCCTGTACTGCGCGTTAGGTGGAGGGCTTGCCTTGGTGGTGATATGGAGAAACACTTTATTCCTGAAGCTGCCGATAGCGAGCACGGCGTACGGCTGTACTCGCTGCATTTCGACGACCTATGGCAGTGGGTAGATGACGTTGTTGCAGAATTACGGCCAAAAAGAGCGAAGATCTCATCTGTTTGCACTGTTGTTTACCCAGCTAAGCAGGCCAAACGCGAGCGCGCGATAAAGCGATTGCGGCGAGGTGTTGATGCAACGTGGAATAGCTTTCAGCGCCTTGTTGTAGAGGTTGATAACTATGTCAGCGAGCCAGTAAACGTCGATTTCGAGCTCATCTTGGCTGAAATTCCAGGGGAGCAGCAGCCGTTGCCAACGGTTGTCGACGGTCCTCGTCGACGCACCGCAACGGTGATTCAAGAGGAGGGGCTTGCTGGTGTAATAGCAGCTGAACAAGCAGGTAGCGGGCATGCTATTGCTATCCGGGATAGATGGCGCTGTACAGATACCCATTGCGAGAACTATCCTTATTGCTGCTGGATGGCGCCAACAGCGAGGCAGCCAGCGCGCTTCGAAGATCACCTCTTTGTCAACGGCAACATTATCTCCATGTGGGCAAGAGCAATTACAGCGAGAAGGGCAACGTACGATGAGCCATCTGATGATGTACGGCTTGCAATTTTGAGAGCAAAGGACCTGCGGGTGCATGAGAAAACGCGCAAGTTGCGGGCGGCTGGAGATGGCGACGATGATATCAAAAGCTTAACAAAACTGCTCATCGTTGGACAGCTTGAGCGGATGAACAGGCAACCTCAACAGGAGTCTAACTTGCAGGCAGCTGCACCAACGATAACAAGAGCTGAGGTATCTAGTGCATCTCAGTGGGCGCCTATCCGATATGATCATGAGCAGGAGATTAACGAGCATACTAGTAATTTCTTTAACTACCTTAAGTTAAAATTTCCTACAGTTGGAGAGGACATTAACGAGCTTTATAAGACTCTTGTTATTGACGGAGCTATGGATATCAACCTCTTGATGCAGCCATCTGGTGATATCTTGAAGTTGTGGACGCAGCATTTCAAGCAGCCTCCTGGCTGGTTTTTCACGCTACAAAACACTGCAAAAGAATGGCAAGCTGGGTACCAGGGTCTCACAGATCGTAACTGGAGACGAGTCGAACGTTGTAAGAAAAGAGAAGAGATTGCGCGCAAGAAATTGGTGGTTGAACCGTCTAGCAGTGTTGTGGAGGATGATGGCGAGAATGCTTGAAGCTTAGTGGCCTGAGCGTTTTTGGTGACAGCGGCCCGTGCCCGCTATAGTGTTGAGGTTTTTCAGGCGTTTCAAATGCGCTGCAACAATAGTCTATTTGGATAGCCCTATGTACAACACTACAACGTTATGCGATTATAACAGGTTAACTTCCTAAGATAGTTCTATATGTATAGAAATAGCTCTTATTTTTTTAGAATTATTAAATCGCTTTTGTGGGTTGCGCATTAAGGTGTAATCGTTCGCATTTGTATGGTATCATCTACCTATAGAAACGTACTGTGGCATCCATTTAAAAGCACAATTAATAGGGATAGCCACACCTATGGAACCAGCTTCTGCAGTTAATATTACAGCACACCAGCTGCGCTGCATACTCAAGAAAGACCCCAAAGTCAATGAAGTTCTCCGCTTGCGCTGAATTCCTTTTCATCCACCCCTTGAGCTGCTTAAAGCTCTTCTCGATGGGGTTGAAATCTGGTGAGTATGGCGGCAGATACTCAAGGAGTACTCCAGCACTTTGGCAAAGCACCCGTACACGCTCTGATCGATGGATGGAGGCGTTATCAAGCACGATTACTGAGGCTGGCCCTGGGTGAGGATTGCAGAACGGCAGCACTTGAAACTCTAAGAAGTCTTCTAGGATCTCAGATGTAATCGCGCCTTGAAAGATCTTATAGCTTATGTAGCCATCTATCGTCATGGCTGGCAGCAGCGACCACCGTTCTGATCGCCTGAAGCTGTGTGATAGCTCCACCGGCTCCCCGATTGGAGACCAGCCATACTTGCGGTCGCCCGTACGCTCATTGCAGGCGCTCTCGTCCAACGCAACGATCTGCTCCGCCTTATAGTGTTGCGCCATCCTGGCAAGATAGAGGCGGCGGAGTGGCTCACTCTGCTCCTTTGCCCGCTTTGTTGCAAGCTTGCGAGACCATCTCATCTTCTCTAGCTCTCGGTAAACGCTCGCAAGGCTTATCCTAACGTCGTACTCGTCGTACAAGAAGTCCCTCATCTCATCCATGTATGCGCCCGGTGAGCCATTGAGGTATGCCTGAAGGCCTTCGCGCTGAGCTTGCCGGAGTATAGATGGCCGCCCAAGTCGAACGCAGCGCGGCGGATAAGGCACGCCCCAAAACTCTAAGCTCAACCTCAGCTTTGCTACTGTGTTACGGCTCGCACCTGTAGCTCTAGAGATGGCTCGATCACTTTCGCAGGCAGCAATTCGGTCGAGGATAGCCTGGAGAACAGCGGGCTGCAAGCGGTGGCCGGTGCCTGGCATCGCGATGAGATGGGCTCGAGAAAATTGCAACACCAAAAACGCGAGTCAGTAGAGGCGATCGCAGCAAACAATGAACTTCAAATACGTTGTGGGTGTTAGAAAGCGTGGCTGCATCGATTTACTAACAAATTACTATAGGAGTTGATGTTCTTGGCCACCAAGCCAACCAGATCCAGGTGGCTCAAGGTATTTCGAGAAACACCCATAGTCTCGCTTAGCTGCGGAAGTAGACCCTTCGTCATGGCGCAACCAGGCCTCACCCAAACGAGCATCATCCACCATCGACCGGTTGATTGCAGTCGACACACTATTCGACATGTCAGACGATGCTACCATTCCAATAACGATCGAGTTTAGGTACATGTTCTTGGTATGTATAATTGGGATATTTCGCTGAATCTTCACAGCGGGGGCCTAGAGATTCTCTTCGCCAACCAGAAAAAGTACAACCTTTCTCTACCCACCAAGGACGAATCTGGTGAGCCAGCTACGGTCGCCTTTCTCGTCAGATATCTCTGCGATCATATCATGAAGGACCCAAGAAAAGAACTATTTGTTCTAGACGACACGGTGTAAGGCGCCCACCTCTAGACATGCATATGTGCTGACAGGCACATCAGGCGGCCAGGAATACTGGTCCTCATCAACGAAGCAGACTGGGAGCTAGAAGGCGAAGACAAGTACCAAGTGCAAAAGGACGATCATATCATGTTCGTTTCCACGCTTCACGGAGGATAAAGAACACAAGGGTTGTGACGTAGTAGTAGTAGTATCCATTAACGTCCTTTTTCAGTCAGAGACTATGTAGGACGGTGGCCTAGGGCCGTTTGACTAGTTTTTTCCCTCTATACCCGTAGGATTTCGTTTCTTTGGTCGAGTTTGACTATGGGGGTTTGGGTTTTTTGCTTCTATACAGGAAAGAGAGAGAGACCTTGTAATAGACACCCGTTTATCTCCACCTTTGTGACCAATCCCTTTGCTATAATAACCCCGTGCTCCTAAGACTGAAAAAAACCTCGTAGGGGAAAAAGTCATGGGACCTTGAACGTTTGTTGTATATAGCGGCAGTTGCGGCATATTTTCGTCTCGGCGGTACTTTGTGGCTCGGTTGTACGGCGGCGGCTAGCGTTAAGCGTGCGGGGTATTGGTGAAAAACTTTCCAGGTTTCGAAAGGAGCCGTTCGATGTTTTTTGGTAAAGCTAGAATAATAGAATTATTATAGCGGTGAGGGGAGAAGGATTCGAACCTTCAACCTCTGCGAGCAAGCTAGCAGAAGCAACCAGGCGCACTACCACTGCGCCATCCCCCCAAGGGTTGTGACGTAGATTGAGTAGTTAGTCACCTCTTAGACAAACCTTCTGCAATGTGAACAAGTCTTAGCCCCGCTTCCATGACTCAGAATCGTCCGGGCTGCCTAAAAGCCGAACGATACGATATACGGTACGGCCGGCACATGTGCCTGGCGTGAAGATGGATACAGTTTAGGGCTGACGGATCATGTCTGCCAAGATTCATGGACATGGTGTTAAAGGCCATGCTCCGAGCGGACATGTCCATGACCAGTCCCTAAACCGCAACACTCCTGCGGTTCCAACCATTTTATCTCCCCCTAAATCGCAACACTCCTGCGGTTCCAACCATTTTATCTCCTTTCTCCGATTTACTAGTTCGCAAGATCCGACTTGAACCGCAACGTCAACATGTCTCGAAACAGTCTTTTACCCCCGCACGTCGACCCCGTTGTCTTTCAAGTGGGCGATGCGCTGCTCGGAATCGGCGGACTTGGCTACACCATATGCTACGGCCTCATAGCCCGGCAATCGATTCGTGACAAGACGTACACGATGCCGCTGTTCTCGCTCGCCTTCAACTTTGCGTGGGAGATTGTCTTTGCGGTATTCGTGGCCGAGGAGGCTGAGAGTAGGGCCATCTTCGCTTTGTGGATGCTGATTGATATCACACTCGTCTACACAACCATCAAGTACGGTGCCTTGGAATGGAAGCATGCGCCGGTTGTTGGCAGGAACATTGGAAAAATCTTCTTCGTCATGCTCGCCTGGTGTTGCGTTGGGTTGTACGCTATCAGCGCATGGTGGCTTGACCCGGAAAATCCAGTAAACCCTAAAGTTGGAAAGATATATCGTGGCACAAAGGGCGTTGATGTGAATGAGCTTGGGTTCTGGACTTCTCTGGTGGTGCAGGTTGTATTGAGCGTCATGTATGTGTGTGTGTGTGTGTGTAATCCATTAGCGTCCTTTATCAGTCAGAGACTATGTAGGACGGTGGCAGATGCCATTCTAGCTATTTTTATCTCTCCTTTGATGTTCGTTGGTTATGTTTGACTAATGTAGTTTAGGCATGTCCTAGCTATTACAGGGGAGGAGAGAAAGTAAAACCCTATTATAGCTGCCTGTTTTTCCTTCTCTTCAACCTATCTCTTTTTGCAACGCTTTCCTCGTGTTCCTAAGTCTGAAAAAACCTCAAAGGGGAAAAAGCCATGGGATCTTGAACGAGGCGTAGGGTTGTAACAAGCTTAGCGTAGTGTTTGTAGTCGTAGCAGTGCGTGGCTCGGGTGTACTGCGGCTATAACCTGTCGCTTAGGTTTGCAGGGGTAGGTGAAAATTTGCGAGTTGGAGTAAGCCGTTCGATATTTTTTGGTAAAGCCACAAGTGGCGGTGAGAGGAGAAGGATTCGAACCTTCGACCTCTACTACACTGCAAATTTGGAGTGCGGTAAAGGAATACCAGGCGCTTTACCACTGCGCCATCCCCCCTATTGAGCGTCATGTTGCTAGCACAAATCCTCGTCAGAGGAAGTAGCCGTGGGTCGTCGTATAGCATCTGGGCCACGAGGTTCATTGGCAGTCTTGCGGGGTTGAACATGAGCTACGGGTACTACTGGTGGGTATGGCCGGAAGCGCACGGCTACGTTGCTAACCCGCTGGCCGTATTGATGCTGGTGACTTGGCTAGTGGCTGATCTGGGCTATCTGGTAGTGCTTCGGAACGCGTTCCGAGCGGAGAAAGTAGCGACGGACAAAAGAAAGTGATTAGAGAGGATGCAGCTGAGACGAGATCAGTGAGAAGTTGTTCTCATAATAATGGCAGGATAAATTAGTTGTAAGATTGTGTTGTCGTATAAATAGCCAGGCACATACAGAGGTGGCTTTCAAAAGTAATTGCTGACAGGGGTGTCTTGAATTTAGCCGAAATACTACCGAAACAGAGACAGATCAGTCTCAACGTTCTCTTGGCAGACCTCTGCCTTCCTTATACTCATTCCCACCATCGAGTTCAATGATCTTTTGAACATGGATAGGAATCCTCTCTATCCATGCCTGGATCTGTGACTGTGGAAGATCACTCCAGGCCTGCTGCCATGCTTTTGTGGCCTCTCCTCTATTCTTTGGAGCGCCTTTCTTAGTAGTTCTTCTCTTCAACCATGACCACGCTGGTTCAATAGCGTTAAGATCAGGTGAGTTACCACACCAGAAGAGCTTCTCCACACCCTCTCGTTGGTAGATGAGATTCTAGGCGTGGTGAGCATGAGAGGGAGCCTTATCTTCTTGAACAAGAGTACCTAGTCTCTCTCTCATACACTTCTTAGCGAAGGGGATAAGCTTTGGGAGAAGGACCCCAGTTTGATACCGCCACCAATCAATACCACCTTTATCACTACCACGAGTGAGCTTCCCGTTCTCCTTAGTCCATCTCCATTGAGGAGCTCTACCAGGCTTATTTCTTAAGCCTATCCTCTTTATGCCCGTAGTAAGCTCCCACTCCTCTCTTATAATAGGCTCTAGAACCTCATTTATCTCATCGATCTTAAGAGCTGCATCTCTCTTCTCTTGAGCTGTCTCTGGCCTCCATACATGGGAGGGACCTTTGTAATTATACGTGAAGCAGCCCCAGAACATGAACTCAGAGTATCCCTTCCACCTCTCTCGTATCACAGATTGTGAACGGTCTGTAGGGACTGTATTCCAGCTACCTAGTCCAGATGCTATTTACAGTCAAGATGAAGAAAGAAGGTAAGACGCAAGCGGCGAGCCTGCTTTGTTTGGGTTGGCGCACGGCCCTCACGTTGCCGGGGAAGCGACTAGGCTAGCAGCCTAGTCATGTGACTCGAGGCTCAGCCCGTTACATTACCCCCCTCCTTTCCCTTTAGCGCGTAGTTTTCTCCATTTCCTCCAAGCGTCAGTCTTTAGTACGTTACTCACAGGTTCCCATGTCGGTTCAGTATAGTCCACCCACTTCACATATGCCTCCTTGATTTCTTTCCCTCCCTGCCTTGTTGTGCGTTCGCCCAGAATACGTTCAACCAGCCATAGCTCGTCTCCATCTACAAGTATAGGCCCTGGCTGAGTGTCTCCAACCTTCTGCGATGGGAGAGAGTCGTTAGGCGCGTAGCGAAGCAGGTCTACGTGGAAGACAGGATGGATCTTCCCCGGAACGTCAAGTTGATAAGAGTGGGAGTTGACCTGCCTCAAGACTTTGTACTTTCCATGCAACCAGTCTAGCTTCTTGGAAGGTCGTGTTGTCTTCACGTTTCTAAGGTTCAAAAACACCCAGTCTCCCTCCTTGTATTGGGGCGCTGCTGTTCTTGTCTTGTTAGCTTGATGTTGCTGTTTCTCTTGTGTTATCGCGATCGCAGCTTGGGCCCACTCTGTTGCGTCTTGGAGTCTTTTAAGGAAGCCTTCTGCCAGTGCTTCGCCGTCTCTCTTTGGTCGGTCCTGAATAGTTCGATCCTCTACCAGCTGAATGGGTTCATTGTGATATCCGTGCATAAAATAGAAGGGGCTTAGGCCAGTAGATGAGGCCTCGCGATTGTTGATTGCTCCCATAACGATAGGTAAAAGTGCTAGCCAATTTTCTTGCGTGTAGGTGGCCCAGATTCGAATCATCTTCTCAATCTCTTGGTTCATTCGCTCTGTTGCACCATCGGTTTGCGGATGATAGGCAGTCGACAGGCGTTGCTCAACGCTGAGGAGTTTACAGAAATGCCTCCAAAGATCGCTGACGAATTGTGGTCCTCTATCGCTCGTAATTGCCGTTGGAATACCATGAATAGGGTAATGCCGTTCTAAAAGCCGTTGTGCTACTGCTTCTGCCGAGATATCGTGCATGCCTTCCAGTTCAACTCCCTTTGTCAGCCGATCAGTGACCACCATGCAGTTCGTTGCGTCATCGCGTCCAGATGGCGGCAAGTCCGTAATAAAATCGATTGAAAGTTCTCCCCATATACGTTCTGGGATCGGTAGCGGTTTAAGGAGGCCCTTCTTTGTCTCTCTCCATATCGTATTCCTCCCGCAAATCTCGCAGTTACGGACAAAGCGTCGCACGTCGCTTGCTACACCTGACCAGAAGAACTGCCTTGATAAGATTGAGTAGGTAAGATCTCGTCCAGGATGGCCGGTGATATGCGAGTCGTGAATATTTTGAATAATTCGTGTGCGAAGTGGTTCGCAGTCAGGGATCCATATCCGGTCTCGAAATCGCAACAGGCCTCTCTCGTCTAGGGTGCATTCTGCTATACTCACTGACTTCTCCTTCTGAAGTTTGGTAGGGAGGTTCCGCTCCTTGTTTGCTACCAGCGTAGTGAGCTCCTGATAAAGCTTATCCTCTTGGCGGCTTCGGTGCCAGAGATTTTGCATGTCCTGGTCCTCAAACATGCGTATCTCTTCTGTGAAGTCAATCTCCTCGGACGACAGGGACTGGATTTGAACACTCTGCAAGTGCTTGCTCTGGAAAAGACGGATAAATCGAGACCGTATTCGTTCATCGTCGTAGTTGGCGGGTAGGTCTTGTTCTCGTCGTGACAGGGCGTCAGGTTTTCCCATAGTCTTTCCAGGTTTCCATTCCAGGGAGAAGTCGAATCGTGAGAGAAACTCTGACCAACGTACTTGTCTTTCAGACAGCTGTCGTTCGCGGTAGAAGTATTGAAGGTTCTTGTGGTCCGTCAGAACTGTGAACTTCCTAACCATACGTAGTTCAGGAGCCCATGCTTCTAAGCAACGAACAATAGCTAGAAGCTCCTTGTCATGAATTGGATAATTGGCCTCTGTTGGTGAGTGCTTCTTTGAGTAGTAGGCAACGGGTTGCCAGTTGTTGTTCTTGTCCTTCTGCAGCAATAGGCCGCCAGTTGCATGTCCTGAGGAGTCGGCTTCTACCAAGGTGTCCTTCTCTGGATCAAAATGGCCGAGTATTGGTGCTGTAATGAGAAGTTCCTTAATCGTTTCAAATGCTTGATTGCAAGCCTCGTCCCAATGAAAAACCATCTCTTTCTTAGTTAGGTTGATAAGCGGTTCAGCAATGTCCGAGAAGTTTGGTATAAAAACTCGGTAAAAGTTGGCAAAACCAATAAATGCTCGGATAGCCTTAACTGACGTTGGTGTAGCCCATTCGCGGATTGCGATAATCTTTTCAGGATCAACTCGAATGCCCACTTCTGCTTCCACAATGTACCCGAGGTATTTGACTCGTTTAGTCTCGAACTCGCACTTGTCGATATCAATCTGCAGTCCAGCGTCTATAAGGCGTTGAAGAACCTTTCCAACCTTCTCTCTGTGATCCTGAAGCGATCCTGACGAGTAGATTAAGATGTCGTCAACGTAGGCTGAAACAAAGTCGTCAAGGTAATCCTGTAGAACACCATTTACGTAGCGTTGAAATGCGGCTGGTGCTCCTGTTAGTCCGAAGGGAGCAACCCGCCATTCGAATAGGCCGTATCTTGTTCGGAAAGCTGTCTTCCATTCTTCTCCTTTGGCCACACGGATCTTGTGGAAGGCTGCGATAACGTCAAGTTTTGTGAACCATTTAGCTTTAGCTACATTTCTCAGTGTTTCTGTGAATAGAGGCAGAGGGTAACGGTCCTTCCTGGTGATGTTGTTCAAGCCTCGGTAGTCAACGCAAAATCGGATGCCCCCTCCTGGCTTTTTGACCATCAGGACGGGTGCAGCTGCGGGAGAGTTACTTGCGCGGATAAAATCCTTGTCTAACAGCTCGGTGAGAGTTTTCCTAAGCACTAGTAACTCTTCTCGGCTCATGCCGTAGAGCGGACCCCATGGAATGGTCTTCTCGTTTCCGTCTTGATCCTTTTCAATCTCAATGTGGAGATCAACGCCTTTACGATGTGGGGGAAGTTTCTCAGCTAGGAAATGGTCGAAAGCCTTCAGCCATTGGTGGTACTGGGGTGGGAGCTTCGTCTTTGGATCGGATCGTTTGCGCGGTTTCAAAGCTTTCTCAATGTCGGCGATGGAAACAGCGAACAGTCCAGTGTCGAGCGCAATACCGTCTCCTTTGTTCTTCCTACGGCTTCTTCTCACCTCCGCCATGAATGCGGAAGCCATCACCTGAGTAGCCTTCATTAGTGGTGGCTTGTATGACGCTTTCTTGTGGTTCCATGCGCGGATGTTTGACGCGCCGATATCTAGGCAGCCTTGTTTGGCCGAAATTGTGACGTCGGCATCTTCTAACCAGGGCTTTCCTAGGATCACGTCGTAAGTTAGGCCAGGTACAACGTAGAAGAAGACGCGTTTCTGCTGGTGGCCGTCTATGTCTATCGAGGCGTAAGTAACTGTATCTAGGACAGTACTTGGTTCTGCGTTCTTCCCAGCTGCTTCCTCTAGCTGGCGCGGGGCTATCTTGATTGATGGCAGTCTCAGAGATCGAAAGAGTTGTTCATTAATGGCAGAATAGCAAAGGCAACCTGAGTCAACAAGTCCAGTGACAAAGTCAGTTCCATTAAGTCTAACGTCCAGTACAAAGGGATCGCTATCCATCTTTTGCTTTCCGGTCTCTTTCCATTCTTTCTGAGCTGCCGCGTGTTCCTATTGCTCTGCTTCGGAGTCTTCTGGATCTTCCTCCTCTACAGCTGCCTTGGTGACCACAGTACTCTTTGCTGTCTTGACGCTAACGTGAGTTGGTCGTAGAGCGGCTGCTAACGGGCATGTAGCTATTCGGCAATTGTTGCGGCCGCATCGGAGGCAGCGTCGTTCCTGGCGTCGAGCATCGATTTCCTCTTGGTTGACCCATTTTGCTCGTTTTCCAATAAGTTCTCGGTCTTCGGGACGCCTAGATGGATATCCATTCATGTTGGTCTTGCCGCGGAGGCCGACAGCGTTCACTTGGGTAGTTGTAGGCTGCGTAGGTTCCCATTCCATCATGTCTTCGGGGGAAACTGCTGTGAGCGTGGCATTATTTGATTTTGCTGGTGGTTCATAGGTTGGTGCATTTTCAGCAGTTCGGCTACCGTAACGGCGGGTTGTTTTCGTCCATTGGCCGAACAACTCCATGTCGTTGCTAAGATCTGCACACTTCTGAGCGAACCTTGCGTATGTGCTTGTTTCTGCTCCTGATGTACCAACAAGCCTATCCTTTATCCTACCACTTAATGCATTGCGTAAGTAGGATATCTTCGTATGCTCAGGCCAGCTTTCTGCGTCAGCGTTGGCCATCTCTTTCTCAAACCGTGGATAGAAGGAAATAAACGTCTCGTCGTCCTTCTGGCGTATAGAGTAGAGGTTCTGAATGGCTTTCTCCTTCCGATTTCGTTCGCCGTAGAGGAGTTCAAGGCGGTCAAGCAGCTTGAAAGGGTTTGGCGATTCTTCTTTAACTTGTATCTCGTAGTATGTTGTAACGTTGGTTTTCGCTGCCCCATCAAGACGCATGTAGACGTAGCGTAGCTGAGCTTTTAGGCTTCCAATAGCTTGCGCGTCTTCTTCGATCTTGCCCTCCATCTCTAGCTTCCATCCTCGCCATTGTGATTTGTTTCCACCAAACGTAGGCGGGTGGGGTAAGCTGTGCCGCGGCTTTGGGGTTATAGGCACAGATGTGTTCGAAGTCTCGGAGGTTGGCGTTGGATCAGTGGTGGCGTCTGTATTGTGACCAGGCGTTTGAGGTAGCTCGTGCGATGGTGCTTCCAGCCTCTCCATCCTAGTGCTCATGTCTTCAAGTCTCTGTAGTAGCGACTGTAACAGCTGGTTCGAATCGTTCGTCGTCATGTCAGTATCCCCGGGGGAGCTCATTATAGCGGTGCTTTGGTTGCTGCGTGTTCTGCGTGTTCTGCGTATTCTGCGTATTCTGCGTATTCTGCGTGTTCTGCGTGTTCTGCGTGTTCTGCGTATTCTGCGTGTTCTTCTTGATCTTGACTGTATGTGAACGGTCTGTAGGGACTGTATTCCAGCTACCTAGTCCAGATGCTATTTACAGTCAAGATGAAGAAAGAAGGTAAGACGCAAGCGGCGAGCCTGCTTTGTTTGGGTTGGCGCACGGCCCTCACGTTGCCGGGGAAGCGACTAGGCTAGCAGCCTAGTCATGTGACTCGAGGCTCAGCCCGTTACACAGATCTTGTAAAAGCCTCATCTGCCTTTCTCCACACTCGATACCCACCACGACGGTGGTTCAGCACAACAGAGGTCTTATCCGACTAGATAACGTTCTTCTAGTCCTCAAGAGTCTAGTGCTGATAAGCGAGACACCAGCAGAGATGTCAACAAGCAAGTCAAGCTGGCTTGATTCTTATCGATTGCAGATCACAAGACCATTCTCTGGTACTTGTCATTGTGAACCAACGTTTCCTCGTCCGCTTGTTCGGCATGTATCCTGCTGCCTTGAGAACTCCCTCACACTGTGGTAGAAGAGACGTCGGGACCGCAGAGACTAAGATCACCAGCTATGTCAGCACAGCTCTTCTCTCGTCCATAACGGTCACGGCGTACTTTCTCAACAGTAGCTTCATGGATAGCCTCTTGCTTGCGTGGGCGGCCTGAGCGAGGAGCATCCTCAAGATATTCAGGAAGAATCTTCAAGGTTGGTCCATTTGGCTCAAAGCCTCGCTGGCAGGCACGGCTATAGATAGAGTCGATAGTGCGTGGAGAGATGCCTAGGATCTCACTAATCTGACTCGTTGATCTACCCACAAAGCGGGACTTTAAAGTGAGAATAGCGGCACGTGTAGAGATATCTGTATAACGAGGAGCCATTGTAACAGTAAAGAAACACCAAAGAAAGCAAGTTTACTGCTTTCTCCAGCTTCAAAAAACTCCGAAGGTGCCAAGAAATGTCGGGCCGAATACCAACCGCGCTAGCAATTACTTTTGAAAGCCACCTCTGTACTATTTGAGCATGCCAAGCCCGCGCCACGTGCTCACGTGAAGCGCGTCAAGGCTAACATTGGCTCGCCTCCGAAGTCTTGTTTACCCTTCACCCCGCAACAACGACAAAATTTTGGTCAATGCGTGCACCATGTCATCTGATGATGAGAATCTCAAGCTGGCGATGGCAATGTCGCTTCGAGAGGATACAGCCGGTACCACGGAGAACTCTCCAGCATCTGGCGTCGTCGACCTCACTTCTGACTCCGGAGATGACGAAGATCTCCGACGTGCGATCGCCCTATCTATGCAGGAGGACGAAAAGCCTAACGTTGCACAGCAGCCCGCTAGTGGCACTAGCACACCCGCAACCGTCAGCATGTTAGGCTTCATGGGCATGGATCGTAAAGCCATGGAACAGGAGCGCCTCGCAAGACTTGGTAAGCGAAAGCGCGATGCATCGCCAGAGCGACCTTCGAAGCAGATCGCTCGTTCCCCACCAGCAATTACGCCGTCAAAAGGATCAGTATTGCAATATCCCAAAGGGGTCATCAAACGCACGTTTGCGTCAAAGTATCCAAGGACCAACGACATCACCATCGATGAACTTTTGGAAGCTCCACAGGTCAACATTGCTGTCATCTGCTCGTTCCAGTATGATTCCAGTTGGATGTACGAAAAGCTTGATCCAACAAGGATTAAGCAAATCTGGTTGATGTACTCCAAATTCAGAGGCGAAGACATTCGGGAGAAACTGATTCGAGAATGGACCGAAAGCCGTATTCCCAATATGAAGCTTCACTTTCCACCCATGGACGGTATGATTGTAAGCATGCACAGCAAATTCATGCTGCTATTTGGGAAGGAGAAGCTACGCATTGCAATACCGACTGCGAACATGACACAGACTGATTGGGGAGAGGTGGGGAACGACTGGCAGCCGGGTGTCATGGAAAACTCGGTATTTGTGATCGACCTGCCTCGGAGGAGTGATGACGGTGTTGGTAAGGTGGAGGAGTTGCCATCCTTTGGCCGAGATTTGATCTTCTTCCTGAAAGCACAACAAGTTGAGTCCAGAGTGACGGGTGGTGTGCTGAAATTCGACTTTGCGGATACGAAGCATCTGGCTTTTGTTCATTCAATGTAAGCCGGTCAAGATACACTCTACCAATATCCTCTAACATGTTACAGTGGCGGTTCACACAAGGAAGAATTGGAGCGGCCAACAGGTCTCCCTGGGCTCGCGAATGCTGTACGAGAGTTACAGTATGACGACGTTGAACACATCGAGCTCGACTACGCAGCTTCGTCCCTTGGCGCTATCAACGACACGTTCCTATCCCGCATCCACCTTGCAGCACGCGGGAAGAACTTCACGCAAGATAACGCAGCAGTACCTGACGTGCGCGATCACTTTCGGATATACTTCCCCACCAACGAAACTGTGGAGAAGAGTATCGGAGGCTCCGGCTGTGCCAACATCATATCATTAAGCAAGAAGTACTACAACGCATCAACGTTTCCAAAAGAGTGTCTCCGAGACTATGACTCGACGCGGCGTGGCATGCTATCACACAACAAGCTATTATTTGCGCGTGGTCGCAGGACGGATGGAAGACCATTTGCATGGGTCTACGTTGGCTCAGCCAACATATCCGAATCAGCATGGGGCGGGCAAAAGGTGCTGAAGAGCGGCAAGGTAGGAGCGCTCAATGTGAGGAATTGGGAATGCGGTGTGATTGTGCCCGTGCCAGATGACAAGTTGGCACATGTCGACTTGAAATCTGATACAGTACCGCCGATGAGCGTGTTTGAAGGGACAGTCGAAGTGCCCTTTCACTTCCCAGGTGCAAAGTATGAGGGCAGACGTCCGTGGTTGTTTGGTCCGGCGTAAGGACAGTCACACGATGTGGCGTCGGACGGAATATGAGCATACCAATCAAGGGTGTGGACTGATGCGTGGAAGTGACGGCGCGCAAATGTACGGCACCTGAGCTTGGTAGCCATAGTCTCGAATGCGTTGGCCTAGGGCAAAAAGGACCGTTTCGCGATGATGTACAAGCATGTGACTAGAGCTTGTTCGCCGGACTAATACGGTCGGGGCGGAGCTTGCGGCTAGCGAGTCGAGCATCCGAGGGCTACAACGGCCGTCCTTGTCCGCCGCGAATGAGCAAAAAACCGTGGATGATGACGGTCAGGAATGGCTACACGGTGATGCTGCGTGCTCCACCATGATAACACGGCCCCGTCTCTACTCGTCTTACATATGTATTGCCCCATTCCAGCCTCATGCCGCAACCGCCCTATCCCTCCAGACGCGCGCAAGCCTCCGCCAAAGCGGCTGTAGACACCCCCTTGACCGCGCCCATACATGGATGGTTCACGAGCCCCGCGCGATCGCATTCGGATCTTCCACATGCAAAGGAGCTTCCATTGCATTTAATTCACCTCATCCTCTCATATGTACGTGTCGTGAAACAACGACCTCATGGAGCTCTGCTGACAGCAGGTGCAGGTTGACGATGTCGGTGATCTCGCGCGCATTACGCGTACATCGCGCCTCATGTACTATATGATGCTCCCGCGTCTGTATGAGCATGTCACATTACGTTCCTACTCTGAGATACGATACGTCGATGGCCGGCCAGAGGGTTATGGCAGCGGCAGCCCCTTTGCCATGGGGCTGAACACGCTGGTATCGCGCAATTTTGGCGACTACATCCAGACATTCCGTGTCCGGGGCGAATGGCGAGAGCACGATGCAGACGACTACAAGCAAGGGCGGGTGCCGGACAACAGCATGGTGCTGCAGATAGTATTGCGTGCTGCGCTGGACAAGATGAAGAACCTCAAAACTTTTGCGTATGTTTTGAGCCACCACCATTTGACGTCCTTGCTGATGCGCGCAGCTGGGAGCTCAACAGTCCCCCTCTCTACACAGTCTATCAGGGCCTCGTGGCCAGGACGTCGCTGTCTTCGCTGACAATTCGCTGCCAAACACGGAGGACCCCGCGCCCGACGACAATCATCTCACCGCTGCCGAACTTGACCACGTTGGTTGTTTACGACATCGATCCGCTGTGCTATCCCGACGACATATCACTCCTGATCTATGGCTCCAAGAAGCTCGAGAACCTCAAACTTCACTGGAGCCCGCGTATGCGCGCTGCGGGAGAGGAGTCAGTCAACCTCATGTCCATCTTTGGCCGATGCGTAGCTGCCAAATACGCCGTGCCCATCAAACGCCTGGCCATATACAATCTCTACACCCGCTTCTCCAGCAACGATCTCAGCAGTGTTTTAGCAAGCGAGGTTTTGTCAGAGATCACCGTCATCAACTCCATGGGTGCTTCTGATCCCATGACAGTCTTCGTCGACGATTCATGGAGAGTGCACAACGCTAACAAAGATAACATTCCCCTCAACTTAAGAAGTATGCGAGTTGATCATTTCCAGAGGGAAGGTGTACAGGCTTTAGCCAAGATGCAAAGCATGGACCGCTTCTACATTGTGAGTAAACGAACAAGCAAGGATTCATCCAAATCAGACAGCACTGCCGGCACACCCTTGACCCCGTCGACTACTACCCCCGGTGCACCCGCCAGCGCAAACGGCACCCCCATCACCATCACCGACAGAGTATGTCGAGACCTCGGAAGCGAATACATCGCCGCCATCCAATCCAGCCACGGCACCTTGCGCCACCTCCTCCTTTCCGATCTCTGGAACCTTTCCGACGAAGCGCTTCTCCAACTAGTCAAGTCTCTTCCCGAACTCGAACAATTCGGTTACGCCTGCGCGGTCCCACCGCTCGACTCATTACGCAAGATCATGACTGCCTTGCCCAAACTCCGCGCTATCCGTCTCCTGATCCGTCCGGGCCACGAAGTCGGCAACAAGGCCGACATGAATGACCCCGAGCTGCACATCTTCGTCATGGCAACGGAGTTTTGGAAGCCCGAGTACAAGAATCTGCAGTATATAGGTGTGGGCGATAATTTGGTGTTCAAGCTAGGTGGTGTTTACTTCCCGCCCAAGAAGGATGGGGTGACAAATGGGAATGAGAATAGCATGTTTGCGAAAAGAGCGGGGCCGGTTAGGAGGGTCGAGCAGGTTACTAGGGAGAGTGTTAGACATGTGGAGATTTGGGGGCTGGATACTACGGAGTTTGACCCGGCGTTTCCTTGAAGATGGGGGGTTGTATTCTTTGGATATACACAAGCGGATGTTTTCGCCGACATAACATCTGAAACGGCATGCGAGCCACCGGAGAGCGCTGGGATACGCGTTAGGAAGAAAGGCACAAAAGATATGTTTTTGAGGACAGCATTGCCGCAACTATGGGTACATCCCAGCCAAAAGCCCGGTCATCAGTGTGTCTGCCTGGCCAGTTTGGAAGAAGCGAGGTTCATTACCACATTGATGGCTATGACAGATCGGGTTGCAGGAGAAGGGCTTGGAGGTTGCATAGGGTATGCATCATATCAGCAACGAGCGTGGTTTGCACGTTGCTGTATTTTCCTTTTGTCGATGATTCCCCTTCTCTTTAGCATACATGAATGACTGGCATTCTTTGTACTTTCTTCTCAACTCAGCGGCGTTTTGTAGGAAAGCTGGGAGTTTAACGTTTGCATCCACTCGTTGGTTTGGTTAGAGTTGGTGGACCCTTGGTTGTACGTGTGAAAATAGTGAATTCTCAACACGGTTCTAACATGTACTCATGAATGTGGACTTTGAGGGGAAAAGGTACCCCAGCGGTTGACTTACTTTAATCTGGAGATGCACTTGCTTGCAATCAAGTATCACTTATTTCCAGGCTATTTGCAGGCGGTGGTGAATCAGACATTTGTCAAAGTCAATCAACATCTACAGTCATCGCTGCCATCTAAGAATTCAATGCTACCATCACTCCAAGAAGCATCCTCCTCACGTAAGCCTATGCGTCCCCTCATCATCCACCTCCACAGCCTTGATCTTCCTCTCCTTGTCCAAAAACTCCTCCTGCTCAACCCGACTCCTCCCGACATCAACAAAAAAGTACAGGAACGCACAGCTCGCGGCACTCAGCGCAAACAAGAAATAAAACGGACTACTATTATTCCCCGTATCGTCGATGATGGCCGAACTCACAATCGGCCCAATAAACGCACTCGTCTTACCCACAATACTAAACAGTGCGAAGAAGAGAAACTCTTTGCCGCGGGGCGTTACTTCTGAAATCATGGTTTGCGAGTAACTGTACCACGGACACACGACGAGTCCGTAGAAGACTTGGTACACCCATACCTCCCACTTGTTGTGGAAGCCGAATTTCTGCGTGAAGATGCCGATCATGCCCCAGCCGTCTAGCAGCACGATGCACACGGCGACGACCATGAACATTGTTTTCGTGGAGAGACCGTAGTGTTTCTGTATGCGCCAGAAAGCTGCTATCCCGACGGCTTGAGCGGCGATGCCGACGATGAGGAGGTAGGTTAGTTGCAGGCTGTTGTAAGCGACGATTTCGTTTTGCAGGGTCCCGATGACGGTCACGGTGGTGTTGAGGCTGTCGCCGAGGAGGAAGTAGCCAACCAGGTAGGCGAGACTCTGTCGCAATTGCCAGATTTGCGTTATGGCGTAGCCGAGTTGTTTGATGCCGGCCATGACGATGTTTGTCCTTCCGGGGTCTTGACCAGGGCGTCGCTTCTCTAGGATAAACCAGGGAAGCGCACACAGGATCCACACGCCTGTTGCGAAGGCGATGAGTACCGAAAGACCCCATTCGTTGTTCGCGGCGCTGTCGTTTACTTTGAGCGCAAACATGATGCCTACGATGACGGCTAGGATGAGTATCTCAAACACGGATTGCACGTAGAAGGCCGTGTTGGAAATCTCGTTTCGCTTCATCATGTCTGCGAAATCGTACTCTTCGCGTGTAATGGTTCCCTGGGCGAATTCTTCGGCTTTGAGTCGTAGTTCTCGCGTGTTGCGCGCTAGGCCGGGGAAAGCGGCGGTCCAGAAGGTGATGGTGGTTTGGTATGCGATGAGCCCGACGATGTACAGTCCAACACCCGCGTGCCAGTTATCTGGGGTATGCACGCCCAACCAGCCAAACCCGATTCCGTAGGCGATCATTGACAGCACTATCAAGATATTTGGTCGCCATGTCCCGAAATCCGCGAAAGAACCTAGGATGAGGAAGACGACGATTTGAATGGCAAAGCTGATGCCGTTGCAGAGAAGAACAATGGAATTGATTGTTCGGTCTCGGCCCATGAAATGAAGGATCTCGGAATCGCCTGCGGCCAAGTACATGAGGTTTTGGAAAGCTGTGGGTCCGAAATTGAAAAGCGTGAGGCCGTTGTCGCCGACATAGTAGCTAGAGATGTTGTGTTAACCTCGGGTACGATCAATGGATCATAAACAACAAGATTATCGCATACCAGTAATACGCCCAAAGCTCCCACCTCGACGTCTCGAATCGCTCATCGAATTGATCGGGTGCGACAGGTGTATCATCAACGGGCACATCGACAGCACCTTTAGTAGGGTCAAAAGCAGGCGCACTCAGAGGCGCAAGGCCAGGCTCATTCGAAGCCATGGCAAGTCAATCACGACGACAAACAGCGAGGACTATCTGGAAAGAAAGCAATGAAAGACCTCACAAACCTCCACCAACAGCGCGCGCGGGTAAAGGTTTTCTATAACTACGCGCCATTAGTCGCTTAGTCGTACCCTAGTAAGTCGGAACCCGGAGATAACGAAAACGTAGTTGCATCTGTTTGTACAGGCATGAGGGCGAGGGAAAAAGCCCAGGCCCGCGCGAGAAACTGAGAGATTGTGGATCTCCGCCCCGTAACACGGGCACTCCGCAGAAAAGTAGCGCTCGAGTGATTGGGAGAAGGGTGTCGGTCGCCCAAACTAAGACTACGCAAGCTGTCGCTAAGCGGAGCTTGGTAGCTCTCGGCAGCTTGTGGGGTGGTGGGAAAGCGTGAAAACCCTGAATCTACGGCTGGCTAAGCTGGATATCGTTTGGTGCGCCTCCAGTTGACGCCACCGCCCGACGCCTATCACGATATCGTTCGCGGGTGCGAGACACACCCGCGTTTTCCAGTAGCAGAGGCTGTGTTTCTTGTAAAAGTATCCGAGCAGAATTCTACTATCGCGAAGCACGCACTGTAAGGCCTAGCCCGCTGGTTCCAAATTGGTGGGGTAAACTTCGCATATTCGCGAGAATTCTCGGATCACCCCGAAGCCACCAACCTCGCCGTTTCATGTCGGGGTAGCATATCCTGGAATCCTGGAAGCTTGTAGTGCCAAAAGGTTCAAGTGCCGTTCAACCGTCCAAGTGCTGATGCGTAGATCGATGGCTGGTATCGCGCTTCGCTTGTCCCCTGTCTCTTTGCTCGCTTACGTAACTTACGCCGTTTTCAAGCATCCTCGGAGAAAGCCACACCTTGCGTCAACGTCAACTCTAGGCCGCGTCTACACCTGTCACAGGGTTTGTATAGTAGAGATTTAAATAGGAACTGGGGTGAATTCTAGCATTGTACTATCGATGAATGCATCAAGCTTTAACAAACAGCGTACTAGTCGTTTAAGCAGACATGTCCCCGGGAACATACAGAGTCCTCGTATGCACCTAGCTGTAGTACAATCTGAGGCTATATTATAGTTATGCTACTGCCGTTGCCTTCTATACTTCTTGAAGTTTATATCTTTCTATACATCGCCTGCTTTCTTCTCTCGGTCCGCATTTAGTCAAGAAACCTTAACAATTTCCTTTTTTTTGTTCTTTACCGACAACATCTCTATGCAAACTCGCCATTATGATGAAAATTTACCAGGAGAAAGAAACCTCAGTAGAGCCATTACGCTGCTGTAACGCAGTAGGGTAGCGAGACGACTCCCATCAATGCGCATTCACGCACTAAGCACCGCAAAAAGGATATATCCGAATACCTAATAGAGTCCAGGTACATCAAAGGGTGAGCGCTCATGGTCTTAGTGAGACAGCCTAGACTACGCAGATTATAATCATCACCGCATGCAACATTCAAACTTCTGTCTTCCTAACACCGTGTTCAATACGTACATTCCTACCATGGCGACCCCTCACACGAAATAGCATTTCCAACCCACAACACCCGTCATCAAGATGATAAAAACCCCAAGGCATACGATTAGCACTTTAAACGCGCAGCTGAATTCGAAGGAAGAGGCGAGAGCGTACTCTGAGCCTTGGTGAGTTATTCGCCATGCACCATTCTTCCGTCCCATTTACAAGACACCCGCAGCCATCCAGTCTCATCTTGAGCACGTAGATGGCGATGGAAATAACTCTTCTAGGATCTTTGGAAGATCAGGGACTTGGGACATCTATTAGGAGACCACACCACTTTATGTGTAGATGTCTTGTCGATCACGTGTATCGCCTCGCTTCCTGGCTGTAGTTGACAACCAGCGGAGAAGATGAAGTGTAAGAGGGCGCTGCGGACGAAGACGTGGCAGTGGAGGCGGGAGAGATGGCAATCTGAGCAGGGAGGGCTGAACTATTTTAATCGCTGTATTTCTATCATTATACCTATACTTGGCGTACTAAACTAAAGAACTGTCAAATTACCTATACTTGAGGAGAGCTCTAAAGCGTTCTCTAAGCTTTCCTGTCTGGTCAATGTATTACAATGGACGAAGAATCGATTTCTTCCTGGAGGAGACCGTAAAGATAATCTCATTCATAGATTTCTACTGATGCGGGGGGTACCAAGGGAATTTGTCGGGATGAGATCAGAAAACATTCTATGGTACAGAGGGTATCAGTAAAGTATAAAAGGTGCTAAGATATATAGATAAGGAATCCTACATCATTCAATGTGATTTGGAAAGAAAAAAAGTCTGAAACAGACTACATGCCTCATACGGATGTATCATCTTCCGGCAAAGCACGGCGTGCAACATGCGCTGGCTGGGGCGCTTCAAGCTCGTAGAGCTCTACCTCCTGAACTACCTCATCTGCAGACGTCTCAGAAGGAGATGCGCATGCCCCATTCCTAATCTTGTACCATTTGAGCATCCAACGAACGACCTCCCCAGAGATCAACCGGCCTCGCAAGAACCGTCGAAACACCAATCTGCGGAGGAACTTTGCGCAATTCCTCGCGAAGCCAGGTATCTCATGAGCAAACTCATAGACGAAGAAAAAGAGGGCAAAGAACAAGCTAAATGCTTGATCCCACTCCCCAATCGCTTGTGTTCCACATGGATAGTACCGAAAGAACCATGGACGACACTTTTCGAAACCTGCTGCGCTTGAAAAGTAATCCCGCGCACCTGATCAAACCGACGCAATGATCATCATGGGCCCATCGCCTCTCAGGAAGAGACGGATACCGAGCAAAACGGCTAGAGACCGGGACAGGAAGAATAGTATCTGAAGACGTGGATACACCATAACAAGCCCATTCACCAAGACCACTGCTGGCATTATAGACCCGGTAGTTAGGATGAAAAGACGTAACCGGACTTTCCCCCTCTCTGTCATGGTGGCGATCGCCTGCTTGTGCAGACACATCCTACACTGTAGAAAACAGTGTAGCATACCCATGTATAGGATAGACAACGACGCGCCGACAGTGAAATATGGGTCCACCGGGACGGGGTTTAGACCATGGCAATTGATCAGTTGTCGGGCCATATCAATCGCAGCCCAGTTTGTGTACAGTAGCCATCCCATAAGATGCATGTTGTTGCTGTAATCGTCTCGAAAAAGCGCTATCCATGTAGTGACAATCGAGATGGTCCAGGCTGCCCATGGTCCAGGGCCGTAGAAGCCACTGACAAAATCCCTTTGCGTAGGCCACAAGTAGAGCGTGTTGGGGACGAGTGTGAACGTTTGGTCTACGGAAATTGAGAAGTTCCAGTGTGGTGCCGTAGGGAATTTGGCGTGGCCAGGGCGGTAGAGACCACTGATATTGTATACTAGCCCGGGGTAGTTGTAGGTGACGTTGGCGATGACTGTGGTGTTTTGGCGCACGAGAACTGGGATTTTGGTGTAGAATGCCATAGAAGATTCAGCGACGTATGAAATTGCTGGGGCGCGAGGATCTTTTAGTGAAGATGTTATCTTAAACTGTCGATTGAATGGGATTGTCGTTAAAGATTATTCGGGTTGATGAACAAGATACTGAATCCTACAACACGCGCCTCGCCGTAGATATTATATCAGCCACCCACATGTCTCAGCCTCGCTGAGATCGTACATTAGATTAACCTGCAGATACCCTTCCAATGAACTTGTGGCACCCCAAGAGTGGCTGAGCAGCCAACGCATCCACCCCGCATCTTCGCCGCATCTACCTCGAACGGTGTCGCCATGTAGATTCAGGGGAAAATAAACGTGACAGATCATTTTAATCAAACAACAGCACGAAATTGAGTTACACAACAGATAGAAGAAAAAAGAACAGGAAGGGACTGGAGAGTTGAGTGACGGGATCGTCAGTGACGCGGGGCAGAACCACGACGAGGCAACAGCGCCGCATTGCTGCATAACAAGGCTGGCTAGGCACGCGCAGCTGCTCAACACACATCTGCACCGCCTCACAGGTAGAGTAGGAGCGAGTGCGTCTTATCGTCCATGGAGCTGAGTGTCTATAACGCGATGGTGATTTACAAGTTCTATTATGGAATAGTATACGCTATCTCTTCCATACTGACCACAATATTCGCACTGCCGACACAGCACAAAGTCTACTTCACGAGGATACATCACAAGCAAACAAAAAATCTACCCAACCCATTAAGTATCTCCCTTCTATTTAATCTTACCACAAAACACTCTATATACGCCTAACCCCCCCCCCTGTGTATTCTAAATATACAAGTGACTGAAGTATTTACCTCAAGCAGTCTACCCCATCATACCACCAAACAAAATAACATGAACACATGAAGAAACAACGATTAAAAAACATATGCCCATATCTACCTCCAAAACCACCCATCACAACACCCCTAGCCCCTCTCCCTCTCCCTCTCACCCACCCCTCTCCCCCAACAACTCCCCCCCACCCCTCCTCCTCAACCTAAACCACTCCCCCACGCCCCCACCCCCACCCCCCCTCCCACTCCCCTCACCCTCCCCCCTTCCCACAACAACAAGCTGCCCCCCCTCTCTCCTAACAATCCACTCAACCCTCAAATCGCTCTTCTGCGGCCCCTCCTGCGGCAAACCCCTAAAGAGTCCCTCTTGAGCGGGCGAATGATACCCCAGAATGAACAACACAAGCGGCTCGCACAAATCCGTAATCAGCCTGACGCGTAGCGAGAAACAGAGGTAAATGAAAATAAAAAGGTTGATCAAGAGGGTGAGGCAGAGCACGACGAGGAGGCCCTTTTGCCACGGTTTGTCTGAACCGGACATGTATTGTGCGACGCGGACTGAGGCGTTGAAATGCTGGAATGCGTTCTTGTTTTTGTTGGTGTTAGTGTTGGGGTTGGTGTCGGTCCAGCCTAGCTGAAATGGAAAATTCCGAGTTAAATCTAGCACAGTGCATGTCATCATACTCAACAGCGCCTCCGCTGGACTCGGCAACGTCTTATTCAGCCGCGGCTCCGTAAGTTGCAACTGCGTTAGAATCCGTGCGGTGGACGCGTCGCCGTCGAAGACGCCGTTGTTTAGGCTCAGCGAGTTGAGGAGGTAGTAGCCTAGGTCGCGCCAGCCGACGAGGGCGAGGCGGGCGCCGTTTGAGCTGATGGGTGCGATGGGTGCGTCTTTATTGTGTGGGTTTGTGCTGTTGGAGGTGGAGCAGACGGCTTCGAGGCTTTGGCCGTTGGACGAGGCGTTGTAGTGGGTTGTGCAGGATGTGGTGATGGCTGCTTTCATGGAGCAGAGGAAGTAGTCAGAGGTGGTGTTTTCGGGCGCTTTGCCGAGGATGTAGACTTCGGGTCTGTCGCCGAGTGCGTAGGGGACTTGGGTGTGGTTTGCAATCTACCTTGTTAGTTCTATCTCGCTTCGATCGTGATGGACCTGCTTACTGTGTTTGCTGCTTTTGGATATTTGAGAAAGACTGTGTTGATGTTAGTATACGTTATCGTTGACCATGAGAAGTGCTTACTTGGTCGAGCACGCGAGTGATCGACATCTTCATCTTTCCAACCGAATATGTCGTCAAGCACTGTCTTGTTGTTCGTGTTGGTTCCCTCGGGGAAACCTAGGACAGGCCACCAATTCACCGCTTTTGATCGATCATCCATGGGGATTCCATTGGGCCAGGTTTCGTAGATGATGGGAGCAAGCTCTTCCTCGTTGGCATTCACGCATAATACATTGAGGGCAAAGCTTGCGACTTGTGCGTGGATTGAGTAAGAACCGCCATCATGAAGGTCCTGTCCGTTGTCAGTAAAGTACCTCTACACCTCGATACTACTTACCTCTGGCTGGAGTAAATCATTCTCAGTGTTGCGAGCAGCTGATGGAACACCCCGATGAGGCACAGCAATAGTGATATTATTGACTATCCTCCCCGCCTTCTTAGAGTCGGCCTCGATATCGTGATCGTCTAGCCAAGCAGTAGTGACAGTGATATTATTATCAAGAGCAGCACCAATTGGCAAACGTTCGGTTATCTTTTCAGACATCCAAGACGGAGGATCTTGCCGCGCGACGTTATCATCCCAAGCAGACATGTAACGGACAAAGTTGCGGCCACAGAGCGACGACCACTTTACGGCGAGACATGTACTGCCGCCCCATTGCGTGTCACCCACGTCGGGCCATTCGGTCAGGCATGTTTGGTCGGCCTTGAGTGTGCTGGAGAAATCGCCTGCAACTTCGCCGGCAAGAACTGTGTGTTCCCAAGGCGGTAGGCGGAGTTGTGGTTGAACTGCATGTGTTAGCAACTTGCAGCTGATCCAAGATGGCATATAGTCAGCATACCAAGTGCACCTGCAGCAGTGGTGTACAGTAACGACAAGATAGCTATAACAAAAGAAAGTATCCCCAAGACGCTAAGACCAGCAAACCTAAAGGTATTGAATTGACTGAGAAGCGAGCCAGGCTGACTTTGCATGTGTTAGCCGTATTGATTACCGCCGACCGTTGGTTTCGCTGACTCACAGGATCCATGTTCGCATCGATACACTAGCCAGACTGATACCTTTCTGCTGAACGGCCCGTCTCGACAAGACTTGTCCAATAAAGGCCAAGCTGACCATGACGAACGTCAATTCGACAGTTTTGGCAATGAAAGCAGTCAGGAGAGCGGCCGAGGAGGGGGAGAAGCGACCCCGTGCCGAGACGATGTGACCATACTTTGGTTGGAGCAGGGCAACGACGAAGAACAAGCCAGATAGTAAAGTTGAGTATATAGAGGCCACTAAGAGGCCAATTGAGTACGCGTTGCGTTGTGGTGTAAGTAAGCCTTGGGTATACACAAGAGGCAACATGCTACTCGAGCTATCTAGTACATCTAAGTATCTCCACCGACCAACTATCGTAGCAAGATCTTACGTTTGGAAGTAGCGGATATGCTTGCGCGCCCATCTAGCGACGGCCGCAGAAAGGGGTTTTCAACTGGCTCGTTCGCCATGACTGAGCACTCGGGACAGGCCCGCGGGCTCTACAACAGTCCAATATATAACAAGTTAATGCGAATCGAAGATAAGCGAAAGATAGCGGTCCCCAACGCGGTGGCGTGGGTCGTAGAGGCGGTGCGGCGAGGAACAGATTGTGTTTATTTTAGTGCGGTTTCAAACGTGCACTGCGCCGCCGCCCCACGTCAGCGCGCACTGAAGATCATATGCCCGACAGTCGGTGAAATGGCATTTGTGAAATGCGCGCACGTGAATTGCATTACTTTTGGTCCAACATGTGTTTGAACTTTTCAATCTATGGTGATGTCAGTCAGGGTGGCAAGTTTGAAGAGGTAATTTTCAAAGGGACCCACCTTGGTGCTTAGATATTTCTCTACCTCTTCGCTCTTGATGCCTTTCAAGCCGCCAGTCTTCCATGCTATTGGAACCATGGCTACGCGTTCCCTTACAACGACTTCTCTATTTGGGCCTTCGACGGCATGTACCTTGTCAGGGTTGTTGGTCAAGAGCCGTATGCCTCGGTCGCCGTCCAAGGCCAAATCCATGAGCATGGCGGTAGCCAAGCCGTAGCTGCGGGCATCTGCGGGATGCCTCAACATGATGTTTGCCTCGTATGTGTCGTTGCCGAGATCCTGCAGGTTGTATGCTTTTAGTTTTTCGCCTAACCCGATTCCACGGCCTTCCTGTCGGAGGTAGATGATGGCTCCGCCGGAGGGAGACAGGGCGGGGTCGGCCATAAGCCGGGCGGCCTCGTCAAGCTGCTCTCCGCAGTCGCAGCGCGCCGACCAGACGGTTTCACCCGTGTAGCACTCGGAGTGTATTCGGACGAGGGGAAGGTCCGATGGTGAAATTGGATGTACATCGCCGTTCTCCGACGACGATGCAGAGGAAGGCGACAGCAGCCCATTGCTCTGCTTCACGTGCGCGGGGTCGGACGAAGATTGCCGTTTAGCGGGCACGCCTTCTGCCCGCTTGAGTTGTTCGACGCGCGAGCTGGTTCTTCCCGGATATAGACGTCCGACGTATGCGCCTCTCGTCATGCGATCCAGTTCTGTCTCGCCTGGTCTCTCTGCATCCAGCGACCGCGAGCGAATGTGACTGCCAAAGACAATTGCAAGGTGTTCCTTGGTATCCACATTGTTCCTGTATACGTGCAGCCACATCTCGTGCCCAGTAGTCGTCGGTATACGCGCGCGTACTTCGCATTCAACTATAGGCAGTTTTGGCAACAGTTCGGGTCGCGGCGTGTCAGAGCGCAATGAGGTGTCGACTGGTATGGAGCGAGGCGGCCGTGGATGCGACGGCGTCGACATGCCCGGTGTCGCGGGGGGAGTGAAGGCGGGCGATATGATAGAGGGCGGTGGTCCATTGCGCGCATCGTCGACTTCATGTTCAGGCGTCTCTATGTTGAGCGCCGGTGTCTGGAAGTCGAAGCCATCTCGTGCAGCGCTCGAGAGGTGGGGTGAGAAATGCGGCGGAAATTCTGTCATGACTTTTTGACAACTATGGAAGAGAGGGTAAAAGAGGAATCTAGTAAGATCAAGAATACCACGCGCATGGGAAAGTAGAAATTGGAGAGGTAAGGCGATGTCTGTGGGGTCGAGTGACTTATGACATATCCGAAGCCGTCCGGGTGTCGTTATTTCGGAACCGCGCCGGCAGCTGAGCCGCGGCAAGTCTGATACCGTCAGCACCGCTCAGCCTTCCCTGACACAGTTCGTGTCTTAGTAAGCCCAAATGTCCGCCGCCTCCGTGTACGGCATGGTAATGCTCCAAGTAATAATCGAGCGTAGCCCACGGACCAAATTAGTAAATAGCATGTATCGTCCCACCAAGAATATAGATTCAATTTACATGTTCAAAAGGCAAGAGCTCCGCCTTTCAACTACCAAAAAAAGACCGGTCAACCAATCTGACCATCCAACACTTGATCTAGTCAACGCGACGCTCCCTACCCCAGACTTCATCCGCATTCTTCTTGCCCTTGGTCTCGGGCACATACCATGAGATGAATGCAAAGAAGAATGCCGAGAGTGCAGCAAAGATGAAGTAGACTTTCCCGTGCAGCTTCGCGCTCGCAAGGGGAAAGAATTGCGCAACGATAAAAGTAGCGATCCAGTTGGCCCCGAGCGCGATACTCTGTGTCGCATCAACGGCGTCCGGCCCTACCAGCTCGCTCGCTAGAATGAAGGGCACCGGTCCCAGGCCAACGGCGAAGCCCGACACAAAGAGCAGAACTGCGACTGCTGATAGGACGGGAATCGCCTTGATGATGCCAATAGCAAGCAGAAGCGAGCTCGTGCCCATGATTGCGAGGGAGCTGAGGAGGCAGACCTTGCGACCCAGCTTATCGGCCAAAGGCGCGCAGCTAGCCGTGACGATGATGTTCAGCGCCGAGACAGCAAGATTGAGCAGAGCCGAGTTGGACTCGAGCAGGCCAGCCAAGAGTGATACGCCGTACATGACGATGCTGTTGATGCCGCTGAATTGCTGGGCCAACATGACCATGACCACGGCAATGGCAGCCTTTTGGTAGTCGGCATGACGGAAGACTTGCATGATGCTCAAAGTCTCTTCCTTGCCAGACTGTTTGGGCCTCCCATTGACGGATTCGTCCTGGTTGCTCAATAATGTCTGCTCTTCCTCTGTGTTGGTGTTAGTATGCGGTCGGACAGGAACATCTTGTTGCGCCACTTACCGTTGACATCAGTCGAACCAGACACTCCCCAATCATTTACCTCCTCCTCGATGTTCGCATCTTCTCCCCGCATCTTGCGCAGTGTCTTCTTAGCCAGCGACACGTTGCCCTGTTCCGCAATGTACTTGGGACTCTCGACAGACAGCAATAGTCCTACACCTTGTGCCGCACCTATGACACCCCCAATAGCCAAGATCAGCCTCCAGTACGAGTCGTGGCTCAAGAAGTATCCCAACAGCTGCGTGATCAAGATACCAACGTTGCATCCGATCTGGGTGAAGGCCCCAAAGAAGCCCTTCTCGCCCGGGGGCGCGATTTCCGAAATGTAGAGAGGCACGATGACGACTGAAGCTCCAGCGCCCACTCCCGAGAGCAAGCGCCCAAATGCCATGACGCTGATATTCAAGCTCAGGGCCTCGAAGATGGGGCCCACGGCGAAGAAGATAGTCGACATCTGCATAGCCCGGAGCCTTCCGTACCTTCCGGCCAACGGTCCTGCGGAAAGGGCGCCTATGAGACCTCCGAGTGTGTAGAGCGACCCTACGACGCCCCATTCGGTGGGCGTCATCTCGATACACTGTGGGAGGCCCAGGCCGGTGACGGCCATCCTGATGGACTTTTTCTTGCAGCGGATGACATCTTCGGGTGCATTCAGCTCAGACTACGCGTGTTAGCTATAGCTGCTAGGTAGAATGAGGAGTGAGGATGAGATACCAGATGGAAACCGAAGAGCAACGGACCGAGGGTGGCGACGGAGAGGATGTAGACAAAGTAGCCCGTGAGGCTGCTGAACCACGAACGGGGGTCCATGGTGAAGCTCTGCTATTGCTGTTAGGATATGGAGCTCGAAGCTTGAAGCTCCAAGGTCGAGGTGTTGCTGCGACGGAGGGTCGTGTCAGCCCGCGCCAGTGCTTGGCTAAACATTAGGTGACATGGCCATCATGTCCCTGTGCAGCGCTCCTGTTGATCTAATCACCCCTCACGTGTCAGCGATAAGCGCTTTGTGGACTGTTGGACGGCGTCGCATCCGAATTACAAGTTTCGACCTTTGTGCATGTCGCGGCTGGCAGCGCAGACGAACACGATGCCCAGTCCAACAGTTCCAAGACTGAGGCTCTGCGGGGTGCTCTTGATAGCATCTACGACGTGCATCGAAGCTCTCTCAGCTCTCACAGCCTGTCGCGCCATCGGCTTCTTACAATACACATGCTGTGCATCTCCAACTGTCCACGCTCACCATCTGCGTAACAGAGCCGGAGAAGCCCCGAAAGCGCGTCGCCCCAACCCAGCGTGGCGTGGAGACGTTCGCTAGACGGTAGACGAGAGGCAGAAGTGTGGACGATGCCTCGCAAAGCATGAGCCAGCCCTCCGATTCCCCACCTGCCTCCGCCCGAGTCGCATCGCCAAATCGCGCTGCGGCTGGCCCCAACGGTACGTACTTACGTTTGGACGCGCCCAGTCTCGTGTCTTATTCCTCTCGGCCTCCACCCCATCTCAACCGGTCTTGTTTCGCTTCCTTTGCACATGTGGCGCCCCCCCTGGTCCATCCTCACGGCCTGTCCCACTTGACTTTTGCTTGCCCCCCATCAGCGCTTGCCAGCCATCACGCCATCTCGGATTCCCTTTCATGCACAATACCATTGTCAATACCACGTCTGTCATCAAATTCCAATACTAAACGTGCTATTCATCAGACCCGTCAGAGCCCGCTGATGCCATGTTCACCGGATACAACAATAAGAAGCGAGTGACGGAACGCTACAAGATTGTCGGTTTCATCAGCAGCGGTACCTATGGACGTGTTTACAAGGCTGAAGGCAAAAACGGCCGCACGGGCGAATTTGCCATCAAAAAGTAGGCAGCCCGGCATCTTGTCAGCCTACATGCTAATACCGCTAGATTCAAACCGGACAAGGAAGGCGAACTGCAATACTCTGGCATCTCTCAGTCGGCCATACGGGAAATGGCCCTGTGCACTGAGCTTGCACATCCAAATGTCGTGCACACAGTAGAAATCATCCTGGAAGATAAATGCATCTACATTGTCTTCGAGTATGCCGAACACGACTTGCTTCAAATCATCCACCACCATAACCAACCCCAGCGCCAAGCAATACCCGCACGAACCATCAAATCTATCTTGTATCAGCTCTTGCGTGGACTTGTTTACCTACATAGGAACTGGGTCATGCATCGAGATCTCAAGCCCGCCAACATCATGGTCACTAGTGCTGGAAAGGTGAAAATAGGCGATCTTGGTCTCGCTCGTCTGTTCTACAAACCGCTTCAGTCCCTGTTTTCCGGCGATAAGGTTGTGGTGACAATATGGTACCGAGCACCTGAGCTTCTCCTTGGCAGTCGCCATTACACTCCGGCTGTAGATCTATGGGCTGTCGGCTGCATTTTTGCAGAGTTGCTGTCGTTACGGCCCATCTTCAAGGGCGAAGAAGCAAAGATGGACAGCAAAAAGACGGTACCCTTCCAACGTAACCAGATGCAAAAGATTGTAGAGATCATGGGCATGCCAAGTAAAGATAGATGGCCACTTTTGACTTCGATGCCCGAGCACCCTCAGCTCTCCTCTCTCGTGTCTGGAAACTCTGCACGTTTCCCGCGCCCCCAAAGCGGTGATGGATTGGAACGATGGTATAAGCAGACCCTCGCCAACAACCAATACCCAACCCAACCGGGGCCAGAAACTCCCGGCGATGAAGGCCTCTCCCTGCTCAAGCAGCTTCTTGAGTACGATCCACAGAAACGGCTTACGGCGGAAAAGGCTCTGTTACATCCCTACTTTACCGTTTACGGCAAGCCAGCAGAAAGCTGCTTTGAAGACTCGAAAATCAAGTATCCAGTCAGAAGGGTCAGTCAAGAAGACAACGACATGCGCACTTCTAGCCTACCGGGCACCAAGAGGAGTGCATTGCCAGACGACTCGCTCGTTGGACGCCCCACAAAGCGTCTTAAGGAGGCATGAGGAGACTCGATACGAGCTCGCCGTGATGTCTACGTAATCTCTACAGACCCTGGCTGCAGCTTCCCGTTTGCACGTACCATTACAGTATTTACGGCAAACCTATCCCTGGTTGTCGGCAAAGTGCTACCTGACCGGACCGCTGAGTGACGACCTTGGCGGCGTAAGTGGCTTTGTACGAGTCGCAATCTTACACAGGCGTCGCTTGGGGAATCTTGGGGTGATCTCGACCCGTAGCTTGGGGTGCACCAACACGAAGGGATGCTGATGCTGTATCATCTGTACGTAACCTTCTGGAGGGGTAATGTGTCTTGATACGATGCAGGGGCAACGCGTCCAAGGTCCGGCTCTAGCCTACAAGCAGCTTGCATATTGGTGTTGTAAGTTTCATGTTGCGCGACCCTTCACTTACAAGACATGTACGCCGCGTTACGTCTTTTGTTTTCCACTTTTTCCTTTACACACACACACACACACTCTCTCTCTTGACAGCAATCGGGAAATAACGACGGAATGTGAGAAATGAGCAAGGCAGTGGCAAGGACAGGATGGATAAGACAACATGTTAGCCACTAGCACCACATCGTATGTATAGTGCGGTAAGACTACCTGTCAAAAGAATGAGCAGATACAAGTGCAACGTTCCCCCAAACCTAACAGTGCCTTTGACATCACCTAGAGCTGGCTGGCTGAGACAGAATAGACCATGGTCACGCTCGAGTCCTTGTGATTGAACTAAAGGGTGGTCTTGTATACGGACTGCAATCCGGTATTGTCCATTATCTCTCATGGCCTCGTAACCCATGCTGGGGGGACCAGAAAGGATTCGCAAAGTGAAGACTCGTCGGGCCCTGCTGTGGTGAGCTATCGCGTACGCCGTCTCGCATGTTTGTGTCTCTTCTAAAACTTCACATGTCTTCTTTGTGCGTTGATTTAGCTCTTCGTGGTATCGCAGCTAGTGCAGTGAACTCCACGAGGTCACGGTAGAGGGGCTGCGGCATGTGAACAGTGCGCACGCTGCATATCCGTGGCGAGTATCGGTGAAACGGTCAAGTAAGTGCATAATAGGGTAGTGGCAAGAGGGCAATTTGGCTAACGAGAGAAAAGGCTTATTGCGTGGCCATCGGGCGTCGATGAAGCGTAATCAACTGTCCCACCACCCGCCAGGCCCGGCTGACCTTGCACAAACGGCCGCTACGTAGGCCTGCTGGCCGGCCAATAAGTGAATTTTGTCTCATTTGAGTCTGCCATCTCCTTCTGCATGCAGTTACCTGGTTCGTTTGTTTGCGGGGCTAGGACGTGAAGGCAGGCGCGCCCCATCAACACCACGCCATTGTTGACCCCAGCTCATTACGGACCCTGACCATATAAACCCACGCTGCTTCACTTCTCTTCTCCCCACCACTCTTTCAACCAGTTTCGCTCCCTACCATTGTCATTCATTACCTCAACCTTGTGAATCATAAATTGCATCAACAACACTTGCTTCAGTAGCAATCCTCTCAACTTCTACTCTACGATAACCTAGGACCTACAACATTATCCGAACCCCACCATGAAGATGTTCTCTCAGCTTGTGGCCCTGATGGCTGCTACTGCAGTCGCAGCTCCGGCCCACGATACAAAGGTTCGCGGTCTCGTCGCCGACGACGCTCCCCATTCGAGTGACCAGAACTTCATCGGCGCCGTGATGCGAGCCCACTGGTACTGGCGCACCTTGCACTGTGCTCAGCCGCTCGTCTGGGACAGCGATCTTGCCGACGCAGCAAAGGCGGATATCGCAGAGTGCACCCCGGACCCCGAGCATGTAAGTGGCAAGAACTATGGCAGCCAGTAGCATGACTAACGCGTGTAGAAACGTGCCGGCAGCAACCTCTCCTCAGTCAACCTCGCACCTGAGAACTATGACGCCTGGGTTGAGTTCGCCCGCACTGCTGTCCATGGCTGGCACGAGGAGGAGACCAAGTATCCGTACAACAACCCACACTACGACGCGTCATGGGGCCACTTCACTCAGATGGTGTGGCGCAACACTACTCGCATTGGCTGCGCACTGGGACACTGCCCGACTACGGTTAACTACCCAGGTCGCCTCTACTGCTGTAAGTGGAGATTGGATTGAACAGACTCGAAAGCGGTTACTGATACGCACAGACTACTCGTTCTTTGGCAATAATGTTGCGACTGGCCAGTTCGAGGCGCAGGTTTGGGCTCCCGTTTGTCACGATCCAGATGCTGCGTCGGTGACGACGCGCGACGATGTCCATTTCGACTGGACCCGCTGAGACGCTCCCGCTTCACCGTCGCACGGCCTTCGCGTGACGCCTGCGTAACGACGTTGGTTGTGACATGTTTCCTCAAGGTGTTTGGCGCTTTTCCCTCTCGGCCAAGCTTCTTTGCATATGGCGTTCAGGGTGAGAAGTTTACTGCGTTTTCTTTGTTTCAGTAACGGCTTCTGTGTATCAACGGTGACGACTTTGGGTAGTTTTCTATTAGGGCGCCGATGAAAAAAAAAAGGATATTCCGATGTAGGGATTTGCTTCATGGATAGACAAAGTGCTGTTTCCGAGCATGTCATAACCCTGTCCGAGGCTCATAGTTACTTGAGAATAATGATATCTGGCGTAGTACAATTATAGCAGCTGCTCAGCTAATTTGCCGGGCCTTTTCTGTTTCTTCCATGTCTCTTGTCTTGTCGATTGGTCATGTCTAGAACCCCGTCTGCGCCATGAGAAAGACACTGTCATGTCCCGAGACATTCGCGATAGCAAACACGAAACGATAAATCCCATGTAGTATATAATGATCAGGAGCTTCGTGGTTCCACCCTACCACTTACCAAAAGCTCATCTTCGGATTATCTCATCCTTTTTGGCCTGAGTACTTCAACCGCATCTATTACTCCGAACTACCGCATCCACATCGCAGCGAATTCAATTTCGAAGACAACCCTTAGTCGCAGCATATATCTTCCCAAAACAGCCTCATACGCTCTACATTGTCGCCAGTATGGAGGCACCTGACCCGGGGGAGTTCACATTCACCGTCATGGAAAAAGCGTTCCATGTGTGGCTAGGCCACAACACCTTCGAGTTTCTACGTAACGAAACGGAAGCGCAAGGGTCAACATGGGTTCATCTGGTCCTGGGGAAAACGGTGGAAACTGTTTTGGGGGTTGCGGCGGAGATGGGTCCTGGGTCAGACAGCACTGTCGAGACTATGGTGTTGGTGAATCAGGAATTGGAGAGGAGGATTGAACAGCAAGATTTGCAGCTTTACAATGTGTGGCAGAGCGTATGGAAGGCCTTCTCGTAGTAGCCTGGGTTAGTGGTCCGGAGATGACGGCGTGTAGACTAGACTAGACTAGTGTATAGAAGGAGAAGGGGAGACTAGAAGGTTGTGCTTTAGGTACGCTAATACAAGCAGTATCCAAAAGACGGGAAAAGCAAGCAGCTGTTATGTCATGCATCGTGACTATATTCCACAGCAGAGGTATTTGACATGTAGTGACAGCTAGTGCGGCTCTAATGTGTTTGGCTCAGCCTCGGATTCGCAGCCAGTAGGCCATGTTTGCTGCACGGGGCCCTCGCGATCCCCAAGACGCCGGGCGGGCATTCCCGCGATCGCGAAAGCAAAAATCGGCCCTACAATTGCCGTCAGCGCATGCCAAAACCCCATCCTCGCTCATAAACCCCCATCAACGCAGACCCTGAAAATCTCTCCTTCCCATCCTGCACCATCACTTTTGCATCGCGAACATGTCTACCACAGTCTCTGCCTGCAAGCGTCTCGGAGATAGCAGCCTGACATGGCCGCCCTGAACGGCATCCCTGCCCCAACGGCGGTGCGCGATTGCGCTATTGACATCATTTCACGCCACCAGAGAGCCTCGAACCTGTAGTCGCCCTCTTTGCCCAAGTCCCGCGACCCGCGACCATGCAAATATCTGACTTTCAAGGAACCCCCACTAAAGAGGCGTCGTGCTTTTGCTCGCACTCGCCTCCTCGACGACCCGCCCCAGCGCGTGTCGCCTGTGCCTGTGTTGGGTGCTGGCCGGACCCAGGTCCGCGTGCTTTTTACACGAGTCGCAAGTCGTTCGTTTAGCCCTGCTGCCACCCTCCTCGTGCTCGTGGGTTTTGCGCGTGCCGCACGAAAGAAAGTCGCTCGGTTCTTGTTTAAGTTTCCGGCCTTTTCGTCTTGTTTCCGCGAGTTTCGACAAAGAGGCTAGACCGATCGACATACTTTACTGCAAGCCAACTACGACAACTGTCTGTAAACACTACCGATTTATACCGACTGCTCTCCCTTCATCTTCGCTACTGTCACTGAGGGAATATGTTGGAGAAGCAGGGACATGCGGCGCGGGAAGAGGGTAGAGATGCGTCGCCTAGACTACCAGTCTCGCTATCGGGAGAGATCAATGCAGCCACACGGTAAGCCAGCCAGCCCCGCTTCAGAGCCGCAAACCAAACTGGAGAGCAAAACGATGCTGATTACATCGACTACAGAGCCCTACACACCAACCTCAATCGTTTAATCACTTCGCGCCTTCCACTCGCCCTCCCGCCATATACAAACGACCCCGCCCTCTACGCCACCGGACTCGTCCACTTTGCGCACATCTTCCTAACCTTTGAATCGCTATGGGCTGACCTCCTACGCGACCATGGCACCCACCCCGCAGATACCGACACAGCAGCAGCAGCCATGGACCCAGAAACCGCCACCCCCTTCTCGCCATTACTATCTTATCTCCTCGTAAACCCATACGACTCGCCCTCACTCTTCACATCCACCCTCGGTGCACCAACCCCGCCATCCCCCCAACTTACCGCTTTCCTCCAATCCCTCCGACCAAAAGGATTAATACGCTCCGGACGCCTGAAAAGAGATCTAGAGTACCTCCTAGCCGTCCACCCCACCGACCTCGAAGTCCTCCTGGCCAAATATCCTGGCGACAAAGTCGCAGACTTTTGCACACACATCCGCAAGAGCGTCAACGAGAAACCGTGGACCCTCGTCGCCTACGCATGGTGTTTCTACATGGCAATCTTCTCCGGCGGCCGCTGGATACGCGGCGGGTTACTTCAAGCACCGCCTGGTTTCTGGCCCGCAGATCATAACGGTCAAGAAGCTGACTTGCAAGACCGCGGGTTGTCGTTTTGGCATTTTCCCGGCTCCGCAGACGGAGAAGACATCAAAGCCGAATTCAAAGCCCGACTAGCAGCCGCAGAGGACCTTTTCACCCCAGACGAACGCGTCGACATCATCGAAGAGGCTAAACACATTTTCCGCCTCTGCGCTACGCTTGTCGATGAGTTGGATGAGATGATTGGCACGGATATGCAGGCTGCACAACTGCAACGGCATTTGTTTCCACCTCAACCTCAACACCAATCCCAACAATCCCAACATCAGCATCAGCATAAGCATCAGCATCCGTCAGACTCGCAGCTTGCGCAGTCGGGGTCGGAGAAACAACATCTTATGGGTGTGAGTCAGGTGCTAGCTATGAGGGTTGCGCCCGTGACAAACAAGTCAAGGGATCCGTTTAGTCTGTTTTTCAAGAGACCAGAGGTCACGGGCACGATTGTGGCGGTGGGGTGTTTGGTTTGTGTTGTACTTTTTAGGTTGCAGTAGGAGTTTTTCTTGGGGATGTGAGCGTGGTGTTGGGCTGGGTGTTGCATGGCGTGGTGTTTGGGGTTCTGGGGTTTGGGTTTTAGTTCTGGGGGTTTTTGAGCGTTTGTAGAGACGTTACATGTGTTGTGCTGTGTTGCATTTAGCGGTGTTTTGTATTTTAGCCGTTTTATTCTTTCTCTTCTTTCTTGTGCAATTTCGTCTTTTTAGGTTTGCTTGCTTGCTTGCTTGATTGATTGCATGTACTTATGCATACCTGTATACTGTCCCTAGCTTCGTTGGATACCCTAACCCTTTCCCCTTCCTCTTCCTCTTCCTCTCGCATCTCATACTACAATGAACACCTCACCCCATCCTACATCTAACTCCCACACCAGACTTACTCCCCACGATATCTCACTTCACTTCACTTGACTTCACTCCACACGCAGCCACAGAAAACATCATCAACGAAAAACTTGTAACATTCATTCTACTTAAAGAAAACTGGACTAAGATACTAGTTGTCTTTGCACATTTGTTTTTGGTATGTTGTATGCGTTTGATATGAGATAAGCTATCATACTCGTTGTCGTCGTTGTATGTTTTTTGGTGTTATCTGAGGTGACTCATATATTTAACTTCCTCTTCTTTGACTTTTTTTTTGGTGGTTTGGGTGGTGTGGTTGGAAGGAGGTGGGTAAGGGTTCGTTGTCGTCGTTGCATGTTTTTTTTTGGAGGGTTTTGATGAGGCAAACCTGTCGTTTGCTTGGCTCGCTTTTCTTTGTGGCTGTTTGTGTGTGTGTTGGATTGGGAGAAGAATGAAGATGTGAGATTTCGTTCTCGTGAGGTGTACGTATTCGCAAGGAGAATCACATCTAGAGCGCATGATACTTAATGGCCGGAGAAAAAGTGATTCCGTGAACTTTACGTAGATGAGCCTTGAGAGCTGATGCGACGAAGTAACCCTTGCCGTTGACGCGGTTGCAGCCCGGTTGCGGACATTGGTAGTAAGAGTGGTCATGGACAGTGCGTATGTGCTTGTTGCGTTTTCCCGAGAATTTGAATAGTTCTGTTTCAGGACTGTTTGCTGAAGCCGGCTTTGATTTTGAGCATCCCTCCTTTTCGCAGATAAGCTGCCACCCCTGTGATCCTCCATCGTCCTCAATGTGATGGTAGTTTCGAACATGCTGGGCGAGATGATCTCTACGCTTGAATCCATTCTTCCCACGATACTTCTTGCAGTACTTGCAGGGGAAACGTTTGGCATCAACTTGGTGCTTCCGCATGTGCCTTGTCAGGCCAGCACTTTGGGTAAATTTGCTCGCGCATCCATCTTTCTTACAAGCATAAGGGATATGGCCTGAGTTTCCGACGTGATAATTGAGTTCATAGTTGGATCTCACGAGTTTTGAACATTCATCGCACCTGGGAAGATTTGGATGTACACTTCGCTCGTGAGCCTCCAGTTCATGAGTATCAGAACAAGGATGTTGGCAGGACTCAAGAGAACACTTGAGCATGGGAGGATTCTCGGTTTCGCCGAAGTTGCTGTGACGGGTTAATACAAAGTATGAGTAGCATATAGAGTTTCTTACCTCATGAAGTCCTGACCGACCATGCCCGGAATAGACGGATTGAGAAAGAAATATTGCCATTCTTGATTCGATACCGGGTGATTGGAAGTAAGCGCGGTTATCATCCCGAGTTCATCCTGGGGAGGCTGAGGCTCAAATGGCATGTGCGGGCCGTTCAGATTGTAAACAGGGAAATCCACTTCCGGAAGGTTCTCTGGAGAAACCAGCCAATCATCTGTGTAATCCTGCTGCGCTAGATATCCGCTCTTAAGCCTGACGGCGAGACCCTTTTTGTTAGCAATGTGTTAAAAAAAAAGCCTCACCCAAATTCCTGGAACATGTAGTCCATGATTGGCAAAGGTAGAACGAGGCTGCAGGCGACCTTCCTCAAAGTGTCGAGGCTGTGCAAGCCACCAGAGTCGATGTGTTGGCAGTGGTAAAAGCGGTAGTAAGGCTGAGCGGGGTGCGGGTACGGAAAGTCGAATATTTTAGTGAGTCAAGACCGGACGACAGCGATAATACATACCTGTATCCAAACAAAGCTCACGCTGCTTTAGTGCAGGGAGAGAAAAGGGTCCCTGCCCTTTTTCTATGGGATTGTCAGCGAGAGCCCCGCCGCGCTCTGTAGATGTTTTCGTGTGAGTAGTGAGGTGAAGATGTGAATCGGCTTGCCGATGATGGTTGCATGGTGGGGTTATACCAAATGATGTAGGTTCCTCCGTCATACCCTAAACAGCCTCTCCCAGTCCTTCGCCTTTCCAAAGGCTATCAATATCATTATCTTGCAACGCAGCACTTTTCATGTCTTGAATCGCACATCTTTTATTTGGCTTAATGACCCCCTCCTCTTCCCGTCGGAATGAATATCAAAGATTACTAGGCAATCTTTACCCTGTTGCTCCAGGGTGAACTGTATTCCCATCAGTCACAGTCAGACCCTGTCTCTGGGTCTCAGGCACTTTCCATTAAATCATCGTCCTAGCATAACAAACACTCTCCATGACACGTACTGTCCGGGCAGTCGCAACCTCCTTCACGTTCTGCAAGCCAGCGAGTTCACTCCCCAAGAGCATAATCCTCGTATTCATCTTGCTTGCACCACTTCGCCATTGCAACCCACTGCATCTCCCAACCATCGTTCCTATGCATTTCTTCCGATGCAGACCAGGTTGAATACTATTTATCGTTTTCGAGCAGCCAACGATCGCCGTACGTGAAGTGAATGTTTGGTCGTCTATGTGGCCCGCTTGGGGCATATTCAAGACGCAATTTCACGCTTGGACTTGGTGAGAACTGCAGATAGCCGTTTGTGGACGCTGAAGGAAATGCACCACGTCTCCTACACCGCTCTTCTTCGAACCGAACATCGTCGGACCAGTCTGCGATCGCTCGCTTCGGCTACTCTGTCAAGGCTGCAAGAAGCTGCCCAACAGTGATCCCATCTTCGTCGAAAACAACTGAGTGCTCATTTAAGTCCTCCTGAAATATATGCGGCGTTGTGCATGGTGGATGCGTGGCGAACCCAGCGCAGATAGTCTCATAGAACGTAGTACCAACACAGGCGGGGATCGTGAGATTATTTTGTCCTGGAATCAACTCGATATCGTAAAATCCACAAACAAATTGGATTCTCCGCCCAAAGAGAAAGACGAAGTAAGGATTGAACTCTATCTGTGAGAGGTCCAACCATGTGGGAGAAGTGGGCAGGTCCGGTTTGCCACCACCCCCAGTAGGTGCTCTGCTGCATTTATTAAGAAGATGCAGCCCCGGTGATACTTCAGAATCTAAATTGAATGCCTGGTGTAGTCTCGCTGGTATAAAAAATCCGTCATCTCCCGTTTGTTTCGCGTCGATGAGCTTCGCAACGTGGGACATGGGGTAACGCAACATCAACTCGGCCCGAATGATAAATCTATCCAATGAGATCAGAGTTCGCGATGACTGTGAGGCGAAGAAGACACGCAATTCAAAAAGAGGGAAGCTAGTAAAGATCACGGGTTTCTGCCCGTGCACATGCTTATGCTGCCTAATCGAGTTCCAGACTACAAAAGACTTCGCTCGCCAGTCGGCTCCTTCCCCTTTTCACAAATCTCAGCGTCTACTTCCGACGTCTTTCACCATGGCAGAAAGCGAAAGATCTGCTCAACCAGAGCAACAAAAATACGACGAAGAAGAGTATGGTCTTTATCCTTACGACGTGTTAATCATGAAATGGCTTCCAGATACCGATCCGCTGAGTCTCGATAAATTCACAGGTTCAGGATCGATACAGGACTCAAATTTACCACGACTTTGGTCGACGTTATTGGATGCGAGACGCCGAGAGCTAGACGCTAGTTCTTTAGACGAGGTCTCCCTGACCCCCGCAAAGCCTTGGCCGTTGCCTCCTTTACGCCCACGCAGCCAGCTTGAACCTGGTGTTGAAGAATGAAGGTAGCCTCGACTCTTGATGATTGATGCACATATTGCATTATGGGCGAACAACATCCGAACGCTACCTGGTGGTGTTATGCCCGACGCCCACCTTCCGGACGTCTTAAATGGAAGTGACTGTGCGCGAATGCAGCCAATCCAAAGCCATCACTAGGCTCTTTATATCCCGGAATTACTACAGGCTATGCATGGTTACCTTGACCCCAAGTCACAGTTCATTACTCGCAACGTGTGTCATTACTGGCGCATATTATTGGCAGAAATACTATGCTTGAAGTTCCGCAGCCACAATCCGTGTGGACCCATCGAGTACCGCCAACCAATCACATCCGACGTCCCTGAGCTGCGACCATGTCTCACAGAGATGAATGCCATGCACGCCGAACTGGCGGGGCGTCTAGCCGTTTGTCAGGCTCCTCATTACGATTACTGCTTCCCCGCACGTCTCCATCAGGTAATCGCACTAGACAAGTCAACCTTGGACCTCTTTCGCACCCTGATAAGTCTACATCCATGGAATTTCTTCACTCTCAAGTTACCGGATGTACCTTCTTGGTTAGACCTCACCCAAGTGAAGTTCAACCCATACTTCACTGAACTTTTCCCGGGGCTTTTTACATTCTCATCTGGTCGGTACTCGCTGGAACTGATCTTGGGGCATGATAACGTCATCAAATCCGGAGCTGAAGAAATCTGTCGACTAATTAGTTCCATGTATGTTACCCAGCCGCCATGCAAAGCACTGGGAGTATATCTCGACTGTGCACAACGTGATTCACGTACTTTGCGGATTGGACTCACATCCAATGAAAAAGGTGTTACCATCTCGGATTCTTCTCGACACGCTCCGAAAGTGCGCCCCTGAGGCTATTGAACATTGGTCTCACTTAGCGAATTCCGCCAGGCAAAAGATCGCCGAGAACGACTGGACGTATTATACATTTGCCAGTCAAAAAAATTATTTCTGGCGCAGATTCCAAGTGCCTGACAGACCCAGGATAGTTATTGTCTTGAATAATGCCTATGGCCACGGAAGACACTGGGGTCGTTGGTCTTGTACAAATCTTGAATCAGGCACAAAACTCTGGAGGGCAGCGTACGTACATTGGGCAGAAGAGGATGGGCACAGTCTAGATGCTTTTGTGTAATCTTCAAGGCTCACAGTCTGTCATCAAATGAGATCGAAGAAATCAGTAAGCTATGGCTTGCATCATCTTCACTTCAATGAAGATGATCGAGATCCACTGCAACATTTCATAGCAACATAGAAGAGACAATCCATGAATAATTTCAATACACCAAGACTTGCACATTCACAAACTAATTCTCACAAGCATGCATCAAAGAAACATATCAAACACTTCGTTCATTTTAACTCACGGTATAAACAATCAATCAATCAAACACCCGCACCGCCCGCCTGAGTCAGCAGTCCAATTTGAAAACACGCAGAAAGAAACCATGTCGTAACATCCGGGCCGCACCCACCAGGAGACCAACCCTACCCTTCCGGGTGAGTCAAAGCCATCGACCGGTGAGTGCAGCCACTCGTTGTCGTTCATCCGTCAATCGTACACGCGCCAAACACCGAACAAAACAAGGTGTACAAGTACACCGCCGACCCAACCATTGTTATACACGTAAACTGCTGACTCAAACCAAGGAACACAATCCAAACACCGACTCAAACCAAGATATAGACGAGGTGATCGCAGAGAACCCGGGCCGCACCCACCAGGAGACCAACTCAAACCCTTCGGGTGAGTCTAGGTCATCGAACGGTGGATGCAGCCGCCCGTCCTCATCTCAACACCTCATCTCATCCCAGCACCGAAACGGCTCAAACCTAGTGTGAAGGATCGAACGGGTTGAAGGGCTCAACAACCACCTTCTTGCCGAACCTACGCTTGAAACCCGCCTTGACCCTAGCCCACTTAGACATGTTCTTCTTCTGGGCCTTCCTAAAAGCGATGCGAGACTGTTGGATCTCGTGGAGACGGGCCGCCTCCTCAGCCTTGAAGAAGTGCATACGAGCCTGAAGGGCCTCGCGCACGTGGTCACGAGCAGCAGGGTTGCTGAAGACCTCATCGTTGTCCGGGTGGAGGAGAATGATCTCCGGGATCTTGGAGATGGCGATACCCGAGTCTACGATGCGGTGGTAGAGGAACTTCTCGAGGTCTTCGGCACACCAGCACGGCTGGCCGGGGATGGGGATGAAGGTGGCGCGGATGGCGCGGATGATACCAAAGTCTGTGATCTGCTTGGCCTCGTACTGAGAGAGAAGCTTGCAGATGTACTGACCGCGCTGAAGGAGGCGTGACTCGCGGTGAGTCCAGGCGCGCTTGTAGTTGGTGAGGCTAGGGGGGAGAAGCCAATTCTCTTGCGTGAGACGGTAAGCTTCGAAGAAGTCGTTGAGCTTGGAGCGGGGGTTGGGGATAAAGTAGCCCTTCCAAAAGTTCTTCTTGTAGACGGCAGCTTCGACGAGAGTGCGAAGATGAGGGTATAGGTTTACCTGTGTCACTGGTACTGTGTAATCAGTAGTGATGGTGCGCATGAGTGGTTGAGGGATTTCGAAGATGCCAACGACATCGGGGTCATGGTAGTTGGACTTGCTGCCAGATTTACGGATGTAATGGGGACCCTTGTCGAACTCCTCGACGGTAACACCGGCACCAGCGATGAGCTTGGCCTTTGTCATAGTAAAGATGTCTTCTTCAGCAAGACTATCCATGTAGACGTTAAAATGCTCGGGATCCAAGAGGTGTTTGCGCTCCTGCGGTAAGATTTGTGCTACAATGAACTCGTGGTCTTCCTCATTCAAGGCACGTTCCTCAACAAGCATGGCGCTGTACTTCATCATATTGTAACGGCCGATCCACAGTCGCTCAATGGAATCATTAGGCATCTGGCTCGCACGGATAGTGACACCGTGGACGTTGAAGGTGGCATCTAGTAGATTGCCCTCAGCATCGTACTGTTGCAGCCCAAAATGCTCGTTCATCTGCTCAATGATGGCAATGTTGCTAGGACAGCCATTGGCGGCAAAGTAGGCCAAGTCCTTCATAGCCTCGCGGCGACGCATGGCTTCGATAGCTTCGTTGGCAGTACTCTGTTGTGCTCTAGGCTGGACAATGGCAGATGCATCGCAAGGAACCTGAACTGGGGCAGAACTAGCCCTCTGACCTGCGATCTTGTTGATGATATCCAAAGGCTTCATCCGCTTGCCAGTGTTTGGTTGCTGTTTGATGGCAGCATGACGTTGATTGAGGAGCTCCTCTGCGGCACGCATAGCAGCCAAGGCAGCCTCCATCTCAGCATCGTGCGCATCAAGATTGTTGTTGACGTCCTCACTTGTGTTGAAACGGACATTGACACTCGTAGTGACATTGGTTGGAGTGTGAGTAGCGTTATGAGTAATGTCCGTTACATGTGTGTCCTTTGAGGTATCGGCAACGGCTTCGGTATCCTCGTTAGGAGACTCGGAGCGCACAGTCGCAGGGGGTGTCAAGGGATCGATGGTCAGCTTGTTCGAAGGACACATACCAAAAGTCTTAGCAGCCTCGGACTCGACCATAGTGGCATCGGCGGTAGAGGGGGGAGTGGAAGGATCGTGGATCTGCAGTTTTGGGTTAGCGACGTCATTGCATATGTTCATAGCACTGACCTTGCGGTTGCCCAAACCAAGGCGGAAACGCTTCTTGATCGTAAGTGCCTGAGTAGTAGATGACAACGAAGAAGGGGTCGCATCCGTGGCAGAAGAAGAGCTCATGGGGGTGCTGGTGTCGCAGTACTGTTGGCCGAGACCAGTCACAACATGCGCCAGCCGCTCGCGCTTGTGAGCCATGTGCGGGCTAATGGAGAAGACCGATGCTGGGGTGGTTGCAATGTTGCCGTCAGTGGTGTTGTCATTGTTGTCTGGGCTCTTGTTGACTTTGCTGCCCTTGACACCACGAGACAACATCGCCGACAAGATTCGCTTGTAACCCACCATAGCGAAAGTGTAGATGTAAGTGATGGTGTAGAAAGTGCTTCAAGAGATAATGATAATAGCTGGGACAGATGTCACTGTACCGTTGTGCAAAGTCAATGTGTGGGTGTGGGTGGCGTGGGTAATTTCGAGCTGGTGGTGGGCAATAAGTACTATCAACACCGCCAAGCTTTTGCAACAGGGTCACACGGCGCAGCTAAGAGCATTTTGTTTGCTGTGGTAAAAGAGTGAAAGAGAGTCGGGCGGGGTGTAGTCCCATGACTCGGTCAGGCAACACCACATAGAAGAGACTGCACGCGTGCAAGACCGCAGTGCAAGTGCAGTGCAAGTACAATCCAGATGCAAGCATTGCAGGAAACTGTATTGTGGTCAGCAAGCCCCTCTATACCCATGCCACAAGATCTTGATGTCCAAGATGCATGAGATGTAAACACACGCATTCCCTTGTGGCCGGCACCTGTGGTAGCTCTTGGGAGCAGAGTTGCCAACAAGCAAGTCAAGTTGCTCGTCAAACCTGGACGCTAACCGCTAGGAGTAGGAGTTATACCTAACAAAGTAACTACTAGGCTACAATAGGTAATCAAGCAAGTCAAGTTGGACCTTCTGAGCCCCACTTACTTGCTTGTTGGCAACTCTGCTTGGGAGACGGCGCAGGTCCAGCCTGCGGGCTTTAGCGACTGCGTAACATAAGGCTCGAGAAGAATGTAGTTACTATAAGAAAAAAATTTACGAAGAAATATGCACCTCTTCTTGCTCTTCGGCGTGACAGTGGCCTCACCACGTTGTTTTTCGAGCAGCGCTCGTTATTTCTGGGAGCACTGTCTTGTTTATCTCATCGGAAAGGGAGAGAAGAGGTGCATATGAAATTGCTTGCATTACATTGTAGACTATATGGCAATGTCGGAGCAAGACATGGGAAAGACATGGGAATGTCCGGATTAGATTATAGGAAGAGACAAGAAAGGCATATGAATGTACTTATGATATTTCAGAGACAGATGGGACAGGCATAGAAATGTTTTACATTGCAGTGATTGAGGGAAAGACATGGAAATGACTGCACGTTATTGTAGAGAGAGATGGTACAGGCATAGAAATGACCGCATGCCATTGTAGAGAGAGATAGAAAAGGCATGGAAATGTTCTTATCGTATAGAGAGAGAGAGAGAGAGAGAGAAAGAGATGGGACTGGCATAGGAATTTCCGGATTACATTGCGGAGATTGAGGGAAGGACATGGAAATGTCCGCATGACTTTGTGGATAGAGATGGCACAGGCAAAGAAATGCTCTTATTACATTGCAAAGAGTGAGATGAAAAAAGCAAGACGATTATCTAAACATATCCCGCTCACATAGAAATAGAGGTGATAAAGAGAATCCAGACGCCATGCTTACCAAATATTTAAAGATGAAATGAACAAGGGACCATGAGTTGCGAGACGTGGTCCGAGGTTTGCTAAATCCGTCCCACCGATAACTTCTGCCTACCAGAAAGTTGGGCGACAACATGCACTCATACAAACCTTCTCAGTACCATGAACAAGAGTGCAGCCACTACACCGTAGATACAGGTATCAATCCAAGCCAGGTCTGGACTGCGGTGGGCGACCTGGTGAGGTGCTGGTGCGGGTACCGTCCGAGTCGGTCTCACCATAGGTGCAACAGGTACAGGACGTGCTGTATCCACGATAGGAGTTGCTGCCGCCGCTTCCGAACCTGATGGAGAAGCAGCAGGTTTCACTTGGACAGGGCTTTCGGTTGCCCTCCCCTTGCCCTTGTCTACCTTGTCGTCCGCGTTTTCCCCCTTCCCGAGCTCATCTCGATAAGCGAGTCGCAGCTCCTCGGGAACGTCCTCGTCCTTCCGCTTGCCCTCCTTCTCCTCAATCTCCTTGACCATCTCCTCGCGTTCCTGCATGATTTCCGTGTTGCTTTTTCCGCACCCCGCACATTTCCATGCACCGCTTTCCTTGGCCATGCGCTCTCGTGCGTTCTTGCTGCACTCAATGCCACCGAGCTGGCCCTTGGCATCGGTATCCATGAAACTTCTAATCGCAACGAGGGCCGTGCGCACACCCCACGCTGGCTGCCACGTCTCCTCATGATGGCCAGATATGCTGAGACAGATCTCGCGATTGACTTCAAAGCGGCCGGTGGGTGTAAGGAAACGAAACGAGGGTGGCCTGAGTGGGTACGAAGAAGGGAGGACTATCCGGCCATGGTAGATGCCGCCAGCGTATGGAGACGGTTCGGGTGGGCCGCGGATAGTAAAGTGCCATTCGAATAGGTTCGTTTCGAGCGGTTCAGCGTGTAGTCTGAGGAGGGTGAGGTGGATAGTTCCGAGGCTTCTTTTACTGTAGCCCGTTAGCTACGGTACTCATCGCAATAGAGACGCGCTTACATATGCGCTTAATTGTAGGGTTCTTCGTGTTGAACTGGCCGCGGTTTTACATCTTCGCGGCTACAACAGATTCTGAGGTTGGGTATAGCGAGATTCTAGCAGGTGATAAGTCAGGTGAGTGAGTGTCAGGTTTGCATGAGTTAGTTTGGCGATACGACGGAGTGAATGTTTCGTGTCGCAATCACTCCAAATGCAACGTGTAAGACTGCGAATACGGCGGCCGTGGTAAGCGCCGCCCGCCGCATCTAACTTATCGATAAGCGTGACCCACCGTCTCGTGCATCGTGCATCGGGGAGGTTGGGAAGTCTGTGATCATCAAACTGAGATCTTTGATCATGTTCAGCCATGATTCATATACGCCTGAGCCTATGCAGGCGTTGAAGCTGCTACTAAGGCAAGCCATCTGGGGTGGCAGTCTGAACGCGCACGTGCCAGGCACCCATCAGCACTCCACTGGTCCGTGCGTAATGACCGTTTCTTCCAGCTCTTCCACTTCCGTGACAGTGAACAGATGGGGAATTCAGTTGTTTGGGACGATAGCGTAGAGAGACCAAATTGTGGCCTTGATTGCGAAGAGTTTATCATCGCCACATAATTGGGCTAGGCTGCGATTGTGATGGGTCGCCAAGACCATAGGGTCCCTTCCTAGGACATTTTCACCCGCCCTCTAGCTTCCTGCTTTCACATCCGTCGCAGTACTTGGCTACTCCATACTCCGCATCCACAATCAAACCTTGCCTGATGGCTTCGCTCGAGCAGGCCACTAGCGAGGAAAACGCATCCTAGATCCACCCCGACGATGTCCTCATACTCAAGCATTTTCCAGAAACAGATCTTCCTTCACTATTCGGGAATGATGGTGCATATCTCACCTTACGTAACTTCGCTATAGACCTCGAAGGACGGGGAATAGCGCCTCCTCGAGTACCATGGCCATCACCGCCACCTCGTTCCCGCGAGAATTTAGAGGCTGGGGTTGAGGAATGAAGAAACAAAGCCGTGCAAGCCATCAGCTCACGTCTGAGTCTGTACACATGTCCACCGGTAAACGCTGATACACAGGCACCAGTCGCTCAAAAAGATCGTGTTTCCTGCAACATAATTCATACTACGCATCGCGCCTTGCTAGTGACTGAAATGCTCGAAACTATCCTCCGATGCGCGTCTCCGAAAACTCAATTTGTTGCGCGGAATATCAATACCAAATGGCGACAAACAATCGACTATATCCTGGGGTCTTCGTATCGCTCCCCTGAGCCTTGCGCGTCCGTACAATACGGTGATGCAATTGATGCACAAGTATTTGCCGTGCCGGCACCCGACGAAGAAGTAAAAGATGCCGAACAACAAGCTTCTAGGCTCTCACAGATGCTGCCTCCCGAGGCTTCCCAAGTTTCTTACACTGCTCTAATAACACAAGCACATTCTCTTTCTCAATCGGCGTATGATGCGTATCAGGCTGTGTATGAGCGTGTGTGGAGAGCCCCGGCGTTCTCGTTCAGTAGTGGCGTACGGCGATGGGTTGATTGGAGCCAGTTTGTCTTCTATCCATACCTTCTACAACTACTTTTGGGACGTATGGAGTTGGAGTTTGGCAGATGCGACATTGCCTTAAAGGGTGGCCCCGGTCCACCAACTGCGTATCGAAGCCCGCTTGTAGGTGCGAATTTCCACCAACTTCTTGGACCAATGTTTCTCACGCAACCGCCCTGCAAAGCACTCGGCACCTACATCCCCACAGTAGGTAGGAGTTCGATAGCCCCCGTCAGGGTTGCCAACAAGCAAGTAAGTGGGGCTCAGAAGGTCCAACTTGACTTGCTTGATTACCTATTGTAGCCTAGTAGTTACTTTGTTAGGTATAACTCCTACTCCTAGCGGTTAGCATCCAGTTTTGACGAGCAACTTGACTTGCTTGTTGGCAACTCTGGCCCCTGTGACTCGGATCTGCGACCCTAAGGGAATCAAATTGGGGGCTTTCTTAGATGCTCTCGAGCAGAACATCCAGCATGCTGTAAAGGTTTGGAGAGACCAAGCGGAAACCCTTCTAAAGAGTATTCAAGAACCACATTGGACAACGTTTACTACGGAATCACAGAAACACTATTCGTGGTGCTACTATGGGTATCCAAAGTTCATCATATTCCTTGAGAAAGTCGACGACGAAGTACCAGATGCTTTGACAAAGACATACCATCATTATGGTGAGGATTTTGCAAACGTATGTATGGGGGAATGGTATAAAGACATGCTCGGTTGATTTGCCCAGAGCAGGAATGCATGCTATAGTCTTCTGTCTCTCTCGAACAGTAAGAAACAAATATCGTCGGTATATCACTGGTCGGGATCTGTCACAAGGGGGGATATGCCCGCACTTATACTACGTCAGTTAGATACATGGACGCTCAAATAAAAAGGATAGACTAGTATAATCACACCTTTATGAATATTGGCAAATTTCCACTGCATACGCTTTCCCTATCAAATCAATATGTAATGCCTGGGTACATCCTTGATAGATTAACTTAGGAGCGTTTCAATTTCAACGTTTGGAAATAAGGATGGTTAGGGCGACAACGTCTTGTAGGCCAGACTTCACTTCAGTTATGGGCACACACGCCGCTTTCATTATTCACAAACGGACACAACAGAGACTAAATCATTGATAAGATTGGTAATAAAGACATGCAAACTGAAGATCATGTCGAATTCGTAGCTGCATTCATTTGCAACTATTTAGGACGAAATATTGGCCGTTGATTGCCTGTCACTTGTTTGGGCACCACCTTTTTGGTCATTTCTGAATTGCATCATGGGCGCAATGAAAAAGAGCAAAAATTCTGATTCCTGCCAAAGCAATCTGTTGCCTGGATACCTCAAGTCAACCAAAGATGCGCTGGTATAAGTACCGAACTTGATTGCGCAAATGCTAGGCACTCAGTCAGTGAATGATTCACAGGATTAAATGCAGCTTTTAAGATTTGCGACTCGCTGTCTACGTCGACGTTAGTGGTGCATTACTCCAAGCATGTTGAAAATTAACCTAGCCGTGAAATATCTGATCTGTAAGCACGTGTCTCGTTTCTAGTTTCTCGTCGAATCGCATGACATTAACCCTTCAACTCGATCTACTCTGTCCTACTCTATTCTACACTCCGCACAGACCGGTGTTTACTAATACAACATAAGACATCCCACGACCGCTATTTATGCTCGTCCCTCCTCTACTTCACAAAAGTATCTTCCTACTGATAGTGACTTTGCTCAGATTGAAGATTTTTGGTTCACAAAAACACGACCGCCGTGTCGGCAACAGGACCGGAAGAGATTACCTGCCCTCTTATGCTCGGGTCTGCAAAATAATTGATTACTATGACACGATACTACTACTTATAGATCATAATGTTAGTTATAATCCGCCCGTCCGGGCCCAGTCTTGATATATCTCTTGTCAAGGTATCTGATTTGATAGTCTTCATGTTATAGTCTACCTGTAAAGTATACTACGTAGCCTTGATGATTTCATCTGCAATCTTCTCAGCCAAGGCGTAGATCAACGCCTGAGGATGCCCAGGGGGCAGAAGCGCAAGTGAACTGGCATCCATAACCCTCAAACCCTTGACTCCGATCACTCTCGCCTTGTTATCTACCACAGCGGTCGGGTCATCGATACGTCCCATCCGCGCAGTGCATGACGCGTGCATGACTGCCATTACGCTCGTTCGAATATTGCGCAGGATCTGCTCGTCCGTCTCCACATCCAAGCCCGGCCAGAACTCGGCATCACTCGCGCGGACGCTTCGGATCGCCTCTGTGTTGAACACACTGCGCGTGCGCCTGTACATGGCCACAGCGACCTCGACATCGCCCGGGTGGGTCAGCCAATTCGGATTGAGCAATGGACTGTCTGCGGGAGAGGCACTGGCAAGCATGATATTGCCTCGGGATAGTGGTGCGGCTAACGCAGCGAGAATAGACGCGTACATCTTTCCGTCCTTTGGCTGGTCAAGCCAAGGAATATTGAAACGGCCAATATGGGCCGCAGCCGGAAAATACTCGATATGAGGCCAGTCGTCTGGATACTGGAGTAGCTGGTCCCAGGTTGATTGGCTCAGATTTGCACTGCTGGGCATGCGCTCCCATGCTAGGAACTCGGCGACGTTGGTCGTCAACGGCCCAGTACGCGATAGGGTATATTTGGCGATGGATGCGGCAAGGGTGATAGGGTCGCCGATTACCTTGTTCAGGGTGTCGAACTTCATTTCGTACGTCGGTCCAAAAAGGGCATGGTCCGTCATGTTCTGCCCTACACCGGGGCGGTCCGCTAGTACGTCGATACCATATTCAGTAAGGTGTTTCGCGGGACCGATGCCAGACAGCATGAGTAGCTGCGGCGTGTGTACGGCACCGGCCGACAGGATTACCTCCTTCTTGGCAGTGATGGTGTATTTCAGCAGTCCTGCCGCGGCGACTTCAACGCCTGTGGCCGTTTTGTCCCCATCGAAAAGTACCTTGTTGACTCGTGATCCCAGATATACAGTGAGCTTGCTCATTTTCGCGTCTCTTGCCGCATAGAAGAATTCAGCCGAGCTGGACCGGACCTGGCCTTGCGGCTCTATTGTGGTTTGCGCGTAATGATATCCGTTCAGGACGCCTTGGTTAAACTTGTCCGTCAATTTCAACCCGAGTGCCTCGAAGCCCTTGGCGGCCCAAGTCGACCACACGGGTGTCCAGTTAGGGTAGGTCACCTGGATTGGCGCATTTGAAGATTCGCTAAAGTCATCCTCCACGTAGGCTGTTGTCGCATTGGCAAGGCGTGTCTTTGTGTTCGGCGGGGTGAACGTAAAGCTTTTCTTGAAGTATGGCAGAAACTGGTCGAACGAGTAGCTTTCGTCTCCAACGGCCTTTGCCCAGGCATCCAGAGCCCCTCGGTTTGGGCGGTGATGGATCATGAAGTTCAGGCCAGAAGATCCGCCAAGGCACTTGCCTTGCGCATAATGCATCTCGCGACCCCCTGCACCAGCTTGCGGGACTGTCCTCAAGCCATAGTCAACGGTTGGGATGCTGTCAGCGGGGTTTGACCCTACACCGATAATGTCACCTAGGGGTGCAGGACCGACGATAGGCTTGCCTAACTCGTATGACCCTCCGGCCTCGACGACTGCGACTGTAAAGCCAGCTTCAGCTAGACGGTAGGCAATGGTGTTGCCGCCTGTGCCACCGCCAACTACCACATAGTCATAAGACTGCTTAGCACCGAGCTTGCCTGTGAGACTTCCTAGAGACGTCTGGGTGAGACCGCCTAGAGAGGTCCATACGCTGTCAAGGATGGGGTCCAATATCGAATCCAGTAGTGGTAACGCGAGAACGGAAGGAATTAGAACCAGCTTCGAAAGGTGCATCTTTGAAGATAGAATACGGAGCCCCTAAAGCGGGTCTCTTTCTGTAAGTGTATGAAACCGAACACAATGGTTCCAGGCTGGAATCAATAGGTATTACCTGGACTAAAAGAAAACTCAACCTTTTATCACCAACTTCAGCTCTAATGCACATCCGTTTATCCACTTAACTTAACTACATTGAAATAGAATTCTAGAAATCCCTTCGCGTAGATCTTACGTTTTGAGAGAATTCGAAAAAGACATTTTCTAGTAGATCAAAAGTTCAGCTGGACTAATAGAGTTACCATTTGCCCCCCAAGTATGTTAAATTGAGCGGGCTCGATGCAAGGATGAGAAAATACGAGCGACGTATCGGAGGACCTTCTCTATTTGGCAAAGACTCGCCAAATTTTCCCTACCGCATCTTAGATCCAGTGGGCCTTACGCAAGCCTCAAAAGACTAGTAACCTATCATAGAACTTTCACTGTTCGTATCTTCCGGATCCGTGTTGAGGTTGAAGGGACTCCGGAAGAGGCTGCCGTGGTGCTAGCAGGGTATCTCATCGAGATGCACGAGCAACTGAGTACACATAGCTTTCGTCCCCGGTCCACAGGTTCTCGGCGAGGCTTTAGTGGGCTAGTCTACCCCACAGTCTTAATTGCGATCGTCGGGTGCATAGCCTACAACTTGGCTACCACATCGTCCAAGAGACAGAGCATGTGGTGCTAAAAGGATAAATAACCAGGACGCCTACTCGGTAGTGGTTAACGTCGAAAAACAACAAGCGCTTAGAAGAGTTCCAGCGAAGTCGAGACCCTGCTCTTGACAGCCCGATCGCTGGCTATACTAATTGCTCGTAAGCGGCATCGTTACCTTTCCGATACCAGCTACGACGATGAGATTCAGCATTGCCTCTCTGCTTTTGCAGCTGGCAGCGCTGTCCACAGCACAGTGGGACAACAACTCGACAGCTCCAATCGAGCTTGCGCCTGCACCATGGACACTCAAAGGCACCGTCTACACCGTAACTTTTGTACCCCTTTCGACCGACCTACCAACAAAAGCATTCCCACCTCTAGAACGGCAGTATGCATCAGCTGTAGAGGGAAAGTACCTTGGAATCCTTGGCCAGATACAGATCATCCGATACACTGATAGTCCTGTCGGTCCGTACGACGAGCTTCTAATCGTTCCGGGCTTCTTCAAGTACAACTACACGGATGCTTCCGGGAAGAAGGAGGAGAAGAAGAACGTTCGAGTTAGCAGGATCTACGTTAGCCAAAAGTATACGTGCTGGAATGGCAGAAAGAGTATGTACCTTCTCTATACCTACCGATCGTTTCATTTTGGACGCATTGTTCACCAAATGGTACTTTTGCTAACATGGAGGCAGACTGGAATATCCCTAAGCACCTAGCTCGATTCGATTGGGTCGAAAAGAGCAACGGTGAAACAACCGTCAAAGTCTACCCGCACGATACCACAGGCGACCCTTCCGAGTCCAAACCAGCGGAGAAGCCCTGGCTTCAGGCTACCTTCAAGCCAAACCTACCAATCGGCCTACCGTTTAGCACTGACCTATACGGTCTTCTTGGTGTCAACACAACGCTGGCTCAGCCGCCACTGCCATCCGGCGACGGCAGCTACGACGAGCTTCCAGGAACAGACCACTGGGCTGCCACCGTGCCGAATCAAGTGTCCAACCGCGCTACGCTCGGACTTGTTGACATGAACCAAGGGGATGGGGACGTGGTCGAGGGCCGTAGCACGAATGCGGTGGGTGATGAGTATTTCCCCAACTTCTGGCCTGGTATTCCTCGTCTGAATGTGGCGTCGAAACTTGAGGATGCCACTGTCACTTTTAGTGCACCTGATATTTGGAAAAATTAGATACAACATGTAATCATATGCGACACTACGCTCATAATAAATTTGTTGTCTTCAAACTTCCAAGATTTCTAGAAAGCCGAATGAAGCAAACCTTGACGTGAGGTGCATGACGTATTGGAGCTGATTCTATCAACTGTGTTGAGGATTCACGTCAGCTTCTCCTCGTCTCCATCGAATATAGCTGGTGGGAATTGATCCATGTACATTGATGTAGAAACCGTCATCAACTTCAGATTTACCGCATCGTGTACCTCTTTCTCGATTGCTACTTCCCACAAATGATGACTTCTAAGGTTCTATGGTTTCAATCATCTTGTATCCAAGGCATCCTGGATGCCACATTTAATGGAAACACTCTGCTATATTCCGCCGTTACATGCTCAAACTGTAAACTACGGGTGCACATGGTTAGCTCCTCACCGTGCGCATCATCGTGATGCGTAAACCCCATAGTTTAACATAGAAAGGTAGCTCCGCGTAGTCTCAAGTGACTTCCACCATTCATAGCTACTATGACCGATAAATCATTTTGAACAGATGTCTGAAGGAAATGTGTTGTTGTCTTCAGGGCGGGCTGGCCCGGTCGGTAGTGGCGTGAGACTAGCCTGACTTGGCGAGCTAATGACCCCCGCGGGCTGGTAAGTTACCGGTACCTAGGTAGATTCTGATCGATGAACAAAATTTACCAGCGAAACTCACATGCAGGAACAACGATAGCGGCGCGGATACCGCAGTCTTCCCAACAATGTAACCGTGGAACGGCCCAGGCATCTTTCTCAACGCATCCGACACGTGACCATTGCTGCCTGCCCGCCATAAGTAGGTACGCGGGTAGCATTTAAGCCAACGCATCTGCGCAGTCATCGCCCACCACCCCATGCTATCAAATCTGCCATCATGGCTTCCTCTACGGATATTGTGGATATGTTGGTATACCATCCCCACGACCTACTAATCGCCAAGTACTTCCCAGATGAAGATCTTCCTTCCCAATACGAAGATATTTGGGCATTCAGCATGATGTATGTAAACGCACGCTACTTCGAACGAATGCAAGACTCTCCGCCCTGCGTTCCCTGGCCACTGCCACCTCCGCGGCCACGCGAATCTCTCGAACCAGGTGTAGAGGAGTGGCGGAGTATAGCACTGGATGCAATTGATGCGCGCCTAAGCCTATATACATTTGGCGTCACCACACCACGCACGCAAACAACAAGCGCAGAAGAGGTCCAAAAGTCATCCGCTTCAGATCATGCTGTCCACCGCGCTCTTCGCATTCCTGAGCTGCTCGAGGCCATCCTTCGACATGCGACACACAAAGCGCAATATACTGCCTGGAACGTGAGCAGTCTTTGGCGAGACACGATCAGAAACATTCTCGCATCTGAATATTGATCATGCCATCCGTGCGCGCCTGTTCAACATGGCCAATCCATAGACTCCAGCAGCTTCACGTAGTTACAGCCCCCCGAGGATGAGGTCGCCGATTTAGAGTGTACAGCAGCAGCCATGGCATTCTCAAGCTTGCGCAGGTTCACTACCCCGGCAGACTAACACAGGCTAGCAAGTTATCTAAGCATGCCTGTATCGCGATCCAAAATGCCTACGAGCGCTGCAGGTGGCCGTTTCCTACGTCACTCTCGAACGATATAGGTCCACGATGGATAGACCTGAGCCAGTTTGAGATCAACCCCTACTTTCTGGACCTGGTCCCTGGCTGTACAGATCTAAGGCTTGGTAGGTGAGAAATTACAATACAGCCTAAGTTCGCGCAACATCTTGTCATCCGAAGGCAGCTTCCAAGCGCGGACTTTGACGAGCTCATTGGTCAAATGTTCATCACGCAACCCCCTTGTAAGGCATTGAGTATTCATGCTGTTGGGGCTCGTGCATATGAACTGCAGCCGGTAGCTCGGATAAGTAATGGAGAGGGAATCCGCGTAGGTGAATTTCTTGCAGCGCTCGAGAATCACGCCGACGTTGTGGTCTCGGCGTGGAAAATGCGGGCTGCGACTCTTCGGCGGAAAATCCAGGAAGAGTGTGGAATAACAAAAAGGTCGACCTTCTTGCTATCATAGCTTGAAGGTATATATTTGACAGGCTGACAAAAAGGATTGGACCGACTTCACCACCCCGGGACAGAAGCAGCGAGCCTGGACTGACCAAGACTTTCCAAAATTTATGGTATTTCTGGAACAGACCGGTAGTGATTCTGGATCGACGGTAAACCGAGTCTTTGGTCGTGGTGAGGAATTCCATGTCAGGTGCGAAAGCGAGTGGTACACCACTTCTTGATCGATTAGAATCATATGGTATTGGTAGTACGTGGAAAAAGTTTATTTCATGGTAACAACCAAAAGTCAGAACTCAAGAACCTGAATCGGTGTCTCATATATAAACAAGCGGCAAGCTTCTAATCGATCCTCATGTTACCTAGGCACAACCCATATTTACAGAAGTTCAAAAACCCAGGTGTCCTTGCAAAAATTATCCGCCTTGATAGCTATCTGAATTCAATGTGACAAAATCAGCTAGCGCAGGTGCTTTATTAGGTGTGGCCTCAACATAATAACGACGCTCAATGACGCTGCATTCTTCTAGGGCCATCTTCCTTGTCTTGCCCTTTTTTCTTACATCCCATCACCCGATTAAACACAGAGAACTGACTGTTTCGCGTAGTGCACCGATTCTAACCCCTGCTCGTTGATAACGCTGGTCTTCACTGATTGTCTATGTACCATTATACGTTGCGGGCCACCGCCCCGCTTCGCCACCTGATACACACATACGATGTGCAACAGTTCCTCTGTGCTATTGATTCGTTTCTGGATGTGGCTATATCCCGGCGCATCATGTGCAAGCAAAAGAGCGACTCGGATCGTTGATTGATGCCATCACACATGTTACCCCGGCCCATAGCTTGATCTCATGCAATTTTATCATGATTCCCTCCTTAAAAAACGCACCGTCTCTCTATATGCAAGGCTTGGGCGCCTTTCGCGGTACGCGAGGGCGGAGTGTGCGGGAGCGCAACGTGTACATGCGCTGGAAGGGTATACCCATCTCCCCCTCGGAGGACATCCAAGACTACACAGTAATCCTCGAAGCTCATATAGAGCTCAGAATCAACCAAACAGCTGGTGTCTACACCAGTAAAGCTCCTGCCAGAGATGGCAGACCTGATAACTCCGAATGACACACTTGGTAATGACGAAGGATGGCGTGTCGAAGTGGTCCAGATGATCGCCACACGCCAAAGTTTCTATATTAGCGACCCCGAATCAACAACAAAAGTTCGGTCCCTCATCCCTCTCAAGAATTACAAAAGAACCATGCGGGTCTGCATCAGACACCCCCAAAGGCGAACGGACCCATAGACCAAGCTCTCAAGCTACCGGAGATTATTGAGGGCAATCATCCAACAAGCGACACCAGCCGTACAAGCAGCAGCATGGAATATCAACCACACTTGGCGCGATACAGTCAAGATTTTCATGCGTCCATATCAACCGCACCGCTCTAGTCCTTCCATGTATCGCGGCCAGGATATAGGTGCATATAAGCCATACGTCACACCGTTGCAAGCCGAGATTGCCCAAATAGAAAGGGTAGCCCCTACTCTTTCGCAATTGGCGGAAGTCGATTCTGACAAATTTTTCTTTCCGGCCACTATCATGCAGTCCCCGTTACTATCTCAAGAGGTATTCGACACTATCAACATATCGCATGAACGCTGTTTTCGACGAGACTATGGCCATCGAACGTACCGCAAACGACAATGGCTTGACCTCAGTCAGTTCGAATTTAACCCTTACCTCCTGTAGTTGTTGGGCAGTCGGGTCAAGTTACTGCTAGGCAGATGCGAGATTTATCTGAAGCCTAATTCCCACGGTCATTTCCTCTATAACCCGCACTTACTCAACATGGATCTCGCGAAAGATGTGTCATCAATGTTTATAACCGAGCCGCCATGCGAGACAATAGCTGTATGTGTCCCGAGCCATGGTACCCCGAACCTACGACCTGCACTGAAGATTTGGAATGTTGAAGGTATTTGAGTTGACCAGTTCTTAAACGCGCTGTAGAAGAGTACTGACCGTACCATCAAGCACGGGCTGGCTGAGACGAATAGTGCAGTGGAATTCATAAAACAGGCGCGTGCTTCTGAAGCAGTAAAGACAGGAGAGTAGAAGCACAAGGTGCCATGTGAGCCATTCCCTAAGTTCGTGTTGTTCTTTGAAGAGCCAGAATGTATAGGGAATACACTTTTTGCACGGCGGGTTCACCCTTTTTGTGGCGGGGACTATCGGAAGATATGGAGGGATGGGTGGGAGGAAGATTTTATAGTCTACTAGAGATCATTTCAACCAGAGAAGTGTATTGGAAACAGTTGTAAATCTCAAACAGTTTCGATGGCCGACCAGATCTATGAATGATTTGATCCACAAGAACCTAGTAGCCACCAGACTGCCGTAAAAACTTCTATTCTACTGCTGTTATCAATACTGTCTAGCGATTTGTACTACATTCGAATAGACCCTTCCCACTTGCTTCATTATGGCGTGTCAACCAATTTAAGATATACCCCATCGATGAAATTAAGCATCCTCGCAACAGAAGGACGCCGAGGTGAAAACTAGGAAATATGTGGCAGTGGTAGTGCCGCAAGCTGGAGGCGGGAATTCAAGCGCGATATGAGGGCCTTGCCGCGAAAGATCGCGAGCTGGTCATCGATTGCACGCACTTGCGCGTGTAAAGCTTGAAGACTTGAGCTAGCGTCATTGCTGGCAATGAAGTACGCTTCGTGCTTCCTGCAAAGACAGGATGGCCCACAAGTAGTCTCCTTCTTGTGTTCGGCAGCCCAGGTTGTGTAGCGCCGCAGCCATGCAGTACGGTCATAGCATCTGTTGAGGCTTCCGAAAACTGGATGGAATGGCTCTCCTGGGAGCGTCGAGGTATACATCCTGGCCGCCATCGGCGTCTCATTTCCCTCAGAGCTTTCAAGCAGCATGATCAACTGTGGGCTTGGTCCGGCGTCCATACACGCCCAGAAATTCTCCTCCTCCGCCATAGTCTTCCACGGACAGAAATTCATGGCTTCCATGCTCGCTAGTACACCAGCTTTCCACCGTGTGACAGCTTCTCCAATACATCCGTGAAACCCGTCCATCAGTATCCTAATTGTAATACCGGTGTCTTTTGTAATCCTTCCAATTCTCTTCAGGCGGTGTGACCTCCTTGGACCGGAGGGTGACTCAGGATCTGTCTGGTACGGGTAGTAATGGGCTCGATCGGTAAGAACCACGTACAATCCAAGAGCTCCGCGGGGAGGCTCTGTCGCATACATGGAACCGACAGCATCCATAAATATTTCTGAACGCGCCATAGGGCTCATGATGCTGGCATTCTTAATGGGCTGAAGCCCAATCACACAATGGTCTAGATGCTGCTTCATGTGGCTTGGCAGGATAGCCACCAGATAGGGGTTGAAGTTTAACTGGCTTAGACCTAGCCAAAGTCGGCCCTGCTTTTGTTTGAACCTTTGCGCATCTACGCTTCCAGGCTGCAACACCAACCTCAATACGATCACTGCAGCCTGTTCCGCGGGGGCAATGACTCCCATGGCCTGGTTTGGAAGATCCCGACGAGCTTCGACTGGAGCGCTGGAGGCGGGAAACGAATCCAATATATGTACTAATGGATCTAGGGCTGCAATCCGAAGTACGATATTTTCCCTGAGCAAGAATTCGGTAGTGGGCCTTGAGATGCGAAAGCGCTTCTTGATACGGTCACCATACTGGACAGCGGCACAGGAAGGCTCTTTCGGACATTCCAGATAGAGTATCCAAGAATGATTTCGCGCCACCTTTAGGACACATTCAGGGCTCGGTATTAAAACTCTGGACCCGAGTAGAGCAAAATGGCCTCCCAAGCCCCTACATTGCTAGTAACACTTGCGTGACTGAGCAAATTTTCTCTTGTGAAAGCAGCATGGTCTCTGGTTCCTTTGTGCAGTGAGAAATGGGGTATCGTTAGGTGTCCAATAAAGCCTTGGCTCAATTGGATTTCAACCTTGGTTCTCAACTCAATGACACTATCAGTACCAGGGTTCAATTTAACAACAGAATGCCTGCGAGACGACCCAGGTAGCGTGGAGTTTGCTATGAACGGGGTAAACCCTTGCATCAACCTGCGAAACGGAAGCAATCTGTGGGGATTCAACTACAAAGTGCCTAGACTTTGGCATCCAGCTGTGATCTGTGCCCGCGTTGGAGATGGAATCGGAAAATCGGAACCGTGGTCATGGATACCCTGTATAGTACCATCCCCGCTCTCGTGAGTTCCCGAATCCGCGCCTTCTGGAATCGCTCACGAAGTAGGACTGCCGCTGCGATTCTGGGCAGAGGTGCGCTCACGCTCCGGTAGGGAACCAGACCGAGCATATAACATACCGAATACTGTGATTCTGCCTTAGGTCCTCTTCCGGTGCCCCGCCTCGAAGTGCACTTTGGTATCAGCATCGACTTATCGCGTGTTCCAATTGCTGCCGAAAGTCATTATCTGGGAGGTCGATGTTTCGTGGTTGCTGCGTCGGCTCTCGGTGCTAACGATAAGGCTAATGACGTAATCGGGCCCGTGCTTACGCGCGAGTCATAAGATTTAATCTAGGCTCCAAGGTCACGTTCTACCCTGCACTTGTCAATATATTGCGCGCAGCGCTTCGTCATTTATTTCAAAATTCCATATTCTTGCCCTCAGGTCTATTTCACCATAACCGGCAGCGATAGGCTCTTGCTCATAGACGACATCAAGCATGCCGACCCCACCAAGTACCATCCTGAGGACGTTCTGATCCTTAAGTACTCGACGAGGATGTGACCGACTCATACTCGAGTCGACATGCAGATCTCTACGACCGAGCACATATACGCGAAATAAGCGGAGTGGGAGTGACACACATCATCTATTAGACCTTCAGTCGAGCCTGCCCGTCATTCTGGATGTCCCCATCGTGTTCTAAATATTAATGAACTGTTAGAGAACATCCTCTGCAAAGCCGCACCAAGCACACAGCACATGGCATGGAATGTATCAAAACGTTGGAGAGACACCTTAATGGTGATATTCAAAACTCATTACCGCACACCGCATCCATTTCCACCCGTTGAACATGGGCAGATCATCGAACGCAGCCTTTCGTGGCTACAGCCTTCAAGCCACGAGCTCGCTGAGACACATGACAGGATGGAAAGCATTTCACGAGAAAATCCACCGGAACCCGAAATATGGCAGAGAATTTGTGTTCCGGCCTACTTAACACAAGCCGAGGAGCTTTCGCTATCCACATTTGACTTGTATCATACGCTCATCAACAAAGCATGCCCACCAAGCCGCTGGCCATTATTACCTTCACTGCCAGACCTCAAAGATCTATTTGATACCATGTTCCTGACACAACGACCTTGCAAGGCCATAGGTATCTACAGAGCTTCATGGCCACTAAAGCCAGTCGCGAGGGTGTGTCGCGCAGACGGCTTTCGTGTCAGCAATATTTTGGACGTAATAAAACAGTACCTTGCTTCGACAATCGATCAATGGCGAGGAATTGAAGCGAGACGGATGCGACGAAACCTTGCTGAAAATAGTTGGTTTTATTTTTCTTCACCTAGGGGAAAGCGTGGCGTTTGGTCTACGTCAAAGTTCCCAAGGCTTGTCCTGTTCCTCGAATCTACCGATTCATCCCTACCAACATTGACGCGAAGACTGTATGCCGATGACGAAGATCTCTACACAAAACATGAAAAAGAGTGGCTCTCGGATATGGCTGCACAATCAGAGCATATACCTTGACTTTAGATATCACACGTAGTTGAGCAATCTTTCGGTAATTCTATCCAACGAATGGTACTGTTTTTCTTTCTCAATAGCGGCTTCATGATGCTTAATGGTGGGGGTGTATGCAAACTGGAAGGGACTGATGCAGTCGTGTTCAGCCCAAGTGGAAGCTGTGCACGGTGATAGCACGAATGTAACTTTAAATTGCAGGCGGGCTATCACATCTAGCTAGTAATCTTATTGCGTCTAACAGATATAGTGGAAGTCTACAGAAGTTTCCTTATCGGACCAAGTTGTTGATGTACTCCACGCCTGTCTCCCGATCATCGTCCGCCTCAATATAGCTCACGTCTTTCCGAAAAACAAAGTTCGTCGCGTTACTTGCGTAGCTTGGCCACATGGGTGTTTGAGGGACTATCTCTTTGTGTCAGCGCGCTGTTAACGTGTCAAGCTAACCGTTCACTCACCTCCATGCCCGTTCGGATCAAGATCGTAGGCAAACGCCGTCCACATCCTCATGACGAGTTTCGAGAGCGCAATATTCTCCGGGGTGTTTCCCAGCGGGGTGAGCTGCTGCTCCTTGTTGCCGAAGACGAAGGGTATCTGCCGCAGTTGTTAGCCGTTACGCGTCTCCCTGGGTCTATGCAAGATGCTGTACTAACCTCAGAGAAGTGATTGACACCAATGCTATCCGGCGTATTGTTGAACTTTGGCGCATCCCACCGATACGAATAAACTCCGTCGACATGCTTACTCATACTCTCTGCCAACAACCTCCTCGGAGCATACATTGTCAAATCCGAGGCGATACTCTGGTACCGCTTGTATTGCAGTCCATACTGCGGCCACGTCCTGTTTCCCCATCCGTACGGCTCACCAAGTGCCGGGTCATTCGGGTACAGCTCCAGCAGTCTCTTTGCGACGGTCTCATTCACATTCCAGCGCTTGGAGTGTACGAGTTCGTTGATAGCGCCGGCATCGTTGTTTACGCCGTTTACACCGAAGCCCTCGTCGGTGTTGGTGCCGAGGATGAGGGGGATTTTGGTGAACTTGCCTTCTTTCAACGATTGCTGGCCATATCGTGGGATGAAACTGCCGTCGATGACGTGGAACCATTCGAGACCCAGGTAGCCGTATGGTGCGATGGTCTCGTAAGGCACGTCGCGTAAACATTGTAGCGTGTCTGTAGCGCTTGCACAGCCGACCGACTGGGTCAGGTTATCGTACATGTGCTGGTACCAGTCTGTTCCGTTAAGAGGCGCACCGACGGCATTGCCGCTTTCGAGAATGGCCGCACGGAAGAGCCCTTCATTATCGCCGTTGTATGCGGCAATGTGGTCACCCACGGAGTATGCGCCCGCAGACTCGCCCCAGATAGTTACCTTGGTCGGGTCACTACCAAAAGACGAGATATGTTTATGAACCCACTGCATGGCAAGTCGCTGATCTCTTAGACCCAAATTCTGGGAACCCGCTTCTTCGACCTCTTTGCTATAAAGAAAACCGAATGCTGCCATGCGGTAGTTGATGGACATGCCGATGACGGGCTTATCGTTGAGCACCGATTGCTGGACAATGTAACTCATGTTGTACCTATCTTCCATGAGTTTTTAACCCAAAAGATGAGCTGGGAGACAGTGACTTACCGTGGGTCACTGGTAGCCCCCTGCTGCCACCCGCCGCCATAAATCCAAAGCAACACCGGCAATCCAGTTTGGTTTGTCCTCGGCTTGACAATATTCAAGTTCAAGCAGTCCTCTCCGAGCTTCGTCCAGTTCCCAGCAACCAGCGTATTCGTGTCTCCGCCATATCCTGTACAATCCAGGCCATACTGCGTAGCATCATGATGCGCCTCCGGTGCATCGGCGACTAGCTTAGCAGGAGCAAAGCGTACAGGCTTCGGCGCATACTTGACACCAAGGAAAATATCTTGGTCGAACTCTTCCAGGTAACGTCCTTGGTAGACACCAGCTTTGGAGTGGATGACAGGAGATGTGGCGGCGAGGGTGGCTGTAGCAAAGGATGCGCATGCTAGATACGGCCTGAGGAACTTCATTGTCGACGACGAATCACCAGCCGCAGGATCATTGTGCTCTTGCTGCGCATGCTTAGATATATGCTTGGTATTCCCGCTATCCTTCCATGCTTCTTGTCAAGGAAAGTCCACGGAAGCATTGCTCCTGAGCATCTGGGACTTTCCACCAATGGACTCGGCGGCTGAACATCGCCATATATTCGGCAATCGATTACCTATGGACTAGTTACACGGGACGCCTCACCTGGGTATCGTAAAATACTTTACAGTGTGGGTAAGCGCCTAATAGGCATGTCTGGCAACTACAGTGGCCTTTTTCCACTAGTATGTCAGGTATTTTATGACACCCGGGTGGCCTAGTCGGCTTTTGATAACTAAATGAGAACAGCATACAGAGTTAGCGATTGCTTCTTCACTCCTGCTCACACCAATATGCTACCAAATTGCACTTCAACAAAAGTATTGCATGAGCATGTGTACGACTGATACAGTTCCCCTGTTTAAGCTACAGTTTTTGCTCATGGAAGCAACGCTTTAGCCGGTACTATGAATCATGACGTTTTTCCTCTTGCAGGTCGCCTCGTCAATCTGGGGTAAAGCAGTAGCTGCACGCTACCCCACATTGGAACCCGTACCCGACCCACCTCACGACTAGACCTTTTTTTTCATGAACCTGGTAGGTGGGAAAATCTTCGCAGCCTTGCTTGGCCTATTTGCTTGGCTTCATTAGGAGCGGGACTTGAGCTGTTCGCGCTATGGTGGATGCAGCAAGTGATGGCGGGTTAGTCGAATTTTCGATGACTGAGCACAGGGGTGCAAGGGGAGAGGAATGAAAAGAGGAGCAATGCGATGGATAGCTAAGGATCAAGTCGATATTCATTCCACTCTGTGCTCTCGCGCAGTAACTATAACCCGCATGCCCTCTTGAAGGAAGACTCCGTGGTAGTTTGCAGACGACCATGGCTTCTCCGGACACGCCAGGGCCCAGTCAAAATGCCGAAGAAACTAGACAGACAAATTAGTTAGCACCACCCCAGCATCACGAAGAAGTGACTAACCTCAAAGATAACCTTTCTAGTCTCTAGCCATGCGATCGGCTTACCAAGACATTGGTACTTTCCGGACCCGAAAATCATCTCCGTCGTGCGCTTCATCGCAGCCAAATGTTCCTGCTGCGCGCCGTCGGCGCTTTCGTCGAGCAGCCAGCGCTCCGGTCGGAAATAGTCTGCGTCTTCGCCGAACAGGTCTTTGTCGCGTTGTAGGCCGTAGACGCTATAGCCGACATTCGTGCCGCCTGGCAGGAAATGCTCCTTGCCACCAATAACCACCGTGTCCCCGCCGCGGGGTACCTTTTTCGGCGCGATATCAGTAAGAGGAGGATGGATGCGGAACGCTTCGTACACCACGGCTGTCAGATATGGTAGGCTTCTCAGAGTATCGTCAGATACAATGTTAGGTGCAGGCGCTGCATGACCTGACGATACGGCTGCGTCAATCTCCGCCTGGAGACACCTGTATACCCGCTGGTGTGTCATCAGGTACAGCATGGTCGCTCGAATCGCCGTCGCAGTGGTATCCGATCCAGCCAAGATCTGGAGTACAGATTCGGTGACGAGGTCGTCTCTCGGTAGTCCGTGGCGGATGAAGGACGCGAGCATGTCTGAGCGACTGTCGGTTGGCTTCTCCAGTCGCGAATCGATGAGCTCACGCGCTACGGTCATCATCTTGCCAAAACCAGTCTTGTCTTTCTCTGATGGTCCGATAAGGCGCGCAATGGGCGACCAATGGAAGTATTGTGTTACTCCGAGACCAGCTATGAGATTCATGATAAACATGCCATCTCTGCTTGAGCTGATGTAACCGTCGAGATCAGCGTCGGCTTCGAGGTCTCCAAATGCTTTTCCGAATCCAATCTTGCTGATGACATCAAGAGTGAGGTACTGTATCTTTTTCGCAAGGTCCACGGGCTTATATTGAGTGGGAGTGGATAGATACTTTGACCTGATTAGTCTCAGAAATTGCTGTACGTGCTCGTCAATGTCCGACTCCAGCGAGAGGTTCTCCTTGCCAGAGTACTGCGATCCACATCAGTATCTCGATTGACGGTCATCCCTGCACGATATACATACTCCAGAGGCCATCTGCTGACGTCTCTTGGTGTGCTTGGCCTCGTCAAGTAGACTGAAGACATGGTCTTTTCCAACCTCCATGCGCGTCGCAGCATAGTACCATGTCGACCGAGTGTATGGTGAGCGTACTCCGCTCATGCGCGCCAGCACATCTGGCGACGACGTGATCAGCTCATTGGGCCCGATCCTGGCAATGGGGCCTATCGCATGCTGTTAGCGAGAGGCTGAGGGCAGATGTCGTGCGCAAACGACGTTGTTTCTTGACAAAAGTCTACTCTACTCACCATATTGGTCGGTGACTTGCTTATACCAGACATGCGAACGTCGACTTAGGATTGCGCGGATATGCAGCACCTCGGACCATCCCGTACTGGCAGGACCGGGGAACGTTTGAAGGCGGCGGTATTCACGGTGCTTCTTCACCACGTACCCCGCCAGCGCGACAGACAACAGCAACCATATCGCCGTGGAAGGCTGCGCAAACAGAAACATTATCGATGCGCAACGGAATGATTACACAACATGCGAGAGCATGAGGGTTATGTGCTTGCTTTAAACACGCCTGAATCACTACACCCCGCATGTTGACGGCAAGTCAGCCTGCAGTTCTCCTACCGATGTAGGCTTCGTTCCTATCGACGAAAAAGCAAATTCCCAACCATCGACTAGTTGCTTAGCAGTAGACCCAATCACCTGGGTGACATGAAATACTGGACAGGGTGGGCAAGCACCCAATAGACGTGTCTAGCGACTACAGTGGCTTTTTTACACTAGTATGTCCAGTATTTTATGACACCCGGGTGCAATGGTTGATACTGGCGCACATCTCCCGCGACGCAGCACATGCGACCTTCGCCCAGCTGCAGCAACCCTGCTACATGTGCCTACCAAGACCTTCTCCCATATCACCGAATCGCAAAAGTCCCACAAAACCATCATGGGGTTCTTCATCTTTTGTGACAACCCACCGCGCGCCTGTCGACAATCAAACGCGCCATTATATAATGCCATCGTGGACTGAAGACGGACAACGCAGTGCGCGGTCCCGTAGCCCACCAAGAGCCTCCTTCTGTAACGCTTCCGAAAGACCCATGAGATGAGCCTTATCGCCATCAATCCCGCTCACCCGGAAAGCTCGCAAGATACTCTTCCAAAACCCCCACCACATCCCCCTGCGCATCCCTCAACCTCTTCTCCCTCACCCCACCTCCACCCCCCTTCTCCCTCTCCCTCTTCTTCTCCACACCCACCGCCCTCCTATGCGCCCGACTCCTCACATGCAACGCCCAATCATTCTCCGTCACAGCAACCGTGCCACAAGTCTCGCAAACCCTCTTCTGCCACAGATCTGGTCTTTGGCCAAGATCGTACTCGCGCTTCGGCGTCAGCATCTCTGCTGCGGCTGCGGAAAGTGACGACGGTTCTGGGAGCGGCTGGTTGGCCAGGAAGCGCTGGGTTATTGTTGTAGCAGGCTCGATGACATTGGTGTGCCAGGCTGCGAGGTCGGAGCCGTCGACAAGGAAAGTGGTGGGTTTTGAGCCGGTGCTGAGGAGGGCGTGGAGGAGCTTGATGCGGATCCATTTGATCTGGCGGTTTGCATATTGTCGGGTTGCGGCTTGTGTTTTTTCAATGGCTGCTGTTTTGAGCTTTTCGAGCTCGGGTTCGGACGGCGAGTTGTTGGATTGCGCATCTTGGTATTCGAGAAATTCTTTGTATCCGATGGATACCCAGATGCCTCGGGTTTGATCCAGGGGTGAACCGGTTACGGACTGGTGGTTTTTAGCAAAGTTGCTGAGTTCTTGGACTTCTGAAAGCAGGCCTCTGGTTATCATCTTGTCGACTCGTCCGTTGAGTCGTGTGTGTAGTACGTCCTTGCTCGCATGGACCCAGAACACCAGGGTGTTGAAACGGAGACTCGAGTGAGCCGCTGCACAATCCCCTGCCGATGGCGACTTTTCTCGCTTTAGTCTTTGCTCACTATATAGCTGTGACGCCGGCCTGCCTGTTCTAAGGTAAATCTCAAGCGAGCGCTGGATCTTCCGCCGTTCATTAGGATGCCATCGATCAGCCATGACGGGGTCGACTTCTTTCAGCTTAGCGAGCAAGACATGCGTCGGCTCTTCCAGCACAGGCAAAGCTTTGGTATCCTCATTCAGAATTAACGCAGGTTCATCCGCAAGCGCGTCCTGGAACAAGAGAGATTGCGTATAATAGTGCGTCCCACCAACCAGTATCGGCAGTTTTCCTCGACTTCGAATCTCATCAATCTAGACACGTTAACACATACCCACACCGCTAGCAGGTTTACAAAAATAAAAAAGTCATACAATACTCAAAGCCTCGCCAACAAATTTCCCCACCGTCCAAGTCTCCTCCTCAAGACCAATGCAGCCGAGAAGATGATGCGGCACACCCTTCATCTCCTCTACAGTAATCTTATTTGTGATGATAGGTAATCCGCGATACAGCTGCATAGCATCCCCATTAATTATCTCGCCATTGAACTTATGTGCAATTTCAACCGCCAGCTACGCTATAGTGATCAGCCCGTGTTTCCGCACGAGGGAAGTGAGTGAAGAAGAAATACATCCGATTTCCCCGTCCCTGTCGCACCGATGATTGTGATTAATGGCTTTAGCGATGACGCTTTCGCCATTTTATATGTGCTGAGTTTCCTGATGAGGTGGAACATGCGTTTGTGGAACTGGGGTATGGTAACTATCGGCTGCGCCAGCGGAAAATGCGTGGTATGCGCGGTGCGGGATACGCTTTTCCTTGTTGGTGTTAGCGTTGGATGTCGTCTTACGCCAGGGCTTTATGGGACCTGTAGCAACGGCAGCAGTGCTTAGCTGTGGATGTTACAAGATGTAGAGGCCGTGCATATTGGAATGATAGACACGAGTCAATGGCTCAGCTACAAAGATCACACAGTATCCAGCATTTCTCTCCCATGAATACCCTCCCTACCCACCAAACAACCCCCCAAACCCCTCTTCCCCTTCCCATACCCCCCACAAAAGCCCCACTAATCCTCCTCTACTACCTCGCTTTACCACCTACTTCCATCCCACAACTACGCACACCATCAAGACCCACACACCCTACAAAAACACCGTGCACGCAATTAGGTATGCGTCTCCAGCAAAATTTCCATCTCTTTGCATCCCGTGCGCTAGCTAGGAAGAAAGTCCTCTTAACCATTAACCATGCTTTACCGTATAGATCTAGCACGACATCTCTAGCCCACACATGCCACAGTCCAAGTCATCACGCACCGCTCTGTTTACTTCAGTCTTTTCACGCTGCACCATGCGATGCTCATGCGCGCTGACGCTTGGGGTGATGGTGAAATTGTTGTAACAATTCATTCCGTATACTTGCACAGCTTTTCAGCAATGGGCTATGTAGAGATGGGTCTGGAGTACAAGTTAGAGGAGCGGGGTGGGAGACAAGATATAGGCTGTGGGGTGAGATGAAGTAGTTTTGTTATAGTTTACGATTTCACCTGGATGAGTAGCAAGGGAGGATATAAATGGGGTTTTAGTAGAGTATATGTGATATTGGTGATAAAGAAAGGTGCATTGGGCAAGACAAGACAAGAGAGACGTATGTATACCTCTCCTCTGCCTTTTGTCCACGTTGAAGTTTTTGAAAGGGGTATCATCGTTGAGAGCCACCCAAACGCCTGTTGAAAACGCCAACGACGACGTGAGATGTTGAAGCGCGTCGTGTGTATATGCTTTGGGAAAAAGTCCGCGCGTCCTACTTTTCGGTCCTCTTCTCCGCACCATAGCCACCCTTTCCGTCCAGGCTCTGATACGCCATGCCCTCGCCCTTTCCATTCCTTGGTCCTCTCTCATTCAGATCCTCTTGCAGCCATTTCAGTACCAATTCTCCCAGTTGGCTGTTTCCCGTGTACATCCTCTCGCTCTGTTCAACCTTAACGCCCATGTCCTCGGTGCTGCCCCACTTCTTGACCTTGCCCAGACTCATGTGGACGAGATGCGTCGGCCACGTAGCGAGGTTGTCCAGGATATGTGTCGCATACACGATGGTGCATGGGCGTTCCTGCGTTTCCTTCTTCAGGAAGTTGAGGAAGTTGCTGCGCGATAGCAGATCCAGGTCGACGGTAATCTCGTCCAGCAGCAGGATAGTCCATGGCCGTAGGAGACCCATTGCTAGTTGTACTCGTCGCCTCTCACCGTCTGAGACGGCGTGCATGCGCCAGCTCAAATCAATGTCCAGGATGCGTATGAGCTCGTCGCGACGCTCGGTGTAGTAATCGCCGCCGATGGATGAGAGGAGCGTGGGAACGTCAATGTCTGTACGCACGATGGGGTTGAGCACCCATTCGAGGCCAAGATAGGTGACACCTTCAAGGCCCATCTTGAATGGGTCAACGCCCGCAATGTGGACGGTGCCAGAGGGTGCCATGCGCTTTCCGGAGAGGAGACGGAGCAGCGTAGTTTTACCCGCGCCATTAGCTGCTATTGTCAGCTTCTGCTCTGTCTCATGAGTCTGGTGTCGCATACCTCCAATCAGAAGGGTCCTACTTCCCGGAGGAAGATCCAGCAACACGTCCTTTAATCCATTCGAGCCGTCTGGAAAGAGATAGCTGAGGTTCTTGACATCGATTGACGGCGCAATATCTTTATTGGGGGCTGTTCCTGACATGGTGATGTTCTTTTGAGTATGCAATAGCAATGGTTGCTATTGTTGGGATGAGGAGACTACATTTTTGTAGACGGGTTGGGGTGGAGTCATCTCGACGGCCGCCGAGGGCTAGACGCTAGATGTGGGAGATGATGCCATCATTCCACCGGACGTTTGCGCTAGGCCAGGCTAGGAAGGCATCATCGCGCATCTTGCGGCTGGCACATCATCTCGACCACCTTTTCTGATTTTCAATTCATCAACCCGACTTCTTAACTACAGAATACATCTGACCCTCACATCCTTACTAGTAGCATACAGTGAAGTCATTGGTGTTTCGTACATTTTGAAGACAAGAAGCTCTGCCATGCCAAGACCATAACCTTCCAAAGCATCTGTATTCCATCGACTAAACGAGTAGACAAACAGTTCGGAGTATTAAGCATATTTGGATCATAGCCAGCTTATGCTATTTTTACATCACACCACTGAGGCTGGGAAAAGACCAGGTACCTTACAACCCCAACATATCCCATTAAGCACCAGGGATACAACACTATACCTACTAGAAACAGCCTAATAGCACGGGGATATGCATGTGAGTAATTAATAAGCAACAGAGCTCCCAAAATGGTACCACTAGCTCAAAATAGCCATACTGACATGATAGCCTCGCTGTCGGACTGAATGAACATGAAGTTACTCGGGACGATGATCTCCCGCTTTCCCGTGCCAGACAAGTGAGATAATCTTCAAAACATCTACACAACCTGTATGCACCATTTAAAACAGTTACTATCAGACCCCAATCACAAATACAGATGGAACAGAAACTGGGGAAGAGCAAAAGATAATATGTACGATACAAAGGCAGCACAAACTACCTCTACAAATATGTACAAAAAAAAGAGTGTCGTCCGGGAAGGACACACGAAGAAAAACAACAACAACAAGCATCCAATCTATAAAGACACTCTAACAGCCCAAAGACCCCACTCATCCATCTCAACATTCCACCTCATCGTCATGAATCCTCGTTACCACATGATAACCCATCTAGAGCGAGATGCAGCCGTTGCTGGAGTCCTCAAGGAAGAGACCACCGTAGATCTGTCCCTCGTTGAGGTTGGGCGACTGGTAGCCTGCGTTGGCGACGTCAGAGGTGCCGGTGGGCTTCTTCAGGATGCCGATTTGGTACTGGCCGCCGCCGGCGAGGTTGACAGCGGTAGGGCCGGCGACCTGCTTGAGCTGGTTCAAGCCGGTGCTGTAGTAGAAAGTGGCTTGGCTGGGTAGATTATTAGTATATCAATTCAATGCCTTTACAACACATGTTGAATGGTGGTCGACTTACTTGTTGTTGTAGTCGAGCTTGGCGGCAAAGTTCTGCCATTGGGTAAAGTCAATGGGGACAGACCAGAGCGAGGTACCGCTGCGGTCAAGAATCTTGAAGCTCTTCTTGTCGGCGTCGCTCTTGCCAATCAGAGATCCGGTTTGGAATTGGATCTGGTTGTTGCTGTAGTCGGCGGCCTCGTGCCAGACATTGAGGTACTCGTGCGTCAAGTTCAACGGCTTAGCAGAGTCCTGCTTGACGCTCCAGTGCAGCGTCTTGACACCTTTGGCGCCCTCACCGTCGGGCGCATCCTTGAGGAACTGGAGACCGGCGCGGCGGAAGCCCTTTTGCTGCTGGAAAATGGACTTGTCGGAAATGGTGACTTCGACGGCCTTATAGTTGCTACCGTCGAAGCGCGAGACCTCGTAGGGGAATTGCAGGATTTGCGACCATGTCAGGTTGTTGCCCTTGACGTAGTCGGCGTTGAAGATGGTGTTGGTGGACTGGACGTCCAGGGCGGTAGGTGTGAGGTTCTTGGGAACGCGGCCATCGAACACGATTGTGCACTTGGGGTCAACGCGGTTGTTTGTCCAGGGTGCTGCGAGAGCAGTGGAGGCTACGGCGGCCACGGTAAGGATGGTGTTGGTAAACATGTTTTCAAGTGAAGGAAGACAAGGTACAGTAGAATGAAGGAGTGGATGGATCTGAGCTGTGATGAACATGTAGGGTTGATGGTACCGTGGACTTTATACTACATCTGAGCATGAGGCTGATCACCACTCTAGCCTACTCTCGTGTCATCTCACACCTCGCCGCCCCGGGAACGTTGTGGTGCGTTTGTCTCCGGCTCTTTTCTAGGCCGAAATATAGGCTTTCCCATGCCTTAATTTCGTGCTTACGCGAATGAACGTCACGGGCGCCTATTGAAAAGAGCGGTAGAAGACACATGGAAGCTTTCAACGTTTGCATATTGGGTCCGTCGACGTCAAGGTAGGGCCGGGTTAATATACAAGGACAAATTTGGTTTGTTTCAATTGGGCTGGCCTGTAGCTAAGGAGGAATGCCAAGCTTCTGCTAGTACGCACCCGAACGGTCCGCCGGTTCCCAAATCCGGGATGGCAGAAAGCCCACTCCAGGAACATGCTCGTCTACTGCAACCGTAGTTGGGTCGATTGAGATTGCGTGGCGATAGAGATTAAGTAGGGTGGGCATCTTTCTAGTGCTTGTTGTTGCTTCGATGGACCCGTGGACGCCACCACAGCCCACGCGCATCTTCTTGCGGTAGATTCATCGCTTCTTCAAATCTCAACGGTTGTGCAGTAGGCTGCTCACGCGCGCCGGACAAGAACCGAATATTAATCTTGGCGTGAGAGTGACCGAAAATCTCCGTCAAACGCACCATGATAGCCGAGTTTCATCAGGCCCGCGAATCCGACCGAGCCGCATCGTGGGCAGCACAAGGCGCGACCGTATCGTGGAGAGGTTAGTTCTGGGGATCGTGTTCAGCGCTGACGGATGAGTAATGACGTTCGAAATAGAATACGGGGTAGGGATGTGGCACCTGCTGTGCAAAACTCACGAGAGCCAAGACACATGACCCGCGTTATGGATGGGACTAGGCCGCTGAACAGGCTGAACTCGAGTCGAAAAGTGGCGATCCGATGCGTATACAATTTCTTGCTGACTGCATAAAGACATTCCAGTTCATATATATTCCTTGGTGAAGAAGAATAGCAATTAACATAGCACCGAATAGGTCATGTGCCTTTATGGATATGGGCAAGTCGTGTGGGGAGATAAGTGCTATTATCGTATACAATTCTACACCTGGCGGTGTCATACGTCCGTCGCTCTTCTTTACATGTTCGCGTCAACGCTACCCAGCCACTACGTGATTCCCCAGATGCGGGGCGCTGCTCCCGATGCTTCACATATCCAAAGTGATGTGCCAACCCAGAACGCCATGCATGAATCTGGTAAAGCAACCGCAACGCCTTCCTATATAGACCATCCGGTCCGATTCTTGTACAATGCCCTCTGGGGGGTAGAGCCTACGCCGCCTGCGGTATCAGCCAGGTAGCCTCGATGCAGCCTTCGTAGAACTCTCTTTGTCCGTTTTCTCCTTCAACGCCGAAGCCCATGCTACGGAGCTTTCCAGTGTCCCAGCCGCTGACAAACTCGCCTTGTCCGCCGTTCTCGCGGTCGACGGCATCTCCGAGCTTGATGTAATCGGCGTGACGACACACAGTCTGCGAGTATGACCATTGCAGACAATTGGAGTCGGCAGCGCATTCGGAGCCACATGAGCCAGCGTTGCGATGAGCGGGACGGTCATTGGGCACGGGGGCTGTGGAGAGATTGTCCCACCATTCGCGGGAGGGGCCCTGAGCAAGGAAGCCATGCGTGTAGGAGAGGAAGGAAGAGTATGTGAAGGGTTTCTGATTGATGCATTAGTCAGAAGTCAGTGTTAGTCAATGACATCAACTCACGGTGTTGTATGGCCGTGTGCGCTCCCACTTCCATAGGTCTTCCATCTGCTGGGGCTTGATTTGGTGCAACGTAAGCATCGGGACGCACCACTTGTCGCGTGTGGTGGTGACATCTTTGAGCTTGTCGCTTGCAAAGGTAGGATACATGGCCTCGAGCTTGTGTCCAGTTGTGTTTTGAATGGCGTAGGCGAGGACAGCGTCGCCGCGCTGGTCTTCCTTGACCCAACTCTCGAACCTGACGCTGAGACGGTTTTCACGTGGGATCTCAGTGGAACCGGGGCTCTTGGCGGGGATGAGCTGCTTGATCAGCCCCTGGGAGATGATGATGCCTGCACCGCCATAGGCAAAGTGGCGGCCTTCGGACCCCTTGTGCGCCTCGCCTATGTAATGTGGTTGTGCAGGGTCGAGCAGGCTGAGCAGGCGGAACAGTGTATCCCAGAAGATGTAAACATCTGACTCGATAAAGACGAACCACTTGGCCGTCGGGTTTGACATGTATGCCTTGTCCACCATGGGCAGGTACTTGAACCGGTCGAGCTTGAACGACCGCTGCTGTTCCTTTACCGTCTCGCCGCCTTCGTGTGCCTTCTTCTGGTCCAGGTAGGCCTGGAAATCAGGACTGTCCTTGGCGTAGCTCTTGGGCAGCTCGGCCAGGATATCAATCACCTGTCGGTCCCCTAGACGCTCTTCGCGGTCGCCTACGATGATCAGGTTGGTGATGCAGCTCGATACGGTGCTGAGGTGTGCTTTCGTCTCGGATGCGCCATCAGAGGCCACCTTAAGTACCACCTGCACCTCCTGGAGCAGCTTCACGGGGAAGTTCTGGCAGTAGTCGAGTTCGATGGAATTGGCAGCCTTTGTTTCTAGAGGGGGGAAAAACGACTTGGTCTTCGCTTTATGTACGGGCGCCTGTGCGTGTGGTGCTTTTCGGTGCGAAAGTGTATATGCGAAAAAGAACAAGAGCAGACCAGGAAAGACAAATCGCCATGGCCGTCGTGCCAACCGGCCAGCTAGCGTTTTCAGCATCTTTGCTGTCGCTGCGGCCTCCAGGGGACACTTGTCGCGGGGAAAAGAGGAAGCGCAGACTAAACGAGCGGAACTAGAGGGCGAAACGAGCGATGGATGGGCGGGCGACGTTGTCGTGGCACATTGGACGACCCCCGAGAATGTCGTGGTTACGGTGGTTGTCGAGTTGGCGGCGATGATGGCGCATTGGCCGAGAGTCGTCGTCCTTGCTACGAGTCCAGCCCAGCTCCCTGAATCTGGCGCAACACACGCGAAGCCACTAATACAGAATCCGGCAAGGTGGCCGGCGCTTGCTCTCTGCCCTGCCGACCTCAAACCTCATCCCCGCCCGTCATCATCCATGACATGATGATTTCAATCTTGTCCAATTTCTCCTGTGATAGTCATGCATCAGCTTACCTCATCCTGCTGTTGCCTGGCCGATGCCATTGTCATTTCCTCCACAACCATTGCCGCCGGTATTCATCAAGACAGCCGCTGAGAAGCCTGGGGGGACGGATATCGTGGGAAAGACAAAGTCTGCCTCCATCGATAGTCTGGATGAATACGCACTGTTCGTGTTCGACCAATGGTGATATCGCTCCAAGTACACGTTGTACTCGTCTTCTTCCTCTACGTCGGACCAGTCCGGAAGTGCCTCAAACTCCTCGTCGCTCATCATCGAAAAGCTCGTCTCGTGAATCGGGAAGCTAATTGACTGAAGAAAGAGATCGCACGAATCAACCGATCGATGACTCAAAGACAAATTCCGTGTGGAACGGCCAGCAGTGCCGATACCAGCGTCGCGCGCATCTTCAAGTACTCTAGGTGCATTCCATGTGTCGTTCGTGTTCGGTTCGCGAGTTGCATCAGTATCGACTTTGTCCCTGTCGGGGCCTACGACCCAATCCAGCAAGCTCTCAAACGACAACGTGTCGTCATCCTCATCCGGTGCTGTATGGCCGCGTTCGATCCGGCGTGCTGAACTGCATGCAAATGACCATGTAGAGTCGCTGTTCGGACCAAAGTGTAGAGTCTTCGAATCTGTCGTCCGCTCTTCCGACACCGCTGTGTTACCCCGCTTGACAGACGTCGGTACAGTGGGCTGATAGCCGATCATACGCAGCTCCTCTAGCGGAAGCTTTTTGGCGAAATCTAGCATGGCAACATTGGCCTGTAAGGCGACGTGTGTGTTGAAGCCCGTTTGCTGATCATGAACCGTCTTCTCCACAGGCACACGGTGTTTAGACAAGATCGCCTTTAGCACCGACGCCTTGGAGCCTATGCCGTTCTTTCGTGTGACCAGCGGGTTTTTGGGTGTTTTGAAGCGACGGTAAGAAGAGTGGCCAATGTCCACACTTGACGTTGCTGGCCAGGACCCCGCCGTGCTAGACTGTGAAGAAATGGTACTTGCTATGAACCGGAACGACGACATTTTTGCGCGTACGGAATGGATATGCTCCCTAGCGTTATCCATGTCGAAAAGCTACTTTGACTCCAATGTCACGATGGTTGCAGTGGTTGGATGTGGCGGTTCAGTGAGCAATTTGAGATGACGTGCGCAAATGGTGTGGTAGGGACTCGCAGTCACCGTGGCTAATTTCGTTCAGTGTGCGCTTTCACTAACGAGCTACACTATAATACGACCAAATTGGACGGTCTACAACAGCACAATAAGATGAATGCGTGCTAAGTTTTGCAGCACGGTTGCTTGCTACGCTTAGTTGACTATGTCAGAAATGGAAACCATGAGACAAACTTAGCTAATGAGCAGAGCAGCGACCTTGAGCAACAAGGTGGCTATGCAATTTCCTGGTGTTGTTCAAGTCGACATCGCAATGAACTTGTCACGCCAATCTCACGGGATTTGACAAAACTTCATCAGCCTTGAACAAGACTTCAAGATCTTAGTGACCTCGCATATCGTGAAATATACTTCCAATGGTGATTTCTTATTGATGACAGTCAAATACACGCCAACCATGAAGTGAAAGCATGTACGAATCACTTCACATCGTGGACCATGAAGATAGCCAAAGACGTACATAAACAAGACCGTTAAGATTGTGCAAGAAAACATGATGTACGCATCCGGGAATGGACCCATTTCATTCAGCTGATATTACCATGCCCTCGAGGATACTATGGGCTACCAAACTATTTGCTCGTGTGTGCTGAGGTGACTGCTGTCACTCTCTGCATCCTCCGGTAATTGCAATCCCCCAGCCATTAACTATCCCATGGCTCTACTAGAGACTTCAAACAAGACCATATATCCTATTGCCCACGAAAATCCACACGGCTCGCAAACTGGATATCACAGAACCGGAAGGGCCGTCTACACGGTGCTGACCTAGTCGTCGAAATGTTGACGGGTGCAGGCACCGTTACGACATGATGAAGCGGGCCGCTCAAAGTCGACGCATCGTAGGTGCACGCACTCAATGTCTTTGCAGCAGCACTCAGAGCATTGGTGGCGGTTCGTGTTGCAGGGCAGTTTTTGGGTGATGCAGTGCTTGCATCTGATCACACGATCATAGGAGCTCGGGTCAGCATCAGCAACATTGCTGCGAGAGGTACTGTCGGGATTTCCACGTTGTATCTGGCATGTGGGACTGGAAACGCGCTTAGATGGCTCTATGTCTTGGAAAATACGTTTGCGGGTGGTGGAAGAGGTATCGATACTGTATTTACGTTAGCGGAGGTAAATCAAGTGGTACATTTGAAAAACTCACTGCGCCGTACTAGTATCTTGTTTACTCTCGGTGGATAGCTGCCTCATCTTCTGCTGGAATTCCAAGCGAAGCTTCATCTCCTGATCGTGTCTGAGACTAAGAGCAACTTCTAGCAGATCTCGCTCCTGCTCAACTTCCTCAGTCCTCTTTGCCGCCTGTACGGCTTCGCCAAGTAAGTATGCACTGCGCTTGTGGGCTTCCGCTGCATTGAGCTGTGGAGCAGCATCGAAGTTGACTGCCTTTTCCAAGCGCTTCGAGAACATCCCTTCCTTGCACTCCTTGAGAGATCATTCCATGATAAAGATCTTCGACCTCTGTTCGCGGTTCTCCGCCTTGGGCTTGTTGGTCTCCACTGATGCGAGCCTGAGCTGTTGATGTAGTTGTTCGTTCTCGTCTTGCTGCTGCCTAAGCTGCTGGCGCAGTTGTGTGATCTCATCTTGCTGCTGCCTTGTTGTTTGGCTAATATCATCTTGGTAGGAGAGACTGCCTGCCATGACTGGGACAGGGGCTGTAGGTATGCTTGCTGAGGCTAGCTGGATGAAGTTTGGAAGCGCAGTGGGAGAAATCTACGCTCCGCGAGAACCGAGATAGTTTGGGCGCAATCTGAAAGATTGACTCACTCTCACTTGTCGTCACCTTGACATACATGGGCAGCTTAACGCGTTTTAGCTTAAAACGTTTTAAAACGCTTTAACAGCTTAAACTGTTCACGCGTTTAAGAAAATCCTTAAACGCGTGAACGATTTAAAAACGCTATAAGAGGCTTGGCGCCAAGCACCCCACCTTTGCATCTCAAAAACTCTGCAACCACTCCCCACTAACCTGAAATCTCAACAAATCCATTATCTATAGCATCTATTATCGTTATGTCATCGAATACCTTGTCAGCAAGTGCGATATCAACGCCACCGTCGCGAAGACCCGCAACGCCGCCACACTTTGACGCTGTTATACGAACCGAAACTGTCTGTAACACCAGCAATGCAAAGCGCCAGCGTTTGAAAAAGCAGTATGTGTGCAAACGCTGTCGCTCATGGTTTAGCAGTCACCGAGTAAACTCTATCCACCATGTTCTAGCATATCATACAACGTCAGAGTCTTCTCAGCCCTCGCAAACTTCTTCTTCGTCGTCGCAACCAGCTATCACTTCAGTGTTTAGGACTGTCTCTGATCAGACAATTATCCGCAACGCCTTCAATGAACAAGGGTATCGCGATGCGCTTGTCGGTCTTCTGACTCGACGTCGAATAGCCTTTTCATCAATCGAATGGTCTGAAATGAGGGATCTAGCGCTTGCTTGCAATCCATTTATTGAAGACCAGCTTATCACAAGTCGACGTACAGCCGTACGTCTTATCGCCTCGAATTATCAGCTTTATAAAGGCCATGTAATTAAAGGCAGCTTATCGACGGCTGTGAGTCCTATCCACATATCAACAGATCTCTGGACATCACCGTTCCGTTCATCTCTCCTTGCTGTATGCGCACAGTGGGTCGATCACGAATATAAGCTTCAGAAGGCTCTTTTAGGACTGCCAGAATGTCGTTACAGCCACTCTGGAGAACAGCAAGCACACTTACTTCTTCAAACCCTCGAGGAATATGGGATACAGTCTAGAGTTGGCTGGCATACGGGTGATAACGCAACATCTAACGATACCTGTTTGGAGCATCTTGAAACCCTCCTTCGAACTAAGCACAACGTAAGCATGGCTTTTAATATAAAAATCGGCCTTCGCTGCTTAAGTTACGCGATGGTGCTAATATTAACAAGGTTAAATTTACTGCTAAAGAGCGCCGTATCCGATGTATCGGTCATATTATCAATTTATCCTTGCAGGCATTCCTGCTTGCATCCTCTAAGGAGGCTCTTACCGCTGCTCTCGACGCCGTAACGGATGTTATGGGGGAAGAGCTTCTCGCAGAGTTTTCAAGCGTTCTTACTTCTCGACAGAGAAACCCTAGAGCCCAAGCCCAAGCTGTTCCACAAACCTCACAGAGACAAAGGTTGTCTCGCCGAAGACGCAGCGTTGATAGCCATGGGTCTGTTGATGAGGACTTTTGTGGTATTGAGAACATCTCTACACTACGCAAATTACATCAACTATGTGTCTGGCTGCGCAACTCAAGTATACATGCAGCAGAGTGGGATCGCAAGGTAGGCCTCCGCTTAGGGATTGACAATCAGACTCGGTGGTCTTCATGGTACTCAGTTATGGATCGGGCTATTAAGAAGATGGCTGCAATTAAGGTCTTTATGCACGATAACGAGAAACACCTTAACGAGATCCGTCTTACTTCTGACGACTGGGATATACTACAAAAAGCACATACATTTTTACAACCATTTGCATCAGCAACGCTATACGCGGAGGGAGATAAATCGTCTATCTCTCAATCTCTTTTGATTATGGACTCTCTTTTAGTCCACTATGAGCAGCAAAAGGTAAGCATTAACGTGTTATCCGAACTTTAAGTCTTCGGTTAACAGCTTTATAGATACATTACTCTAAAGATGAAAATGAGGACCTTCGCATGGTTCGATCGATCGAGATGGGCTGGTTCGTACTTGAGAAGTACTACAACATGACTGATCAGGTTCCGGTGTACGCTTCCGCTATTCTTCTAAATCCCGCAAGTAGAGCAGCATATCTCAAGAAGAACTGGCCAGCCGAATGGTACGAACCAGCTATTAACGCTGCTCAAAACTTTTGGGTGAATGAGTTTAAGGACGCTTTGCCTTTAGCTAGCCCTACAGCTTCTCAACAAATGGCTCCTCCTTTAAAGCAACGCGGTGCCGTTCTCGATCAGATTCTACAACAGATGTCAGTTGCGGCGGCAGATCAATCAAACAGCGACGATCTTAAAATTTTCGCAGAAAGTCCAGTAATACAAATCGACTGTAGCCCTCTTGAATGGTGGTGCCGATCGGAGCAACGGCAGCGCTACCCTAGGCTAAGCAACATGGCTATCTCTATTCTTTCTATCGCTGCAGAGTCGTCCGAGCCAGAGAGAACATTCTCAGGTGCAAGAAGAACCTGTTCATGGGATCGGTCGAGGCTCACTTGCGACAACATTGAGAAGATCGAGTGCATTGGCAGTTGGCTTAGGGAAGGCCACATAAAACCGTGTTCTCTCAACGGAATGGGTCTACCAATGGAACCAGAGCAAGATGACGAAGCAGAGATGATAAGGGATGAGGTAGAGGAGATTCTAGAATGGACATAACCCGGTCTTGGCATGATGTATCTTATATCGTTTTTATATCGTTTATATCGTTAAACGCTTTAACGTTATAAGGATTTTTGCTTAAACGCGTTAACGTTTTAAGGTTTGCCAAAACGATTTAAAAACGATTTGCCCATGTATGCACCTTGACACGGCGAGGGGTCTGGCACGAGGGCATCACATGCTGCTAGCGTGCCAAGAGTTCTAGCCTCTCCAGCCCACCATATAAACTCTCCCGCTCCCTCTCCTCCATTCTCTTTTCTTCTTTACGACACGAACTGCCTCGCCCGCATCCCAGAATGCTTTGAGAGCGCTACATGATCACGAGCTTCGCTCCTGTGGTGTAGTGACCCTCCTTCGGATTGAGTACACGCTGGGGTTTACGGGTTCCTCGTGGCTTCTTCTAATGTGCTGCTGATTGCGCGTTGAGCCTCTGCCCGAAGTGATTCTTCATGGACGGTCCGGGCAAGCTCGCCAATGAGAACCAATACATTGATCCAAGGTCCGACAACCTGAAGACGATGTACTCTTCGCAGTGCGTGCTGATCCCCCCGCTGATCCTGTCTCGATAGGATCAAGGTGTGATTGGCGCCCACAGCCCTGATGGCTTCGGCTTCGCGTTGGATCCACGGCGTTGATGATGCGTACAACGCAGCTACGTTCCTTACTATCGGGCGCGGATGGCTTCGGTGGATCGGAACCAAGTCAACCTCGCTAACGAGAATGCTAGGGAGTGTATGCCTTTATTTCATACGCCTTGGTGCTTGCTTGCAAGTATCTCGTACTCTGACTGGTTCCCAGTTATGAGCTCTTTTTCATCGAACTATTGTCTTTATGACGATACTTGAGGAAGAAGTGAGGCGAGGTAAGTGTGAAAGAGCTCGGTATGGCGTACCAAACTGAAGAACCATCGATTACCTGATGTTGAGGAGAGCTCTACCGACCTTTTTCACACTTAACTCAAGAAGTGAGGTGACCATGATGCGAGTAACCTGTCTTGTCGTCGCTATAAAACGACTGAATCAGTACCGATTAGAAATAAGCCAATAGCAATCCAATGTCATCGAAAACCTCCGCGTCACCCATTTTATCTATACCGCGATTATCCACTTGCGCGAAATCAAGCAGACTGAATCAGTAGCAACGACACATCAACGAAAAGATATACAAGACCTTACAAATTTCATGGCTATTGACATTCCTGCCAGTATAGAGCGCAAAACAGTCTGACATTACATCAGCTCCTTCTCCCCATCAACCCAAATATCCACCATCTCATTATAAAAGCACAAATGCCCCGCAATCGGCGCACTCTCCGTCGTTGGATACCGATAATACCACACCAAATCCCTATAAACCCTCCCCTTGACATCAACGTCATAATACTCAGCCTTGCCCTTATACGGACACAGCGTCTCCGTACCACTAGCCGTCAAATACTCCCAATTCACACTAGTAGGCGGCACATAATACCTCGTCGGCAGCGTCGTCTCCATCAAAAACAGCGCGTTTGAACATTCCGCTAGCGTCACACCGTCAACCGCTACCTTGACACTGCGCGTAGATGGCAAGATATCAATCCGCTTGTACGGATCTTTCGGGTGGCAGTAAATCGGCATATCTTCTTCGAACCACTGGTCCACGGCGCGGAAGTCGATTTTCACAAGGTCGCTCAGCACGCCGGTGGTGAAGATTATGACGCGGTTGGTGCTGCGGTTGCCGATGGTTAGGGTGGCGAGGTGGGCGCCGCTGTTTGTGTCGGGGATTGGTGTCGTGGCTTTGGATATTGAGGCTTCGCGCGTGAAGCTTGAGAGGGGGATGTAGAATCTTTGGATATTGTTGATTAGCTCTGGAGAGATGTGTATGTCGTGGGTGGGTGGATGGGTGTCGTGTTACTGTGGATAGCGCGGCTCGTATTCCCATACATGGTATGCTTTTGTGGTGTCGAAGGCGTATTTTCCGTTGAATAGCGCGCGTACACGGCGTGGGGTGTGTTCGTATTTGTAGGGGCCTTGGGATATGAGTTTCTGTGCTAGTTTTACGAGACTGGTTGGTTGTTGTGTTAGGATGGAGTAACCTTGGAAAGATGTTTGTGTAACATGCAAACGTACTCGCTAGTGCCCGTCATTCTTGTGCGTTTTATCTTGGATTTCTCGGGATTGAGAAAAGCGTTATGGTTGCGGTGGTGCTTGAGGGACCATGTGTGGTGGGTTTAGTGTGGGACGAGATGACGTCTTCAGTCGCGTCCGCAGGGCGGAACCGAGCGGGGAAACCGAGCCATTGGATTCTACATGCGGGGGCAAGCAATGGATCTTCTTCTTTGCAATTAGAGATACGCTGGGGAAAAGTACATATCATTCACAAACTTTCGCTATATAATGTATTTTGTCCTTCATACGCTGGTCGTTGTTGTACAATGGAAGATCCTGTCGGATGGCAAGCACACTCCTGCGCAGCCCGCGCAACACTCAACACGATACAGCCCATGGTTCAAAATATAGTTTCCATCGAATCCTAACCAAACGTCTATCTGGAATGACTATTGTGCTGTCCGTGACTTTCACAAGGAATCAATTAACGTTCTACCAGGAAAGATGCTACGTAACAGAGCAACAGACAAATCAAGATGTGAGGGTGGTGATGAGAACAGACACATTATACGAGAAGAGAGCAGCTGAATAGAGCACAAACTGAAGAATTCATCGCTGCTTGCAAAGTGTCGTAAATGATGTCAATTGTGACGGCGTACTCTATATATCGATCCATCTCGAATCGGACACCCCACCATCTTTGTCAAGTCTGGAATATCGAAAGTACATTGATACGAGCGCATTGAATTGAGCCCCTTATCATCTGGTTGCAACTTCGCGCGAATGGCACTATGACAGAAGCGCAGTGCCATGCGAACCACCGGACCAGATTCAATACTGATCTTGATGTCTACCAGAAGAATTAGGGGCATGTTCGATACACGAACTACGACACTGTGCCTGTCCGGAACTGGCGGCTCCTTATTTGCTCTTTTTCGCTAAGTGGAAGCATGTAATTCAACTTGACTTTTGCTATGCGTTGCCCTCAAACATTGCATGTTCTTTGGGTGTGATGTTGTGATTTAATGTGCCGATTTGAATGTCCCCTGAAGCAAAACATGCTATCGTCTTCCGGGACCTCCTCGACGTCTGGTCTCAGAGACATTCTAGCGCTCGTGAACGGAACGGAGAATGCTAGTCGACGTTGAGATCGTCGGTCACGCATGCCATAGTGTGGGTTTGTTGGGGTTCGGCATGCTTTTTGCTTCGCCGAAAGTCGTCGACATGGAAATGTGGGCCTGTGGGGAAGAGATAGTTGATTGGCGCTAAGGATTATCAGTATCGGGTATCAGTACGTCGTACCTTGGCTATCACCTACGTCGAAACGCGGCTGTGTTAGTAGATATTGACCACAGCTTAGGGAGGCGGGGCGCTTTCTTTGTGGGCCTCGGGAAAGTTGATACTGTCTCGCTTCAATGATGTGGCGCACTTTCATCGTCACAAATAGAGTTCAATGTCTTCGACCTTTTACCATTGCTGGCATTCCCAGCAGAGGCTGTGGTGATCACTCGGGTCGGTCGGTTCAGCGGTCGGTTCAGCGGTCGGTTCAGCGGGGAGGCGCATAGTTATGACAAGGGGATGGGATAACGTTCCCAGGAGAGAAGCAGAACTTAGTCATGTGGAGCTGGATTCAATATTGCCTTGAGTCCAATACTTCGGTATCGAGCAACGCTCTCAGCGGCCGTGGGAGTGCGCTAGCCGGTTCGGGTTGTGGCTTGTAAAGACGAAACAAGTCGTGGCGGACTGGCAAAGCGACGGCTTGGCAGGGGAACTGAGAGATTGCATGACGGTGCAATGACAGCGTAACGGGACCGCGAGAAAAGCACTGCGATACCCTGCGCGCTTACTGTAGCTATGTTGGCGGCTGGATCAGATGCTGTATTACCCGAGCGCACATGTGTTGAAGCTGTTGAGATGTGGTGCCGCCATTCTCTTGTGGGTCTAGTCAATTCTTGGTTTGTTTCCGCTGTACCGCTGCCCAGCGCGGCCATGGTGCCATCATCCATGCTTCCGGCGCGCAGTAGTCTGCTTAAATGCCAACACGGATTAAGACACCACATGTGGAAACCCCTGTGTGCGCTACGTTCCATCGCATTGGACATTCCCGATGTCTGCGATATACCTTGCGAAACCCTTTTAGAGTCTGGCGAAGCTCAGCTGCCCAGGTGTGTGCAGAACCCCAATCTGGGCCCGATGAACAGTTCAAACTCCAGACTAAGCCTTAGGACATTATAGCACAGCCATGATAAACATGGAAAAGAGAACGGCCGGGCTTGTAACCGCTGCATGGTCTGTGTTAAGCATGACATCTCTGGACGCCCCGCTCGCCTCCTGCAACCATCAGCGAACCTTCTTTTTCCGACCCCGCTGAGGTTTGCTTCTACACGACAGGCTTGATGCCTCGATCAAGACATAGCCAAGTACACCTACTTGACTCTTCGTGCGGCCAAGTATTGACTGTCGTATCGTCACACTAACGAGAGACTCGGCAATCTTGTAATAGGCTGTTAAGCGTGGGCTAGTTCCTGGGTACGCTCACGTACCTATACGACTCGGTTAAGCGGACGACGATGCAACTCACTTCTTCACACTTTCCTTCATTACTTCCGAAACTATAATCTGCTCGTCAACAATCCAAGATGCAAGCTCCGGTCCCTAGACATGCGCTGTGCTCCACAAACGCCTAGAAAACGCTCCACATGAAGAGGACGCTTGTGTTAGCCGCACACCCAGCCGACTAGGTATCGGGTCCATGCCATCTCAGCACAAGCTCCTCGATGATCAGCGCAAACCTAGACGACGGCTACTCAAAATAGAAGCTCGTCCCTCCCGACAGGCTTGTCTCGCGAGCACCTGCATGCCAAGCCATGCTGCTCCTATCTCGGGCGTGTCATTACTGGCGCTACTGCATTGGAACCAGCGATATATGAATGGAACCTGTACCCTTACTGCGAGCCCCACAAGCTATCGCCTGTCTTTCGTCGCCCTCACCGTCAACTTGCAGGGCGTTGTGACCACTCGACATTGGAAGTCCCAGACTTCTGTACACTCGCTTTACCCCTGTCGCTCGCTCCCTATAATATGTTTATTTCTACTCTAATTGGCCTCGCCGCCGGCCTGGCCAGCCATGCTGTCAACGCAGCCTGTAATGCGCCCCTTACAATCGATGACTTCTCCAAGTACGCTTCGAACCAGAATAGTTTGAACTCATGGACCAGTGGTACGTCCAATCAAAATAAACCCCACAACAAGCCCTAACGATTCCAGATGATGCCAGTATGAGCAGCATCTCAGCCAGTAACGGCGTCCTTTCGTTCAAACCCAAATCTGGTGACTCTTACTTTTACGAGACATTTGATTGCCAGGCCGCAAGCAACAATGGCTACAACTCCATCACCTTCCAAATCAAAGGACCTGCTGGCGGCTCTGCTACTCTCGAGATGCAGACCAAGACCAGCTGCTCGGCTTCTTCGTACACGTCCAAGTACGTCTCTCTGACTGGATTGACTGGCAACACCCAGACCATGACCATCCCGTTCTCTCAATTTGGCGGAGCCAATGCCAACGCCATCACTGGCTTTGTCTGGGCCGGCTTCTCTTCCACCACCACCACATGGCAAATGAGCAAGGTTGCGTTTGGGTGCGGCAGCTCCGGTGCCATTACTTCAGTGTCTACCAAACCGGCGGCCACAAACACACAAACCACCATGCAGACTAGCGCAGTCCCCACAGCAGCTCCTGGAACCTGCGCGCCCTTGTTGATTGATGATTGGATCTCTCAGTCCCGATTACAGTTCTTGTATTACAACGCCATGGGATACCCCACCTCTGACGATGCTACTATGAAAAGTGTCACAGTAGGAGTTCCTTCTGCCAACCGCGTTGAGTTTGTCCCCAAGTCCGGCTCGTACTTTTACACGCAATTTCCCTGTGTCAACGCGAAGAACAAGTACACTGGTATTTCGCTTCGCATCAAGGCCCCCAGGGGAGCTTCTCTCTCCATCCAGCTCGATTCGTCTGACAGCTGCGACCCGAACAAGGCCAAGTCTACTTATGCGTCTGCTGCTGACCTCGGCTGGTCTTTTGATGGAACCGAGAAGCTGTACACCATTCCTTTCAGCAAGTTTTCCGGCCTCAACACCGAGAAGCTCGTCACGATCCTCTTCTCTGGCTTCTCTGGAACCACTTCCTTCGGACCCATGGCATTCTACTGCGGTAACTCTGGTGAGTACATTGCGACACCCCCGCCTGCCGACGGCGGCCCCACCGCTACCGTTCCTGCGCCCAGCAACCCTTCGGCTACCAACCTCGTAATCGACAAATTCGCCAATGCAAACAGCAACACCATGGGCAACTACCATGGTGGTGACGAAGGCATGTCTCTCAAGTATGCAAACAACAAGCTCACCATCACCTCTTCCGATGCCGACTTCGCTTTCTACACGCAGGTTTCGCAGGGCTGCTCCGACTTCACAAAGTACAAGGGATCTTACCTTCACATTGCCTACACTGGTACTACTGCTTTCACTGTTGCCTTCCAACAACACAACAGCAAGTGTGACAGCAGCATTGCCCCCTTCCCCGAGACCTGGGACTCTGCCGAGGCCAGTCGTTACGCCAAGAACGGACACATTTACATTCCCATCAGCCATTTCAAAATCAACCTTAGCCGCGTGGTAGGTTTCGCGCTCAAGGGTTTCCACAGCAAGGAGTCCGTCACCCTTTCCGTCATTGAGATTGTATCTTCCGTTCCCGCCGGAACCACTATCCCTAACAAGGATGAAACTGGTGACCTAGTCTTCGCCTGCAAGCGCCCCAACTCCTTCGCCTTCGCCATCGACGACGGTCAGCCCGACCTCGCGCAGCAGGTGCTCAAGATCATCCGTGAGGAAAACATCAAAGTTACCTTCTTCACAGTCGGCGCACCCCTCCTCGACGCCTCGACCAACCTGACCAACGTATACAAGGAGATGCAGTCCGCCGGCCACCAGCTCGCCCTCCACTCCTTCACTCACCCCAAGATGGAAGGTCTACCGGACTACGCATCCATAGACTGGGAGTACAACGAAGACGTCAAGGCCATGAAGAGCCAATTCAACGGCTACACGTCCAAGTACTTCCGTCCGCCCTTCGGCACCGAAGGCGCGCGCATGCGCTCGCGTCTGACAAAAGCTGTTGGCAACTCGGCCAACATTGTCAACTGGAGCGTTGACGTCGAAGACTGGTTGTGGGCTGAGACAAACACTCCCGAGCAGCAGAAAGTTGCTTTCCAACGCGATGTTAACAAGGGCGGTAATCTCGTTGTGCTGCATTATTTGTATCCGAGTACGGTTAGCTATCTGAGGGAGTTTATTCAGATCGCCAAGGCGACGGGGAAGCAGCTTATGCGTGTGGATCAGTGTATGATGGATCCGAATGCGCCGCCGCTGTAGATGGTGGGGTTGTTTGGTGAGGTTGGTGCGGATTATTAGGTAGAGAAAAGGCAAATTTTGTTGTGCATACGTATGTACGTTCTATGATTCATGGATTCTTTTCAGAGCAGAATTGTTGGATGCGTAAGTCGCTAACTTTCTGATTCGAACGGCAATATCATCCCTCACCATTATTATCTGTTCTTGTGGTATACACATTACTTTTGATTGAGTGGTCTCTGCTTTGCTTGTACTTGGATTTCTGCTGGAAAATGCATCAGTGGGCGGAGAAATCTAGGACATCTATTCAAGAATCTTTTGACGGATAAAGAGGGATTGTGTTATATGACGCGAGCACGTGACAAGTGCACGGACTTATGATGTATAGCTACCTCATTGAGTATTGCTCGTAAGGGTAGACTTTAGAATACATTCACATTCACAACCCAAACATGTTGCAGATTGAATACAGTTATATAGGGGGGGAGGTGCAGATCCGGAACGCGCCACTACCGCAGATACTTGTGAGATATTGCCCACGACCAACACTTCGATTCCCCCACAGCCAAAGCAGGCCAGTCAAAACGTCTTCGTCTCCAACTTAACGTAGTGTGAACAAACAACCCTAGGGAACCCCTCCCCCTTTACGCAAAAGTCCAATATTACTTCTTCCATCCCCCTTCTTGTACCGCCTACACACAACCCTTTTTGCATTTATCCGTTTCCCCCCCCCCCCCCCCCCCCCAAAGATTCTAGCATGAATGCAGCATTGTCGCAGGGCCAATTCGTGGGTAAATCACTGTGTGCAGGGCATGATTGTATTGTCGTTTCCTTGGCTGGGGTGCGGAGGTGCAGGTAGTTATGCATCTGTGTAGCTGGAGCGAGTTGAGTAAGTTTTCGCTGTAATGATATGGAAATGGGTGATGGAAATGGTTTGGTTTGGTGGAGGCGTTTAGTTTGGGTCAGGGTTGGGTTGTAGGGGGTTTTCGTTCAAGAGCGGAAGTTTCGGGTCGCATGGGGGAGAGTACTATGGTAGGTGAAATGAACCTTACTGGAGATTATCCGATCCCGTTTCTCGCCCTTTGTTATAACCGGCTGCGTCTTCTTGCTCAACTTGGTAAACGCATACGGACGTCCAGGCCGTCACGCACAACTATCTTTGCGAGTAGAACAATCCGCGACACTCGAATTTGCTTAACGATCGGGACTGCAAGTCATTTCTCATCCCGCTTACCGCTACTGTGAGCGCGAGGCATACTGATAACTTGGTTCGAGAAGGTCTCAGCAGGTGCATGGCTTGAATAATGGAGTGTATCGGAGGACCTTCATGCAATTGAGCTCAATCTAGACCAAGCTTCCGAGGTAGCTGTGTTGAGCCTTCCTTCCGCTCTCACCCTCTTACCAAGGTGGGCACGCGACGAGCACGGCGATCAAGCTTGTCTCGACTTTTTGATGCTTGACTGTTCATTCTGGACTTTCGGGGTGGCGGTCCTTGGGGTTCAGCGGTGACAATCCCCTTTTTTTTCTCTGAGTGTTCTCAGCCATCTGGCAGAGCCTTGAGGAAGAATTATTGACGTTCCTAGGTGAGATGGAATACTTGACACTCAGGTACACAAAGGTACTGTAGGTATTTGAAACGCCTATCGGGAATTTGATAGCGGGGTTTACCTGTACTGTCGTTTTCAAGCATGTATGTTACCTGGGTGGACGAAAAGAATTCCTAGCTCATATTCTCCAGTGTGGATGAACCCTAGCCTACTTCATTCCCAAACCTATGCCCAGGTTAAACATACATTTGAACTTGACAACCTCACTGACCCACATATCTCCCTGCATCACCCTTGGTCACTCGTCATTCCACTCCCGCCAACCCCCGGAATCTCACATCATTCCGGCGAAGCCGGCGTCTCCTGCTTCACCGACGAATCCTTCACAATACGTAGCCGCTCCTCTTCCGCCGCCTTGGCACGCCCCTGGATATCCGGAATATCCTCGGGGTGCAAGCGGATCAGCTCCCTGATGGTATCAATTTGAGACGAGATAGTGACGGCCTGGGTTCGGTGTAGAGTTGATATGGATTCTAGCTGCTTCTGCGCTTGCTCGTATACGACCGTTGCTTTCGCGAGCTCGGTCTTGAGACGGGCGATTTCTTTGTCTTTGGCGTCTTGGGAGGACATGGCGTTTGCGGAGGATCTTGTGGTGCGATGCTGTGGAGGGTGTCAGCGATGCAAGAAGGTAAGGTAGTGGGGGAGAAATGTGCCTCGTAGCCGATACACGGGTTGCTGGATGAGATGTCTGTTATGTTTGGGGGTTGTTGTAGTCAGTAGAAATACCCGTGCTTGCTTGGTAGTTGAGCGCAGTGGAATACTGGCGGCGGGGAGGTAGATATACAACAAGGGCTGGTTGCCGGTGAGGAAGAGAGCAAGTGGGTGCTTGATTCTGGTCATGCAGAAACCAAGACGCGCGATGGTGTTATCAATGAAGGCGCGTCCGGCGCAGGGTAAGAGCAACCGCAGCTCTTCTCATAGACCAATCGCAATATTTCCCCTGCGTACCAACTCGCTGTAATCGCGCAATAGTGATGCGCAATACACGTGGTACAATCAGCCACCTGACAAAAGCTTGGTTGAAAGATATTCGCATGGAAACTGGGCTAAAGGGTAGCAGACAGGCTATACAGCACACGTCAGCGACAGTCTTGCTTCAGGGAATGATCAAGAAAGCAATTGACTGGAGTTGAAGGAAAGGATGTACTGTCGACGATAGGGCTTAGGAGCGTCATGTCTGTCTGACTACGTTAGCCCAATTGTCCGGTCGCATCCAAACCACAGCTCTCCGTGCTGGTATACCTATAGCAGACGGCACACGCATGTGCATCAAGAATCCCGTGGGTAGCATCCACCTTGTACTCGTTTCTTTCAGCTTTGTGTGCATCGGATACTGTGTCGAAGACTAAGGTCGACCGATTCACTGTTACGAAACTCGTATCCTCTGCCTTCGCATCACCTTGGTTGTCAAGGAGCCCCGGACAAGCCTTCATGGCGTCGCAAGACATGACTCTGTTGGCCTACACCCCACTATATATCATCAAACGAGGCAGTCTTTTCGATTTTGCGCAGTTCGTCGCATGCCGTCGGCCGAGGAGCACGTGAAGCGCATTGCTGGTGTTCAATGCGCACGGTCGCATAGGAAGGCCGTCGATTTGGTCTCTGTCTCTAACCAAATAGCAATCTAGGAGCATACCAAACAACATTTCGAAAAAAAAGCACTGTGCTATCCTTGGTTTTCATGCATCTAGCACACTGTAAGGGATTGCCGCATCGGGTGTTGAATAGGGCTTATGATGAAAGAAACGGGGCTAGCGAACGTGGACCGCAACTACACCTCGTCTTTACACTTCGCCTTCCACGTCATAAGAATAACACAGTTGGTTTCGCTGTTTCTACGATTGTAACCTGGAGAGCAACTTTGGGATAGGCGTCTAGTCACGGGTACCAATTACTACCGCAATCGCAACCTCGTCATGTCACCATTCAACTACACCAAAGTCAGCAGCGAAAGCTCACAGCCAGAATCGCTTGAGCAGCAGCCCTCAAAACAAATTCCAGGTCGATTATCGGGGTGGCGCAAGACTGCCCATAGTATTCAGTTTCTGCGATGGCCTATGACTTTCTTTTTGCTCACGGTCATTCTCATCTGCGAACTCTCAATACTTCACCAACAATCCATCCCACTGAAGTTGGGCAGCGAGGCCAATGGTCTGCTACCAGAATGTAATTAGTCCGCGCGGATGCAGCGTCTTTGACACATACGAATGAAGTATCCAATATACTAACTCGCACGCAGTCACAACGCAGAAGAAAACGTTCCACACAGACAAGAGATATGCATCCGACCACCGAACCACAGCTTCTATCAACGCCACAAAGCACCAATGGATGGATCTCATGCCCCGTAAGCCCCCATCACTTCTCCGCCACCCCCGGAAAACAAGTCTACGCCATCGCCGTCTTCCACGAACTCCACTGCTTGATGCACCTATCCGGCTACATCGATAAGCTCGTCATGCAGATCCGTAACAGGGACTTTGAGCTTGACGAAGGCGCTGTCTGGCATAACGATCACTGCTTCAATTATCTGCGTAATGCGCTGTTGTGCTGTGGTGATACTACGCTGGAAGGGCAGGCGCAGACGCCCGAGTTGCAGGGTGTGGCGGGGACAGATGGGACGGGGGCGGTGCATGTTTGTCGGAATTATGATGAGATTCTGGCGTTTGCGGAGAAGGTGAGGCTTACGGATGCGAAGGAACATTTTTGAGAAGGGGTGCTGTTGGTGGGAGTGCGACAAGTCTGTTTGTCGTAAATTCCTAATGTACATTTTTGGTCTGATGACGCCGTACGCCATGTCGCCTGTCCTACAATGCTGACTTTTTCCTCATCCCATCCTTAATATGTCCAACTTCAAACGGACTCTCCATCACACGAAGCTCTACCGTGTCTGCTCTTCACCACAGTTTCCCATCGTTCGCAGAGATGTCAACAAGCAAGTCAAGCTGGCTTGATTCTTATCGATTGCAGATCACAGACCATTCTCTGGGACGTGCCACTGTTGCACGAGCCCTCTATATTGTCTGTGATCTGCAATCGATAAGAATCAAGCCAGCTTGACTTGCTTGTTGACATCTCTGATCGTTCGTGCTCCGAGCCGCCCAAAACAGATCGACCGCCAGCTCCGGATGTTCCTCCACAAGCGTATCAAACAAGATACTCTTCAGATACTCTCCGTACTCGTTCCGGAGGAAGTACACGGCCATCTCCCTGCCCAGACTGTTCGCCCCGCCTGGGAAATTGCTGTAGTACTTTTGTAGCATTTTGTGCCACGTATGAATGGAGAGGGGGAACTTGAAGTCATCAGCTGGCAGCAAGCCCATCTTCTTAGCCACGTCCACGTGTAGCTCCTCAATCTCGTATCTGTACGCGAGATCCCACACGTTGACGAGGGTGTTCAAGGCAGCGGCTGGGTTGCCCGTGGCGGGAGCTGCTGCACCTGCCGTGTTGTTATCGGCCAGGTACATGATCTTGAGGAGGAGGTCGAATGTTTCGATGGTGCTACCGAAGACTTCAATCGTGGTGATGGGGCCATGGCGAATTATGGTGGTGATGTCGTCGACGGCCGCTGGACGATCTTGTAGATGTAGGACTTTGTCGAACCATTGTGAGCGCGACCGAAGCATTGCTGAGTGCGCGTGGTACTCCGTCTTGCTTCCGCCTGAAGTATGGTAGAGGAGCAAGTCAGCAGGCTCTTTGGCCCACGGGGTGTCGTTGAATACCCTGATGGTGTAAGTTTAGATTTCGTTTTTGCGTGGACAGAGAGTCCCACGTGATCGCCATGGCTGTCTGGGGCTGGTTGTTTGTGTTGGAAGTTATGAAAATGGTTTGACAGCAAAGTAAAGAATGGGCAACTTTGTTGGATCTGGTGGTAATAAGAAGGAAGAAGAGGACCGATAAGTTGCAGAATAATAGATATATTTGCTACAGTACGCTAGATACTGTCTTGGAAGTCGAATTCAATGCTGATATATTCGATGGTGACAGACGATTGGGGGAAAAGGTGGAGCTGAAGAGAAAATACTCGGTGAATGAGCAGGAGACTGATGAGTGTCTCTAACCTCACGCATCATAGATACTCGGTACATCCTTCTAATTGGCACTTCCATTTTCGGCCTCTGTTTCCTTGTAGCTCTCGAACCACTCCTCAAATTCCTCCTTCGAAATTTCTTCGTGTGCGGCTTCCGGCCCATCCTCACCATACGTGTCCAACAGACTTTCAATGTACATATGTACCCCTTCAAGGTGTTCCGAGCAAAGCGGCTTCTTGTCTTGACGAGCGACGATGCAGCTACCAGGATTCTGCCATTATTAAGGCGCAATACCCTCTGCGTAACTGATGCAGAGCGAGGCGGCTAAGGGGCAGTCTAGATCGGCTGGATTGTTCGACTTGGTACCGAGGGGACATATGACAAGCGGGATTTCTAACATGGCAGGAACCTCAAGGAGCTTTGTATCAAAGATGGGATGGTCACTAGCAATGTTGACATTCCAGAAACCCCCAGACTCCTTCTTGCACCCAATTTGGACAGCTTGTACAGTGTCGCCGGTGAAGCGAGAAGCCGCTGTTTCGGCTTTGCGTGAAAGGCTGGCTAGTTTGCGGGCCGCCTCACTCATTATGTGGCAATATATAAGTTAGCAAAGATGATTTTTGGTGAAAATGTGAGATTTGATGATGTTTTGAATTGTTATGTCGGTGGTGAGGAGAGCGGGGAATATGTGGAGATGCGGCCCACGTGCACGCGTCCAAGGCACTAGACCTGATATGGCAAGGCGTGAGGGCTATCATCTCAGACCGTGGACATCAATTTGCACAATTCTCCGAAGTATGTCCTCACGATATCGAAAAGACGGATAACTTGAAGCTTTTCAAGCATGTATCGGGGACACCAAACTACCCATGTCACGACCAATGGAGGATGAAGAACAAAGCCCTCTCCAGGAGCCACCAGCTAAGAAACAACGAAACTTGGCATGCCAGCGATGTCGCTCGCGCAAGCAAAAATGCGAAGACAACCGACCATGCGGCAACTGCGTTAGAGGAGGCGAGGAGTGCCTGCCCACCCAACCGGCACCTCGACTGCACGTTGAAAGCGAATATGTGCGCGTCCTAGAGGAACGCATTGCTGAGCTTGAATCTCTTGACCCTCAGCAAAGTCTCGACCACCTTGGCGGTGCGCACAGTAGAATTGAAGGACTAGCAAGTGTTGATACATCGGCGGAAAATGGTGAATTACGACCATCTGCCCAATATGCCTCGCTACCAGTCTACGCAATGGCAGTCAGCTCTGAGGAAGAGCCCGATCCTAATCATTTCTACCTCCGATTATTAGCATCACCATCGACTCAAGACGCAGTTCAGAACGACTCTGCCACACACATAATGATCGGTTCGCATCATCGTATGCGACATATCGATGACTTCGACGCTCAACATAAATTGACCACAACGGTGGTGGATGCCCACGCAATGGTTAACCTGCCATTACACCATACAAACTCACTGCTTGAAGCATACCGTGAGCGTGCTCAAGCCCAATATCCGTTCTTTTATTGGGATATGTTTCTTACATGGCACTCAGAATGGAAGCATTCTCTGGCCTGTGATCTGAACAAACGCGCGTGGCAAGGCTTCTTCGTCAATCTAGTATATGCGACGTCTTTGATGCTACAGCGCAAGTCACATGTGGCAACATTTGATATGCATACCTTCTACAGCACTGGATTATCGCTACTTCCAGCTATACTACAACAACCCGACAAGATCCTTCAAGTGCAAGCGTACCTCCTGCTATCCGTCTATGCGCTACATCAAAGCTCCACGGAGCGCATCATAACCCTTGCATCAACGACGATGCGACTATGTGTCCAGCAACAATTGCATCTTGCCGAGGTGGAGCCACAGCCGTTAGACGTCCATGCACGGCTCAGAATACAGATCCGACGGCGCTGTTTCTGGTGTGCATATACACTTGATCGATTGGTCATGTCGGCTTTCGACCTGCCGCCTTCGGTATCTGACCAAATGATTACCGTGAGGCCTTTTGCTAATATCGAAGATCGCGATCTGCTGGGAGCTGCTGCAGTCACCTCCGCAATGGTAGAGTTGGCTGATGACCCCAAATACACTTGCATGTCTCCTGCGCTCCATATACTTCAATGCAGGCGTATCCAGTCGGAGATAAGCGCCGTCACGCTTCGATCGGACTATTATACTCAATTCGAAAGCACTTCTGAATGGCGGGTCCGCATACTTGCTGAGTTAGAAAAGTTCAAGTCTCGCGTACAGAGATTCTCTGACCCTCAGTCGAAAGGGTATACCTCGCAAAGATGGCAGGCTATGATATACTACTATACCCTGCTCATGTTGTATCGACCTACAAAAGCAAACGTGCTCGAAACAGCTGGTGATTGGTCGGTGCAAGCAAGTACGCAGGCTTGTTTGATGTTTCGAAAGAGTCAGATTGACCGACAAATTGCACAGCCGTGGCTTGCAGTAAGTGTTGGAAGACATGGCGCCAGTTCCAACTAACGCAAGCAGCTCATCGTCCAGTTCCAATCCGGCATCACACTTTTGTACTGTTTCTGGGCTACTGCGCCGGAACATAGGACGGACAAATACAACTCCCTCGATGTACCTGACGCGCTGCGTGCATGTTCTAATATCTTAGCAATCATGGCGGACCGATGGGCAAAGGCGGATTGTTTGCGGGATGTGTTCGAACTCCTAGTGCGAGAGATTCCACTCGTTGACCATCCCAACAAGCCACCTGTTCGGCTGACAGAGAAGGCTTCGTCGGCGATTAAACTGCATCTACCGCAAGTACGTGCGCTCGTGGTACACCGTCCAGTGTTACGTATGATTGAGGAAATGATATCCGAAGACTTCCCTCGCTCGTTGACACACGGTCGATCGGTAGCGGGTGTGCTCGGCCAGGCGGACCACGGAAATCCTATTCATTTCGATCTGCAATCACAAAATGCCAACGACAACTTCCAGATGCCCTTTGCGTCGCAGCGCTCTTTTGAATATCTAGGCACCACCGGGGAATTGGAAAGCTTACATGTCGATGGGCCACTGTCATTTCCAGGTGTGTTTGACCTTGAAAGCTGGATATAGCGATATTGGGACTAGCACTTGGACGACCTCCTATTGTCTGTCCGCATCATCTCTTTCGTAAAAGTATGTCGCGCTCTGCCCTTGGCTCTTCCAGTGCTGAAGGGAATTACGCACTTTATATAGCAGATTACTATTACGCAGGCGATCTACATATCGGGCCCTATTGTCATGTCTAATGTCCGGATATCAATGTCTGCAGCCAAACATCGGCGGAGAGTTCCATCACACAATCGCCCCACTCGTATATCAGCTCTTTCTCTCTCCATCCGCTTCAATCCCGTTTTCCATGCCTTTTCTTCTCGTGCCCGATTTGAGTACAACGGATACCATGACCATCGAAGCAGCGAAGCAGAACTATGCACGACTGCAGCAAGTAACCGTGTATTCATTGCAATTCAAGCCTTTAAAACCAGTCTACAAACATGTTAGCATCGCTAATAAGATTCCACGATATATCTTGTACATACGCATTGTCCATCGAAGCATTCCATGATGAGACCAAGTGCATCGCCGACGGGTTTACATGCATCTCCGATAGAGCCAGTGGGTGTTTTAAATCTGCATACATTTTTTCGATTGGCTATGCAATTCTATACGGGTTAGTTTATTTATGCCAAATTGGAAGGCAAGTCGTACATGGTCGGTGCCAGAGCAAGTCGTGATTCGCGCGCATGCTGCCGCGAGCGCATACGAAGAGAAAAAAAAATATCCCTAGGAGTTCGAGCTTCATCTTTGGGTTGGTGGGATGGTCGACCGGGATGAACAAAGCTAAATGACTTATATCGTGGCTGTTGAGGTATAGTGAAGCTTGGTTAGAGAAAGGTGGCGGTGGACGAGAGAGAAGTAATTGAAGTAGGAAGAGGACGGGTCAGGGCATGCAGGATCAAAGATGAGAGATTGAACTCGTTTCATCAGTACGGGAAAGAAGGTCTTTGCGCGGTCACCAACGGAATCAATCACACGATGTTGTAGTGCTGACACTGAGCGCGGACGGGTGAGAATTCTTGGCAGTTGGATTGTATTAATGCTCTGGAGAGCACGGAAAAGTTGTGTACTCCAAGTATAAATTCTGGATAACGAATGGGGTATAGTACCAAGTTTTCCGATAGCACCACGACTGATTCCTTGTATCACTGCGACAACAATCCCGCGTCGTGGTACTCTGCTACCCAGCGTCGACATCACCCCTCGTTGCCCTATCCCCTAGTAAGTCGCGCAGCAACTAACCCAACATTCTATGCAGTTTTGGCCATTGGCATCGCAACCATCCTATAAAAGATGTCAGAAAACCCAAATCCGATGCCATGTTTACCATGTACTTACGCAATCGCCATTGACGCAAGGCTGCCCCGGATAATCTTTACAGTGTAAGGAATTTGTACCGAAATTACACAGTTCGTTCTTGTTTTTTTGGCATCCCTATTGTATGTGTGTAAGTACTCGTGCATATGATGGCAGGTAGGCAACCCCGTACATCACCACTACAAGAATTCACTGTCGTGCACATGGAACCGCCGCGTGCCTGTACTTGTGCGAGGGCTTGGAAAGCAAAGATGAAGATTCCTACGAGTTCGAGCTTCATCTTCTGGGCTAGTGGGACGGTTGGATGGGTTTGAGAGGAGAAGTGATGTCGCGACGAAGCCGGTATGTAACTAAGTTCCAGTGGGAGAGAGACTTGGACGGAGGAAGTCAAACAGTATATGAAGGATTCAGACGGGTCTGAAAGGGCATTTATACCCCTCCCCTAGACCAAGAAAAACCGACACGCACAATCCGATCAGAGCAACGGGAGTATCCGAGAACAAGTCATCCACAACCCCAACACCACAATCTCGGTCCCCTCGTGCTGACGCCGATCGCAAATGCGGAGCGATCGACAATCCAGAGTACGGTACAGTAAGCTCGCACGGCTGTATTATTCCCCCCCCCCCCTTTTTTTTTCTTATGTACTTCTTTTTACAGTCAGCCAACCAGGATACATACAAAAAAGGTATTGGCTCGATGTCTCTGTGTTGTGATAATCGCGATCTCCATTACGACCGTCTTTTACCTTTTCGCTAGCGACAATCTCATGTGCACGGTTGTGTAAGTTGGATGCTGCTTTTGAGGTTACGCGTGCTGTGATTTGCAGGAGAAGGGAAGGTTGGAAAGGCTTGGTAGGGGGTTAGGGTAATTGGGTATGAGATGAGGGTGTTGCACCACAAATTACCATATCCAAAAGACTTGAAAAGATTAATTTGACGCAGCAATTTCGGGATCCAAAAGGAACCCTAGCCTGGAGGGGGCTAGCCTAATCAGATCTATATGTTAATGTCCGCTCTTGCTTGACTTGTGTAAATCTTAAGTTGAATCCCTACCATCTACATCCAATAACCTGGAAACCCGACCCCCCATAGCTCCGAAGACGGGAATAAGTAGATTCAGTCGACCATCCCCCATACCCGTCATTAAACCACAAACTTTCACACCATCACAGCAAACACCCACACAATCGCACTTCACGCCACCAGAATCTTGGCATAAAAAGAGAAATAAGATTTTACACATCCTTCCAGCGTCGGGGCCATTGAAACCAATCTAAAGCGATGTTTCTAAACATGATTGAACCCAAAAGCCATCATCACCCCGAGGTCATCATCATGTCCCCACCTCACCACCAACCAACGCCAAGACCATGCATATTCATTCGTCAATCATACGGTAGACAAGGCCAGATTTAATAACCACCCCTCTATTGCGTCGCACACTGCGGCCCCGCCTCTTCATCATCGTCGTCTTCCCACTCCCCACCTCCCGCGCGGGGATCACCACTACCAGCACCAAAGTCCTCCATCTCAGCATCCCATTCGACTTCGACCTCCTCGACCTCCTCGTGTTTTTCTTCAGGCATGTCGCTCTTTGGTAATGCGTCTCGGACTTTTTGGACGGCCGCGTCGTTTTTGAGCCAGCCATCTTCGGGGAACTCGACGTCGACGACGAGGTAGAGGTCGCCTCTTGCGTCGCTCTTCTTCATGGGCATGCCTTCGCCTTGGATTTTGAGTACCTGGCCGGGACGCAGGACGTTGCCGTCGGGCTGCTGGACGTGGAGCTTGAGACCCCTGCCGTCGAGGTGTGTGATGACGACGCGGTTGAAGCCTGTGAGGGCCTCGACTAAGCTGACTTTTAGCTCTGCTCTCAGATCCGCTCCTGCGCGCTCGAAGACATCGTGATGGGCCTCGGTGAGGGTGAAGATGATGTCGCCTGGTTCTTGATCTGGTAGTTGATCTGCTTCGCCTGCTAGTACTATGCGCTCGCCTTGTCGGGCACCGCGCGGGATGTAGAGTTCAAGTACGTTCTTCGTCTCGACGACTTTGTTGCCCTTGCACTTCTTGCAGCGTTGCTTCTCGGGGATGACCTGGCCGGAACCTTGACAGTTACCACATGCAACAGTCTCTTGTGTAACAAGACCGGGCCCAACTTGGCGGAGAACTTGCTTGGCACCTAGATGTGTTAGTTTTGAGATTTCAAGTGAGTGATGACGAGCATACCGCGTCCATTACAAACGGCACATGCGTTGCTCTTTGCGCCCTGTTTGCCGCCGCTGCCCTTGCACAAGGAACAAATGATGTTCTTCGTGTTTGAGAACTTTGTCGTCTTGCCTTTGTAAAGTTCTTCTAGCGTGACCTCGTATTCTTGCTCGACTGATCGTCCTTTGCGCGGTACATTTCGCCCGCCTGGCATGCCGCCCATGCCTCCCATACCTGGCATTCCTCCAAATCCACCCATGCCACCCATGCCGCCGAACATTTGCGCAAAGATGTCGTCCATGTCGGGCCCGCCGCCGCCCATACCTCCGTTAGAGGGATCAAAGGCGGCCATGCCATGGGTATCGTACATATGTCGCTTGTCATCGTCGGAGAGGATTTCGTAGGCTTGTTTCGCAGCCTTGAAGCGGATTTCAGCCTCTGCGCGGTCGTCTTCTGCGACCTTGTCGGGGTGATGTGCTAGTGCGGCCTGGTAAATGTAAGTCTGGTGGTCGCGGACACTGTGCAGTATGCGAACCTTGTGGTATGCCTTTTTGATTTCGGTTTTGCTTGCGCCCTTCTCGATGTCGAGAACCTCTGTTATCCTTAGCATAAACGACGGGCGCCATGAGGCGCATGCATACCGTAGAGGTCGATTTCCTCATCCACTGCGACTTTGTTAGCATGGCGTCATGAAGTAGTAGATGATACTTACTTTTTGGTATGGGTAGACGGTAAACTTTGGGGTATTGGACAAAGTTGAGTCTTCAAGAAGTATATAAAACAAGGGTAGAGGAGGTGCGACAGGATATAAAGGCACTCACACGCACTACAGGTGAGAGCGACAAACTTTCTCCAGGTTTGTCGAGCCGTTGTAAAGTTAAGATACCGCCCGCACTAGGCCGGAGATCCCTGTCCGTCATTTTTGCAGTCGCGAATTGCAAGCTGCTGCAGCGCTGCGTCGCATCAACATGGCCATGTCTTTTTGCTTGCTCCGCCGCCCTCTGGTCTCCACCTACACCTGCCGCTCGTGTCTTTGCCGGCTTTCACGCCCATCACGACGTCCCATCTCGTTTGAGTCGGCCAAGGACCATAAACCTAACCCCGCCTTACCAACATTTCCCGCACGGACGCGGTTTGCACCATCGCCGACGGGTTATCTGCACCTAGGCTCTTTGCGAACAGCACTCTTCAACTACCTCCTCGCCAAGAGGACAGGAGGCCAATTCCTCCTGCGCATTGAGGATACAGACCAGAAACGGACGGTACACGACGCCGAGCAGCGACTCTTTGACGATCTACGATGGGCGGGACTGCAATGGGATGAAGGGCCAGAAGTCGGAGGTCCATACGGGCCGTACAAGCAATCCGAGCGAAGCGCAATCTACAAAGAGCACGCGCATACCTTGTTGGAATCAGGAAATGCATACCGCTGTTTCTGCTCGACGGAGCGCTTGAATGCCCTGGCCGAACACCGACACAAACTAGGCATTGCGACAGACTACGACCGCACATGCGCCGTCATACCAAAGGAAGAAAGCGACGACCGCGCTTCAAAGGGTGAATCGCACACGATACGTCTCAAGGTTCCCGACCAGTATCCAACCTACAAGGACCTCATCTACGGCACCTTTCGCCCGCTCAAACGACGAGGACATGTCACCGAATCCGCCTACGAAGACCCCATCCTACTCAAGTCGGATGGCCTACCTACCTACCACCTCGCCAACGTCGTAGACGACCACCTCATGAAGATCACACATGTAATCCGTGGCAGCGAATGGATGCCCAGCACACCCAAGCACATTGCCATGTACCAAGCTTTCGGTTGGACACCCCCCGCCTTCGCCCACGTCGGCCTCCTCGTCGACGAAGCCGGCAACAAGCTCAGCAAGCGCAACTTCGACACGGACATCACCGCCTTCCGCGAAATGGAAATCTTCCCCGAAACCCTCACCAACTTCGCCGCCTTACTCGGGTGGAGCCACCGCGAGAAAAAAGACGTCATGGACCTGGCTACGCTCGTCAAGAACTTCTCCCTCAAATTCACAAAGGGAAACACGACCGTCACGTTTGGTAAAATGCAGTTCCTCCAGCGTAAACACGCGTTGCAACGCGCGGAAAAGGGCGGGGAATACCTAGAGGAAATGGTCAATAATGTCGCGTCTTTACTCACATCCCCAGACTCCCCTTATCAAGACTGGAAAGCCATTGTCGGCTCCTCCTCCTCCCTAAACGACTACATCCGCTCCATCATCACCGCCGACGCAGAAAACTACACAAACGCAAACGAATTCCTCTACAGAAACTCGTTCCTCTTCACCCCTCTGCGCCCCTTTGACAAAACCCCGCCCATGACAACAACCTCGGATATCCCCTTGCGCACGCAGATACTGGGCCAATTAAGCGAGGACGAGTGGAATAGGGAAAGCATCATGGGCAAGATTCATGTCATGATTGATCAGGGGCCGGAGGAGAAGAGACCGAAAGCAAAGGATGTGTATCATTATTTGCGCAAGATGGTTACGGGGCAGGATGAGGGGATGCGGATTTATGATGTCATGTTGATTTTGGGGAGGAGGGAGACGCTAGCTAGACTGGGGGTCGAGGTATAGATGGCTAGGGAGGGTGTATGATAGGTGTATGTTTTAGTGAGTTGTAAATATGTAGAAAGATGGGATAACATGGCTCAAGTGTACAAGATACAAGATGATAGACATGATATGTTCAAAGTGTTTCTGTTGATTTGCTATTCATTTTCATATACTTGCGTGCTCTCATACAAGCACAGTGATATCATATCATCCTATTCATTCCATGTTTCTATACCCCGTTATGCGCCCACGCCTAAACGCCCTGACATGCTTTCCAGTCATTACCCTACCTACGACGTCTCCATTTCCACCTCTGGGCTCTTGGCTTGTTCGCCATTGCTACTGCCATTGCCGTTGGCGAGGTTGAAAATGGTATCCTTGACCTTTGCCGCCAAAAGTCCCATGTCCTCTTCGCGCGCAATCTTGCTTCCCGCCGCGCCTAGCTTGGTCAACTGATTCTTGGTGTCGTTGCCGGACGCATACGTCGGTCCGCCCTTGAAGCGCTTGCCATTGCTGTTCTCCTGCTGCATTTTGCGCGCAAGATCTGAAATCTGCTTTGTGCCGTATTCGCGGTTCGAGATGAGCGGGGATGAGGACAGTGTCTGGACCCAGTACTTGTTCCATAGTGCCTCGAGTAGCTTGGCGTCGAGCGACGACTTGAAGTGCGAGACTTCAAGAGAGTAGTAGTGACTAGCATGCGCACCAAAGTCTTCAATCTTGCCGAGCGGAATCGTCTCAAACCCGTCGCTATCAGTGCCACCCGTGTGCTTGGAGGCCCCGGTAGCCTTTGCCGTACTCTCCACGTACTCGTCCTTGTACGTGCGGAAAGCGCCAATCTCAACCTTGCCTGCAGACACAGTGCGGTCGGGGTCGATGACGATGGCGCAGAAGGGGTCCTGGAACTGTTGCTGCGTCTTTTGCGTATTGACGTCGATACCAGAGAGCCAGCAACCATAGCCGGGATGTGAATGATACCAACCCACGGCGTTCTCCATTTGGCCTTGCTCTCGCGCCCGCTGCAGGAATTCCACCATGTACTCGTTTGCTTCGTCTTGCGCATTCACTCGCGTCTCGGTGCCTTCGACGGGTAACCTGAAGGCGTCTGTTACGACAAACGTGTGTGCTTCAATCTTGCCCAACATCAAGCCCATGACTTCAAGGGAACCGCCTGATCGCGCATGCATGACCATCTTGAGGAGGGCAATGGCCGAGATGCGGACAGAGGTGAAGTAGTGGGGATCGGTTCGCCATGGGTGCGCTTCATTGATGGCTTTCTGCGCAGAGGCCGAGTAGTCGTAGAGGGCGTCTTTGCTGGGGTCGACGAGCTTGACGGCGTTCTCGAGCTCTGGTGTCGTGGTTAGCAGCGCGTGTATTGCGGGTGTAGCTTCTCAAACTACATGCATTCTCACTACCTCATGCTGAGTGCGGTACCCATGTGAAGACTGGATAGAGCCTTCTCGGACGAGTTTGGGTTCGTAGAAGGTAGTGTAGGCGGGCTGTACTACAGTATTGCGGGGAGCTCGCTAACGCCAAGACATGTGCAGGCACCAGCGGGCACCCTTGGAAACAGTAAAGTGAGTGAATGCAATTGCGATAGCGGAATGAAATAGGAAGTAGCTCAGGGAATGTCAGACATGTGCCAAGTAAGGCCATACCCAACAGACATGTTTATTGATAATCTAACATGTCGCCTACTTCCTCCTCCGCGACTGATCCTCCCAGCCCGATCGCTCATTCATCGTCTTAGCCTCTTCCTCCATCTTCTTCATCCACCGCCTAGTGAGCTCGTCGTTTTCCTTTCGCAGCTTCTCCTTTTCCTGCTCCGCCATGTTCAACTGCAGATTCAGCGCCACCATCTCGTCGTGCACCTCTTCAACAAGCCTGCCTTTACCCTTGAGTTCCTCTGCTTTGTCCTTGCCCCGCCTTTCCAGTGCTGTCCTCATCTTCTCAAGCTGTTCTATGCGCTGCTTCTGCTGCGTGTCTGAGGCTTTGAGGGCGGAAAGTTGGGCGGATAGTGTGCTGAGTTGCGCTTCCAAGTCGCCGCGGGTGCGCTGTGTAGATGCCAGCTCGGCGCGTAACTGTGCAACTGCAGATGTAGGGGCATCATCTGTTGAGGCAGGACCTTTCCCTTTTGATATGACTGTCTTGGTTGTTGCGCCGGAGGAGGGGTTGGGCTCTGGCGTGGAGGCATCGTGTGTGAAGGTCGCAGTACGGTCGGCGAGCTTTGTGTCTATACTCGTTGAGTTTTCCTTCGTCACAGCCCGCCTTGCGACACATGATCACATACAGGCGTTGATATAGTCCTCATGCGCCTTCTCGTGCGCATCGCGTGCCTCGAGTGCAGTTAAATATTCGGCCAGTGGATTACTCATGGCGGTAGGTAAGGTTGCGAAAGGTCGAAAGAGGAGTGATTCGGTACTGTTGATATCATGGTGTTGTGCTACATATCGTGGGCTGAAAAGGGCTCCGTCACCATGGAGGGAGCAAGTGAGCTGGCGGGGCTCTGCGGCGTCTCGGGGGTCGTCGCTGCTCCGATTCGACCCCTGCTAGCGGGCAGCCACCCGAAAAGTTGGACGCCTCCCAAGCCTACCCTTCACACTTCAACACTAGCGGGCGCGGGGGAAACCAATTCACCACCAATTGCCCATGATGCCACCCTCACACATCCCCAGCACATCGCGCGCCCTCTACCGCGTCTTCATCGCCCCTACGCTCCGTAGCACAACCTCCATTCCGCTCATCTATGCGCCAGCTTTCGCACCACCAATCTCTACGCCCACGGCCATCGCCGCCTCTACGCCTAGCCTCACATCTCGAACATGTATTCGCACCGTCAAGTACACAAAAGACACGCGCCGCCATGCCATCTCTGACCACTTCGTCATCGACTCCGCCATCAACTCCGAGTACATCAACCTCGTCAACGAAAAGGGCGAATTCACCCCTGGTGTCCCGCTCGTCGAGGCCCTGACAAGCTACAATAGAGTAACGTACCACCTGGTTGAAGTCAATCCAGGAAAAGTGGACGAGTTCGATCGTCCAGATCCTGATCACCCACCTACATGCCGTATCATGACCAAGATTGAGCTTCGAGAGCAACACCAGCGCAAGCTCGAGCTCATTCGCAAGCAGGAAAAAGGCGATTCTGCCAAAACGCTTGAAATCAACTGGGCTATTGCAAAGGGTGACTTGGGGCACCGGCTGGAGCGAGTGAGAAAGTTTCTTAAGCAGGGGAGGAAAGTTGAGGTTACGCTCAAGGCAGAGGGGAGGAAGGGGTCCGTTAAGAAGGCTACTCCTGAGGAGGCGGAAGCGGTTCTTCAGGCTGTCAGGGATGTTGTAGCCGAGTGCAAGGGCGCTTCGGAAATGAAGAGTGAGGGGACTGTTGGGGGTCTCATGTTGCTGGTTTTGAAGGGGAAGAAGATCGAAGGTGAGGACAAGAAGAGTAAGAAGAACAGGTATGAAGAGACAGACGAGGTGGAAAATACGGGAGGGGCCGAGCAAAAAGTGGCGTGAAGGACTGTTGGACGACCTAATGAGTTAGATGCGACATGATCATCATCCAAAATGCCGAGCCGCGGCAGTGAAGAGATGAGGATAGAATCGTCGAAGATGCAGAGAGTGATGACTAGGGCAGCTACCGGTCAATAATCACCTGTAACATACTTGTCATGTCATATGGCTATGACGCAGCTACAATCCATGAATTTCTGTAGATATACTGTACAATAACATAATGCGAAGAACCTATAGTCTTCTTTCCTCTTTGCTAGACCTCTCCTCTTTGCTTGGCTCAGCGACACGACCCTCAACATCAATCACACTTCCCGTTTCCTCCGGTGCACCATCCACCTCCTCACTCGCCTCCTCCAACAAGGCATTTTGAGCCTCAATCTCCACTCTCCTTGTCTCCAACTCTTGCTCACGCGCTTCAACCTCCTGCTGCATCTTCTCCTGCCTTATAAAGTCACCCTGCATACCAGCGACCATGGCAATCTGCCTTGACAATTCCACTCTTGCCTCGAGTGTATTCAGTTCAATTTCCTCAATGCTAGTCCTCTCGTTCCGAGCCGCCTCGAGCATTTCCTCCGCTCTTTCCGCTTCGCCCATGAGCTCCAGAGTGTCACGAAGTTGTTCGAAGATTTGGGCGGCGAGAAGAGAAGCCTCGCTTAGCAGTTCTAGCTTCTGCAGTTCGAGCTCGCGGACATCTACCAGGTACTTCTCCGCCAGTAAGCGGTTCGTCTGTGCGGTTTGGTCGACGAGATCGTTTTTGATGCTGATTTGGTAGTCTAGTGCTTTCGCTCGGGGGAAGTCGTCCGTATTTGTGTTTTGGCTGTAGTCGGAAAATGTGAGGCCCGTCTTCTTTTCAAACTCAAGTTGCTTGGCTTCGGTGAGCAATTCATAGGCTGAGAGTGTCATCTCGGTGCGCTTGGTGCCCTGCGGTAGAGTTTCGGCGTATCCGTAGCGTGCTGCCGCTACGTTGCCGTAGACTTCAATGCGGGTGGCTTCCTTTTCTTCGGGTTTCGCAAGTGAAAGCTGGCGGAAATCTTCCCATCCAATGGTGGATTCGAGGTTAGATGGCGGTAATGAGCGAACAAGACCCTTGTGCCATGGCTGGATCGCCTTGTGTGTAAGGTCTTCTTCGTGAGAAAGGAGAATGTTTTGCAGAGCGTCACGCTCGATAATGATGCGCGACAGTTCCAGCAAGTACTTGACGTCGACTTTGTTCCAAAGAATAGCCTGTTTGCGGCGGTCCATGTCCACCAGTGCTTGTTCCAGCAATGGGCGCTCCTCCAATGTCACCATTAGACTCCGGCCCCTGCCCCACAACTTCTCGTGGTGTCTGAAAATATCCGCCAACAACCTGGTCGAAGGACTCTCCAGCTCCATGGCATTATCGACGATGATGAGCTCGCCCTTACGGAAACGGTAGGAAAGAGCAGTCCGGAAGGCAAGGTCGTAGACCTTCTTGGGCAACTCTGAGGAAAAGTCCCGCGGCTTGGGACCGAATGCAACACCTCCACCCCTCAACATAGGCGACATTCGATCTCCCAATCGAGCATGACCTGTTCCCTTCTGCGGTCGTACTTTTCTTCGCGAACCGTGTACCTCATGTCTTGTCTTGGTCGAGGCGGTACCTAATCGGGTAGCGTCACCCTCATACACAACGGCGCGATGCAGAATGTCTCGTCTTGTCGGAAGATAGAGGTGGTTTGCAGGGTATTTTTCAAAGCGTAGCGGCTCGAGGGAGGGGAATTGGTGGATGGTTGCAAGCACGGTTTGGTGCTCCAATGGTGTGACGGGCACATAGCCGGGAGCCTGCTTGATAGTTTTGATCCTGACATCAGAGACGGTGGCCTGGGAAGGGGCAGACGTTGTTATGGAGCGGGCCGTGGGTGTGCATAGAGATTTCTTGGAGAGATTAGCATGTCGCATGTCATCATGGTGGGGAAGCCTACGGCGCAGCGGACACATGGTCGATGTTGCCGTATCGACAGCCTGGTCAATTGGCGTGTGACGCCCCGTATCGGCGTGGATATGGTGGTGGAAGCCATGCCGGTCGGGTGTCCAAAATGTCGCTGTCGCAGGCGCGGAGTTGAGGCGGAGGTCTGAAAAGAAGCCGCGCGCTAGTAAGCATCACCACATTTTCCACCACCACCATTGTCTCCTTGGACCGTGACGACACCAGCACTCCGCCATGGCCTCGACGCCGTCTATACGCCAATTCATTGCCTGTGTGCGATGCGTGCGCCAAATACCCAGCGCCAATGGCACGCGCCGCCTGCTTTCGACGTCGGCGGTAGCCCGTGAAGAAGTGCAGACACAGCCCACGAATGCGACTCCGCCGTCAAACCCCAAAGAGGGCGCTGCCCAAAATGCTGCTCCCGACCAAGTTCCAGAATACATGCAGAAATGGGGCACGCTAGACCCTCAAATGGTGGAGAACAAGAAGCAGGAACGTCGACTTTTGCGAAGAGAGCATGTGCAGCCTGTTGGATCCCGCCGTCGTCGTGCAGTCCTTCGTCGTTCCGCCATCCAGAAGGCCGCCGAGATTCCTTTTGAACAATTACCCTATCAATGTTTTCAGGAGGCTAGAAAGGTCTTGCTCGAGGACAGACAGGAGAAAATCAAGGACATCGAGAGACAGCAGCTGCGGATAAAGAACTTAATGGCCCAAGATGCTAGCCTGAGCGGGGGCGAAATAGCCAAGCATCAAAAGCTGCGAAGTATGAGGAATTACTTGGATATGTTGGTCGTTCTGGCCGACATCAATGACCCGGTGGTGAAGCGCAAGTTCGAGGATGGCCTGGGTAGGACATGTCACTCCATCCTACTGCAATTGACTAACGACTGCAAGGCGACATGAACAAGCCCATCTACCGTTACCTCGCAGACAAAAAATGGCGGCAATACAAGCGTCTCGTGCTTGAACAGCGCATCACCCAATTAGCAATCATTCCCGACATTTTTCCGTCGTTGAACCTTGAGGCAGATATCGATCTTGGTTTCGGACGAAGAAATGTTGCACCTGGCGACTTTGTCGATTCTGCCATCTCGGAGAACATGCCTCGCCTGAACGTCCAGACCTTCACGCCAGGAGAGAAGCTAGTCACAGTCGTCGTTGTGGATGCCGATGTGCCGGTACAACAGAGCGACAGCTTCACGTACCGATGCCATTTGATTGCCTCAAACATCCCAATCTCGCCAACTAGCACATCCATACCACTCCAGCGTATAGCACAGGAAGACCAAAAGAAGGCAGACCCGAGCGCTAAGAAGATTACACTACCGTGGGTTGCTCCCATCTCTCACAAGGGTGCGCCGTATCATCGTCTTGGCATCTTTGTCTTTGAGCAATATCGCGCAAAGCCGTTGGATGTTACCAAGTTTGCCGACACCGAGCGCTTCGGATTCAAGCTTCGAAGCTTTGCCGACAAAAACAAGCTTCGCGCCATTACCGCTACGCTGTTCAGGACGAAATGGGATGACAGCATGGCCGGCGTCATGGAGCGTGCCGGTATGAAGGATCAAATCGACGTCGAGTTCAAGAGGAAGAGGGTGGAGCCGCTTCCATACAAGAGACGGACAGAGCGCATGCGGTGAGATAATGTAAACCTCCAATTGTATAGCAAATACCACTGTAAGCTCCATGTACATTATTCGGCAATGCCCAAGACCTCGCCATGGCAAATGCATTCAAACCTAGACATGTGTCGAAATCTGACTTGGCGACCAACTCTACAGTACTGCTCACTACATGGGGCTGCTTTGGAATTCTGTAATGGTGTCTTTTGCAAAGACGAGCAATGTTGGCTGATGAATACCCCAGTAGCCGCGGTCGCTGGTGTTGGTGTTCACCTGGGTCGCTCTTTCCTAACCTCACAGTCTCCGTTCCCACCTTCCACACTATTCTATTGGTGAAGCTCGTGCCTTGCCACGTCGGCATCTTCTCTTTCTCTCCTCTGGCGTATCTGTTTCAGTCGTCGCTATCCAAGACTACCCCGCCATTATTGTTGTCACCTCTTCCACTCATTGCCGATTCGCCACTTCCTCGATATGCCTTCCAAAGCACCAAGCGAGCTTCACCACTCTTCGCCACCCCTTCCATCGAAAGAGCAGATCGCTCTGGCTCTTTCTATCATTCGGACTAAACCTGGGAACGTGCAAGTGCGAGGTAAATCGTATAAAATTCAATCATTCACACATGCTAAGCTTAGCAGAATATCTACTGCAGCTTCGAGCTCAAATAAAGCTTGGCTTGGATCCAAGGAAGCGAGACAATCCGGGTCATTATATTGATCAAGCGACCTACTGGAAACACAGATGCCTGCATGCTGAAAACGAGTGTGAGAATCTTCGAAATATCAATACAAAACTTGATCGATCCAACAAGACACTGGCCAGTTCTTGTGCCACGGCACCGGATATCGACATGATCATACAAAATGGAGAAGACAGGTCTCCAAGTGTGTCATCGGGTCGAAGTCCAACACGGAAGAAGCAGACACAAAAGCGAGTTCAACGTCCCACAGCTGCCGCCCAAGATACAATCGAGGATGATATGGATTTCCTAGAATTACTTGGCAATGATGGCAATCGACTTACAGAGGCTTTGTATACTGCATACTCTCTCTGTCGGTCGAATGAAACCGATGGCCAAGCCCTCTGCTCCAACCTCGTCCGCATTGCCTCAGGCGTAGGAAAGGTTCTACACTTTGTTGCTCACAACTACGAGCACTTGTCCCGTCATGGAAGGAGGAATCTAGGTGCAAAATCTCTGGATCAAGACAAATCCGATTTCGCCATCGCACTTTCCGTTTGCGCCAGGGCGTTCATGTCGGTTCTAGTCGGCATGGCCAAGCTGACAGAATCCAATGCAAGTACGCAACTATCGAGTCTGGTCGTTTGTGAACTGGTAAATATGTTCAAGTCGGCACTTCTTTCTGTCGCATCCTCGGCTCGGCAGACGGCGCAAGACTTCCTATCTCAACCACCTCAGCCTAAGCGAAGTAAAGGAAATGCAACAGCCAACCTCATCAAGGAATCAGTATCTGCTCGCGCAGTAGCCCATCTCCTCATCAGTTTCCTCGGATTTTTGGAAAGGTCGAATCCCGTACATCAAAAGATCTTTGATGGCTTTGTGTTCGTTCTGTTCGAACGTGTGGGAAAGCGTCTCTACTACTGCACATTCGGGCACCACCGTAGTGCATCAATCGAAACAAACATCTTGCCGCCACCTGAGCCAAAAGACGACATTGAGACGGCTAAACGCGATGCGGAGACTCTCGCTATACGGCTAGAAGTGAAAGTGCTCGTATTGATCCTCGAACGGGCAATGGGACTGGCTCCAAACCATATGAATCCGCAGAATGCTCGCTCGAGCCAGTCGAATCGCGTTTCCCGTAACATGAGCATGAAGAGCCCCGCAACTGCTTCTCGAGCGCGTTTGAGTTCACTGGCGAAAGATCGTCTGCAGCGAACACTGGTGGCATGCATGTATGGTAGCAAAGCCGATGACGAATTCTTGGATGTGCTGACGAAGCCATTACCACCAATGCGTCTTACGTCGATGCAGAATGTTGCCAAGGTTGAGGATAAAGATGTGGAGGCATGGTTTAGTGAGGAGGTTTGGCGGCTTGTGGGTTGGGATATTCTTGCGCGTGAGGATGGTTGGTGAAGAGGTTGTTCAAGTGGTAGAACTGAGGTAATGACGGGAAATAAGTGATTCCACAGCGGTGGATATGATGAAACATGAATAATGTTATTACATTGTGGCTGCGACAACGTCGATATTATGTTGTGAAGTAGACATGACAAACTACGAGTCATTCGCGGCGACCTGACGTTAACCGCTTATCAGCGGCTATCAAGTTCACTTCCGAACTCGGACATGCTATACGTAGTCGTGTACGATAGTGCACTACAAATAATCTTTCTCTTGCAAAATAAAGAGGAAGCAAAAAGAAGAATTCCATAAAACCATTGTTCCAAAAGAATGCCACAAATAATCCGCATCTGCATGCTAAACGCAGACACCCCCGTCCCAGCCGTAATCGCCAAAAACAATACCACCCCCACTTACGGCCGCATCTTCCACCACCTCCTCTCCACCGCCGCTACCAACCTCTCCAAAACACCAGACTCTCACCACGGAGCCACAACAATCACATCCATAGATTTCAACGTGGTAAAAAACGAATACCCCCCTTCCCTGTCCGCCTTCGACGCAATCGTCATCTCCGGCTCTGCAAACTCCGCCTACGACAACATCCCCTGGATCCACAAACTAGCCCGCTGGCTCAAAGACGTGTACGACAAGGAGCCGCGTGTTAGGATTTTTGGCAGCTGCTTTGGACATCAGATTGTGACTCTGGCGTTACTGGGGCGGTATGGGGTTAGGGTTGAGAAGGATCCCCAGGGCTGGGAATTGGGTGTTGGGGAGATTACGCTCCAGGCTAATTTTCTGCGGCGGTTCTGTGGCGGGGATGGGGATGTGGATGGTGAAGGGAAAAAATTGAGATTGCAATTCGTGCATCACGATCATGTTGTTATACCCGACAGTTCTACGCTACCGCCGTCTTGGATGGTGGTGGGTAGTACGCAGCATTGCGCCGTACAGGGCTTGTATGAAGCTGGTCGCGTGTTTACTTTACAAGGCCACTTTGAGTTTGATAGGTTTGTTAATGCGGAGACTGTGAAGTTTTTCTTTCCGGAGTGGCAGCCCAAGGTGCTGGAGGGGGCGTTGGAGGCAATTGATCAGGATGATGATGCTGTGAGGGCGGCGGAGATGGTTGTGAGGTTTTTTCTTGAGGGCGGTGGGGGGATAGGTAGGGGGAGGGGGGTTGGTAGGTTTGTGGGTGAGGTGAGGGAGTAGGTTGGTGTGTGGAGGGGGGTTGCACTGGAGGGGGATAGTGTAGTCTATATCTTTACTTTTTTGGGGGAAAGAATAGAGGATATTCTGGTTATGGAAGCTGTTGCTACTTGCTTCAATCAACAGGTTAATTCAGTTGCGATTGAGAAAGTTTTGTGGAGGTCTTATTTCGTATATGTAATATTGTTCGTTGTGTTCGTATTTTTCTATGTGCCGGAGACGAAGGGGTCTCTTGGAGTAAGTACATATCGTTTTCGATAGGCGGCATGGCAATGAGTTGATTTGCAGATAGTAGGTACGCCCAAGAATGGGACGGAACAGGGACGTCCAGTTTAGTTGGTTCTAAAATAGCCTTTTAGTATCAAAAGGAATTTGGAGGAACCTTAGATCCCCTGGTAGTAGATATGAAAACATGCGACCTCGAAATGTCATCTGATTCATAGCCGTATTGCGGTTGTAGCGTTTGAGAGTGTGGCAGTCGTGGGTCGCTTCTGCACTAGTGACCTGGCAGTGATTGTTTGACGCCAAGACCATAAGGCTGTGAATCTTGACTGCAACGCTCATTCCTTCGAACCCTCACTCTCAACCAGCGCGTATCGAACATGGAGAATCATAGGCATATTCTGTCTCCAATGCCAGATATCGGCAGGGCTCCGTCAGCGCCACCGCATTCGCATCTCACCCGTCAACCTTCACCGCCTACAACAGCTGCCGATTTCCTCATCGTCGGCCTCTTTGCACTACGCCTAGCACGCCGTCTCATCGAGAGCCTTGATTATTATGCAGAGCGCAATGCTGACGTTATCTGGGTTACCAATTTCCTTGCGCCTTTTGATCAAGCGTATGCGCTGGCAAAGATCTCAGGTCCCCGGAAAGAAGACTATGTTGCGACCTACCAGAACATCATCAAGCGAATGAAGAGACAGTCAAAGTACCCTGTACGCTTCATGCAGATGAACCCAGATCCTTCAATGCGGCAAGGGCAGCGCAGCAACGACGCAGAAGGAGTGAGAGCACTAAATGATGGTGAGATAAGCTCGTGTTGAAGGTTTTCCACAAACTAACGCATCCCAGCCGAGAGATTGGACATTATCGACTTTTGTGATGCAGCCGCCGAATGGGGATCCACCGTACCTATTCCAGCGCAAGAAGCAGAAAGAATGATTGAGCTAGCGGAAAGGAGAAAAATTGCTGATATCGACAGTGTGCAGGCGCGATCTGGGAACCTGCAAGATCCACGAACTGAGAGACACTCGCGCAATCAACGGTCACCTCTGCAGCAAGAAATGAGACAGCACTCTCCACAGCTACGGCACCCGCGAGCTGGAGATATGCCAGAGCTACAGACAGAAGGGCACTCTCGTATTCAGCGGTCACCTTTACAGCGCGAAATGAGGCATCTGTCGCAGCAGCTAGAAGATTCGCGAATCGGCGATAGCTATCATCGTCTGGAGACGAGGCAACCTTGGCGAGGTGATAAGTACCTGCCTCAAGAGGATCGGAGGCCGTCTCCAGCAGCCAGAAGACGTCGGCGAGTGTCCTTTGCAGATGAACAGGAAGGCTTCAGGGTATTTATCTGCCCGCCCGGTTCTAATGCTGCATGTGCTAAACAGTCATAGGAACAAGACCACTGAACACTATGATCACATCAAATCATCGTATGCGACAGGGCTTGACTTGCAACTGGATGGTATGATGCCTGTCTAGGGCATCCATCCCTGGTGAAGGTCATTACCACTTTCTCGCTTTTCTTGGAGCGCCAAAATTCCTTCACGCTTAACATCGGTTCCGTGTCTATAATTCTATGATTCAGCTCTATGTGCTGTCGTTCAGAAACAAGGTGGGACCCAACCAGGATTGGCTTGTATAATCAGAAGACTGGCACTGGTTCCTTGTAAGCTAGGAGGTTGTAGCGTCTGGTTATATCCTTGAAGTGCTACTGCAGAAGGTATGCTGTCAGTATCTCAGATAGAACAGGGTGCGCCAACTGAGCTTGGGTTTATTTTGAAAAATAGCCTTAATCCACTGCGTATAAGCTTCAGCATGACCGCTCTTGTTGCAGATGAACCCTTTCTTATCTTTTTGATGTTTTCGGCTTGTTCTCCCCTCTATAAGTCGAAGTCTATCATTCCCGGCCTCCTTCGTGCAGCATACATGTAGTACAATGATCACTTGTTTGATTCCAGCACACAATAACTCATCGTGCATAACAGTGCCATAGTACCGTGTATAGTTAATACAAAACTACACACATATGAACATTACAGCTGCAGCTTGACCCCTATCCGAGATTGAACGCCTCCCCTCGCCTTGGTGGAGAGTGCGATCGAGCATCGTGAACACTGCACACTCCCCAGAGATTAAACGAGCACTTCGATTAGCAAACACCATAGTAGCACGGAACTGTTACCATCAGCTGGAGAGCTACATATATAGCATCTTCATAGTATCTTACGTTTGTGAAGTTCGTGAAAGAGCTGTCTGTCGACGCAGGACGCTAGCAAAGTAAGCTACGTCATCGACCCACCTCCAAAACGTTATTCCCAACCAACATGCTTATCCTTGGTGTTGAGCAAACCATAAGAAAACACGATTGTAATCTTTGGGGGAATCCATGCAGCGTCTGATCTATGGAGGAATGTACACGAGGTTGAAGAGTCGCTTAAAACCGGCAGATAATAGTGATAGCAACCCATGAAGACATGTACTTTACAAGAAACCTTATACCAGTAACTCCGTCTCTCTCCCAAACACCTTTGCATATTCATCCAGAACTTTAATCACCTGTAGTCTGCTTCATGTAACTAGCGCATAGTCTCTGAACATGAGGCTGGCCTGACATAATCTGCTTTTGCGGCCCCACCTTCCACCATAAACAAGTACCGCCAGACCCACGCAATAATACCCACATCGGATCGTCTCGGGTCGTCATCACCACGCTCTATCTCCATTAGAAGAATAATGTGCATTCATATTCTCGCAGCCTAACAGATCCGACAGAACAATGTCTTTTTCAGATGATGATGATGATGAGGATGAAACTGGTCTAAACACGTCGCCGGTTGAACGCCCTAGTTACGAAGGCGAGGATACGAGTCCGACTACAGAGAGGGAGTTGAAGGGCTGGTTTGCTTATCCGATTGCTGCGGAAGTATGTTGGTTCTTTTACAGAGTTGACAATTTTTTAACATGTTTGTAGGTCTTTGCTGTGGTCGCTGTCGGTAAGTCATGTCTGTCCTCTTGGTTGATAATCAACCTCACACAATGATACCACCACTACACTAAATATCAAACACCACTGCCACCACCGTACTTACAACACCAAGGTGCCTTCCTCCCCGTCATCCTCGAGCAGCTCGCTCGAGAAAACGGCGTCTTCTTCTCCGACCGGTCTAAACCATGTATCGACCACCACCAAGCTCCAGTAGGAGACGCAACTGCACCGAAAAAGCAAGGCGAAGAGCAATGTATCGTGAGATATCTGGGCAAAGACATGTCGACGAGTAGTTTTGCCATGTACACTTTTTCCACGGCCGTGTTACTGCAAGCTCTCGTTTTGATATGTTTTAGCTCTTTTGCTGATCATGGTATGTACTACGCTCCCCGTCCCTCCTGGCTACATCATGTGATTAGATTCTCACAAGTTTTTGGTATAAAGGGCCGTATCGGAAAAGGATGTTGATGTTTACATCTTATACTGGCTCGCTGGCTAGTTGTCTTTTCATTTTTATTTCGCCGTCGTTGTACTATCTAGCACCCATCCTAGTCATCGTCGGCGTCTCCAGCCTGGGGTGTTCCTTTGTCTTGCTAAACGCTTTCCTACCGTTGCTAGTAGCACATTACCCCGACAACTCCATAGGCAAGTCGCTGTCATCGGATTCCGCCTCAGACTTTGAGCTCGAAAGCTTGAACCCCGCCAACGGACCGTCATCAATAATACATCGATCGAACCCAGAGAAGCTAGCGCGCGATCTCGAGCGCTCGGCGCAAATCAGCAGTAAAGGTGTAGGCTACGGGTACATATCCGCAGTCTTCGTCCAGGTCCTGAGTATCGGCATCATCTTCCTGTTCAGCAAGACATCGTTTTCCAAAACCTCGCCTAGTCTCTCGATCCGCATCATCCTGTTCATGGTGGGCGTGTGGTGGGCTGTGTTTAGCATTCCAACACTTCTCTGGCTGCGCCCGCGTCCGGGTCCGCCGTTGCCCACGCAGTCACGCCCTGGTTTTGCAAATAATACAGAAGCGTCGTCGAAGCTGCGTACGTTTCTGTTTTATACCTCGTTCTCGCTGAGGAGCTTCTACGGGACTTTGAAGAGGGCCATCAGTCTCAGACAGACGCTACTCTTCCTCATCTCGTGGTTCCTCCTCTCCGATGCCGTGGCTACTATTTCCGGAACGGCGGTACTCTTCGCGAGGACAGAGTTACACATGGGCACTATTGCCATTGCACTACTATCCATTACGTCAATCGGCTCGGGTGTCGTAGGCGCATTTGCATGGCCGAAGATTCAGCGCCGGTATGGTCTACAGCCGAAAATGATACTGCTGTGTTGTGTGGCCGGCATGGAAGTGATTCCTTTGTACGGCTTGCTGGGCTATATTCCGCTGTTCAAAAGCCTGGGGTTTATCGGATTGCAGCAGGCTTGGGAAATCTATCCCATCGCCGTCGTGCATGGGATAGTCATGGGTGGTATATCTTCGTACGCGCGCTCCGTCTACGCGCCTTTGATCCCAGAGGGAAGCGAGGCAGCCTTCTTTGCGCTGTTCGCTGTGACAGACAAAGGGAGTAGCGCTTTTGGGCCAGCTTTGGTAGGCTGGATTGTCGATCAGGCCGGTACTATTCGACCGGCGTTCTTCTTTCTCGCCGTCCTAGTCGTGTTGCCCGCACCGTTGTTGTGGATGTTGAATGTTGAGAAAGGGAGGGAGGACGCTAGGATGATGGCAGAGGGTGATGGTAGGGGACGAGGCACGTATGAGAGGGTGATGGTTGAATGAGATCAAACCCCGAGCTGGGATCGGTGGGTATGTGTATTTCGTATCTGTACGCCCTGGAATGCCCCTGGTAAAAATGTGTGGTACGCCGCCCAATGCTATCAAACGCCGATATGACACAACAATGTTTTTATGTCTGCTCAGATACTCTCGGCCGCTTGCTATCTCGGTCGTTGTCATCTCCGAACCGCTTTCGCTCTCCGAGCGGCTTCGCATTCGCGCCTGTAGCTCCTTCTCCGTCGCGATCCCTCCCTCCATAAGCGTCTGGCCTGAACCGATCGTCGACGCCATAACCACCTCTATCTCTTCGTGGGCGGTCGTCACCAAAGTCACCCCACTTGCCCGTATCCTCGCTCTTCATGTCCTTGTACCGTGTTCGCCCCTTCTTGCCCAATTTGGTCATGTCGCGAATCTGCATGAACTCGGGCAACAGTTCGCGATTGGTCTGGTCCTCGAAGCGAGCATTCATGAGGTTCCTGCGGTCTACGCCGAGCTCCTTGAGCTCATCGGTGAAGAAGGCGCCCTTGTGGAAGTACTTTTGCATATACTGCATCTGGCCGCGGTCGCCCTTTTCTTCCTGCTGCTTTTCGATGAACGCGCGGTCTTCGGCTTCTCGCTCGGCGGCGGAGAGGTTGCGACGACGCTCAATCTCTGCGCGCTCGGCTTCGGCCTCCTCGATGGCGAGACGTTCGCGTTTGATGCGCTTGAGTTCGCGTAGCTTCCACGCGGCATACTCGGCTTCGGGGTCTAGGCCGTCGGTGTCGTCGATGGCGTTGATGTCGGCATCTTCTACGTCGTCGTCCCAGTCCTTCTTCCCAGCCGCTTTTTCGGCGATGCGCTGCTCGACCTGCTCCTGGACAAGTGCCCGGTTTTGCTCTTGCCGTCTGGCCTCTTCCTCTGCCGCTATTTCCTCTGCTGACTTGACGGGTGCTGTGATTTTGTTGCGCTCGTTCTTCTTCAGGAAGACGGGCCGTAGCAGCTTCTTTGGCGCCTCATCTTCACTGCTGGACTCCTCCTCTTCAGAAGACTCTTCCTCGCTCCCGCTGCCACTCCCGCTCTCACTGCCATCTTCGCCGCCTTCCTCTTCGCTCTCCGTCTCAAACCCCTCCTCTAATGCCTTTCTTTCCGCCTCAGACTTTTGCCGCGACGCGAGTTTCGAATTGAGCGCTGACTTGGGAAACGAGGACGCGATGGGCGCAGGCTTCGGTTTCGCAAAAGGTGTAGGCTTGGGCTGCTCCTCTTCAGATTCCGACTCTGAGCTTGAGCGCTCTTCAGTTTCTGCGACCTTGGGCTTTCCGGCGAATTGGCGCGTGCGCACCGGTTGCGCGGTGAGTTTCTTGGACTTGGGTGGCGGCATGGCGAGAGTTTGTTGAGTTGCGCAGACGAGAGAAGGTCCGACACTGGATGGTTGCGCTGCCGCGGCTCTTGTAAGCGGCTTGGCACGTAAGTCACTCCAAGCCAATTCTCACTCCAACTCACTCTTACGCCCAGGTTCCATTTCTCCGTTACGTCCGTTACGTCCGTACCTGGAGTACTAAAATATCACCCGTGCGGCCAAGTCTTACTGTCCATGTACTCATCAGCATCCTCGTTCAGCCTCAAGGATCCATGTTGGAAGTAATCCCTTGGTAGTACAAACCTCCGAGAGTCGGATGCAAGATTGCGATGCTCCGCCCTAGACGTGGGCCACATTTCGCTCGTGCTCATGACTTCCAGATTACGCGTTCCAATACAATCAAAGATGAGTGCTGCTCGTATTTTGTCAGGCCATTACCCCTACACATACATGGGCCTGGATATGAAACAGCAAATCCGAAGGTATACGACAAGCCGCTCCCAGAAAAGCATCAGCCTATAATCCTGTGTGCGGTATGTCACACACTCCATATACGATTAATGACAACACAAGATGATCATGGATTAATCTAATTTGGGTTTAATTGACAGCCCATGGGGGCTAGATACCGCTGATTCCTATACTAGTGGCTTGTACACTACAAAGCCAAGATAGCTTTCGATCACGGTCAAAACGCCGTTCATGCCAAATTTCATTCCGTCACGTCTCGCCTGCCGACTAGGCACAAGATGACATGAACAGTAACGCCTGTGTATGCTAACTTCCCTGAAGAAAGAATTGATCAACTCGATTGATCGTATAGCAGGAAGAAAATTTACCCCCCAATGCAATGCACGCTCGAACGCAGCAAATAAGATATCCAGTAAACTAAAAGTTGAACACCATCAGCTGTTCAGAGCTTGGTGAAGTGGATACATGAAGACAAGGTCATGGCAGTTTATCTAAAAACTGGCTGTTGAGGGACGGGAAGTTGGTTAAACTGGTTAGTCTCGGGCCATGCACTGCGATCCATGTACGGCAAGAGACCAGAGCGCCGATCTGTCATGGGTCGGCCAAGAGGTTGATATTGCATCTGGTCGTAACCAATGTTCCGTGCCGGATTGTGAATGGATGTAGATGGTGGTGGCACAAGCAATGTCTGCACACCCCTGACCGGTCGATATGGAGATTGACGCTGGTTCAAGAAATGGGACGGCGACAGCTGCCTGGAATTGGTCGCTGGATACGAAGCGCTCACAGGCGAGGAACCAGCTGACTGAGGATACGGACTGACTTGGCGAGAGGGATCGGTAGTCGGTGTGTAATTATGAGGGAAAGGAGGTGGGGCCGAGGTAGTCGGTGTGCTATTGGGCTGTTGCCATTGAACCGGAGGAGGATATACCATAGCCATCGAGCGACCACCTGCAACCGGAAGTGGAAGCTCCGACCAGTTCTTTGTCTGTGCAGGCTGCATCTGCTGTAGAGGAGGTATGGAAAGGCTTGGGAGAGGCGGCAGCCGGTTAACGGACGGTGGTGGCTCAAAGGACCTATTGATGGGCGTTTGCAGGGTAGGGATCGGTGGTGCATTGCTGTAGGGACCAGGCGCAAATCCGTGAGCCTGTCGCTTCGCTGGTGGCTCGGCGGAGTAGTCAGCGCTGCGTTTACGCTGAATGGGCCCAAGTTCAGGAAGAGCGCCAATCGGAGAAACGGTGGCTGATGTGACCTGTGGTTGCAAAAGCGGGGTATTGGAAAAGGCCATGTGGCTGGGCGAATACATCATGGATGTAGGCGGAGAAGTTTGTTGCTGGGTAGGTGGCGACGGGACAAAGTTGGGCGGCACTCCAAGCATATGCTGGGATCCAACTGGGCTTATCGCACCAGAGGCGGGGATCTTGGAGGCTCGATCGAAAAAAGTGCCGAACTTGCCGAGGATGCCGTGCCACTCGTTCCATTTCTCCTTTGATGTAAATAGGCTGTAACGCATGTTGCTGAGAAATTCAACCTCCATGATGTGCACCTCTTGTACCGAGATGCCTGAGACTTCTGCCCATGTCTTGTTCGTATATGTGTTATCATCGAGAAACTTGTTGCCCAGCATGAGAGCTACAGTTAGGAGACGATATTCACTGCCTGGCTTACCCTTGACTGTGGGGTTGGTCTGCTTCAGCCTGTAGATGAACAGCAATGCCAAGAGAATGACATTCTGAGCAACCTGTGTGGTGGTCAAGATGGTTGCTACCCATTTGCGGAATCCGGTTGTAGGATGTGCATCGGGGACAAGAGGTTGTAGGGGTTGACGTGGGGACGAGGTATCGACCACTTGCTGGAGAGTTGAGGCGCTCTCAAACCAGAAGAGGCATGTCACCTATCAAGTCAATACAGGTACTGCGGATGAGAAGACTTTGAACCCACCTCTGCTGCGAGTTGAGGAAGACCCTCTTGCGGTGTGCTAATAGTTGGCGGTATCCTAAGGTTGGGTGATATTGACCACTTTTTCCGCGGTGTCTGTGCCATGTCTTGTGCTGTGATGCTGCCTTGAAGGGCTAGGGCTTCTTGTGGCTGTGACTGATCTTGAGTTTCCAATAGCAGGCAGCTGATAGCCGTACTGGTGTCCAGAACCCTGATTCGACGGCAGCGATACGACCCTAACTGCTGAGCCTGGGAGGTCGGGAGGGGTGAGAGGTGCTCTCGGAGCTGTCCGCAGCGAGTCCTGCTCATAGCCGTTGGATATCCTGGGATAGGGCAGCTGCATGGTTGTGTCGAGCTTGGAGGAGCTGTGCGAGGTAGGAGCGAACAGGTTGAAGGGAGGCTCCCGCGGGATGGCGTGAGGCATTGGTGGGCGAGGGAGCTGTAGCTCGAGCATGTGGCCGGCAATGGGTGGACGAAGGGACGAAGGCGTCGGGCGGGAGGAAGGCAGACGGCGAGGAAGCAAGTGGATATGGCGAGGAAGGCGACGACGTCAATGTGAGCGGGCGGTCATGGGCACGGCTGCCGTCCTCGAGGTGGTCCGGGCAGGTTTTGTTTGCACACGATTCACCTTGACTGCAAGCGCGGTGGTGAGGGTAGGGTGATGGAAGTGGAAGTGGAAGTGGAAGTGAAAGTGGAGGGAGGCAAGTTTTGTTTGGAAGCAAGGAGCAAGATATCGTCGACTACTACGAGGAAATATGTGTGCTGGGCCAATAATGCAACCCTGGTTCCGGGACACGGCAACGACGCTTGCAACCAGACGACTAGACGACTAGACGACTAGACGACGAGGGTGAGGCAAAGGAGGGTTGGATGGGCACAATAAAGAGAGGGCAGGCCCAGTGAGTGTCCTGGCCGATGGCTGCTATGCCGGGAGCGGCTTGGTGTTGGGTGGGGAGTAGTGATTGTGACGGTAGGGAGGCGGATTGTCGGGGGCCCGCACGCTGCTTGCGCAGACATGGCTTGGGGCCGTTGGATTTGAATAAAACATAGGTAATTCACACACACGGAGTAGTGAAGGCTCGGAAGGTTCCAGGCAGGAGCGAGCAGGGTAGGAGGAACGCCCCAAGAGGCTGATCCAGGATCCAGAAGGAGAAGCCGCGCTCAGACGCTCTGACATCAACCGCGCCTGCTGGACTAGGATGTGCACGGACACCAGCACAAAGCAACCGCGACCGGGGGGGCTCGCGCTGCTGCTCGCGCAAGGCAGGAGTGAGCGACCGGACAGGTGCGCTTTGTCTATCACGCTTTGCTAGTTGCTATGTAGGTGCAAAGTCGCAATTAGCCCGCGCGGCGTGGCTAACTAGTCGTCTGCTACATAGCACCAGACAAACAAGCGGGCTCCGTGACCAGGCCGCGCCCCCAGGGCCAACGACTCGATTTGATCGAGTGCGAGTGCTGTCGGGCCTGACGTGATGTTGTGGGTGGCTGACTACGACGACGCTGCCGACGACCAAACCACACGATCGTCACAGCTTTCACGGCGGCGGGCCATGGATACGCTGCACCTGCTAGTGCAGAGCAAGAGTCAGGCCGCTGATGGTGGGCTTCACGACGCTCAACCAGTGGTGCTTGTAATCTGTACTGTAATGAGTGCAGAGAGATGATGAACTGGTGGCTGCGCCGCGCCATACAGCCTCAGCGAGTCCCGACCGTGGCATGGGCGCGCGTCGAGAGGGGCTTCAGCCATCATCATTCACCCCCACCACACACGGCGTTCCCAATGCGCACAGTCTGCGACTGCGACAGTGGGACACCATTCCGGCCGCAAACGAAGAAACGATAGCGCTGGTGGGCCTCATCAATCCGCCCGCCGCTGCCCTGTCTGTACCTACTTACGCAGCAGCGCACATGTGCCGGCAATTCGCTGCACCCTACATGGTAGGCCTGGTTGTGCCCGCTGCCCGGAGCCTTTTGCGAGAGCGAGTGCAGAGATTGTGAGGTCCCTTACACCGGCCAAGACGGACCACACACGCACACACACACACACACACACACACACACACAAACAATAGGCATACACACGAATGTAAAAGACACCAGCCGCGAGCAGGAATTGCCGAGAGCGAGGGTTATACTATAGCGTGGTGCAGCACGACGCAGCGCATCGGCGGTCCATCCATGAATGATGTGGTAGTCCAGTCAAGTCATCAGACAACGGGCAGGCGGTCTGGAATGGCATTTCATGCTTCCACTTCCGCGTCGATGATTCCGCCATGCCGTGCTTGATGCAATCGCCCTCGCTCTCGGCCAAAGCAGACGCAGACGGGACTGCCACTTGCCATGGCCAAACCGTGGTGCTGCTGCCGCCAGCCTCAGAAGCAGCACACGCAGGACACGCAGAAACAGGAATCGATACGAAGGCAGGCCGCCCAGCCCGCCCGCCCTAGCAAAGTCGCCGGTCTTACCTTTCCCTAATCATACCCTAATTCCGAGCCCGAACCCTGTCCAACGCGAAGCTTTGCAGGCTGAAGTTTGAGCGAGCACTGCTGATCTTCAATCCTCTTTTTTTGCAGATGATTTTGCTTCGTGTGACTCCCAATCAAGTGGAGCCCACTCGGCTGCCTCTCTCGGTCCCGCTGCTTCCGACCAATCGTCAGCCTGCTCCTGCCCCGACGCTAGATGACTTATTGTTATTGAGCTCGGGCAGCGTTGCGTGCACTCCAAGTTGAGGCAATCTGCACTGCAGAACCGCCTTTGCAGCGCCCCTGACGAAACACGTATTGGGGACTATTGTGCGCGCCTCGCCTGCTGCATTCCATCACAGAGCACGCGTCCACGACCACCCCTCCCCATCAGCAGCATCGGTCCAGTCAAGGGGGACCGCCGTCGTCCCGGACGCTGCTGCTGCTGTTGCAAATGCATCAAGGCAAACGCACCACGTTGAATCGCACACTGCAGCAGCGCGCCCGTGGTTCGCAGAGGCTGTTCCGTCGCCTAGCACCGCCGGCAAAGCATGCTTGCTTCTGGAGTCGTCCGTCTTGCTTGGCTCGTATGTGAGCAGTTGCAAATAGCAGGCCAGAATCATGGGCGTCGCTAAATGTCTGCGCTAGCCGTGGCACCGTGACGGAAATATCGTCAGGAGCAAGGGGAGACGCAGCACATACCCCCGTAATCTATCGATAGCAGTCGACTTTCCGTGCCGCCCGTCATGGTGCTTTGCAATGCAATGAGTGAGGATGTTGGAATGGTGGAGCAAAGCGCGCACCGTCATACGTACATGGGCAAGGGGCCTGGTCACGCTTTGCTCGGGCGCCGGTCAGGTCAGGAGCAAATATATGCCCACGTAATCAACTCTGAACACCACGCACCATGGCAAACGCTTGGATCTTGGAGCTTGGAACGGAGCACGCATGGATGCATCCATTCCCTAATGCTGAATACGGCGTTCCATCAGGAATCGGTACGATGTCGGTGTGAGGGGGGCGACATCTCAAACACGCCCCCCCCCCCCTTCGATGCGAACGGGAGGCTCGGGATGCCTGTGCTGGCCAAGTACGCTCCGCTGGCGAGGCACTGATATGTGTGATACAAGAGTCCTTTACCCGTCCTGCAATCGTGATGCATTGTCTCCATACTATATCAAAGGAAACCCTCGGCGGGCGCCCGCTGTGCATCTGAGGCTGCAGTGCTGCATCGTATCTTGACATGTACATGTTGAACTGCAAAATGCAACCGCTACCGCTACCGCTACCGCAACTCCGACCGCACCTGCGCGCCCGCCTGCCTGCCCGCCGGTGTGGTGGAGATGATGGTGCCTTTTTTGGCGCAGCAAGGGCAGCTTAGCTCCTTCCATGGATTATTCAACCATGGCGGAGCCGTAGTACCGAGTAGACGGTCCATATTCGGCACAGCTTTCCTCACCATTACACCATTATACGAGCAGCAGCGAGACGCCCGCCCGTGCTGCCCAGCCTTGTGTATGCGTTGGACTGGTGTAAGACGAGTCTATGCCGTTCACGGCACATGTATTAGCTCGCCCTATAGTGCGCTGAGACGTACCGTGCTTCCACGACGCGTACATCACATTATGGATTTATCGTCGATGGATGCCGTCGTCTGTTTTCAACATTTGTCCCTGCCGAGACACCACCATGGATGCCCGTCTAGCGCCTCTTCCCTCTTCCGGGCGACAAGATTGCCGTGAAGAAAAAAACTGCTCAACCGAGCCTCGAGGGTGGGCACAAACAAGTCACGATGCAAACCCTTGGCCGCGGCATCCGACATGTGCTGGGTATACCGTACTTCTCACCGTCTTCGCTACGAATCTCTGCCTAAACCGTGCCGCGGAACCTTTTTGCCCAAGACCTACCGCCAGAGGTGGTCACCGATCACGCTACCTGGCCAGAGCAAAAATGCTCGCGACTCGTTCTTGGCTTGCCCAAAACCACGGCCTGTGCCGCTACGCCTCTTTCGCTCCGCTCTGTCACTGCTGCTGCCTTAGCGGGCTAATTCGCAAAAGCAGAGCGCGATAGACGCACAATCGCGAGTCCTCGCAGTCGGCCGGCCAGCCTCATGCCGACTCAGCTGCTCGTACTCTCTTGCCACACGAGCCCACCGTGTTGGGCCTAGCGTCCTTGAGATCCATATCGCCAATTCCCCGCTCTCTGCTGCTCAAACAAGTAGGTAAGACGACCCCTGGCGAATAAGCACTCCGGAACCCCACGCTCCAGAGCAATATTACGCCCTCATCCAACCCCCGAGCCATCCGTGACCAGCATGATGGATCCCTTGCACTGTCTAGATACCGTCCTTTGACAATTGTAAATAGGTATAGTGTGACACAACCACCGGGCCTGAAAAGGCTGCTTCGTCTGACAGTGCTACAGCATGATGACTGGTCAGACCACAACGCGCGGGAGCGATAGGCTTTATCCAAGGGGCACCGATACTTGCTTTGCACCGGAGATTGAGTGAAAATGTATACAAGGGCCTGGCTATCGATCTGCGAGGCGACGCACCTGACCATTAGCATCTCTTCTATCCCGCGGCTGACACTGTCATGGACAACGACGACTCCACGGGTGCATGCGTTACGCCACATGTTCTATTAGCCATGTCTTTTCCATGTTTCCACCTGCTAGTTCATCCGACCCCTCTACGGCCTTCTACGTGACCAAGTTACACATCATTATACCCCATCCTTCGAGATAACATGCAGGACGTTCCTCCAATCTGCACCAACGACGTCGCTCCCCGTTGCTAGAACCTTGCACCACCCGTCGTCCATGAACAACATTAGGGCTAGCCGGCCAAACTCAGCTTCTTCCTTACTTTGTCGGCTTTCGTAGGCTACACAGCCGCTGGCTGCCTAGCGCTGAATATGGTATCCATGTTTCAGCAACGCCTTGACATTAGGCGGTGCCTCCTCTGCGTGCGGCGACTCACCGTGTCACCATCATGCAAAAGCCAACCAAGCAGACAACGCCCAAACCCAACGGCCACTCCACACTTGTTGCGGTGCTCAAAAGCAACCATGGGCGCTCATCTATCCTGATCGATGGTCGTTCGAGCCGCTGGTTGCAGCTAATCATGCCAGCCTATCCAAGGCGCGGCTTGGGGCCAGACGGCGCTGATCGCAGTAGGTACATCACTCAGCGCATCCACTTCAGCTTTCCCTGACTGCAAGCGAACGCACTCATCACTTGAACACGGGCCGGCATCTGCGCCACCTGCATGTCACCGAATAGGCCGGAATGTCTTGGCTTACTACCAATATATGCATAGTGTGTGCCCTACTTACAGAGGGCTATGACGAGCTCTCAGTACGGGTCTATATATCCACTACTCAGCCTTGTGCAGCTACAAGGAATCGGGCAGGCAAGATGCCGCAAGCAGCCGTCGGCACAAGGTGTCCGTAAGACAGGCAAGGTTGTCTCACCGGATTGCAGACCATCATATGCTGTTGACTACAGACACGTCGCAACAAGTAACGGCGGTGGCAGCACACACACACATGCCGTAATCGGCCCATGATTACTGATGTATGGTCGTCCTCTTTCGTCATTCGTCTGCCGGCTTAGCCTTTGTCTTGAAAAAACCAAAAACTTCCTTTTCGCTGCCCGAAAAGCCACCCAAGGAACTGGAACCTTGTTGACGGTTTTTCTTTCATCGTAGCATTTCCGTTACCGGTCCCACCTAGCCCGCAGCTCTTTCTTTGAGACCTACATCATCAAACATTAGCCAGGTCTTTTTGTCGCAACGCCCACGACCCACTATTGTCACATGCGTCTTTCAAGTTTACTCTGCGCATGTCTATTTTCGCCATGATGGCTATATCGGACTTTGATAAAAAACTGTTGTTGGTGTTGGGTCTGTTTCTCGTCGATCCCGTTGGTCACAAGGCATTGCTCGTATGCACGTAAACGGTCATACTAGAAAGAATAGGACAAGATGTACCATCTGAGACACATACGTTGTTGTTTGTGTCTCTGATGTTGGCATTGTCCCTCCACTCGGACTCCGTCGCTATAAGCCTAATTGCACAGTGAGGTGGTGCTAAGGTATCATCAATAGGCAAGTTTGCCGTGTTCCACAGCCACCCTTGGATTTTTGTCGGTATATTTGCGTCGCTTTATAAGGCTGCAGCTTCTCACATGTCTCAGAGGAACCCCCTTGTTCTTTCTTTGGTCACGTCTCAACACACACACACAGAGACAAAGACGTCAAGGAGAAGCACATCAGCCACAACTTGGCGCCCATCTCAATGATACAGATGCGATCTGACATGGATACCAATGATCCCAGTACTACACCGAAAAACTTGCCCTATAATGGGTTAATAATTACAAATCATCCACCTTCTTTTCCTTTGTAATCTGCCCTTTTCGACGTCGCAAACCAGAGACCGCGCGCGCGTGTCCCGATGCCAACCATGTTTCATGCCGGCACGTAAGTAGGTCGTCCGTCGTTTCCAAACACCCGACCCAAAACAACGCATTAACAAGTTGTTGCTTCATGCACGCCCGCACGCCCAAGCATGGGCTTCTAGACCGTCAGCTATGAGTAACGTGTCAACCATGTTTGCGGGCTGACTAGAATGTATGTTATGCCGCTGTCAAGAAAAAAAAGCTGACGTCGTCATCGTCGTCCGTCCGTCCGTCCGTTCGTTATGGCGAAAATCAAAATCTTGGTTAACCGTGGGACGCCCGATATAGTTTCCCAAGCGCAACCTTTCTTCCCTCTTCCTACACGGCATACACACATACATACATACAAACCAACCCGCTAATTCACACGCCCGCCCCGTCTGTCTGGAGAAAGTGGAAAAGGCAAAAATGGGCCGTGGGAAAAATAGCACACATGACTAGTTAGGGGAGCTGGCAGCGGCGGCGGCGGCGACGGCAGCGCGCGCGTGCACGTCAGCTTGGGATGGTGCGTTGTCCCAGAAGTCGTCGTCGTCGTCGTCGCGAGAACATTTGGCCAGTCAGGTAGGGGCTGCATGATGGAAGGTGTTGCTTTACCTACTCAAATAAGGGAGGGAGGTCAAGGGACACCACGACTCTCGTATCCGTGTTTCATACAATTCATCTTACGTGGGACGTGGTGGTTGTTGTGGCTGTTGTTGCTGATGTTTAAAAAAATGTGGAAGTGGATTTGTTGGCTTCGATCGGGAAGGTTGGGGCGAGATTGCAGGGCCTTTTTCTACTAGAGGGAGGTGGAGTCGGCCATTTACCTACATATTACATGGGGGGGTTTTGTGATACAAAATGGTTCGACACATGCTTTGAAAATATGTCACTGATGGGGCAAACATGCTCATGTATATGGTTTTGTTCAAGTATATTTGTTCGTGATACCTTCCTCTAGAAGAGGCGGTTCTCGGCACTGGCCTTTGCCGCATTCTTCCTTGCGCTCTGCTTCTTCCTGTCCTTGGCCTCGCCCGGCGGCTTGAAGAACAAACTCGGGCTCTCGCCTTCTTTCATCAAATAGTTGAGATAGCCCCTGTGGGCGGGGTCGCGGTAGTACTCAATGTCCTTTCTTGCCGTAGCGTCAGACAGCCTGTATTTATACTTTGAGCCAATTTGCTTCATGACTTGCGCCATGACCTCGTTCTTCTTGTCTTCGGCCGCCGTTTGGAGGGCCGTAAGGATCGGGGAGGGGATCTTGGCGGCTGGTATGCGGCCGGCGAGGGCGACTAGGTCCGGCGAGGCTTGTAGGGAGATGACGGGGTGAGTTTCGCCACGCAGTACGCGCTTGATGGCGGTGGGGGAATAGAAACGTGTCGTCACGCTGCCGCCGAGGGCTTCGACTCGTGCGATGGCGTCGGCCGAAGCACGGGAGACGACGATGTGAATGGGTGTTGTTAGCTTCTCTGGATGCTATGCCACCGATTAGCAATTGCGTTGCGCTCGTGAAAGGGAAAAGTCATACCCTCGCCAGTAACTTGACGCCATGTCTCTTCACGCCGTGCAAACACCTTGATTTCGCCAATTCCTTCATGGTAATCGGTTTCGTAGGATCCAACCCGCCCCTGATCGATCCATTCCTGTATCCTGTCCAAGTTGATTGGCGACATTTCCACCTTGAAGGGGTTGTGTTTCCCGCGCCCTCGCTCTGGGTTCGTGATCCATTGCGGCGTCTGACCTCCCTCAAACCCAGCAGGCACCTTTCCGTGGGCATGCTGACCCTTTTGTCCACGACCACCTGTTTTGCCTTTTCCCGACGCAGGACCGCGACCCCGCCGGATTTTCTTGTTGTAGGCGCCGGCGTTGTCAGAGAGCGAGGAGAGGATCGAGGCGCATCTTTGCTGTGCGGGCAGGAGGAACGGGGCGATTAGAGGCGCGGCATTTGTCCTGCTCGATAGGGAGAGTAGCGATGTCGCCAATTGGACGAGTCGTAGCCGTGGTGGCATGGCTGCTGGTTATTCAGGTGCTGCCCGTGTTCTGCATGCCATTTGCGAATTGCGAAGACGATATCATGACTAAGCGGGCATTGCCGCGGGGTCTAACCGTTCTGGGGCTCAAGCTACCATCACATCGATGAATCTCTTTCACGATGATGAATTGTCATGGGTCTTCATTATTCTGGCTTTCATTTAGTAATGATAGAGGTATCTATGGGTTTCTTAAATAGATGTTTTCGATTCTCTCAACCCGTTCACAAAGTGCCTTATCTCTGTCTACATGTACCTTTCCGTACTTAACCCTACAAGTGTCATGTTACTGACATTAGTCTATTCGTTAACGGAGTCAGAACCGCTACTAATGATGGACTAGCTTAGTATCTTTTCTTGCAATGGTGTGATGCCATCACGTTAGCCTAGCCACTCTCCGCACTCTATCATCACACTTCAACACTCGGAATCGTCAATACCGCGAGGAATACCCATGCGCGCTTTGCAATAATGCAATCACATGCCCATCTCATTCTCTCACCCCTCGACGTATCCAGGGAATACTAGTCCACCTATTAGTAATTTGAATGCGTTAGACTCATATGTGCTCAGGAAGTGGCACTGCGACGGTAGCTACGTCTTCGACTTTCTTCAATCTCACAGTCATCTGTGGACACTCTTGAGTTTGGTTCGAGTTCAAAATATAGGGAACATCAGAGACTTTTGGCTCTAGAGCAATATGCATGTCGTGTTAACCTACACCCTATCACATATTCGCATTTCTTGGAAGCAAGGCGCTTAGCATACACCTGGAACGGTGGTCTTTCTTGGATTTCACTGTACTCTCTAGCGTTAATTGCGGTATTGGCGTGACATGTGCGGTGAGTTATAGAAGTAGTTACTTCTCAAGCAGTTGCGCGCGCTTCATCGGAGCTTAGTAAATGAGTGAATCGCCGTGCAGTACATAAGCCTACCCTCCATCTCTTACTGACTCCGAACCTTCTATCGACTGACTTACTAAACCCACCACCACAACCACGACCAAAAGTTTCATTCACGACGGCACACGAATTATCAACGCCCACACCAAGCAAATCATTCGATCGCAGGTTGCAATGTTCAAGAACCAAGATCTGGAAGACTGGCGCAACGTTATCGGTATCGAGCATGGAAATAACTGGTGTGTGTTGTCCATATATCCCAAAGATGGAAAGGCATGGGGCGCAGCGATGAAGTCGTCGTCGAGCACCGATACCTCGCCACAGTCAGAAAAAAGCAAGCTCAACAATGCTTTGAACGCTGCCGCTAATTCTTTCGTTCCTGCCAATGTACCACTGAAGAAACAGATGGCAGCGTTTTCTGTGGTCTGCGGTGAGCTGACGAAAGACGGTATTTCTTGAGCATGGATGTAGTCATGTAGATTGCAATGCAAGACATGGTTTTGTGTCACGGTTTGGTGATGGGACGATGCCTATCTGAGACTAGCGCTGTTTATGGTCACTCACCTACATAAACTTTCCATAGCTTGTACAATACAACCTCAGTCAATCCTCAACTTCTTCCCTATGCGTACGGTTCACCCACTCCAACATTTTGAGAGATGGCATTGGGATAGAATCATGTCTATGAGATATCTCTCCCCACAAGACATGCTCAGATTGCTGTGATATGACTTGTGTATTTCTGCAATTCATAGAAGTGCTCGGTGATGTTTGAGCGTGAAGTGACCGCACGACACCTACTCGTGAATAAATCCGAGCTCACCACTCGCTAGGATAAGAAGAATTAAACTAGTTGTGAGTTAACTCACTAATCCTAAGGTGTATATATACTGCCACGCGGAGTACCTTTTTTTCTTCGTACCAAGACTCATTGAAAAGCCATTTAGTCATTGAGCATTTGCCACAACCTCATACGCCATAAGCAACACAACTGCAACATCTGCAACGATGAAGGAGTATGGTTACAACTCAGACTATATAACGGGGCTCGGAGATGGCAGAAAGTGGGGTACCGGACATAGTTATCATTCTAGCACACCTTCTTTCTGGCCTCCAGGCTTTGGCCCTAGGGGTCATACATCGTCTACGCAACCAGCTACACCATCTACCCACCCAAATACACCTACACGACCAAGCCCACCACACACCCATCCATCTAAACCAGGCCATCACCCTCCACCCCGCCCTCGTCAAGTGGGTTCCCACACAGGATGCGACAAAAACATACCAGAAAATATACTAAAACCAACACCCCCTATCCCCACCGAAAAATACCCAAAGCCACCACACCCGCCCCCAAAGCACACGGCCACCCACTCTACAGATCTGAGTAATCCAGCCCCTGGCCCAAACATCACTAGCCGAAGACGCCAAGGCCGAAGAGGCGAAGCTCGCAGAACTGCAAAACGAATAGCTACAGGTACTACTCAGTTCACTATTACTCCCGGTAAAAGCTCGCAGAGCCCCGAAAGGAGTGCTATAAGCGGTACTGCGACGACTTTTCACCCGGGGCAAAGTATACATTATTATCGGAATCTTCGGGGAGAGTGGGAAGATGATGATTTTGACAAGTATAATTATATGGTTGGGTATGGCGTCTGGATAGGTTGGGTTTTTAGAGGGGGCTTGTTGGAAGATGGCTTGGGTTTTGCTTGTTTTCTTTAGAATTTAATGGATGAATTGGATATTGCGTTATGCGGGTGGTATGCGGTATGTAGCACTCTGCACTTCCTTGGTGGTGATTTGGAGATTACCTAGGTAGTTGTTGAACAGAGTTATAATGTACATCCAGCCTGCTTCTGGAAGGGTATAGTCCTTGGAGGTGTTTTCCGTAATGTCTGGTCTAGAGTTAGTGATGCAGCGAAAGGTGCTTGTCATTGGACATTCCACGTGAGAGACTAGGGGCGCACGAGTTGGATGTCATATACGGACATGTGTTATTTTGGCATGCACTACCCAGCACTGGAAAATTGACGACGTCTTGTGGCCGACTGTGACCTTGGGAACGTCATCGCTCTATCCCCAACACGTGGTGGGGCTTGCCGCTTCGGCTCCACAAGGTCCGTCTTCCCCGCCCTTCCCTGCAGGGCAAGTGCACCAGCTAACACAAGACTATCCAGCCTCTACTTAATAACCCTCATCGCTTCGACATTTCACTTCATCTAACGATGCCGACCCGCTTTCGCGACAAGCTCAAGGCTGCCGGAAGACAGACGGGCAAATGTCTGCATACGGTAGCCTGGCAAACGGGCAAATGTCTCCTGTGGACAATCTGCTCGCCTTGCGTGTGCGGTTTGTTCTTATTATTACCTCACCGGAGCGAAGTAACGGAGCGCTTTAGGAAAGCAGAGCCAGTGAAGCCGATAGTACCTTGGCCTCGCAGACGCGCGCTCAGCATAACATCGACAGATCTACAAAAGGGCCAAACAACACGTCCTCAAACTCAATCCACGTTTATGACCAAGCTACCCCTAGAGATACGACGTATGATTTACGAGGAAGCATTGAGAGAAGACTCTATACATCTTTCCCTGTTGCAGGGACAGCTGAACGCACGACGATGCAGTGTCGATTGCTGCAGTTGCTATATCAGTCCCTCTCGAGAGGAAAACAGTCTCAATTTGGCGCTACCTTTGCTGAGAACATGTCGCATAATGTAAGCTATCTCCGTTTTATTCATATGTCAACGCAAGACTGCAGGCCCCATGCTGGCCACAAGGCGATCGACGTCGACACCGTGACCATGTATTACTAAGTCTAACAACATGTACAGTTACTCAGAAGCAGTCGAATATCTTTACAAGTCGAATTATTTCTTCATATCGACCAGCCTAGAAGACTATCCAACTACAGGTTATCTCTCGTACTTCTTCCTACCCCAACGCATGGCCCAGGTCACCAATCTCAGCATTCATTGGGACGTTGACTACCAGCAATACTTTCAAGTGAACCTGATGCGCGAACGCCATAGGTGCGAATGGTTCAGATCATGGGAAGCGCTTAGCCGACTGACTGGTCTCCGGCGGCTACACATAAAACTCTACTTTTGTCTAGACCTTTGGGACCACTGTTATGGCGAATTCTGGACACAGAATAGTAGGGACTTACTGGCACCCATCAAGGACATCACTGCGCCAAGAGACTTTGCCATCACTCTTCCTAACTGGAGATGTTCAACCAAAATCGATGTCGGCAATTCCAGATGCATCTTCAAGCTACCAGAAAGAGATAGTTCTGACACCGATGACGATTCTGTCTAGGATTATGCTGTCAACTAGTAAAGCATAACGCCTACTCAGCCCCGGATTGAGAACACAGTCAGCGACGATCCAAGTTTCGGAATTCCCGTATATTACATGTGCCATATGGGAGAACGAGTATCTACTCACCGCTGCTGTTAGCTTGACTGATGTGTTCTAAATATATATAAAAAATCAACATTTATCTTACGGTATAGCCCTGGCATAGCGCTGTCGCCGCCCAACACAGCGATATGAGATGTTATCGCCCACATCCTTCTTTTGTAGTCTCAAAGTTCGAACTTCTGCAGCATTCGTTCAATAGCTACTCACATCTACCTGAATTTACGTCGGGCTAGTTGCTCACGGCACAGACAGGATAGATTTTCACATTGTCATTCGGGGCTATATCGGCCACTCCCCGAGGTTTCTACCGAGAAAGTCGAGCGCGACGAGCGCAGCAACTAGGCCGCAGAAGCAACATGATGCCAAGAATAAACACAAAAATGACGCACTCGAATCCTGCAACCAAGGTCCCATCGGCAAATCGAGCTTGTTGCTCCGCTGGCTCCCACGCATCCCCACGTATCGTTGAGCAACGTGATAAGCCGCGGGTGCTTGGTAGCTTGGCAAGCTAACTTATCCATGTCGGCCTCCACCAACCTCGCAGTAACATTCAGAGCCGCGTACCAGGATAGCTATCCACGTGCAGTAGCCAACATCGTACCTTGGCTCCCTCGATTTGTGTGGCTTTTACTGTGCGGGTGGGCCATCCGAGGTATCATGTAGCTTTAGCGTACCGCCGACGCAGATAAGAAGTAGCATGGCCGTAGAAACGCTCTGCGCCCTGCAGGAACCGTTCGCTTCCCCGGGGTCCCAAAACGTTTTGTGCGGATAATTGTTTACGATGCAGTTCCTCGTCGCTACTTCCGCTCTTCTTGGGCTCGCATCTGCTGCAGCCGTACCTGCTGTCGTGCCTAGAAATGGAAGAGGCCATGGCCACAAAAAGTTCAATGTTCAGGTTGGTGTACGACCGTACTACCTCGTTGACAATATGGATGATGGCCCATTGAAAGAGAAATTGCAAAGCTGCTCGGAGCAAGACTTCAAGACTTCAGACTTTGTCCTGGCCCATCGTGGAGCGCCGCTTCAATTTCCCGAGCACACGCTTGCAAGTTATAATGCTGCTCATCGCATGGGCGCCGGTGTGATTGAATGCGACGTTGCATTCACCAAAGACAAAAAGCTCGTCTGCCGCCATGCTCAATGCGACTTGCATACCACGACCAACATCCTCAACACTACACTTGCCGACAAGTGTACCACTCCATTCTCTCCCGCTGCAAATGGGACCGCTGCGACCGCCAAGTGCTGCACCTCGGACATTACACTCGAGGAGTTTGGTACCCTCTGCGGCAAGATGGACAGCTTCAATCCCAACGCTACAACCGTGAAGGAATACATGGACGGAACGCCCTACTTCCGAACCGATCTCTACGCGCAGAACTGCCCGAAGCTCATGACGGTCGACGACTACATCCCCCTAGTGGATAGCTGGGGCCTAAAGTTTACGCCTGAACTCAAGACCCCCGAGGTCAAGATGCCTTTCGACGGATATACGCAGGAGCAGTACGCCCAGGACTTGGTGGATAAATTCCGCGAGTACAAAATCGAGCCAGAGCGTGTATGGTTACAGTCCTTCTTGCCAGACGACGTTTTCTACTGGATCGACAATGAGCCCGAGTTTGGTGTACAGGCCGTCTACCTTGATGAGCGCGTCGATACACCAGAGGGATATGCCAATGCCACGGCTGGAATTCCTGATCTCGCGGCTCGTGGTGTCAAGATCATGGCTCCGGCTATGTTCGCCCTTACCAAGCTCAACGATGCAGGTGAGATTGTGCCGTCTGAGTATGCCATCGCTTGCCAGGAGAACGGGCTTGAGATGGTTGCGTGGTCGTTTGAACGCTCGGGGTGGCTGCAGATTGATGGTGGTGGTTACTACTACCAGTACGTCGCCAACGTCACGAATAATGATGGGGACATGTACAAGGTGCTTGATGTTCTTGCGCACCAGGTTAAGATCAAGGCCATGTTTTCGGATTGGCCGGCTACGGTAACTTATTTCGCAAACTGCTTTGGCTTATAGAGGCCATGAACAGAGATGAGCTTGTATATAAAATATAATGATAATGCAGTCGGTGCACTTCCCTGAAGCATGCTCGTAATCTGGTCCGATTTCTGAAAGTGGCGTATACATGTAAACTGGAATTGGTATCGTTCGGAGACCTCAATCTTGATCGTCTTGGTCGACTATGCCACCAATCGGACTTCTTAGCGTCACACTACTATCGGCCGAATCCCATTCGGTCCCACAACTTGGATATGGAAGAACGACGACTGCCTCCCTCGGCCTTTTCACATCCTTCACGCTCTCTAGCAGCATATCCTGCAGCTCCAGCCAGCTCCTTTCCCACAATTGCTGTGGACTCGGGTCGAGTAAAACGACAAAAAGATTCCTCAGCTCTTCCATGCCGGCTATAATTTGCCAGCCACGCTCCCAGTTGGCCGTGTCCTCGCGGTATGCGATGCGGTTTGCGGGACCACGGCGTAGATAGGGAAGCGCGCGGATGGCCCAACGGAGATGAAGGGTGCGGATGGAGTTGAGGCGCGGTTGCGAGAGGGAGGATGGGAGATAGAGAAGGTGGGTTATGTGGAGGAGTGAGAAGACGTGTGGACGGTAGAGATGCGATATGGCTTCGGAGTAGCTAGAACACGAGCTGTTAGTGAATGGCTGATTAGAGTGAAGGGATATAGAGTAAGACATGGGAAGTAAATGGTAGAAGAGGGGGAATCTAATACATACATGAGTTTACACGTCCTTGATAGGTTTATACACGCTGTATCCAACCTCGCGCCCCTTCTTCCTCCAACCAATACTCGACACCCGCACTGCCTTCCTTGCTTGCCTCCAACGTGCTCGTCGTCGCAGACAAAATGGCCATACCTCCTCTTCGTACTCAACGTCATGTGCACAACTTCCTCCCCCATAACATAGTCATACACAATGCGTCTCAACTCAATTGGCAGCAGCGCAAAGAACAGGCTTTGTTGCTGCGCATGCGTGTGCGCATCCATTTGCACATTAGGCTTCGACCTGAAGCTGATGGGCTTGGATGATTTGCGCGGGCGAGGAGTAACATTGTCCAGAGTCGATGACTTGAGCGAGAAGGGGTTCCGGGACTTGGGCTTTGAGGATGAGGGCTCGGAAGAGGGGATGTCGTGAGGGGCCCAGCGCATGCCGGGTAGCCGGCCTAGGAGTAATGTTTTGGGCTTCATTTTCGGTCATCACAGAAGATATTGCAATTGGCGCATATTAGAATGTCCCATGTCCTGAGACCTCTGACAGCCCTAGTGCGCAAGGAATCGCGTGCAAGAAGGACCAGCTTTATCATGCTTGTGCTTGGGGCTGATGACGGCGGACGGATCCATTCGGGGTAAGCGCGTGCGGGGTGTTGGTTGGCGCCATGCTTGTTTCGAACAAGCTCCGTCTGGGAGCATGGAGAGTGTGCTGTGGAACCTTGGACTACACGGTGGAACGAAACCTTGTGAGAACTCAGGTTAGGCAATACAACACGAAGCTTCATTACTACATGTCTGAGATATCACATCTTGACCTTTGTCATGTGACGACACATGAGCCTCCGAGCCAAAGGATCGCGACTGCGCCACGTTCCAAGCATTGCGGCCCAGGGCCTAAGTCAAGCTGTCATAGACTCCAGGCCTGCACCAGGCTGAAGTCAAAATACTTCCGTATATCCAAGCTAGGGGTAGCAAAATGAGGAAACGTCTTCGCGCCTGTGAGGAGTGCCATCGTCTTAAGATCAAGTGTGATATAACCACAAACCCTGATGCAGCTAGCTGCGATCGGTGCCAACGCAATAACCTCCAATGCGTCCCAGCAGCACCACGTCTTCAACGCGACCGCATCAGTGAGCTCGAGGCTCAGATTCAGGAGCTCAGGAACGCGCTGCAGGAACAGAGCAGTGGCTCAACCCCAAGCCTCTCACCTGGGAGTCTCACCACGACCCTGAGCGCTGGCCGGTCGCCTGCTAGCCTACTTGAAAGCAATGACGATGCCGCTCTCTCAGTCTTGGACTCGCGCATTCCGCCCATGAGACAACAACATCTTCTTCATCTATACGCTCACAGTGCTGGCGCTGCGTGGCCGGCCATCCAACTGCCTATTGATCTGGACCATCTTCGCGCAAAATGTCCCGTCTTACTCCTCTGTGTGATTACCTACACCCTCACACAGGAAGCACAAGGCGTTGACCTAGAAGTGAACGATGAGCTGGCTCGAGAATCAGTGCGCATCCTCGGTGATGAGGTGATTGGCAAAGGCCAGAGGTCCCTTGAGCTGGTGCAGGCGCTGCTCATAGCCGCCTTCTGGAACAAGAGCACGCGGAGGGGATCACAGGGGAGCGCATACCAGATCGTCCAGCTAGCCTCTGACATGGCTATCGATCTGGGCATCGCAGGCTTCTCCCTGCAACCATCGCCTGCGGCTTACTTCAGCCGGCATGGGCAGCCTACATCACTCGAGGCACGACGAACTTGGCTCGCCTGTTATGTGGCATCTTCGAGCTCATCCATCAGTATACGCAGACCGAGCCCTGTCCCATGGGATGCATACCACCAGGAGTGCGTCTTGACCCTTGAAAATAACGGGCATCCGTCCGACCTGCTGTTTTGTCAAGTTGTTCGCATCATACGATTGGACCACGAAATTTCCAATCACCTCTGTCTTTGTCAGATAGCTACCTTTGTGGATGGCAACGACTACAACACTTACTCTGCGATTGAGATGCTAAAGGCCAAGGTCGATGCATGGGCAGCTGAGATTCCACCTTCCCTTGCATCTTCTCAGACGCTCAAAGTATGGTGGCATATTGCCATGATCCATCTGTACGAACTCGTGCTGCATACCCCTACAAACAAAGCATCTTTTGCCGCCCCCTTCATCCCTGGACGTATCCCCGTCAAGGACTTCCCACGACCAGCTACCGTAATACCGCCTCTTCAAAGTGCGCTCAAAGAACTTGTCCAGCACTGTCACGCGGTCGTCGACACCGCCACAGAAATGGACCCTGCTCTGATTCTTAACCTGCCTACTTTCTGCTTCGCACCCACGGTAGTTTACGCTCTCTACGTTCTAGTAACTGCCTTGGTGACGGCAACTGCTCCCGACCCACGGAACACGTATGGGCAGTGTCTGCCAAAAGATTGCTTTCGCATTGAGCAATGCGGGATGAAGCTAAGGAATCTGGTGGCGTATATGAAGGTTCTCGACCCTACGCTGAGTTGCTTTACAACGCGTTTGTTCGATGCAACAGGGTGGCTTGAGGAATGGTATAACGATTACTCTGCTATTCTGCGGCGGTATGAGACGCATCTTGGGAATTGATGAGGGAAATATGCCATGATGTATTAGCGACCCAATAGATGGGCCGGCGAAATCTTGCCGTCGAATAAACCTCGAGAATATTTGATTGGTTCCTGTGCATTTACCGTACGCCTGGTCGTATTTTGGGTGTGCTGCACGATAGCGGGGCCGAATGTCGTTATGATGCAATAACGTGGCTTGCTCTTCACCAACACGCTGAAGACAACAAAGCAATAATTCATTTCTGCAGTTAGTCCTAATTACCATGGCAGCACCATTACTCCCACTCTCGCATCATGCTACCCAGGCAGTGCTTGCAGGATTCGTCAGAGTCCGAATCGATAATCAGGCCTCCACTCGTGATCCCGATGAACATGAGTGCTGAATTCCTCAATTCCATCAACACTCGGTATATTTTGGCCGTGGATTCACGAGTCGACATGCTCTGTCGTGCATGATGTGCAGTGGCCCTGTTCGCCCCATGTTCTGGCCCGGCCCTAGTGGCCGCCAGACGCTCGACCATTGGTCTATCTCTACCCTCCCATCAGGCTACGAGGCTGTGCAGATCTTGGCCTTTTGGGACCTGATGTGTAAACAACCTCAAAAACGCCTAGAGAAGCAAGACGTGAACGCGACTTGCTGCATCAGTGTGCAGTGCCTTGGTCGCGCAATCCTTTTACACGGATAACAGTGTCTTGGCTGTAAAGTCGTAGATGTCATAGTGTCAGCTCGCTAGATTCTTCATCCGCCGGGCGTTGTTTCTATCTTTGTATCATCTGGATGGTGATGAGATGTATAAAAGAGATAGGTTTTGGTAATGAATGTAGAACAGAGCATCACTGACTTCAGCATCTCCTCAATACCTAACAAGCAACTTACATCCTCAAACCTACTCGTCCTCTCTATCCCTTCATCATGCGTCCATCACATCTCTGGACCTACGCCTTCATGGTCGGCTCCTCCCTAGCCCAAGGTGACCTCGGTGCCCTACTCGCCTCCCAAGACGACCTCAGCACGCTTCTTGAGCTCGTTGGTCTTGTAGACGGCCTGGCAGAGACTCTCTCCGCCGCCTCAAACATCACCATCTTCGCCCCTACCAACCAGGCTTTTGCAGACGTGCCCCGAGACGTGCCCGAAGGAGAGGCCGTCGAGTACCGCAACAACACGATTGCTATTGCAGCACTCCTCGCCAACCACGTGTTCAAAGGCGTCTACCCTGCAGAAGTCATCACGGATGTTCCTACTTTTGCGCAGACACTGTTGGATAGTTCGTATGAGGATTACAGACAACCGTTCTCCAACTTCACCGGCGGCGCGTACAACGGGCTTGTCAAGAACGGAGAGGATGTATGCGTCCTATCTGGCGAGCAGACCATTTCTACCGTAACCCAGGCAGTGCGTATCCAAACTTCCTCCATCATCATCATCACATGCTGTCCCGCTAACTCCGCGCAACCAGGACATCAAACTCGGCGAAGGAATCACCATCCACAAAGTCGACACCGTCTTCTCCTTCGGCGCCCCCTTCCAACTCTTCACCTACCGCGCCGGCTACCTGGCCATGAACGGCGCGCTCGAAGCCGCCAAACTCGCCATCGACTTCGGTCTCGCAGGCCCGGAATCCGTCGGCCTAAACGTCTCCGACTTCACCATCTTCGTGCCCACCGACGAGGCGTTTGAAGCAATCGGCTCCGTGGTCGAGGCCGTGGACCAGAAGACGTTGCAGGATGTCCTCAAGTACCACATCATTCCCAACAACGTGATTTTCTCGCCTAGCCTGGGTAATGTTACGGTCAAGAGTCTTCAGGGTGTGGATCTGGTGTTTACGGTGCTTGAGGATGGGAGTGCGTGGGTTAATGGGGCAAAGATTGTTTTTGCCAATACGATCTTGTTTAATGGGGTGGCGCATGTTATTGACAGGTTAGTTTTGCTTGCCGGTACCATTCTTCGGTTTTTGGCCATTGACTAACTTTCTTCGCATAGTGTATTGAGCCCCCTGCAACCCTTCGATCGCGCTTCTCTAAAGCCTGCTGCGCCTGCTGCTGACCGCGTTGCCTTTGACGGCGCGACATCCGTCTCTGCGCTACCGTTCACCAGTGCGTCCCTTGCTTTCGCTGGAGATCTCATGACGTTTACTACGACACCTGAGTTACTCAAGACGGTTGCTGCGCTTGCTACTCCTACAGCCGCTGCCAACGCTACCAAGACGGGATCGCCCATGGAGACTTTTACGGGTGCTGCTAGTGGGTTGCTTCCTGGTGCAGGTCTCGCTCTTGGCGCGGCTGTGGGTATTGCAGCAGGACTTGTTTGATTAGTCTGGATAGAGATATGAGGCGATAGACGGATAAATAGAGTAGTGATGATTGTAGATGGCAAGGGGGAGAGAAACAGTAGTTTCATTTGGAGTTAGAATTGCATATATAGAATTAATGGAAGATGACTTTAGACTAGTAAAGTCACATACCCGAGCAGTACTCCAGCCATATCCTGGAGAAGTCGACCGCCATCTCATTCTGTCAATAGCCAGCTTCAACCCTAACCCGCTTCTTATACCAAGCCCTAGCAATCTTCCCAATCTCAACCACCAACATCTCCTCATCTACCCCCTCATCCCTAATCCCTCTTTTCTCTTCTACCAATATATCCCGCTTAACCCACTCCACATACACCCCCGCCCCACTCCCATCCCTCCTCACGCCCTTCTCCCTCATAACATCCCACCCCTGCTCCAACCTCTGCACCGAACACCACGTCTCAGCCGCCGCCCTAGCAGCCTTCCGCTTCACCACCACCCCATCATCCATCCGACTTTGCTGCTGTGCACGAAAAAGCTTCGGTTTAAACACCCCCCCTTTCGTCTTGAACCAAAGCGAAGCATCGCCGTTATACTTTGCACACGCCATTTTCCACACTATACCCTCGCCCAGCCCCGTTAGCCCAAACGTTGCCGCAAAAGGGCACCGTGCAGCGACTTGCTCTGCCAATTCCTCAACCTGAGTAATCGTGCGGGCCATGTCTTGCGGGCACAGTGTTGCGTGATACAACCCAGCACGCGAAACGTTATAAATACCATCGGCTTCTAAACTTATACCCGCGTACTCCTGATCGTTCTGCCATACACCGTTTACCTTCACGGAAACAATGACGAAACGGCGGGAAAGTTGGGATATGGCAACGTCTTTTTGTATCTTCTCGCCTATCCATTCGCCGGCTATGACAACGGGGTGGTGTTGGTGCAGTGTTGCTGTGGGGTTGAGTTCGCTCCATCGCGTGAGGTAGAGATCTCTTAGGTGCAAGAGGGTGGCGGTCTTGCTGGACATTGCGGCTGCGAAGCCGGCGTTGTCTTTTGAGGGGGTGAGGCTGGTGAGGTTGCGGGATTGGAATGTTAGCGTGTTGTTGGGGTGGACGAGGATGTCGGCGTGTGTTCCGTGGAGTTTGGCTGTGCCGATGATTGGGATGGGGGCGAGGAGCGTGGGTGCTTCTGGGTGCTTTGGGTCGCGGTCTAGTGCTTGTAGCCCTTCGATGATTTCTGAGATGTGGGTTGTGATTTTTGGATAGAGGGTTGATTCGAGGTTGCTTGGAGTCGCTGCCATGGTCAATGGGGGTGGGGTCTGTGTTGGGCGCCCAAACTGGAGTATCGCTGAGATTTTTTGGAATATTCAGCAGCGCTGTATTTGGTTGGCGCGTCTTTTGGGTTGACTGAACGCTGGAAATGGAACTATCGTGATCAATGGAGGTGACGTCGTGCGGTCATGTCAGCTAACTATGCTGCAGGCCACTCAACTGCTCAGCAACAAGACTTCTGCAAAGCTGCAACCCCACGTGCAGAACAGCTGATGGAACTTCATCTTGAACTTCATTCTTTCATCAATGCAAAGTCCCATAAGCCCACTTGGATTACATTTAGGACATCTTATACGTCGCAGAAAGAACAATTGTAGACTCCAACGCTGACCACTCAGACCCACGCGTAAATCTAATTCACCATGTTCATTGGACAAGTGGCATTACATCAACCCCACCAAACCCCAACACCATCGTGATGCCACCCACCAAGAAAAGTAACTCGAGGCCGGAATTCGAGGCCGGAAAGCTGCGCGCTGCGGCTCTCCGCGGCCCTTCCACCGGCGCTACTGTGGTTGGTCCGCAACCGAACCTTTATCGCGACCCAGAACCATGCCTGTGGAAATCGCCTTGCTCAGCATTTGGCCGCCTACGTTCTTAGGAACTTGACATTTGTAGGTTGTGATAATAGTTTGAATATGTTTGTGGGAGTGTGAAGATTCTTGTAGTGTGATTTCTAGCGGGTTAGGTGCGGTGTGCAATATGTTAGTAATCGGACCGATGCATCGTGCGATGTTCGTAGTGGTATTTGAGCCTGCATCACTGTTGAAGGCATCAGGGTGAGACAAAGATGGCTACCATAGCTGTCTGTGAGGGCTGTGGAATTGCTGAAAAGTCTATTGGAACGTAATCAGTATCAGAAATTGGGCTATCGTGCATTGTATAGGTTTTCTGAGATTCTGTGCGTACGGTGCGCATTCATAGTGAAATTGCAGTTGACAGTTACATACTACAACTTAAACCGTGAGACAAGAAAGACATAAGATATCATAATAGATCACTACGTCATTCGTCGAGAAACATGTGTGATGTACTCGCTTTTGTGGCGGCGCAGAAAACCTCTTTGTTGTCACTTCCCCCCGGGTCTGGGCGACGATGAGCTCACCATGTCCAGGGCTGTCGGACACTCTGGGGAAAAGTTGGGATTGAGGCCGGGCATTGCAGGATGCCTTCGGGTCAAAGTCTGCTGATGGGGAGAAATGATCCAGTCATTACGTACGTCTTATCTTGACGAGGCCGGTACGTTTCCGGCCACGGTTTTGATTCCGGCCACGAGATATAAACCAGCGCTGAGTCGCCCTTTGTGGGTGTTTCCTCTCCACCTCAACACCAACATTTGGCAAGTGAACCCAGTTAGTTGCACTGCAACTCAGTGACTTGTTCCTCAGTTTCTGATAACCCTTTTCACAATGTTGTCCTCATACTTCAACTTCCCCGTCATGTCGGACACACGTCCAGATGACCACTCCCTCCCTGCCTTCATGGTCTCAACCACACGCGGCTTCCTTCCCCGCCAAGAACCTATTGTTGAGTTGCCAAAGGAGTTCGCCCCTCTTGAGTCCTTGTTGCAGCGCATGCCCATCAAGACACTCTCAGGAGAGCCAGGCCTGCTGGCCAACTTCACCTTTGGCGACACCTTGCTCAAGGAACTTCCTGACCTTACTCCTGAAGTAGAAAAGTATAGCCATGACTTGGTCGTCATGAACGCACTATACCGCGACTACTCTTTCTTAGCTTCAGCATATCTCTTTGAGCCTTGCCATGAGAGGCACGTAAAGGGAGAGGAGTATGGACCTGGAAGACAGTCGTTGCCACGATGCATTGCGCTACCTATTGTCAAGGTTGCTAAGATGTAAGCCAGAGTTCCATATGCATTGACAACACCCTGTTATACTGCTAACATATTCGGGTGTGAAGTGCCGGTTTCAAGCCCTTTATGGAGTATGCTGGCTCATACGCACTTTTCAACTATCGCCTCGAAGATCCCTCAAAAGGTCTTGAGTACGACAACCTTCGGTTGATCCGAGCCTTTGAACATGGTCTTGACCCATCTTCTTCCGAGGCAGGCTTCGTTCTTGTCCACATTGCCATGGTCAAGGAGTCCGGCGCACTGATTGAGGGTGCTTCTGAGATGTTGGAGAGTTGTTCTTCCCAAGACCGAGAGCGCTTCAACGATGGCCTGCGTACGTTGGTCGGTGGCTTGAGGAATGTCAACGGTGTAATGAACAGTGAGCACCGCACGACCCCACTAAAGTATGCGTCTAATTAGGTTACCAGCCATGTGGAATCGCAGCAAGCCCCAAGGCTATACCAACTTCCGAACGTTCATCTTCGGTATCACGTCGCAGTCCATGTTCCCAAATGGAGTCATCTACGAAGGTGTGAGCGAGGAGCCTATGTCGTTCCGTGGTGAATCTGGAGCCAACGACAGCATGATTCCAATGTGCGACAACTTGTTGCAGGTCCAGATGCCCGAAACACCCCTCACAGACATTCTTAAGGACTTCCGTCAGTACCGCCCGGGTAACCACCGCGAGTTCCTTGAGGCTGTCCGTGACTGCGCACAACAGGCGGGTGTGCGAGAGTTTGCCAAAGGCGACTCCGTCTCTGCGGCGCTTTATCTCCAGGCTCTTGACCAAGTTCGCGACTTTCGTTGGCGGCATTGGTGCTTCACGCGCGAGTACATCCTCAAGCACACATCGCACCCAACTGCGACTGGTGGCAGCCCAATCGTAACCGTACGTACCCATCCGATGTTGTTAATCTCTTACTTACCAGCAATAGTGGCTTCCAAACCAACTGACTGCTGTTCTTATGCAAATGGCAGACACGTACGAGTACTGCAAGTCAGTCAACGGGGTGAGCGATATTATGGAAACAGCCAACGTGCAGCGCGAGACACTGCGCAAGGAGGTGGCCAAGTACTGCGGCGAGCGCGGTGTGGCTGCGTCATGATAATGAGACTGATGTGTTGGCGCACGGTGAAGTTGCGGTGTCTTTTGCATGAAGATTGTGGGAGAATGAAGTTTGTACAACAGCGACCATCTCATATCTAGGTCTAGATAGTATACAAACGTGACTTGTTCATGGACACGTGCATGCGATGCTTGGTTGTGCTTCGCGTCATTCTCGTGTTTGCGCCCTCATTAGCAATTGCTGGAGCCTAACTATCTGCCAAGGGCGGCAATACGAACGTGTTTCGGCATGAGGGCGCAGGTGGGTGGGTATGACTGTGAAGAGGGCGCTGTAAGTCTTGTGGTGGTGAGTCAAGATGCGCTAGCGTGTCGGCGTCATGCCGCGGTGGATAGATCAAGTAGTCGCTGCATCCCCCGGATTTCCCTAGCAGCATCCACTCCAGCGCAGTCCAGCTCTTGCCACCCATCAATGCCAGCTGCAACACATCTCATGGAACTTTTACCTCTCGTTCGACTCTCGCCAAAACCAGACGTCTTTTTAATACGGCGGACGATACGGACCACGACCTGACATAGTTAAACACGCCACATAGAAGACAATAGATCATGACCTCACGACACGAGCCCAAACAGAGCCTGGCAGAGCGGCGAAAGGGGGAATCGGTATGTGTGGATATGCAAGAATACCATTGCATTTACTAATCCCATATCACAGGCCCTAAGCGAATTTGCCGACTACGTACAGAAACAACAGGCGTTGCGCCGACCGCCAGGCCAGGCCGCCGCCGTCCTTGACGACCACGATGAGCTGAGCATATTGGATGAACTTGGCCTCTCGGATGACAACCATTCGCACATTCGCCTCAAGACGCTCCTTACCGATCCCGCCGAAGAAAATGTCGCTGCGCTCGCTGAGCACATCAAGGAGCGCCTGGCTGAGGGCCACGGCGAGGTCCTATTTGATGTCGGCCTGGAGGATACAGGAGACCACATGGGTTTCACCAAAGACCTCTGGAATTTTGCATTGGAGAGAATAGGGGTTGTTTGCGAACAGATTAAAGCAGATTACAAGCTCTTGATGACGCGGAACGTTGGCGGTGACGTTGAGGTTGGACCCCGCGATGCCAAAGATACGGGCTTTAGCGGGAAGATGCTCCTGCGACAACGGCCGGAGAGCGTGGACGACGTTATTGAAACTAGGATAGCGGTGGTAGGAAATGGTGAGTGGCACGAGGCACGATTGTTTGGCTATATTAACCTTTGGTAGTGGATGCGGGAAAAAGTACCATGTTGGGTGTCCTGGTCAAGGGCGGCCTAGATGATGGCCGTGGCAAGGCGCGTGTCAATCTCTTCCGCCACAAGCACGAGATTGAGAGCGGTCGAACCAGCTCAGTCGGTATGGAGATTATGGGCTTTGACAGCAAGAGCGAAGTCGTTGTCTCCAGCGTTGCAGGTCGAAAACTCACTTGGGAGGAGATTGGAAGGCGATCGGTAAGCGACAACAGACAGCATTCGCATGGCCCCTCTGACAAATATAGGCCAAAGTAATCAGCTTCACTGATTTAGCTGGCCACGAGAGGTACTTGCGCACAACCGTCTTCGGTCTGCTGTCCAGCGAGCCCAACTACTGCTTGTTGATGATTGCTGCCAACAATGGCCTTGTTGGAATGAGCAAGTAAGCTTGGATTGACACATGGTAGATTCGTCACTAACACATGACAGAGAGCATCTCGGTATCGCACTCGCACTCAATGTCCCGGTCATGGTTGTCATTACCAAGATTGACATTTGCCCACCGCAAATTCTTGAGCAGACCATCACTCAACTAACCAAAATCCTCAAATCTCCCGGCGCACGGAAGATACCCATCTTTATCAAAAACAGAGAAGAGTGCATCCAAACTGCTACTCAGTTCGTCTCTAGCCGAATATGTCCCATCTTCCAGGTGTCTAACGTTACCGGCCACAACTTGGATCTAGTGCGCATGTTTCTCAACGCTCTTCCCCACCACGGTCACTACGACAGCTCCGCGCCTCTGGAGTTCCATGTTAATGACACCTTCTCGGTCCCTTTCGTTGGTACCGTTGTGTCAGGGGTAGTCAAATCCGGCGTCATCCACTCCGGTGACGCAGTCTTGATTGGCCCTGACAGTCTAGGTCAATTCCAGACCACCAAAGTTCGATCCGTCGAGCGGAAACGAATACAAGTTCCCGGGTGCTCCGCAGGCCAGTCTGCCAGTCTCGCATTACGCAACGTTCGACGAAAGGATGTACGAAAAGGCATGGTAGTATTGCACAAGCCTGACAAGCCCGACCCCACAACCGGCGTTGTACCAAACCCCAAAGTCTATCGCGAGTTCGTTGCAGAAGTTTTGATTCTCTCCCACGCAACCACCATCAAGACCAAATACCAGGCTATGCTACACGTCGGCCCCGTCTCGCAAACATGCGCCATCATCGATATTGACCGCCAGTACATTCGGACTGGTGACCGAGCACAGGTCGCGTTCCGGTTCGTTCAGCGACCAGAGTATCTGACCGTAGGCGATCGGATATTGTTCCGTGAGGGCAGGACTAAAGGCCTTGGTATCGTCAAGAGGGTTGGCTATGATCCTAAGCACCCGCTCAACCCGGATCTAAACAAGGACCAGGATAAAGACAAGGCGAATGATCAGGATGGGAAGAAGTTGGAAGGGTCATGATGTATATGGAGTGATGCTACCTGAATGTAATTTGAGGGGTGGGGGTCGCGGGTGTGTTTTGAGCTGTTGGTTTGATTACAGATGAATCACGACTTGCATTTAAATCCCCCACTAATTTTACGTCTCCTTCATGCCTTGCTTTTCTTCATGGTAAATCTATACATCCTGATTTCACCGCGAAAACATCTGTGAGACAATCCTATCACTTGCTGCCTCGTGTCGTGTATCAAATCTAGGCTATAACACAATCACAATACTACTACTACTACTACTACTACTACTACTACTACTACTACTACTACTACTACTACTACTACTACTACTACTACTACTACTACTACTACTACTACTACTACTAAAACCCAGCCCTCCGCCTACGGATTAACTGCAACGGAGTGGATTGGGAATACTTCTCCTCATGGAATTTACATCACACCACCCCACCCCATCCACGAAGCAACAGCGAAGCACAACACTCATGCAATAATAATAAAAATATATTCTCCTCAACATAAACCTCCTAAGCATAGTCTCAAAAGAGGCTAGGTACAATTAACAAAAAACCCTACCTACCTACCTACCTACCCTATTCTAGAAACCCTTCTCTCTACTGCAACGCTATAAATACAAAGCAAAGAAAAGGTTCCCCCACCCCCCACCCCCCAAAGCACCTAGGTATTTGAAAGAAAAATAAGGCAAGGAAGTATGTACAAAGGAGACGCTATAGCCTTTACAAACAAGAGCAAACGAACGAACGAACGAACGTGAACGCCGGTTAATGCTAAACCATAAACCACGCTTTTTGGTAGTAGTAATAGTAGTAAAAATTGAAAGGCGAGGAGATGATGTTATAACCAGAGAAGAAAAAAAAAAGAGCGAAAAAAAAGAGGCATTTCAGCGACGATGACGACGCGCCTAAGTACCGCCGCGACCCAACAGCTTCTTGCCTAGCATCTTCGCCTTTTGCATCTTAGGTCCATCACCCGACCCATCACCGGCGCCGACGCCGGCGCCTTCCTCATCCATGACGCTTCCTTCGCGTCCGCTCAACCCGCTGATGCCCGTGGCGACGCTAGCAGCGCGCGTACTAGCCGCTCCACCACTGCCAGCGCGGCCTCTGATATGGCCTGAGAAAGGGGCGCTGACGCCGGTCAAGTGCTTGCTCAAGCTGTGGATGAGGTTTGCATGTACGGGTTCTGTGTTGTCTACTCTGCTCAATTCGTCTGCGAAAGCTCGACCGTCTTCTACGTCGTCGACACCCAGGCCGCTGTGGCTGTGGCTGTTGAAGCCGCCCATGATGGAGCCGTGGGTAGAGCGAGCGCGGTCGTATGTAGAAGGCGGTTTTGAGGATTGGAAAGATGATCCTTCTTCTGAGACGGTGCTTATGACGCTGGGTTGGCGACCGGATGTGAATGAACGGCGCGGCGGGCGGTCCTCGCCTGAGATATCAGATGCTCCGCCTGGCGAGTGTTCGCGCTGGCTGGTTGAATCTGTGCCTGAAAGGTCGGGGGAGGTGTTGAGCATGGCACTGCTGTTTGCAAGTTGACGAAGGCGAGACTGTGCTTTCGCTGAAGGGCGATGGTTGGAGATCTTGTTTCCGACAATGGTACCAGCATGTGAGAGGAGAGCTCTGAGAACGTCCTTCTTGAGTTGATTGACGAGATCCAAATTGGACCATGTCTTGTTGCGATACTCTATAGTTGGCATGCGGAAGACCAGGTCGTGAACGTCTTCAAAGTTGCGCGAGCTCTTGCCTTTGTACGAGAGGCAAAGAACCATGGAAGGCACCTTGAAGTAAGCAACAGTCATGTACTCGCTCGCACGACTCATCATCTCAGTCAAGTCATCGCTTCTAGCTTCCTTCTTGCTCGGACCCTTCGCCGTCAAGCCAGTACCTGTACGGTAAAGGGCGAAGCGCTTGGCAGTCCGTTCAGATTCGTTCACAGTTTGGCTTGAAGTGGTTGTGGTAGATCGAATAGAGCCTGGCCTAGAGGACTGCGTCGAGCTGCTGGGTCCGTTGGGGCCCGCCAATGCGGAGCTTGGATGAAGGGTCCGGCGAAGTTCGGTTCCGCTTCTCGATGGGTTGTCTCGGAAGAAACGGAAATAGTGGGCGCTTGGTCTCTTCGTCAGACCCTTTCTCTTTTCGGTCTTCTGTGCCGGATCAGGCAACTGCAGCGTCGGCGTAAGTCGTTGCTTGAGCGCTTCCGTTGCACCATCGTCTGTTGACATTGAGCTGTTCATACTGGTTGCCGACCGAGAAGCCATAATGAAATCATCCGCATCCTCTCCCTCTTCGTCAGGCAGGCTATGTTTGAGTAGGAAAGGTGAGGCGTTCGCAGCCTTGCTGTCGCCATACGTGGGGAAAATGTATTGGAGCAGCTTTTTGCCAATCTGATACTCCAATTGCACCTTGAGAGGATACAGCTCAACCTCAAAGTGTTCCACAACTGGTATACCAGCAATCGATTCGAGTGCCACAAAGTAGACTTTGAGGCATTTGGCATTCTCGGGAAGTGTCTGATCCTTCTCCAAAAAGGGCGAAATCATCTCGGGATAGAGCGCATTGGGAAGGAGGTTCAGGCCCCGAACCTGCTCAATCTCCATAGCATTAGAGTTGGAGCCGTCGTTGTTGTCGGTTCGGTCAAATGTGACGTTCTTCAACTGGAACTCTGCTAATGACTCTGCACCTTCTCGGAGTAGATGCCACACAATATCCGAGGCAGAAACGAATATCCTCAAAAGACCGGTGGACTCTTTCGCTTGCGCACGGTCGTCTTGCTTGCGTTGTGCCGTGGTAATGGCTTTCATGACGAAGAAAAGCTCGTCTTCATATACCGCCAGGTCTTTCTCGACCTCGATGCGATCTTCCCATCCCTGCTTGTCCAGATACTTCTCGTTAACCTGGAAGACGGTCTTGATTTCCTCAAGCTGCTGAATGCGCTCTTGAAGACCCATGACCAACTTGGGAGCCCCGGCGAGATCAGTAAAGTCTGAAGCAAGCATGATCTTTTCAAGCCGCTCGTTACGTGTCTTCTCCAAAGGTTCATGATAGAGCAACAAGTCTAGTACGATGACGTACATGGCGTAGTATTGGCGTGAGTCACATAGAGCTCGAACGTGCGGGAAGTCGACCCAGAGATGATCGATTCTGCTTTCCTTGTTGTCGTTGGAGGTTGCATTGTCTGCGGTCGATACATCGTCGTTGTACTTTAGTCGCAGGGCGTTGTATTTGTCGTATCGCATACTTGCCGAAGTCCGCTGCACCACACGCTGGAAACCGAAAGGATTGGTATGAAACTCAAACATGACTTCAAACGGTACCCAGGGTGGCCATGCAGTGCCAGGGTGCGACCCATAGCTGCTTCCAGAGTACATATGGATATCGTCTGTACTGCTGAAAGTCTTGGAGTTCGTAACAAAGATCTGCAAGCTATCCATGAGAGCGATGAACCTGCGTTGAACCAGACCAGAGACCTCGTCCATGACCCGGTCTTTGTCCATGATTGAAAGAACCTTGAGCTGCATGCCTTTGGCGGTGACAAGTACCGCAGATTTCGTGTCCTTTTCGCTCTGTAACTGGATCTGCGGTGCTATAAGACGCACAAGGTAGGAGTTCTGAGAGACGTAGTCGTCTGCCACTTCCTCTTCCGCTTTAGTGGGAGTGGGTTGTGATGGATCGCCTGTATCATCAGATGGTTCAGCCTGAGCGTTGCTCTTGGCATCCTCTTCATCGGCATTGACGAAGTTCCTGCCATCGCGGAGTATCTGCTCAATTGTTTCATCAATGCTCATTCCTACTTCTTCATCTCTTGCCATGGGGGTATCATCAGGGCCAGCCGTAGATGGTCTGCGAGACTTGTTTTGTTCTTCAACAACGTCGAGTATGAATTTGACTGCCCTTCTTGACATGTAGTAGACAAAACCTCGGCGCTGACTGACTTGGTGGATGTAGCGAAGAATTATGTTTCGGAGCGAATTGCCCCATTTTAGGTGAATGTTGTGGATGATAAAACGGTTGTTAAACTCGTTGGTGAGGTCTGTAGTGGGGCTGGGAACTGTGTTCGGATCCTTCCCATCCGGATTTTCTAAATCCTGATCTTCGTCTGCCTCAAAGTATTCGTCTTCTCCGTCTGTCTCAGGTTCGGGGACTGCACGGCCTGAAGAAGTACTCTCCAGTCGTTCCAACAAACTAGCGTGCATCGCAGACAAGAACTCTAGTTTTCGTTGCAGGAAACTCGTATGATTCCTCAATGTTTCAAGGCGACGCTGTGATTCTTCGTGCCCTTCGGACGTTTCGCGAACCACTTTAAGCTCCTGTTGATCAATGGCGCGTTGATTATGAGCTACCTGCTCCTTGACACGCTCCAGACGTTGTTCAATCAGATGGCATTGCACTCGTCGTGGATCATTCCGTGCTGAGATGACGCAATGATGGGTCGGCTCGTTGCCAAAGGCGCTTTTCCGATGTTTGTCTCCTGAAATGTTGTCGCAATGGTCGGTCTGGCGGAAATATGTAAAACGCGGTGCAAAAGCAAGCGGAAGAATCTGGGTTTCGGGATGACGACGTGATGGCAATATCCAGCCAAGCTCGATGAAGTCGTCCATGTCCACCCATCCCAAGTCGTTATCGGGTATAGTGAACTTTGATAAGTCCGCAGTGAGGTACTCCTGATTATAAGAGGTAAGGTCCTCCATGGTGGCATTGTCGACCTCGTCGGAACCAGTGCCCATGAGACTAGCAGATACAGCACGGATGTCTGTGCGAATGAGGTCCAGCTGTACTTGGTTGATTCGCATACCAGTTGTCTTGTTTTGCCTGCTGTTTTGCTGGCCTTCTGGAGCTTGCACTAGGGTCCGGAACTCTTCGCGACGCTGGTGAAGATCAAACATGAGACTGTCAAGACGCGCTTTTAGTCCAGTAGCGGATACCACGCCCGTTCCGTAGTCTTCAGCATCTTTGTGTTTGTAAATGTGACTCATGTAGAGGGGTGAGAGCAACAGATTGTACTTGATGGTTGCGAGGTGCCGCCCGAACTTCTTACTGGACTTCTCGACTCCAGGCCACAACTTGCCTTGGCGTACAGGCAGCGACATGGCACCGGAGAACATGGACCACCAGCTGAAGAAGTGGGTGAAGAACCGCGGCGTCAAGTGGACGCTATTGTATGTCTTCGATGGCTCCAGATTAGCGAGGGACCATTCCCGTTCGTGAGGCGCAGCAATTGCAATGGACATGTGAATGTGGTGACTGCGGAATCCTCGGAAAGCATCGTACTCCTGGCTACTGTTAGCGATAACCTGATACATGTTCATTTTATTGCTCACCTGTCCGTTGGATGCTTTCGCATACTTGGGATTCTTCAAAGTGACTTGATAATGCGGTATAAAATCAAAAGAGCGTTCGCCGTCGTCCAGATTACGCTCAAAGACCAGACCAGCAACCCACTTCACGTTGCCGTTCAGCTTCATAACAGTCTTCTTGAAGACAGCGCGTTGCCTGTGACTTGAGACACTCGAAGAAGTGTCTGGGCGAACTACATTTTCGACCTCTTGAGCTTCCTGGCGTGCGTAGTGGTTGAGGTCTGGTATAGCGAGCACGTAGCTTCCGCTTCTGACAATCATGAAGTTTCTAGGGTCTTCATCCTCGGCGAGGCTGAGCTGCACATCGTTCTGCCAGCACATGACAAAACCTGCACCATGGCCGGTGACCATGTATGGGTCGCGGGAACCTTTAAGAATCAAGTGAACGTCACCGTCACCCTTCCACGAAACGTTGATACGAGAGTGGAATGTCAGCCTGATCTTGTCCCAGAATCCAACACGCTCGGACGGGTCTACAGCCGGCTTGGTAAAGTTCTCAATGATTTGCATCATGTCTTGGATTGCTGGTTGATACGATGTGCCCCAGGTGATCCTGGTCGGGTATGCTGAGTTGATATCGATCGCCATGTCTGAGTATGTCTTCACAGGCGCCACGGTACGACGAACATCTACCGCGTATCCGCCCATGGGCTCCCCCTCCGCAGTGTTCTCAGGAGGCACAACGACTACCCGGCTCACGCGTGAGGATTCAGAATCCCGAAACTCCTCTGCTATCACGAAATCTGTCTTCACCAATACGCTTGGAAGGCGCGATGAGTGAATGCTGCCGATAGCCGGGAAGTGTAGCAATGGAAGTGGGTAATCTCGGAGTTGGATCTTTGCTTCTCCCATTTGTATCTGGACGTGCATGGGTATCAAGAGTGAATATTGGGTATCAAACGGCATGCCTTTGCCAACAAGGTGTAGGAAACGCGGGTATTCCGAGATGGGGAAAGATGGCTTGTCAATGACAATTTCCAGGTCGCTTATGGCGAGCGTCATAAGTGCTGGTCGCTGCGAAACGGCGAGAATTGTTTCTCGCTGTTCGATATCGTCCGGCAACTCGTCCAAGCCCCAGAATGTCGAGCGGATGTCACTCATTGTGCGGGTCTGAGTTTTCATCGCAAAATCGATGCGTTTCTTCCACGTCTGCGCGTTCAGACGGTTCAGTTTCACACGCGCGTCTTTAATGGACGTCTGATGTGACCCACTAAGACCACTGAAGCCGTCTTTGTTGTATCGCATAGGGTGGTCCGAACGACCTCGATCTGGCGAACTCTCGTCCCCACTTGTGTCGGCGCTTTTACTACGCCGATGAAATCGAAGTTCCTTTTCCTTCTTCAACTTGTTGCGGCTTCGGACGTCATGAGCGGACCTTGCGCGGTAACGTGAATTGCCACGCTGCTCGTCCTGCTGTTGCAGCTTTCTCACTTTTAGCTCAAATGCCTGCTCCCGCGCGAGTCTCTGTTTCTGCTCCATGAGACCAATCCGGTATATGGTGCCGAGCTTCCACTCAAACGCATTGTCCTCGAGTTCGAAAAGCACGGCACGGCTCCGCAGCGAGATCTTGGGCACGAGCTTTGGACCCTCCGCTTCTTTCTCAAGAACGTATTCGTCGGTTCCAGTTTTGAAGCGGTGATGTATCTGCTTTACAGTCTTGGTGACATTGGAGACATTGTCGAAGATTTTGTGCATGACCAACTGGTGCGGTACAGCAATCCTTATTGCGTCGGTTGCAATATCGAAAGATCTCTCATCTGTGATGGTATGACCATATCTCAGCTTCGACTGCCGGTAGTCCAATCGTAACGACTTGACACTAACAATCCGGCTCCAGGCACGTTTGATGGCCGGGCTCTCCGCGAGCAATCGTACCAGACGCGACCTCAGAAACGGACTTGTCCATCGATGTTTGCCTGCTTCCATTCCATATATCTGGAGCATAAGAGGTGGGTCCGAAGGCATGTCCGCTTTGATCTGGACAAATTGAGCTTTGATGTCGACTGTCACAATTTCACGGGTGATCCCGCTTACGGGATCAATGAGATCATCGCCGAGCGTTGGTACAGATAGATTTGATGGAGAATGCATTGGTTTCGGCTCCGTGGTCGTTTTACTCGCACCCCAATCAAAAGACCGCTGCAGCACTTGCACGGCCATACACAGCGCGAAGTGGCGATACAGCGAGTACCGCAAGAACAAGCTTTGACAGTATGCATGAACGTGAAAGATTGGACCTTGCTTGTCGGAGAGCGTTTGCAGGGCAACCTCCATGCGAGGGAGCGACAGCGTCGGTTCTTGTTCCGATTGGTTATCATCCTCAATTACGATGCCTTCAAATCCATGAAAGTGTACAGCAAGACGTCTGCCGTCAGTTGGGTTGCCCGAGGATCTGTTAGGTGATTTTGGCGAACCGATGGGTGATCTCAAGAAATGTTCATCCCGATTGATTGTTCTACTTGGGGCACGCCGTCTTATAGGCTTGAGATCAGTCTCATCTTCTCGGCTTCGCTTGTATTCGGCGGTCCAAGACTCCAGATGCAGGGCGATACCACGGCTGTGCTTTGATACTGTAGGATCTACCCCGGCGACTTCCACATTGAAATCGGATCCTTGAAGATGCACATAGGCCATCCAAGCAGGTAACCTCCGCAGCGCGTTCAGGTCATGCTTCTTTTTCGCATTTTTTCGTCGCGCGACATCCTTTTGCATTTGCGTTGCGATTTGGCGCAAGCCCTCACTGATCTCGGGCCGGACCATATACAGAGAAAAGGTCTGTGCCGTGCCCCAGACTTCCACAACGATATCGGGAGATGCGCTCATTTGCACTTTGAGTTCAAGATAGTCTGTCAAGAGTAGATCATGCTTCTCAATAGCGGCGGTTTGGTAGTAGAGCTGTTGCGAATTCATGCGGAAAGTCGAGCTTAGGGCGTAGTGCAATTCGCCCCCTGCAGCATGTGATGACTCCATATCGAGAGACAAGGAGGAAGAGGAGGATATGAGTAAATCGAATTCTTCCGACTCACGCTTGTTGAGATCCATGGGAGGTAAAGTGACACGGATGACAGGTTCGTGGACGGAGATCTTGATGTTCGCTTTCGGGAGTAACCGGCGGAACAGGTAGCGCTTGCGGTGTCTAGTATTGAGCGGCTTGCGATGAGGATCGCGATTGTGCAGCATGGCGAGGAGGAGTGGCAGATGCTTGGGATCAAGGTCCAGAGAAGGAGAGGTAACGACCAAATTGGCGAACAAAATGTTGGTGTTTCGCTCGGCCGTGTCTTTGTCGTTTGTGAAATGAATAGTCTTGGATGGAAGAGTTGTGTTAAGTGTCGTCGTGGCCATGGGAATGTAAAGGAGCCGTTCAGGGTGGCCGTGACTGTTGTCGATACCCACAGAGATGGATATGGCAGCAAGGAGAGCTTGGTGAGCTATGTCACCAGGCGAGAAGTACATGAGATGTGCAGGACTTCGAGGATCTAGGCGAAGCAAGTCCATGCCGACTTCCTTCATGGAGACGTTGAGGAATACAGGAGGATCCGACTTGTGGCCGGTGTCAATTTGCTTGGTCAAGCCAAAGAAACCAACCGCAAACTGGAACTCGTGTATACCGCGGAGGATTGAACTGGCGAATTCACGTGAATCAGAGACAGTGCGGACGAGATTTTCTTCACGACTGCTTGGATCGTCGAGTTCCTCCATGACATCGGTAAGAGTAACGTCTATCTGGCTGGGACGAGACCTCTTTCGAGGGCCAGCTGTGCGGCATTTCTGGGCTCTTTCCATGCATAGCTTCACATCATCATATGGAATGCTGAGACGGCCGAGCTTGAGAGCAATGGAGGCATCGCGGAGGCCTTCCAGCTCTTTCTTGAGGAAGCCATGGACATTGAGGGTGCAGTGGTCCAGTAGCTCAGTCGACTCCCTGCCCTCGGGGGTGAAGAAGATGCTGCGGGCAGAGAAAAGCCACTCGGCGGGGCATTGCTCCTCGTCGAGCTTCGGCTTGTGGTGATTGAACAGCCGGCTGCGGTCCACCGTCTTGCGCCTAGTATCGACGGCCAAGTTGAGACCGCCCACTTGTACCGATCCTACATCGACGACTACCAGCGTGGTCGCATGGGCAACCACGTCTACCTGGCGCAGCCAATTGATATTTCTGTGCAGACGCTTGATCTTGTCCTTGGCATCCGTCAGCCGCTTCCATGTCAGACTTCGCTGCGTCTCGTCGTTGCTGGTGTCTTCGTCGTCAGCCGCGGGCACCGGGGTGTTCTGGCCGCTCGTGCTCTTTTGTGTTGTGCCATTCGCCCAGTGGCCCCATCCCGTCTTCTTCCGTGGCTTCTCGCCAAGTGCCTTGAGGTCGACAGTGACCTTGAGCTCATGCAAGACGATGCTGACAACCGTGGGTTGGGCAAACGTGGGTCGGTGCAGGGTAAAGCCGAGGCCGCGGATCTCGATGCGTAGACCATCCTTGGGTGTAAATGCGATGCGTCGCAAGCCCCGTAGCCCCAGTCGCTGGATCGACACCCCTGTGGCAATGCGTATGAAGGCGAACAGGACAAAGGAGAGCAAGTATATGAGGAGTAGGAGCCCCGCGAGGAATTGAAGCGTTGGCAGCGCCATGTTGCTACGTCAGCCGTGGGCCATATGCCAACGGATCGAGTATTACCGGCGTCGCTGATGGCGAGTGCACGCGATGTGCCCAACGAGATGGAGATTGCACCGTCCAAACATAATCGGGGGGGGGCAGCAGGCCTACAAGCGGAGGAGGCGCATCGAGGGCGAGGCTGAGGTCGAAGTGGAAGGCGTGGGGTGGGCGAAAGTGCGCGCGGACTGGCGGCCGTCGAATCAATCCAGTGGTTGAAGGGTAGGGCGGTCCCAAGGATGCGTGTGTGGCAGTCGGCGGGCGGACAGTTGCGATGACAAAGCACTAGTTCAGGGACGGGTTGGATAAGTACTTTAGGGTACTACTAATGGCAGTGCACAATATTCCTATGTCTTTTCCAGCTTCTTGCGGGGCGTTGTACTTCTAAACTTCATTGAAAGCCGTTATGCTGGATGATGCACGTCAGAATGCCACCAGGTTTCCCACGCTTCCGGGCCATTCGGGTCCGTCGGCACTTCGGCAACTGCGCCCCCTGCCCTGCCAAGACCGGCCCGCCTTCTGGAAGGAGCTTGTCAGCCTTGCCTTTCTTCCACAACACCACGCTAAATCGGATAGGGCAATGCATGGGCCAGTGTCATTTGAGCCACTTCAATTGCCTGGTATTCATGTTTTTTTCTTGCAGCGCGCAAGCTGTGAAGCTTATAGTCGCCACATTTACCGGTATGCATGGTGTGATTCAGTCCACGTACAATGTAAAGATGGTGGGAGCTTCACAATTAGGTCTCAACTGGCATAAACGAGACATCCGTAGCTCGTTACAATAGATCGATACCCAGAGTTCTGGCTTCTTTTGGCACTTCTCTGCTGAGCATGTCAGCATGGCACTTCAGTTCACAAAGTACATGTGAACTGCATCTCTCACGTGACTCTACGTGACCTGCTTATTCATCTTGGTTGTGTATATAATCACTCTCTGTAGCTCTCTCAATACAACAACCTTCTTCTCCCTTTTGCCTCGGCCCCACATCCGACAGAGCATATATTACTTGGCTGCACTTGCACATTCAGTGAGGTGTGTTCGACAAGCAGGTAAATGCCACGCTAAGTCGAAAGACCATAGCGAAGTTGAATGGCGCCAAGAAGCAGACGGTGTCAGTTGAAGAACTCTGTAGGGTCTGCAGTGGGCACATCAATCATCTGGGACTTATCAGGGTATGCACAGGCTAACGCATCTACCCTTTGCCTTTCCGGTGCCACGAGTCATCCTCACTTCAGATGCACGTGGTTTGGGGGTTAGTTTGCCTTGTTCGTCATCTCGAATTCACCTCCTTTCTCACTTCACCGCTTAGCTAAGGTTCTATCATGTTCTAGCGGCGTCGAGATTTCTTGGCATCGTCTTGAAGCTGTATCTGACCTTACGTTCTGGCTCTTTCCTACCCCACCCAAACACCGTACCCTGACTTCGGCGACGTCGACATCATGTCGATAACTAGAGACGTACCGCCGAATGCATCGTATGTATTTATTACTCAAACATGGGTGTCGTTCATTTGGCTAACCGAGCGTTGTTACAGCTTCTACGACAACCCCATTTTGTCCGATATCAAGATCCGTCAAATCTCTTCCAATGGGGAGACAAAGGAGTACTTCGGTCAGAGTGGTCCTATGCAGTCGCTCCGTGTGGTTCTACAAGGCATTGACCGGTTCATTCAAGATGAGCTTCTGAATATATTTACAGCAACCCTGGAATCAGACTTTCCAAAAAGCAAGTTGACTTGGATTACTTGCTTGACTTGCTTGGTTTAAACCAAGCAAGCAAGTCAAGTAAGAGCTGGGCAGCTAAGCAAGCAAGTCAAGTCAAGATACTTTGCTTGCTTGGCTTACTTGGTTTACTTGGTTGTTTTAGCGTTACTGTGATGAGGGTGCTAAAACTGCTGTACGGTAGATGTCGCGATGGTTTTGAAGTGTTGCAGTTGCCTCGGTTGAGTCCCAAACAGGCTAAGCGGCTATCAAATAACGTTAGCCTTAGTCTAGCGCATTGCTCCAATCTCGACGTACGCCTGTCTAGAAGCCTATCGCAATGCAGTATCCCCTATAGCAACGCGTTTTCCAGTGATTTATACTGCCCTGATACCCCCAATATGGCCAAACGTCGCCTACCACAAACTTCTGCTCGGAGCAAACGTACGAAAGTAGCCGCTGCCACCAACAACGTCGCCTCAACTCCTGAGGCTTCACCTGAGCCTGCATCTAAGCCTGCATCTAAGCCTAGACCTCAGCGTCGATCACCTCGCAAAACCCTAGCTGCCGCAAGCCAGGCTAACGCCTCGCCGCCAATACCTACCTTCGAGTTGCAGTTCTTAGAGTCGCAGGCGGAGGCTGAGATTGTCGCGCCCACCGAGGGCAGCCGAGCTGGCACGGTGGCTACAACTGAGGCTGGAGAGGGTGGTCAGGATGAGACAAACAGCGCACTAGTTGAGAACTTTGACGGCATTGACTGGGCACGTTTACCTGATTTTATCAAGCCATTGGCGCGTTCTAAGCGCCCAAAAAGTTGGATCTTTCAGTATGGCTACCGCGTTGTTGAGCGCCATGCTACATCTCGAATCTGGTTTGTGTGCAAGTACTGCCATGTACACAAAACTATCGACGCTGGCCGTGGTGGTTTGTTTAACATTACTCAGGCTACAACCTCAGCAGCCACCCATCTCAGCCAACCAAAGCCTGGCCACAACCTTACGAAAGATGGCCCAAAGTTAGCGCAGAGAGCTCGAGGCCAGCTGTCGTTGCGGCAAGCTTTTGACGCTGGTTTAGACGTACAACAAAACACTGCTAACGCGTTTGGAAACTTCGACGTAGAGGGCTTTCGAACAGCCACTGTCATGTGGCTTGTTAACCGAAACCACCCGCTCAGCGAACTTACGACGCCTGATTTTAGAGAGATGATGAGATTTGCCAACCCAGAGGCAGAGGCAGCGTTGTGGGTAAGTAATACCAGCGTTTCTACCTTTGTGATGAGGTTGTTCCGGTCTATACGACCGCAAGTTATCGACACCCTGTCAGGCTCAGTAAGCAAAATACACGTAAGCTTTGATGGCTGGACAACAAAGGGTGGTAAACGTGGCTTCTTTGGAGTAGTCGCTCACTTTGCCGACGCAGCTGGAATAATACGAGACTTACCAATCGATCTGCCTGAGCTCGCTGGCGCCCACACCGGTGAGGCTATTGCCAAAGCTATCTCGACGACGCTCTCAGCATACGGAATAACAAGCGACCGATTAGGCTATTTTGTACTCGACAACGCTACCAACAACGACACTGCGATCGCCGCGCTCGCGCGCGAGTACGAATTTGAGTCCGCTCACCGGCGCCTCCGCTGCAGTTGTCACACGCTTAACCTCATCGGCCAGGCTATTATATTTGGCACCAACAAAGACGCCTACGGCAACACTCAAGAGCAGTACAATACCGAGGAGCAGTATATGCGAGAGTGGCGGAAAGATGGCCCTATTGGAGTGCTAGTTGACGTCATCAACTATATCAAAACGCCGCAACAGTACGAGCTTTTTCGTGGCTACCAGCGCCTTGCCAACAACAACCTGCCTGCTGAAGGGCGTCTCAAAGTACTCGAGCCAGTCAAGCCTGTCGTCACTCGCTGGAACTCATACTATGCTGCTTTTGAGCGCGCTACCAAGCTTCAAGCCGCGTATAACTTGTACGCTGAGCATCATATCAATAGGGTTATCCTTGAAGATGCGCACGCTGCGCAGCGGAATAATAAGCGGCCCGACGCCCCAAACTGGATGAGATCAACTGGGCTCCGAGCTGCTGACTGGGCGGTGATTGCAGAGTACCAGGACTGCTTAGAGCCGCTCAAGTACGCCACAAAACGCCTCGAGGGACGCTCTAAGGATGGCAAATACGGCGCAATCTATGAGGTTATACCCGTTTTTGAGTACGTACTCAGCAAGCTTGAGGCCCGGGCGCGCCCGTTCGAGCACGTCGACTTCAACGCTCATGCCGAGGCTCCAGAGGATCACCTCAACGTCAACCTCCGCGCCGCGTGGAGCAAAGCCAACGACTACTACAACAAGCTCGACGACTCGCCCGCTTACTACGCCGCTGTTTGCCTACACCCGTACTACAAGAACTACTGCGATGTGGCGTGGGCAGACAAAGCTGATTGGCTTACTAGTGCCAACGCGTCGTTCCAACAGCTTTGGGCGGCATACAAACCTCAACGAGCACGCCAGCGGTATACAACTGCGCCGAGTAGCAACAACATAGACGAGGCAATTATTGCTATACTTAGCCGCAACAATGACCGAGAGGCTCCACTTGACGAGTTTGAGCGCTGGAAAACACAAGAGCCGCAGTGGACGCAGGAGCAGTACAACGCAGATGGAAATCCTGTCCAATACTGGATACAACTACTGCCGAAATACCCGCATTTAGCGCAGTTTGCAATCGATATCATGACTATCCCAGCATCAAGCAGCGACTGTGAGCGCCTCTTCAGTGAGCTTGGCGACCTTCTTGAACCTAAACGACGTGCTCTGGGCAGTGAGCTACTCGCAGCTCTTCAATTAGTAAGGTCATGGGTGCGAGCTGGTTATAAACCGTACAACTGTAGCGAGGCTAAGCTTTCAGATGAGCAGCTTGTAGGAGATTACAACATACTAGAGTGGAACACTGAGTTTTGGTAATTTGTATGTAGCTTAATCTCTTTGTAGTAGTCAAGTAATCCAAGTACTTGCAAGTAATACAAGCAAGTCAAGCAAGTAAAAAAATCACCCCAAGCAAGTCAAGTAAAGCCTATGTTTGAACCAAGCAAGTCAAGTTTAGAGCGGTGACTTGCTTTACTTGCTTGTTGGAAAGTCTGCCTGGAATGCAGTACTAATGTTCTCAATTTAGGAGGCCTCCCAGGCTACTATTGATGTGCACGACGATGATCCGGTTCACTTTGAGATCATGCTCAAATGGATCTATCCGAGAGAATACGAAGCGCCAGAAGATGTTTCCGAGCTACAGAGAGATTTCATGTATCCCATCGGACTCTATATTCTGGCAGACAAGTACGACGTGAAAGACTTGATGGAAAACAGCGTGGGATTACTTGGCTCCGGCGAGGCGTTGGACTACCAGCTCGCAGATGCCCCCGACGGGATGGAAGCTGGCCATGCTGAAGCGATAATCAAAGCCTACTACGATACCCACAACGTCCCTGATTCTCCCATGGGGGTCTCTATTGCCATATGCATGGTCGATCAAATGGGTCACTTCTTGAAAGGTGCAAGATTCAAGGAGCTAATATGTGAGTATACTGGATTTGGTGTTGATATTGTCCTTGCGCAAATGAAGAGGAAGTCTTTCGAAAAGTACATGAAACTATACGACGACGGTTTTTGAGGGACGGCGACAGGCAAAATTGTGCGCTTGATCATGGCTTCCGACTGAACTCCGAAGTATTTTCTACAACGTGTGATAGAAAGTCCTGTGACACAACAAGCGGTTTGCTTGCCGCCCTCAAAGGAAGTGAGATGAAGCCAAGCATACATATATAGGATGGCCGAAGCATCGCACACTGTAGCGTTGCTCGCCCCGAATACAAAACCTTCCTCAAACTTCCCATCAATACCCATCATCGTGAGCCGTAGTCCACCGTCACCATGGCCGCATCGTCAACACCAGCCTGCAAATAGTAAGATTCTCCCAAGACACCATATACCCTACTAACACACCCATAACCACAGACTCTTTAACGATCCCACCTTCTCCGACATCAAGATCCGCCAAATATACAAAGACAAAGTCACCGAATATGCAGCTCACAAAGCCGTACTTTGCGCGCATTTCAGCTGGTTCATGACTGCCCTCACTGGCCCATTCCAGGTGCGTACGATATTGAGATTCTCATATAACCAGCGCTGATGACCATGTGTAGGAAGGTTCTGCAAGTACGATTGACATCCGCGACGATGACCCCGATGTTTTTCGAACGATGATGGAGTTCTTCTACGACATGGAGCTTAAGATCCCGACTGTACCGACCAAAGGCCCACAGCGCAGTGCCTATTTCAAGAAAAAAGTGGCACCAATCATTCACCTTCACGCTTTGGCCGAAAAGTACGATGCCGGAATGTTGCAGCCCCCAGCAGTACAAGCGTTCACGAAAAGCACGAACGGCTGGCCTTTGCCGTTCACTGCTGAAGACTTGGAATTCTTAGTCCACGCTCACTACCGATTCTGCTCCGGGGTACTGTGCGAGATGGGCAAAGCCCTTGTCATATTCTTATTAAACTCTCCGAACAATTACTTTCGGAATCCCTCTGGCATTCATTTGAAATATGTATTTCAAGCTAAAGTTGAAGAGCTTGTCGAGAAATATGGTGAGTTTGGCGCAGACCTGTATCTACTGGGTCTACGTACTGGCAAGCTTGTGTTCAAATAAAGTAGATTCGTAGGATCATACCCAAGGCAGGTATCATCAGCTTTCATAACTTCTAACCTATGGGGTACAATGTCATCTCCCTTCCCATTCCCCATACCATGTAGTCATGCGGCTCCGGAACAATCAAGTAAAAGACCCATGAGCAGCAAAAGTGTCATCATGACCTCCCCACGCTCGACGCCAGTCACCTTCACACATCCGGCCTCACATCCGCACCCTCTAACTCACCCCACACTCTGGCCATGGTACCCTGAGTCACCAGCACATCGCGCAGCCACTTCAACGCCGAAAGGATATCAGTTCCTTCCTCCATCTTCCAGCTGAAACCGCTCGAGCGACCAGAAGCAACGAGTTCCCACTTGACCACGTTCTCGCCCGGCTCCATGTTGGCGTCGGACTCGCCGTGCACTGGGATGAGATCACGGGCTTGCAAGAAGGCGAAGGTGTCGTAGCCTTGGACATGTTCGCGGATTTCGAGCACCTTGGACGCGAGATGTGGGTAGTATGCGCGAGCGATGTCTGTGTTTTGTTAGTTTGTGTGTAGTGCAAATCGATGTGCATGGGTGCTTACTTATGATCTCGATCTTCTGCTGAACGGCTAATTTCTCGTTCTTCTGCTTGTCGCCTTCGTGACCTGTCTCCTCGACCACTTCCTCGGCAGGCTGCTCGAACTCTTGATGACCTGTCTCGTCGACCACTTCACCTGCAGTATGGTTGACGTCTTCGTGATCTGTCTCGTCGATCACTTCCTCGGCAGTCTGGTTGACCTCTTCGTGACCAGTGTCTTCGGCCATCTTCACACTGATCGCGCGGCCGCCGAAGAGTCTCCAACGCATCTCGTGGACTGCGCGTTTTGCTTCTTCCTGGCCGGCAATCTTGATGAACGTGCGAAGTGGGTGAGTGAAATTCACGGCGTTTGGCAGCGTGAACTCCGGTGAGATGGTGAAGTCTTGGAAGAGATCGAGGACGTCTTGGTGAGTGAACTGTGTCGGGTAGTTGGACAGTTCGATCGTGACCCACTTCATGGCTTCCTCGACGGGTAAAGGTGTGGGCGGGGGTGTGGATGTTCGGGTGAAGCTGATGGGGAGTGGGAGTCGAGGTGGCGCGGCGCGCCGCCGGTGAAGTGATTGGGCTGCTTTTGCCAACACTTGCTGTGCCCGATTGGCGGGTGACAGCGTTTCCGCCTCGCTGCTTGTATCACCCATTGTCTAATATCTCAGTTAGTTGCTGGGTCAGTGAGGTATCAAGGTGGCAAGGCGGGCTGGCGGCGGGTTCGATGGGTTCGATGGTTCGATGGGTGGGTTGAAATCATTTGAAAGTTTACTTTATACAGTGGGCAGCCATAGTACTTATCGATATGCTGGCATGCAAATGATACTCACACTCACCTTCACTTCGCATCGAACATCCACGTGAAGGCGCAGTGAATGGCGATATTTAAAGATGAGACAGTGAACAGTGCAAGTTCCACTACACGGCACGTGGAGGTTACAACAAGTTCGTGACCGTTCGGTATTTGGGCATTCCAAGTACTGCTGACAAGATATTACCCATTATTAGTACGGTGAAAGTTCATAGACGACTGTATAACATGAGCGTGGTTCTGTTTACCAGATCTTTAGCCAGTCACAAGCATGTTCATGAAAGACGTGAATATGAGGAAAGAAGATGCGTATTCGAGTGTTTACTTAGAGCACGGCTTAGACACCACTTGTTATTGTTGTCTACTCACACTGTACCACCATTTGCAATAAAAAATAGGGACCAGCTAGTAGCACGAATGTTGAAAAGGAGATGAAAGAAATTCAATGGCTACGGTCGTGAATGCTATATACCGCGACTGCCGACTAAATGGCAGGATAACGTATCGCACGAGTGGGCTGTGGTCTATATGGAAAAGAAAGATCAAGCTATGCGTGACAAAGGAAAGACAAATATCGAGAGAGTTGATAACAAGGAGATCTATGGATCTGGCAGAAGAAAGACCGTTAAGGAATACTGGCTGAGATGAGAGCCGAAGACGAGAGCAAAACTTCCTCGATAAGTGGAAGTGAGGTCTAGAGGGTGCTAAGCCTGGGGTTCGGATATCGGGTAGAGGATGGAAACTATCGGAAGGCGGCTACGGCGGTATAGTCGGCATCCGGTATCAAATAAAAGGCCGTAGGCGCGTAGTATTTTTATCTTCTCCCAAGATGGGTAGGTTAGGTATTTGAGTAGATTTTTCTAAATAGCTACTACACATGGGAGCCCTGAATACAACATGTGCTGATATGAGTCCACCTGTTCAACAAAGAATCAGTGTTAACATCGTCATTGGGAATGATACCGGAAGGAGAGCATTTGTCTATGACGAAATACATTCCAGGTAACAGCTCAGAAGCCACAGTAAGAGTAGTCTCAAGCTCCTGGGCAGGTCAATAGCTTTATCTTTAGGCATTCAGTCTAGATCAAATAGATTTGAGTAATTGTTGGGATACTGCTGCACAGAGACCAAAAATGCACGGAAGCGGGCAAGGATGAAAGGCCGACGTGCAGCAAGTGCGGAGTTCAACGGGCTCCGATTGGTAGCGCGTCGGAGAAGACCGAGGGTGGGGCAGATCGCGGGGCGGGGCTGGCCCGTCACGATTGCCCCTCTTCGTTTTCGTCCGCTATCATATAGGCCAGATCTCTCTTTTTTCTTTTGCGTTCTTGTGATCTCTTCTCGTCTTCGCAAGCTGATCGCGATTTAAATTTGTTACAAAATCGTTGTCGTCACGTCCAATCGCAGTCGGACCGAAGCAGTACCATACCAAACCCTCATCTCCCCCTGACACCTGCCAACCGTCATCTCAGAATGGTGGCAACGGTACCCACTACGCAAACAGCGGCCTGGATCCAAGACCCTGGCCCAACCTGTGTTCTCCAGATCCGAAATGATATCCCGGTGAAGAAGCCTGCTGCAGGCGAGGTCCTCGTTAAGATGGAATGCTCGGGCATCTGCCACTCCGATTGCCACAACGTCCTCATGCCGGGAAGATACACCGAAGTCCCAGGTCATGAAGGTGTCGGTATTGTCGTGTCTCTCGGCGATGGCGTCTCCGAAGAATTGCTGGGCAAGAGAGTTGGACTGAGGTGGTTATGGGACGCATGCAAGGAATGTAGTAGCTGTAAGAGCGGGAGGGAGAACCACTGCGGCAAGCAGAGGAACACGGGAAGAAATGTATGGGGAACTTTGCAACAGTATGTCATTGGGAGTGCCGACTTTGTCACGAGAATACCAGATGGCGTCAAGAGCGAGATCGCGGCACCATTGTTGTGTGCGGGATTGAGTCTTGCAGGCGCTGTGTCCAAGCTCGCACCAGAAGTGCAGCCAGGCGATTACGTGGCTATTGTTGGCGCTGGTGGTGGTCTTGGACACATTGGTGTCCAAATAGCCAGCATCAAAGGCTATAAAGTCATTGCGATCGACAGCGGTCCAGAGAAGGAGAAATTAAGCAAAGAGATGGGTGCTGTGGCTTTCGTTGATTATGCCAAACAAGACGTAATACAGGCAGTCAAGGAATTGACTGATGGAGAAGGCGCACATGGTGTCATCTGCGTCGCAGGCACCGAAAAGGCCTATACTCAAGCCCCAGAACTGATCAGGAATAGTGGTGTATTTGTCTGTGTGGGCTTGCCACCACATGATTTCATGTTTCCTGTCAGTCCGATACATATCGCCAACAGAGGTACGTCAATCGTCAAAAGTGCAATTACATCGCTAACAAGTTCAGGATTGGTCATTAGAGGTTCATCAACGGGTAGTGCTAAGCAGATGGACGAGCTGCTTCAACACGTCCTTGAGGGGAAAATCACCCCGAAGGTTGAAGTGTATGACTTCACCGACTCGCCTAAGATCCTGGAGGAGCTGAAGCGATACGAAGTCACGGGTAGGAAGGTAGTACGTGTGCCTTGATTTGGAATGAAATTTGAGCATGCGTGTAGCGGGGCAGGAAAACGAGCAAAAGTCATGTATTTATGTATGTACAAATTGTATACAAAAGAAGGATTTCAATCAGGTAATAATATACGTCCGACGATACCTTCCAAGCAGCAACATTTAAGTTAATTGCACACTGAACTTAGTACCAGTTCCCACCCTCTTCGTTGGCCGTGACACTCTCTGGATTCATACTCACGATGCGCTGACCGGGGATTGTATCAGTGAAGGCACTCTCAAACACACCGCTCACAGCCCTCCTCCCAATCTCGGCAAAACTATCAAATTCATCGTTATCCCCTGTGATAGCACTCCACTGCGCGTCGTCCGGGCTACGTGCAGGGCCCAGGTCGCTCCAGCGCGTCACAATGAGAGCTTGCTTGAAGCGTTCAGGAACATGGCTGCGAACAGACCTGTCTTCGACGAGTTTCAGCTCGAACAGGTATTCGGTGGGGCACTTGGGACAGCGGCGCATGGGGCGGCACACGGAGCAGAGAGGAACGAGGCCATTTGCCTTTCTGCCGAGATTGCGCTCACGAAATTTGTCGATGGCAGTGGTTTCAGATTCGTGGGCGTGCGGAATGTGCGAGAGTGCACACTTAGGAATGGAAGTCAGTAGACCATGTTTCCAATGGGAGCACACGCTGAAGTAGGGTGTGTAGTCGGCGCGACTGAAGAGCAACAGTCGCTTTGCAGCATCAGTCATTCCACCTTCTACGTAATGTTGCGAGCGGACTCGCATTAGGACGTTGCCCTTTTCAGTGATGTGGTAGGTTGATTCATGAGTCCAGGTAGAGTACGCGTCTTTCCAACGACGCGCGAGAGATTGGTGCGGGATGCCATATTCAGGCCCGTGAGCCCAGTGACGATGGGCTAGCTGGATGAAAGCGAATGGCAATGTGCGGCCATCACTAATTCGAATGCGTGGTGGTGGAACGTGGATGTTTGTTCGATTGGGACATTCGAAAAGTGGATTGAGGACGTTCTGGGGTTTGAGGGATTCAAAACCGGGCTGAATACGTAGGTGCCATTGTGCACAGGGGAAGCAGAATAGGTGACGCGGCATTTTAGGGTCCATGGCCAGCAGGAAGTCCAACCGATGAGGCCTGTGCCTCGGGTCTAGTAGTAGCTTGTAGGGATGTCTACCGAGCCGAGCATACATGGTCCTACAAGTTGAAGATAAATTGGCTACATCCAATGGTGATAGAAAGTCAGCAATATGTAGCCACATCTCAGGAGATACATTAGCGAGTGTCGCTGTTCCGTCGGGGCGCGAAGGATCATAGAGTATAGATTCGTCATCTTGTTCCTCTTCAATCGTATCCACGCCATCGACGTACGTGAAGGCGTGCATCATTTCGGTAAGGTCTTTTCTTTCTCCAGTATCCTTGTCAAGAATGTCATCGGGTCTTGCAGATGCCGAGGGCGCTCGATGTGCCTTGCTAAGTTTCGAACGCTGTGCTTTGCCTGGTGCATATGGTAAAGTCTTCTCATTCTGCAATTGCGGTATTGATGCCGATCTTGGGCTGTGCGGCTGATACAACGGCGCAGCATACTGCGGTTGTCCCTCTGAGTTGCGGCGGTAGTCGGCTACTTGCAACCCCGGTTGAAGATACGCGTTGTTTGTGTCCGCAAGAGCATCCACTGCAGCATATGGATAGTCGCGCAATGCATGTGGCGCAAGCCCGGCAACATCTTCGTGAATTGGTAGACCAAATCCATTTTCCGCGAGGTCTCTTCTTTCGTTTGTAAAGCTGCCAGAGTCCTGGCGGTTGACGCTCCCCACGTTTGTGGTGGAATTAAACTCTCCTAGGATGTCGCTTCGTGATCCTTTCTTGGAAAGCTTCTTCCGGGTGCCCGGCTCTTTTGGCTCTTTGCCTGATCGCATGCCGAACATGGCCCGAAAGCCACTTTTCTTGTTCTCGCGCTGTGCCATCTTAGGGATTGCTGGTGATATCGCCACCCGTGGTAGATTGTTTCCGAGCCCAGACGTCAAGGAGAGTTGCCCCAATGCGAAAGATGGGGTGGGCGGGTCTGCGCGCCTCGTCTTGATAGTATTCACGAGAGATGGGTGTTTGTCAGACGAAGATTCAAATTACCGCAACGTGGATGATGATCGTCATAGCGCGATGTCTGTAGCGCAATAGCGGCTCGTCTCGGCAGGGGATCCGTCTTCATCCGGTGCTCGATTTGTCTTTCAGTAGGCCCAACATGTGCTTATCATGTCATCATGGGTAACAATGTGAGTGCGACGAATGATATACTTGTCTGGTGTTGTTACTAAGTCGCGTGGCTGGCAGTTACGCGTTGGGATGACAGACCGCGCGGGAGGCATTGACCATGTGACGTGACTTGCGCTAGTTAAGCACCTGCAGATCTTCTGCCAGCCATCATCTTGTCAACCTTTCCAAATTCTTTGCCCGCGGCGATGGCATCTTTGACAGCAACCAACCTAATGTTGTCCCTTGATCTTGCTGCTGCAAGTTGTCGGAGTCAGTACCTCTCCAGCAAAATTCCACAACCATTGTACCGCGTGATGCTCTCCATCGAAGGAATCATTGATCGATGAGACGAACGTATAGCACAAGACCGCAACTTTTTCTGGGTCGCGATGAATCTAAACGAGCTAGTGCGGTCCTGGCCGAGCTGCAATCCCAATCCGCCAAAAGGCTGTCCACTAGAACTGACGCTGAGCGACGTTCTGTGCCAACATTCGTTCTAACTTGCTCTGCGGAAACCCCCATCTTTACAGCTAAAATCACATTAGAACCGTTGCCTGCCGCTCAATTATATCAATGATTCAAGGCAATTAGTCTAGCGTACCGAATGCTTAAACTGCGAAGGCATTATGATTGAAGATTTATTTAGCGGATGTTCCTGCTTCTTGATGGTCTGGATTTTATGTCACTTGGGTCGGCTAGCTCTTAGAACCACGTTGTACGTGTGTATTTCCCCCAGAAACGGGATTTAAGCAATGAGCGCAGTACCTATCCTGCGTGGACACTTCCGTGAGAGCTATTTTTCCAGGCTCATCATCTCCTCGTTCCGCCCCCATCCAACCACGTATGCCCCAAGCGTGGCGTCGTGCTAGTTCCCCATGTAAGATGTCTGGATAAACCGACGTAAGACCATGGAAACACTAGTCACTGACTATGGGCTGTGATAAAGCCTACAGAGCCTTTTCTTCTTCTTCTGCTCCTTCTCCTACTGGTTTGCTTGAAGAAGTTCCGATGGCAACCACATATGATCTACCCAGGATCCTACAAAGGCCTTCGATATCACACGAGTCCGTGGTAGTTCGCTCAGTAGGACTATACCTCAGCTCATCTAGCAGCGATGTCAGCCGACTGCACTGACTAGTCTCGGCCATCCCGTCTAGAGCAGGTCCAACGGAGAAAACGAACTCGATAAGTGTTTGCAGATTCTTGTTGGAAAAGAGGTGCTCTGAATGAACCATTGCCTGAAACATGTCGAGAGTAGCGGTCTGGGTTGAGCGCGGGGCATCTATCCTCATCGCTTGGGATGCGTGTTGGATCATGCAGCTGATACTTGGGTGTTTCCAATCCGACATGGTAGCAAAAAGCGGCAAGTTTACTTCAACCTTTGGCCTTATTACCATCTTTTGCACTGATTCCACCCTTGAAACCCATTCTGGTGTAGATGAAACAGAATCATGCTCGCGATATAGATTCGATCTGTCGAGGCAGATAAAAAGCCCTTCGATCTGGAAGTGTTGCAGCTCAGTCCGCTCATAGTCCGCCTTCTTGAGAGCTTTCAGCATAGAATTCACCCGCTCGGAATTGCCGTTCCTCTCGGTACCGTCGAGGATAGGGACCATCGCGTATGCAAATAGAGCGAAAATGTCGAAGTTATCTGCGAAGAACAAGTAGACCGACTGGGACATCCTCTCAAGCAACCCATGAGCCAAGAGTCCCGCTGCGCTAGCATATTGCCCATAGAGAGAGCATCTGTCTAGGAGATTCCTGGTCAGCTTCAGGATGGCAATCGGCTTGGTACCCCAGTCTGGGCGATTAACGAAATCTCCAGATATATCCAAGATGTATTTGATGACGATGCGCTCTCCAAGCAGTGTGTCGCCGAACGAAACGTCAAGTTCGAGATCTGAGTCGATGCTGTCGAGCAGTGCACTTTTAACAATCATTAGCTGTTTTTCTATCTCCGGGAAATGCATCGAATCTTACCAGTAGAACTTGGCGGCAGCTGTCGCAGCCCAGGTTGACTGCATCTCGATCCTGTCCTGCACAACTTCAACAAGGCGGTGCAACTTGACCAAATCCCTTCCAGCCATCGATAGTAGAAGCTTCACCAGATCTTTTGCCGTGTTGTCTGAGGTCTCACTGCCTATGGAGTCCGCCACATCATTCACCAATGCGGCCCATTCGAATTGATCTTGGTATACGTCTTCTGTCAAACGGACCGTCACGTCGTCGGACACGGTATGCGCCGCCATGTCTGAAAAGACCTTGCGGTGGCTGTGATGTGGAGATGATAGCAAATCGAACGTTTAATGTTGCGTCGAAGCACAGTACGGCGAGGTGGACAACCAACCGCCCAAAGTCTTGGCATTACGCTTAGATACGGTAACGATGTAGAAGCAAAACTCCATAACGAGTATGTCTACTTGCATTTCTCGTTGGTGCTCGCGCATTGAAATAGTTATTTTACAAGATATACACAAAATAGACCTGAATAGCCAAGTGGCAGTCCAAAGATATGGAAGTGATGCACTCATACGCTTAGTCTTCTACTGACATCCTCTCTAAGGTATAGAGTTTTGAAGAGGCCAAATGTCCCTCGCGCCATCAATTGTTCCTTCGCTTATCACCGGGTTGGACTGGCACTCACTTGTCACTCCATCTACTAGACTGTCACTTGGCCACATCCTCCTCTTCCATCTGCCAACCTTTCTTTCTCAGTTGTAACAAACCATAGACAGCCAGCCACTGCGTTGTCCCCAGACTCTTAGATAGATCCATCAGCTTCTCTACCCTCATCGCCAGTTCATCTCCGTACCCAAGGCCATCCAAAAAAGGTCCCGCGCACATGAAGAAGCCGACAAAGATGTCGAAATTCTCGTTCTTTGTAAGCGAGTCTGATCCAAGCATGCGATCGAGGATGTCAAGAGTGATGTTGGGTGTCGTACTAGTCATGTTACCGACAGTGCATGTCTGCCCCAGGAAAGCAACAAGACCACGACTCCAGTTTGACGTCGGGATGGTTTGGTGGAACTGGGTCTGGCAAGCGCGCATCATCTGGTCCTGTACGAGGAGCGATCCGGTTACAGCTATCGTCTGTATGTCCGGATGGGAGATTTTGGGGTCGATCGATGCAGCGAGCAGCTCGTAGACGCTTACTGCAGTACCGGATGCCCAGACAGCGTCTTCGCAGATGCGAGCTTGAATCGTCTCGACAACGTGCTGGAGACGTTTATAGTCGTTATTTGTCTGTGAGGCAATGATCCTGATAGCGCTCATGGCTGTCGCATCGTTCGGGTCCATATTTGGAGGCAAGGCCTTGATGATATTGTCAACGCAGTTCTTGAACACTTCAAAGAGGAGATCTGTTGCTTTGGCTTCGGGCATTGTAGTTGAAGAGACAAGTGGAGGTTTTTGTGTTAGTTTAGTTGCAGCAAGAGTTGAGAAACTTTGAATTGAGAAGCTTTGAGTTGATTGCATAGCCCGGAAGCAGATCCGGACTAGCGGGGGAAGGCAACTGGGAAGTGGGTTGATAGAGCGACAGGGTTGGTTGCCCAGGCAGATGGCCAAGAGTTCCTTTGATTTCGTTGCCTAATTCGCGTTTTTGCGGATCATATAACCGCTGGAAGAGGGTAACACATATGACAAAGCCGATTACATGCGCCCTGCAACTGGATGCGATGGTCGAGCTTGTACTAGAACAGCGATAGGGCACAAGGTCAACTAGAGCTACACCCTTTTACTCTTTTCATTCTTCTGTTCGTCTGGCTGTGCAGCGATGCATGTCTCGTGAAAATTATGATACCTACATGCAATACTTCCATAGACCGGTTGTGAGTCACAAGCAGCATCTCGTTCATCAGTACCTCCTCCACCGTAACCGTCGCTTCTCAAATCTCCCAGTCATTCTCTCTTGCATGTACGAGGCCCAATACCGTAAGCTTTGTCATCGTGGACTACTCAGAGACCCCATCTTGGAGCGACTGCAGGACCACGTCCAGTTCTGGACCCCACTGCTCCGACATATCGATATTTGGTCCAACTGTGTAGATGAAGTGGATGAGCAAGTCGAAGTTTGTTTCCACAAAAAGATGTTCCGATGTTATCATCTTCGCCATAATATCGATCTTGGTGGCGGGATCAAGCCTGAGAGCCGGCGTGTCTGTACTGCCTAGCTGAGTGAGTAGGTGTATGCGTGTAGTATTCCAGGCTCGACCTTCCATGTCTTTTACAAAGTCGCCGTGGTAGGAAGCGAACAATGTGTCGGCATGTTGGTGTCAGGACGGGGCATGCCTCCTTGTTCGGGTTGTTGATGTTCGGTGAAGTGATATCGCAGAGGCGTGCGAGTAACTTGATAGCGGTCGTGCACCAAGCAGAGTCTAGCATAGCCTTGGAGTAGATGACTTCGACGACAATGCGATGCTTGAGGTCGTTGGTGTTGATTTCTTCCGTGATCTCGCCCATGATAGTCTTGGTAGTGTCGTCGGAAGCATCGGTGGGTACGCAAGCTATCTTAGCGATAACAACCTGCCTGAACGCCTCGACAAAGCTGCCAAGAGTGTTATGTTCAGCGTCCATCTTGGACTCGCGCAGTTGTAGAGGGCCGATGGGTGTTGCAGATGTGGAGTATTCGGAGATTGGGAGGCTGCAGATGAGGGGAAAGCTTCTGCACGGACTACAAATGGAGACCACAGGTTGGCCGTGAGAGAAAGATTGACGCACGGACCGTATACGACAAACGCACCTCAACGCCGCAACAGATCTTCTAACTCCAGTATACAAGCATCTCATCTAGATAATACAACATAATTGTACAATTAGCTTTTGGATCTCCAGGTAGAGTTCCTGGCAATCATGTAGTCCTTGCTTTGTATGGATTTCCAAATTCCCCAAAATCCACCTAGTGGCCATATTCCTCTTAGTCGCAAACCCATATCCTTTTCTGCCATCTTCGTATACTTCTCCACATCAACATGCACCTTGTCATAAACTTCAGGAAGCATCTCCGCATTGTACTTCTTCCTTAGTCCCTGGTGCCAGTTGCGATCAAACTGCGCCCAGAAGTCATCTTTGCTGTAGTATGTTTGTGCATAGAGCCACTTCATGCCTCCCATCTCTCCCAGTGTTTTCTCGAGCGCGCGATTCTTCTGTAGATATGCGACGGGATCTTTAGGGCCGAAGCCCCAGAGACCGATATTGAGCATTTGAGAGGCTGTCAAGGAGCCCTTGGTATGTGGATGCATGGTAGGTTGCGGACTTTGCTTCAACGGGCACAACCAGAGCGGCCAAATGTTGAAAGTTTTGTCAGTGTAGTCGATAAACTTCTCCGCGTTGGGGTAAGGCAGTGCCATGTCTTGTACAATGTAGCGTGTTGCTATTCCAGAAGCGTGTAGAGCGCGATAAAGCATCCGTGTGTGAAGAAAGTCGTCTAAGAACCATCTTGTGAACTTGTTGAAAGGGAAGCTCATGTAGCTGAATGCCGAACGGCCGACCCAGAAGCCACCGCGGTCATAACGGAACATATACTCAGCGAGTGGGATGTACTCAACGACGGGCTCGGTCGAAGAGCGTGTAGCCGCTTCGACATGTAGGTAAAACCATGGATCCCAGGGGTTGCTGAACGTTTGCGGCTTGATGCCCGGTGGTATTTCGTTTGTCATCTCGCCTGTCACAATAGCCCCATGCTCTTTGCTGAATAGAACCCCATCCACGTAATCATTCTTATGTCCCCTCTCGCCCTCTGTTTGGTCCTTGACTTCTTTGACAGCTTGCGCCACGCTTCGAGTTGGATAGTACGTGGTCTTGACGTACTTCTTCGCCTCAATAAGCTTCAAATCAACGAGTGTCGTAACACCTAGGGTGCCGACTGCGCCAGCAGCACCCTGAAACAAGTCCTGGTTCTCCTTCTCACTAGCTCTGACAATCTTGCCATCTGCCATGACCATCTCAACTTCGTTTATTGTGCGGTCAAAGAAGCCGAATTTGAAGCTACTACTTTCTCCTGCCGTCCCTGCATAGCCTCCGCCTACTGTAATGCCAGGAAACTCCATTACGACCGGCGGCACAAGGCCATGTGGCAGCGTTGCTTCGACAAGCCGATCCATGGGAACGTTTGGTTCAACGAGTGCCGACTTAGTATGCGTGTCGACACTGATGACATTCCGAAGAGCACTGATATCAACGACATGCTTCTTTAAATTTGGACGCGTACTGTTTGTTGAGCCATGAGATATCCGGAAGGGCTCCTTGCGCGCGAAGTAATCCTTGACTTTGGACGCGACTTGCGCAACGACGCGCTGATGACGGTCCATGCTGGGAAATGAGATGGTCTACGGATGTGAATGTCAACGTCACTCATACATGATGACTATAGCCTCCAAACCACATTTGGAGCCGCGTAGTCGATATTCGATGTCGGTGAAGAGTAAGTTTTCTCCGATGCGCTAAACTGCATTTGTAGAGCTTGGGCCCATCTCCTTTCTCAAGACGCTGTCGCTTCCTATGAACAATCAGACTTCAACAGCGCGCTTTGATCTCTTGTTTTTTACAATTCTAGTACACCCGTGTCATCATACTTTCTTACTTCTGGGCTCTCAGTCTTGGACGTGAACTAAACAATGCTCAAGTAGCACTGCAAAACATGCTCCATCGTGATCTAAACTGGTATCAACAGAGGTACATCGGCATTCAAGAGTCTGTAGATCAGCAATTGATATCTTAATTTACCGTAAAGAAGTCCGCCTAACAACATGGCCGTAAGAGAAAGATGTCACGATGCCTCCGTGGTGTTGAGCACTCTACCGATACCCCACTAACCCCACTACTAGCCTTATCGCTGCGCATATACCTTCCCTGTCTGGCAGCAACCCCGCCAACATCTAGCGCATCTCATGATGGAAGAAATGCAGCGGAGATGGCCGCTAGGGGCGCGTCGATTGCCTTAATATCACAGCCTTTAATTTGCGTCCTTGCTCGGTAAAACTTGATTTGTTTTTCCTTGAGTCCATTGAAGACATAAACAAGAAGCAAGTGCCATGGCGAACATCACTGTAGGCTCCGCGGTTTCACAGGATGACCTGGAAATTCCAGTATGTATCTGTTTGCTGCCAAATATCGGCGCTCTTATGCTGAACGTATCATAGCTCATCGACTTCGATGCTTTCCTTTCCGGCGACCCCAACGCAAAGAAGCAGACTGCCGATGCTGTACTCAAAGGCTTCCAAAATGCCGGTTTCGTCTACCTCAAAAATCACGGAATTCCCCCTTCGACTGTATCGACCGTCTTCTCCCACTCCGCCAAATTCTTCGCACGACCGAAAGAGCAGAAAGACGCGTTGGCATGGTACTCGGCCGCTGCCAACCGTGGCTATACCGCACAAGGGCGCGAGAAGCTCGTGGTATTGGAAGAGACAGGCACCGAGGCAGAGATGCGCGCATTGGTACCAGACCTGAAGGAGAGCATGGAGATTGGGCGTGATGACCAGCCTGAGATGCCGAACATGTGGCCGAGTGGTGACGAGGCGGCCAAAGAGTTCAAGGAGCAGATGGTGGAGTTTTTCGAAACATGCAAGAATCTACATATGCAAATCATGCGGGCTATAGCATTGGGTATGGGCATTGAAGAGATGTGGTTCGATGGCTTCACCGATGCGGGTGACAACACACTAAGACTTCTGCATTATCCCGGCGTCTCCAAAAGCATCTTCAAAAGAAACGATGGACAGCAGCAGGTTCGGGCAGGCGAACATAGCGACTACGGTATATTGATATGAAGGACTGTGGAACCGGTTGCTAACATACTTGCAGGCTCTATCACTCTACTCTTCCAAGATGCACGTGGTGGTCTCCAAGTCCGCTCACCGAAGGGCACATTCGTCGACGCAACACCTATTGAAGGCACTATCGTGATCAACGCTGGAGATCTGTTGGCACGCTGGTCGAACGACACTATCAAGTCAACGAAACACCGCGTTATGGAACCTCCCCCCAAACCAGAAGACGCAGACAAGGACGAATACCCACCCCGTTATTCAATCGCTTACTTCTGCAACCCAAATGCTGATCGCAAAATTGAGGCTATTCCGGGAACGTTTGAGAATGGAAGGAAATATGACGATGTCATGAGTGGGGACTACTTGATTCAACGTCTTACAGCAACATATTGAGTATGGAGAGAATAAAGAATTCAATGCGCGGTGTTCGAAGAAAATTGCCATGTGATTACTGAGATGTTTTTGTAGACGCTCTCGATAGCGTCATCGGTTCCTTATTCCATACATGCAGAACAGCGCGGAAAAGTTATTTGATAGTAATATACACACAACAGAAGCGTGTTTGTCTGTCTAGTATATTTAGCTGCACTGCACCGTCTTAATTGTTTCAACCCAAGCCTCTCAGTTGGATATTGTCTCAGCCATATCGTAGAAATAGGCCCTATGCGCAAGCCCGAAAGATTGCACGCGAGTACTGTCAATTTGTTACGGTTTGGGGTCTCTCCTGCTCTGCTCCTGCAGTCGCAACTTACCTTTGTAATGGAACGATGCCTATCTGGGACTAGCACTGTTTACGGTCACCCACCTACATATACAGTTTGTAGACTCAGACAATACCACCTCAGTTCAATCCTTTAATTCTTCCAGCACCCACTATTCCCCACACAATTGCTTTGCTCTCACTTTTTTCTACTACATCCCTGTCCGAGGGCAATTGCTGGCCTATGAGGAGCCGGTTTTGCCTAATCAGGGTCTGCTTGCAGCCTTGCAGACAGGGTGGGGTGGTGAGTCACATGACGTCCGCTGACTCATCCCACTAGCGCCTTCCCACAGTCTATATAACCCCGCCTCACCCCGTCCCTTCTTCCAATTCTCAGAAAACAGTTCTCGCCATCCCTTTTCGTAAGGAGGCTTAGTTCCGACATTAGAACCTCATAACGATAAGAGTGGATGACCAAAGCGCACCAGGGCTGCACACTACGCTTCGTTGAGCGGCGATGATGCATGTCTTATGCTGCCTTATTCCCCGAGCGGGTGAAGGGCGGACTGGAGCGCGCATTCAGGCCAATCGTTCGCGGGTTGGGCTTGCCGGAGATCCTCACAGGTCTTTAGTCCCGTGGTATTTAGCCATGGCGCGGCAAAGCGTGGTACGGTTCTACATGTTTGCAACGACCGGTTCGCCGGCGTTCGCTTACAGCTCACAATACTTTTTGAAAAATACACTCAGCTTCGGGTTCGAATTATCTTTTCATTGATTCTTTGACTCTTGTGTCAAGGATTGAGGAAGAAGATGGAGATACACCGACACTAGAGAAACGATCTTCTAGTTATTTGCCTGATATAAGTTGACGGATCATTGTCTCGTCAAGTTTTGCAGCTTCGTTACATCACGGTGACAGCTGTGCACAAGTAAGTACTCTAGCTCTCGGGCTGCCAGCCATGTTCCTCGTGTGTACAATCGAGATTATTTTCACTACAGAGAGTATATCGTGATTACGGTGTCTTGCTTCTTTTACTTGACTCCCTATTCAATCTCTCAATGGATGAGTGCACCTCCTGGTCACTTACTTCGGTGTTCACCAGCCTAGCTAGCCAACGTCTACCCTCGCCTCCTCGCTCGCTTCTTTGTGCGTTTGTTCTCGTCCTTCTCCTTGCGCACATGACCTGCATGCACTATATTACCGTAGTGCTTGGCATCCTCCTCGTGTGCCCTATTGCAGAGTTTGTTGCGGCAGATACCGGTCTTGAAGTTGGCACACATGGCACGCTTGCAGTCATGCATGGCCTAGGACGATTTCAACTCAGCAGTGACTACATGTATGAGAGGATTCAAAGCATACCTTTGCGCAGTTACGACAGGGCGTTCCGCGGTCGCAAGGAAGATTGCGCATACAACAGTAGATGCAGACGACTGGGTGCTTTCGCGGCTTCGGAACACTGCGTTGACAATCAGCATGCAAAAGTTTAGAGAGGGTATTGAGGGTTTTGATCACATACAGCTTCTTCTCAGCGTCTTTTAGGTGCTTCACTTTGTCACCCATGAGACCGACGGTCTGCTCAAGCAAAGCATCGTACTGCTCCTTAACCTTCGCGACCCTCTCCTCTAACATCCTGTTTTGGTTCATCAATTTACCGGCTCTCTTGAAGACATCCTCATTTTTTTCCATAGGAGGCTGCGGGCTCCTTCTTAGAGGCTGCGAGCGCCTTCTCAGAGGCTGCGAGCTCTATCTCAGAGGCTGCAAGCTCTATCTTAGAGGCTGTGAGCTCGGCGTTCAGGCGGTCGATGGCCTCGTTCGTCTATCGAGTGTCAGTGAACGGTTTCGTAGCCACAAATCGACGTGTTACCTACTCTATCGGCCGACATATCTGCGGTGATGAGGTTGCAAGCCATACTCGTTGCAAGTAGTCGAAAGCCGAGTTGTCTTATCGTGGGGAAGTGTTATCGTGGGCTAGTTGGCTCGCTTTCACTAGGCACCGATTCCGCAGCTCGTTCTCTGGAACCTTCGAAACTGACGTAGCAGAAAAGAGTCATACAAACTCTCTGAGCTGATTGGATTAGAGGCTGTCAAAGTTGGCGGGCAAATTTCTAGGCTCCATCTTGGAACCATACCGACACAGACACCAGACACATTTCCAGCTATACACCACACTATCGTCCCCATGGACGCCATGGAATATTCCAACGACGTGCACGGCACGAACCAAGACTACGAAATGTCCCGACAGCTCATCCTCATCGATCTCATCCAACTCATGCTTGACCACCCGTCGAGACATCTGCATGACCTCATGCGACATAATTTCCCCGTCTTTAGTACCGAGCAACTTCAGCATCCTGTTTTCTATGATGTCATCATGGCCGCTGTACACGACCTTGACGTGCAGCAAGCGGAATTGATCGCTGAAAGTAGGACTGCACACGTCTACGAGAAGCGACTAGAGGAGATAAACAAGGCAAATGCAGACAAGATGGCAGCAAAGCAACAGGAGCTAGTCGTGGAGAAGAAAAGCGCCGTCGATCTCAAGTTGGAGTCAGCCGCAGACAAGAACCACATTGCGGAGCTCACACAGAGGCTCGCCGAGATGGAAACAAAGCTGCTAGAAGCCTCTGGTCCAAAGATGTCCTTCTCTATCCGCACCAAGGATGATCAAGAGGTAGATGAAGACTTCGAGTTGCCCGCTGCAGAGAACGTTGCGTCGCGCAAAGGCAAGCACCGCAATCACGTACAGAAGAACAACACCGGGTAAGTACCATGTTGGTGTACGAGAGAGCATAGCTGACACATTGAAGTCTTGAGGAAGATCACTAGCGAGTTCAGGCCGCCTATAACCGTCATGCTATCCGGTATTTGGGGTTTCGAAGGACAACGTCATGACTTCAAGGATGGCAGTGGACCACTCTGTTGGGAACTCGGAGCGGAGGTGTGATGTAATTGGGTGAAGCTAGCATTATTCACTTCGACGGGTGGCCTGCTGAGTTGGAGGTTGTAACTCATAAGTCTTCGGTAAAAATACATATACAATGTAGGACTCAATCCGATCCCATTCAGTATATTCAAGATCAACTTCGGATTGTGATACACCCAACTTATCGTCGGCCTGTACCCAATGCCCTTATAGCTTCTATGATTAGCCAAGTCGCAAGGGTCTATACCTGAGCAGAGTTTGTATTGGGGATGAAGGGCTTGGCGTTCTAGGTTTCACTAAAGATGGTATAAATGACCCAGTCATAGCCAACCCTGTACGTCTGAGAACAAGCACAGGTGATGTGGCACTGGGTGTTTCTATAGAGGTGCAGTCTGTATCTGGAAACGGTGAAGTCAATTTTTACGCGTTCTATGATGTTATTCGATTGTATCTTTGGTCTAAGATAGCTGATGGTAAGATTTTCCGGATATAAGCTAAGCTCGAGAATAGTGTACCTCTACGATACTATTCTATACTAAATGACAGAGGTGAGTGAGAAGTAGGTACTAAATAAGCGTTCCAAGATCATTTCCAGAACTCTTGCCACTAGCACACTAGCTCTCGTCTCCTCAATATCCAACCATCCTTCCACATCTATTAACACCCAACAAATAGATTCATTGTTTACAATGCGTAACTATCGGCGTTGAATAGCTTGTTCGCAGCTGGGAGGCGTCTGGCTGCATCGGTGCCATACGCAAAGTCTGAGGTAGTCGGGCTGTATATAGTTGGTACATGAGTCAATTCGTGTATCAAGCTGCCGGTCAGACATTCAGATGTTTTTCCACACTGGTAATTAGTATATTGCTGGGTAAAGTATAACGGACAGGACACAATTATGGCTTCCCCGTTTGGGCCTTTGATAGTGTCTCGATACGTGTACGCGATTGTTCTCCTTTCTTTACTGCATTTATCGGCACCAGTGGGATCCTTGCAGTACATGGTGCCACAAAAGATACCGAGAGGGGTGCAATGTTCCGAGATAGCTGTAAGTCGCGCTTGAACCTCTTTCCAGTCTTTTTGGGCAAAGTATTTGGTGTAAATATACGGCCTGCCATTGTGCGCACGGTCTGCAGCATATTTTGTGCGTTCTTTGCAATCAGTCAATGCCGACTTCAGTTTGTCCTATTGATGTCCCTCGCAGGACTCATTGATGTCAACTCGCTTCTTGAGCTTCGTGTCCGCGTGATGGTTGAAGACGATTTTCGCTTCGGTCGGGTTGATATCGACAGAGAGAGTATTACTGGTGTATGAAAATGCGTCCCCTTCGATAAGCCGTGTTGAATTGAGCGCTACGTAACGGAACTACCCAGTTGCGACGATGTTATGGAGTGAGGTCTTCGAGTGGTGGACCCAATAACCTTCGGCCACATCTATCACAGCCTCTCTCGTCTGTCCTGGAAAGAGAGGAAAGAAGCTTTCCTGATCGAGGTCGCTGGCAAGATATGTTACGCTCATGATGCCGCTAAATCCGACCTTGGTGTTCTCATTTATGACGATCAATTGGTTGGAGAGCGAATCGGATAGGATAGTGTTGGGTTTGAGAAGGTTGTATCCCGTGTTCTGGTTGTTGTTGGTTACGGCAACCTTGATTTCGAATTGCCGACAGACGATAGCGCAACATGGATGGGAGAAGTAGTTGCAGTTGTACTGGCTGCTAGAGCAAACATGAGTGAGAAGTGGCTTCTCATTATAATAGTAGAGAAAAGGTTGTACTGTCAGCGATTGATTGATGCTGATAATCTTGGGCCTTGAAAACCTTGCGAAGTTACGATAAACCGGCAGGGCAAAACAAGGAAGTCAGGCAAGACCTGACTAATCAGACTGTGTGAAGTTGTTTTTGCCTGAGTGTGGAATCAAAACAGCGGCTACACGTTTACAATTATATGCTCAGCTTATAGCCAACACGCCGAGAGCTCTGCTAAGCCCTTGTAAAATTCCCTCGTCTATGCTTCTATGCTAAAATCTTATAAAGGTTTTGAAAGAGGCGCCGATAACTAACATATAAGCACTGTATACGCTCGGCGAGTTGGTTCTCTATATTAGGACGGGAGTTGCATGGCACGATGTGCCATATGGGATCAAGTTCCTTGTGATTACAATTGAGGTAAGATGCGGCTGTAATCATTACGAGTCTCGGCACGGAAGTAGATCGACAGCGGTGACAGTGCTTCCGATCTTCACGGATTATTCTCCGGGATAAATCTGACTACACCGGAAGATCAATCACCTGATCTGACACAAGCTCTATTAGGTTTGTTCAATCTTACGTTGGTACTCTCTTTCTTTCCCAACAACGTAGAAACGACACTCTGTATAAAGAAAGGCAGCAAGATACTGGCAAGAAGATTCGTTACAATCTTAGCGAGTCGCAGAATATAAAAGAGTACAGAATTGATTGAGAAGCTCTCGACACAACAAAGAGCAGGTAACGGCGTGTGAGAAATAAGCCTTGGCAAGATGTCCAGAATTTGTTTGAACATGGCACGTGCGATATCGTCTCGAAAGGTGTACCATGATGAGGTATGCGGAATAAGATACCGGGCAGGTTCAACCAAAAGGAACCCGGCAAGGTCCATGTTCTAGGTAATGACGCAACAATACAGAGATACGTAAGAAGAGGATACTGTTACGTATGGCTTTAGTAAAGCAGTTTTTCTTACGAGTGTATGGACGTTGTAATACCACGACGTTCGCTTGCGCAAACTGCAGCCGCTACATATCAAAAGATGGGGCACCAAGAAAGAGCGAACCTTGTAACGGGCCGCCCTCTCTATATTAACCAGCTATTCAAATACGGACTAGCTCTTGAAGCAATTGTATATGTTGGTTTTACCGTGTGGTGGCAACACGCCCTCAGACTATTGCCTACCTGGGTACACGAAATTGCGTCGTCTCCAGCTAATCAAACACAAGACATCAGCAATCCATCATCCATTCACCAAACACCTTTTGTGTTCACGCTTATCAATCAATGTACAACTCAATATCGCGACTATACCTAGGTAAACTTTACAGCTTGCGCGCTCAAAACCACAAGCGTCATCTCCAGCAACTCACACAAAAGCCCCCATTCCATTTCTCCTGCTCCTGTAGCACACATACCCCACCAGCACCAAAACAACAAATCCCACATACACCTTATTACGCAGTTCTTTTCGAGTGCGAGAAAAACTTTTAACCACAGAAACCAGGAACGAAGAACCCACATCACACGATTTATACCCATTTTGCACTCTCCCCACACCCACACCCAGTGCAGTACCTCCTTCTTTAATTCCCTATACATATCGTTGTTGTAGGATTTTTTTCAGAATAGTAGATAATCATGGCATGTTTTGCGTTTTACTTTTAGAAAGGAAGAAAAGGGAGGCGGGAAAAACATTGAACAAATATACTATGTGTCGGATCGTGAGTATCGGTAGAGACGTCGGCTGCTGGACACTTCGGCCCGACTTCGGCCCACCTTGCGCAGAGCTTAGGTATACCTTCGTAGCAGCTGTGTTCGTAATAAATCACCATCACCGAACAGAATGCATTCCTAGTTATCGTTATTTCCTTTCAGCACTAGTGCTATAGACCTTCCAACACTATGGCTTTTTGTTTGCGGATATTTTGCGTGGTGTAAGAGAGAGAAGGGAAGGAGGAGAGGTTTTATACGCTCGCATACCGAATCAAGAAAAGAGGCAAGTAAGGTCGAAAACACGTCGCTCACTCCGCCACATGGAGGCTCACTACCGTATTTTCGCCACCGGAGAAACCAGCCACGCACATACCACGACTACGCGAATGTTTTGGAAAAGAGCAGGCAGAAGCACCGTAGCGTATGTCGAGAAGATTTTTGGCACCTTAGGCCTGCACATGAACTCAAAGTCTTCAAGATTTTAGGTAGGGGGAGAACAGACATAAGGCATAAGCCCGTTGGTTTTAGAAAGGAGAGAGAGCGGGAGAATAGATTGCACTGTTTGTGGTTATTTTTAGTGTAAAAGCGGATTTTCAGTAGATGGGGGTATGCAAGAGAAGAAGAAAAGAGAAGAGAGGAGGAGAAAGAGGTAGGTTTTATATCCCTGGCCTACGCTAGACGAGCTGAGCAAAGTAAGATAAAAGAAGAGAGGTAGAGTTTATTCGGTCATGTAAAGTTTGAATGGAGGTTTGAAAAAGCGGTGGGGAAGGAGAAGGCCACGCATGCGTTGAGTGCTATTGTTTTTTAGAGAGAGGAAAAGAGAAAGAGCGGGAGCAGGATATGAGCGTAATAGAGGAGTTTGGAAGACAGCAACCCATGACGAGGTTCAAAGTGAACTTTGAGAACAAGAGTCCAAACATCTTTGTCTTAGCAATGCGATTTCAATTTAATTTTTAATTCTGTTGGAAGGCCTTGTACGATCGTACGGTGAATAACAGTAGCTAAGGTAATCTTGTGTATTGGTATTCTGGT